TACTATTTATCTTAAAATAAGTTACTATTTATCTTAGAGATATGTTGAGATTTTGAACCAGTTAATTTTATTTTTGACTGAGGAGGAAACCTACCCACCGACGACGTATATTATATTGTATGGGACGTAACCAACCAAAAAAGTAAGTAATTTAATTAAAATTGATGGCTCGACTAATCTATCATCACGAAGTTGAGAAATGATGATGGTGATGTTCTCTGGTGTTGACTTGCTACGTCCATGTGTTGTTATCTTATTGCTTATAAAGCTGACTTCTAAGTCCGTAAACTCCTTCGTTCACATTTCCTACTTCAATTCCTTTATTTTATTTTACGTGGCAAATGGATTATATAATATTATGTTCAACAATAGGTATTTTTAATTAAGTTTATGCATCATAGCGTATTTTAATTCCATTAATGTCAGATTTTGCTTCATCTAACATTTAAGTTAAGATTAGTGTATATGTATTCAATTCTCTGCATCTCGCACATGAATACCATTATTGGTAAGAGAAAACGGATATAACTAAAATTTAGACATAAATCTTTTTAATCAAAAAAAGTATATACTGCATATACGAGTTTAAACAAGGGGTTTAATTAGCATGAATAACTAGACTATATATAAATCATATATAGTCTGTGCTCTTAATTATTTTTGAAACATTAGACTTTTATTCAAGATGGACTATTTCAGAGACATGAACCACGGCTTTTACTGATCATAGAGTTGCTAATGCCATGACATTCCAATATATACGATTTAAGATTAGAGCATATCCCCCTCCCTAAGAAAAAAAAGGAAGAAGGTCTGACTAATAGAATGAGGACCTGAAACAGTTATAGGGGTCGCTAGTTCTGGCTTTGCCACTACTTTTTATCACCAAAATCTTTTTCTTATCAAACACTAATATCTTTTGAATGTTTGTCTGTTATGTTGATGGGAGTCATAAACTGTGTGGCCATGCCATTTTCTCTTATGTCTGGATTACTAGTCTGGATAAAACCGTCTGTACGAAACACTGATTTTTTATATAAGTATATAGGGTTTATTATATTAGCAAGTACAATAAATTCAATGCGGAAATTTATAAAATTATGTAGGTACAACAATATCAATAAAAACATGTTTTCAAAAAAAAATTGTTGTGTATGCTGAATATTCTGAAAACGTTTTGGGAATTTGTTTGAATAATTAAAAAATAAAAAATAAAAGGAAGACGAAAAAGATACTCCTTCTTATTTATTTGAAGTGATGTTTAAGGTTGTTATACAAAAATTAAGAAAACATATAATTTCTTTTGTTTCTATAAAAACATCACTAATTTAAATAAATCCAACCAATCAGAAAATAAGATGTAAAATATGATTGGTCAAAAAATATTATACACATTTAATTTTTGCATAAAAATTTGAAAACGTCACTTAAATAAAACAATTTTTTGGGAGTAAAACATCGTTTAAATTGAAATAGAAGGATTAATAAAAAAAACAATATTTATTAATAGACAAAAACTATTCGAATAATAATAAGGGGGAGTTCAAAAATACCCCTTTTCATATACATCTTTTTAAAAATACCCCTTTTTCAAACTTTATTAAAAACCCCACTAAAAATTTTGAAATTTATCCAACTATTTGTGTAAGCTTATTAATAAATACACAAATAACCTTTATATGTGTATAAAACTTTATATACCTTTCATAAATAGCGTAAAAATAAATTATAAAAAGCTTATAAAAACCTTATAAAAACCGTATAAATCCTTTTAAAAACCTTATAAAACTTATAAAAACGATTTAAAACTATTTAAAACATTTTAAAATATTTGTATCGAATCTCCCAATAGTAGTTATTATATAGAAGTACCTTATAAATTATATAAAATTTTATAATTTTTTATATTTAAAAAGGGGTATTTTTAAAAATGTATAGATAAAAGGGATATTTTTATAAAGAAGTATACCAAAAGGGGTATTTCTTAAAAGTTCTCAAATAATAATAGCAAGCGTATCTCCCTACTTGTTAGTATGACTATTTTCATAATTTATCATTCATTTTAGCGCCAGCAATAATAGAGATGACAGGATTTGGTCAACCCTTCAGCCCAATAAAAAAGGGAAGGCGGATGCGTGCATGTGGTCGGAGTAATGACAAAACCCTTAACAATTATTTATAAACAGTGATCCAAGCCTATTTCATTAGTTTTTGAATTTCAAACAAAATTATTTTGGAATCTTAGTTAACCTGTCATGACAAAAACCGTAAGTATATGGTAATAGTATAACTAGCTGTTAAAGTGTAGACGCAAATGAATTTATTCTTTAACAATGCCACATAAATATGAAAATCCCATTTTCTATAGTCCTAACAAAATGATCAAAATTTGAAATTTAGGTGTGAACTTTTTCCTTTTTTTTTTCTTTGCTTCAAGGGGAATTTTGAAACTTCAAACAAAAGATTTGAAAGTTATCAAATCTATTTTGTGAATAATCACACATAACTTTCACATATACATGCATGATCAAAAAATTTTAAAAGGTTAGGAGATTTTTCTGCTGATATAAATTTCATTTAATTATTTAATCATACCATTAGATCTTAACATATCATTAATTTCTAAATTACTTTAAATCAAGCAATAAATTATTATTTGTATGGCAAACTTTACAAAAATAATATATATAAGTCGTTGAAGAAATGCTTATCAACCTTGAAAACGTTGATGGCTAGCCACGGAATACCGAGTGTAAACACAATACACGCATAGTGTGTAGTGATGTAAGAGGACTGCACCAAAACTCTAATAAGACTTTCAGACCAACGTCGGCACTAGGTTAAATACTAAGCCGACTAAATTCAACTCTAGAGAGTCATTTTTTCCGGACAAAACAAAATGTAGATAGATCATTAGTTGAAAAGGACTGATACAGGGAGATATATAGTTTTACTATATTATGAGTTGGGAACTATTGTTCGTCGTTTTCAACAAGAATAATATTAAAATCTTTGTATTATTATATATGCTTACGTATATGCATTTGTTCACACATCCAAACTCTTTTTGCGTATATAGAGAGAATCTTACTTTTTTTTTTTTTTTTGCTAAGAGAGAATCTTACTTTTAAACTCAAAAGTTGCCTCTCTTAATCTTCGACCGTTCGTGGCATCAAAAGATAGCTGATCGGAGTCAGATTTCCTCGTAACAAAAGTTATTCGGCTTCATCATTCTCATTTTGATTCTGCATTGTTTTTTTCTTTTCTAAATACATTTATTATGGGAAAATAGGCTAAAATTTATAGTACTATATATTGAAACTGAACTTGTACTTATAAATGGGCAACGATACCAAGACCCAAGTATGATATTTTTTGTCTCTTTTTTTCTTTTATGGCCTTGATCTCTCACACAGCTACTGAAAAATTTAAGGAGAGGAGCAAAGTGAGATTCACGTTGGTGAAGAATAAAACTGCTGAAAGAGTAACGGCCTAGTGATAGCTAGTGTAAAGAGAGTTTTTTTTTTTTGTTTTTTTTGGGGTAGTATCCCGTTCAAATCAGAATGGACTGCCTCCGACTATCGAAAGAGAATATGGATCAAAAGTTCGGAACTCAGCAGTTTAACAAAGAATAATAAAAAGGTTAAATAGGAAAAAATTCTTACTGGTTATCTCTTTTTCTCAAAAAAATAAAAAAAATCGCATATCTTCAATTATTTCGTAACAAGAACAAAGAGTTTCATTCCATACTCCATTACTTATTTGTGTTTGTGTTTGTTTTTTTTTTTTTGTCGACTTATTTGTGTTTGTCTATGTCATAATAATCTAGAAGGGAGCATGTTTTGGTTGCAATATAATCATTGAAACTTAACATTAAATACCTATATAGCCTCCCATAGTTCCTAAGTCTGGAACCCACTCATAATTTCTTAATATCTATTTATATTGCTATTAGTGGAAGTTCCAATACCAAAGGCCATCGTTTAAAGTGTAGGTTCGTTTAACATAAAAGCAAAAAGTGGAGGCTTGATGATTCTTTGCAGCAAATCATAGTCATCATCAGTTTATCCTTTTTGTGAACGACATGTTGTTACGACTAAGAAAAGGTATAGAATCAGAATTAGAATATATTTCTTTTGTTGAAACTTCATTCATACTTTTGTTGAATTATTTATTTTAATCATTTCTGTTAACTAGTGCGTGTGTTCATAGTGAAAAGGCATTTTTCTGAAACAGTTTTAGTAAAAAGGCATTTTTTAGACTTCATTCTAAGTAAAGGACACCAATTTTAGTGCGAGAATTGATTATTTGACAACTTTAACTTTAGTTTTTTGGGAATTCTATTAGCTTGAAGATGAAGTTACTCTCTCAATGGTTCACATTTGAATATAGTTAGAATTGTATCCTTTTATTTATATGTTGATTTATTTATCTATATATTGTTTTAGGTGTTTTGAAATACACTTGTACTATTTATCCCAAAAACAAATGTATAGGCTTGAACATGATATATATTTTAGTATAAGAAAATCATATATTTATATACTTAAAAAAATTAATTGTTTTTATTTATGTAGACACTAAAATTACATTATTTGTTTGGAACCAGCAAACGTCCTCACCAAGAAACATTTAGGAGACTCTATTATACTATACATACACTTGAAAGTAAATTATTCGACAATTGTCACAATTCGTTGGAGAGAGCAAACGCGCTTTTTTCGGTCTTGAAACACTCTCTAACACGTAAGTGGCATGCCGTTTAAAACGAAACTATTGAGGTACCAAAGCAACTTCCCTGAGATTTGTTTTTGTTTACCAAAAACCCTAAAAATACCCAAAATTAAAACCCTAAAAATAGGGAGTCGAATACCAACAGTTTGTTTCTTGTTTTTCCTTTTTTCTTTTGTTGGTGATAAAAAATACCGGATAGGGTTAAAAAAAAGCGACTTTAATCGTCTTTTTGATCCACCAAAGCTCTCCTCTCGAATTTTCCAGATTAACTGAATAGATTCCTTGATTTTGACGGTAACACAAGGTAATTATTGATTGGCTTCGAAATATCTCGATCTCCTCTAATTCTCTTTTTACGATTTTTTTTTTCTTTCTAAGCAATTAGTCAAATTCGTTCTATACAAAAAAAGTATTAAGGAAGGTTATAATCAAAATTCATAATCTCTAAATTTTTTCCAATATCAAAATATGTTACTATGTGATGTTTTCCTTCCATGACTTGTCTTCAAGGAGGAAATGGAGTAGAAAAACAACTGATTTGTACAAAAAAAAAAAAAACAACTGATTTGTTTTGACTCAATTGGAAATATTGGTGTATATAAATCTTGCAGCATAAGATTGAGATTTGTTGTGTATAATGTAAGAGAAGATGAAGTTTGGAGAGACGTTTACGGAATATCTACGTGGAGAAGAGGAGTGGTTCTTGGAAAAATGTCGTCATGTAGAATATAAGAAACTCAAGAAAGTGTTGAAGAGATGCAAGACGACATGTAACTCCTCCACAAGATCTAATAATGATGAACAAATCATCATCTCATCGGCTACTTCTTTGTCTGATTCATCATGCCAATGCCAGTCTTGTCCTTGTATGTATATAAACTTCTCTCCCTTATACTTCCTTCTAGCCGTACGTGACGCTTAATAAACAGATGATGACCAATTGAGAATGAGTTGATAAGTTCATGTCTCTGTTACAATGCAGGGTGTGATGAGATGTTCTTTGAGGAGCTGATGAAAGAAGCTTCTGACATAGCAGGATGCTTCAGGTCAAGAGTGAGGCATCTTCTTCATCTTCATGTAGCCACTGGGATGCAGAGATACTTGATGAGTCTACGCAGATGCTTCAAGGACGAGAAACAAGCTTTACTCCAAGAAGGCCAAATCTTGATTCAGTACATCACCATGAATGCGATTGCCATCCGTAAAATCCTCAAGAAATATGACAAGGTTAGAGGTTTATATTGCATGTGGAATAAAGAAAATGCAACCTCATTAAAACTGGTTTTAAAATGCTTTCAGGTGCATAGCTCAGTGAATGGGAAGAAGTTCAAGTTGAAAATGCGAGCGGAGCGCATAGAGCTTTTGCACTCACCTTGGCTCATAGAACTTGGAGCCTTTTATCTCAATTCTGGTCTTGACAAAGTTGGAAACTTCAAGAACTCATCGTTTGGCCGTGTCTCCTGTGAATATCTCAATGACGATCAACCTATGATTCAACTCACGCTGCCTAATTCAATAGAGCTCGAGTTTGATCTAACTTGCGCAATCTGCCTCGTAACAAACCTTACTCTCTGCCTTTTAATTTACACTAACAAAATGTAGTTTGCTTATTTATATCATTTCTCTAAGGAGGGGATGAGTTATAATTTGTTGTTGCACTAATTTGGCAGGAAACGGTGTTCAATCCCTACGCTTTGAAGTGTGGTCACATATTTTGTAAATCATGTGCTTGCTCGGCTGCTTCTGTAATGATTTTCCAAGGCATGAAAGCAGCACCAAAAGATTCCAAATGTCCCATCTGCAGAGAGGTTTGTTTAGATTCTTGCAACATTAGACATTTTTTTTTTTACATTAGACATTTTTTGTTTCCATTAGTAAGTATAAAAGAGGTCGATCTCTTGATTGATTGTTAAGGTTGGAGTTTACGCGGAAGCCGTTTACATGATGGAACTGCATCTTCTCTTGAAGATACGGTGAGACAAATCTCAAGTTTTATATGGCTCCTAATCATTATATATGTGTCCATAAATTTTTAAACTGGTGACTATTATGATATAAACCACACAACAAAATGATGTTTCATTTTTTAATTAAGTTATTGTGGTAGGATAAATTGTTCATAGTTTATATTTTTCATATTTTGTTTTTTTGTAGAAGCAAAGAGTATTGGAAGGAGAGGATGGTTAGTGAACGGTCTGAGATGGTGAAGCAATCGAAGATGTTTTGGAACGAACAGACGAAGCATATGATCGGTTACTAGTTGTTCGTTTCTTGGGCTTTTATATATCTTCTTTCAACAAGAGAAAAGTGATGACCAAAACAAAGAAAAAGAAAAAAATAACTAAACTATTATTTATTTCTGCCATGCCCGAGAAAGTCCTGAATCTACTGATCCCATTTAAGAGATGTCAACACTAGGAGATGTGTTTTTTTTTTTTTTTTTTTTCTTTGGTGATCATGCACAAATCAAGTTGTGCATCACTATACGTTTAACATGTTATTGCTTATCTATATTACTTAGGTTTTCCAAACATGCTGGGATTATTTACAATAAATGTTTGTATTACTTGACGAATGTCAAGTTTTAATATTGTCTGAAAATATGAAATCATTGTTTAAAAAAACTATATATCTACTGTTTCAAAAAAAAACTATATATATATATATCTAACTAAATTTTATGTCAAAACAAGAAAAGTAAAATATTTTGACAAGTAATTTAGGAACTATATGAAACTTCTTTAAATCCGTAAAACACATTTCTATAACTCACTCAGAGATGTTTATTTCTCTCTTAAGTAGTAATGTTTTGGAAAATCTCCTATTTAATAATTGACAAGTCCTTTGCAATTATTTATCTACAATATAATCAAACATCACTCAACGTTGGGGTATATTAAAAAAGGAAAAAATAAAGAAATAATAGTGTAAGGTTAAAAAAGTGAGTTCTCTTCTAAAATTGGGCTCTGTAAAAAAACTTTCCATATTTTCACGTAAAAATGGACGGCAATGCCATAATCAATTCCTTATTCTCTCTCGTTCCTTCTTCTCCTCCTCTGATGCTCATCACATCTTCTCTGAAGCAAATCCTTCGACCAAATTTTCACAATTCCACGGCGTTTAATTTCTCGACAATCTCATTTCCAGTTAACGTGCGGAAGAAGATAGCTGCGAGCGAATAGGTGGTCGATTCATTACCTCATGTTTCTCCGAGCTGTGTCCATTTTGAAAGACACAGTAGAATTCAATATGGATTCGTCATTTATGGTGCTAATGAGTGGGTTATGTTGTCCATGTCGGAGAGGTAACAGATAAATCTAAAACAGAGAGAAGAGGAGAGAAAAAAGAAGAAGCAAAATTAGGTTTTGTGATTTTAGGGTTGAATTATCTGAATGGGAAACACATGCGTGGGTCCGAATCTAAACGCTAATGGATTCTTACAATCCGTTAGTGCTGCTGTGTGGAGGAATCAGAAACCAAACGATAGCCTTAAGAGCAGCAAAGACGAGAGCAGTCGAAAAAAGAACGATAAGAGCGTTAATGGGGGCGAAGACAGTAATAAAAATCCAGGCGCCGCCGTGGATCCAGCACCAGCCGCGTTGCCAACACCTAGCACGCCACCACCACCGGTGAAAATGGCGACCGAAGAAGCACCACCAAAACCTATCCCAGAGAACAAAAACGTAGAAGAAGATGCGAATTCGAAACCGCAGAAGAAAGAAGCGCATATGAAACGTATGGCAAGCGCAGGTCTTCAAATAGACTCAGTTCTTGGGAGAAAAACAGAGAATCTCAAAGATATCTATAGTGTCGGGAGAAAATTAGGTCAAGGGCAATTTGGAACAACGTTTCTTTGCGTGGACAAGAAGACAGGGAAAGAGTTGGCTTGCAAAACGATAGCCAAAAGGAAACTAACGACGCCTGAGGATGTTGAAGATGTGAGAAGAGAGATTCAGATAATGCATCATTTGTCTGGTCATCCAAACGTGATTCAGATCGTTGGTGCGTATGAAGATGCAGTAGCTGTTCATGTTGTGATGGAGATTTGCGCAGGTGGAGAGTTATTTGATAGGATTATACAGAGAGGTCACTATACGGAGAGAAAAGCTGCTGAGCTTGCTAGGATCATTGTTGGTGTTATAGAAGCTTGTCATTCTCTTGGTGTGATGCATCGTGATCTTAAGCCTGAGAATTTCTTGTTTGTTAGTGGAGATGAAGAAGCTGCTCTCAAGACTATTGATTTTGGTCTCTCTGTTTTCTTTAAACCAGGTACCATATCCGCAATGCTACTTGTAATAGATCTCATACATGATATATATACATTGTGCAAAGTGGGGAGGATCAGTGTTTTTTTTTTTGTTGACTATAGATATGTTGTGAATACAGGAGAAACATTCACTGATGTAGTTGGGAGCCCTTATTATGTGGCTCCAGAAGTATTAAGGAAGCATTATAGTCATGAATGTGATGTTTGGAGTGCTGGAGTTATTATTTACATTTTACTAAGTGGTGTTCCTCCCTTTTGGGATGGTAAGAGACAGTTGTTGATCTATGGTTCAAATTTGTTTCAATGGTAGAGACTGATTTGATCTGTTATATGACAGAAACGGAACAAGGCATCTTCGAGCAGGTTTTGAAAGGTGATCTTGACTTTATATCAGAACCATGGCCTAGTGTCTCAGAAAGCGCAAAAGATTTAGTTCGTCGGATGCTTATCAGAGACCCTAAGAAACGAATGACAGCTCATGAAGTACTATGTTAGTGTTCTTGTTTCTAGTTAAGTTGTAATTTTTGATAAGAGTAAGCACAGAGCTACCTATATTGATTTGTAAAATGTTAAATTTATGTTGCAGGCCATCCTTGGGCACGAGTGGACGGTGTTGCTCTTGATAAACCTCTTGATTCTGCTGTCCTAAGTCGTTTGAAACAGTTTTCAGCCATGAACAAGCTCAAGAAAATTGCTATCAAGGTAAACATTTTAAATATGTTTCTATCATCTATACCAAATTATATGCACAGATAGAGGGAGGCCTATATATATATATATGTATTGAATGAGATATTCATCCTCATAGAGAGTTGTCCATAATGACTAAACACAAACACTTTTATCACTGAATATGTATTGATTCAGGTAATAGCAGAAAGCTTGTCAGAGGAAGAGATAGCAGGACTGAAAGAGATGTTCAAGATGATAGATACAGACAATAGTGGACACATCACTCTCGAAGAACTCAAAAAAGGTTTGGACAGAGTTGGTGCTAACCTAAAAGATTCAGAGATATTAGGACTAATGCAAGCAGTAAGTCCACTTTTCTACTTAACTACCTTTGGTTCACTCTATGTTTATGAATCATGATGATGTATGAAATAATAATTTGGCAAAATGAACATTTTATCAGGCGGATATAGATAACAGTGGGACTATAGACTATGGAGAGTTTATAGCAGCGATGGTGCATTTGAACAAAATAGAGAAAGAAGACCATTTGTTCACAGCTTTCTCTTACTTTGACAAAGATGGAAGTGGTTATATAACCAGAGACGAACTCCAACAAGCTTGCAAGCAGTTTGGCTTAGCGGACGTTCATTTAGACGACATTTTACGCGAAGTTGATAAGGACAACGTAAAATTACTTGCTATATTGCTTTGCTGTAGTTTACAATTGCAAGCACATTTTTTGGTTAATATAGTGTTATCTATTGTTATTATTGACAGGATGGAAAAATAGATTACAGCGAGTTCGTGGATATGATGCAAGACACTGGTTTTGGCAAAATGGGGTTAAAGGTGAGTTGATGATCAAACAGAGCAATGACCCCAATTTCAACCACTTTTTTTTTTCTTTTTTCTTTCTTAAAGCTTAATATAATCTTTTGCGGGATATACATGTATGGGAAGCTTGCATTAGTTTTCTTTGAGCAGGTTTTATCCACTGTATTCCCCATATAATTTATTTAGTATACAAGTTTCTCATTTCTTTAACTCTCTCCCTCGTGTGTCAGTCAAGTAGGAGAAAAATTGTATAGGTTACATCTCCCAGCGATACCAAAAATATTCATTGTCATTGTTTGTATATCTTTACTAGGTCAATGTAAAACTCGAGAACATCATGATACTCGATTATTCTATTTCTGTTCCATAAAATTACATGTTTTGTTACTTTCACAATCAATGTTTCAGTTATTATTTTTGTTTTTTTTTGCTTGTCACAAGATATAATCATAGGAAAAAAGTGCATATTTCAATCGTATTGCTAAATCAAATAATAGAAAAAATAAATAAATATGAAAGATAATTGATATCAGTCCTTGTAAAAATTCACAAAAAAAAATATATGTGAGATGCCGTAAAAATAGTGAAAGCAGTTTCGAAGTAAAAGCAAATAGTTTGACGTGTTCTGTCTTTCTTCTACTGGAAAAGATGGAGGCCACATGGTTGTGAATACGTCTCCACGTGTTACGAGATTCACTACGAGCTGTACACGTGTCAGATACACACGTCTTCTTTTACTTCATAACCCCCAACTGCCACTAAACCACAATCGTTTCTTGTTTCACACAAACCACTTCTCTCTTTCTCTCGTTCTCTTATTGGAATACCAAAAAACAAAAATGGGATCAGAGACTTTCCTGGAGATTATTCTGGCCATTCTTCTTCCTCCCGTCGGCGTTTTCCTCCGATATGGTTGTGGGGTACGTACTAATCACATCATTAGTTATACAGTTTTCTAATTGGTTAATCGAATTGTATGAATATGATGAGTTTAATATTAATGCAGGTAGAGTTCTGGATATGTCTGTTGTTGACGATACTGGGTTACATCCCTGGGATCATCTACGCTATCTACGTTCTTGTCGGATGATCACCTAATCATTCCTCTTCTTGTACAGTAGTTTCCATGATCTGATTTTAGCCTTTGCTTTGTTTCTCAATCACTCTTGTAATAAAAACTCTCTTCCCTTTTCGCTTTAAGTAATAGTACTATTTCTTTTAGCTTGTTTCCTATATTACTACGCTGCCACGATATTCACAACACAACGTATTGTAATATGCACTAAACCAACGTTGCGTTATATGACCGAAACCACCGTTGTTTAAGCAAGCGATGGATATTACATTTTGACCAAACCAACCATGCGTTCTGTGTTATTTTCATAGTAACGCGTTTATATATATATATATATAGTAATTGTGGTTCATATACATATCTAGCCGGCGATTGGGTTTTTGATGACGGTACGGCTTTCATCAACCCAAACCCTAACGCGGTCGCACCTGAGGTCATCAGGAACCCAAGTTCCAACCAAAATCACGGTAACTTGAAGGCTCGAGTTCTCTCCTTTGATAACCGAGGCCGCATAGTCTCCATTTGTTCCCAAAAGCTCCGGCCATGAGTTCTTCCCTGCAGGTGGACGACCAAAGCAATCACTTTAAGCCCACATATATCTAAAAAATGTTAGATGATATAACAATGTCAAATTATGAAAACAAATATAGTAACGGAGGATGAAAGAAAAACCAATATAAGGACACCAATTATGGGCTGCCATTTTTTCTTCCTCTTTTTTTGTTCACGTACTTCGCTATGATGTTATGCTATACGCTTGTCCTCAGGAAATCTGAGTCCAGTTTTATAGATTAACTAGGATTTATCGATGGGTGGTGTCTTTGAATTAGGTGTACTATATATTCTTTGTTAGATAAGCACGTGCATGGTGTAAAAAGGAGCGGTTCGTCAACTTAATTGGTAGAAACATTAGCTATGGAACACTTAAGGTATTTTGAATTCTTCAACATTATGTTTTTTTTTCAAAATACATTGAGTGCAACTAACCGATCAGACGAAAATTTCTTTCAGTTCGTTTTTGCTCCGAGTTTAGAACATGCGTATTTTTTTAAAAAAATTTGGGCCTTTGATTTTCTGAGAGCAACAAAAACAAGCCGAAGATGAAAAAAAGAAAAAAACAAGACAGCTGACTTATCCAACAAGAAACACAGGCTCAAAATGTTTACTTTTCCTTGTAACGCATCCCATACCAAAATATATCATTGATCGTTTTTTTTCACTTTCGCATCTTGCGTTGCCCCAAAATGGTTCGGTGTTCTTGTGTAGAAGAAGAAGTCTCAAGTTTAGACTTGTGTCTTCTTCTTCTGTTTGCTTCAACACCATTTGGTTCTCTATTTTCTTTCTCCCCGTTCTCCTCCTGTGTAACAAAAGTTAGTTAAGCTTTTTCTTCGTCATCACAATACTTAGCGTTACTAGATATTTGCTACGTTCAATTAATATGGGAGCATACCGAGTCGAAAAAACACATCTTTGGAAGTGGTAACCTCAAACCAGAGGATGATATCGTTGTCAAATCCTTGACTGCGTAACTTGAATATGTTGACCTTATGTTAGATTTTGATCCAGATTGTTCTTCAAACCCATGATTCTTGAGTTTTCCCTTATTATTCCTCCCTTCAAAACCATACAAAAAGATGTGCAACTTTTAAAGGTGTTTTTGTTGTATCTCGTGTTGAAGGAAAAAAAAAAACGAAGATGAAACATGTTCTCACCTAGCTCACTCGCAACACATTTCTTCTCCCGTGTAGCTTGACAAGGGGTCAAGGGTCTAGTCAAAGGTTTGGAGATGGAGGATGACGAAAAAGAAGAAGAAGAAGACACTTTTGGTTGAGGAATAAGACTCAAAGGTTGATCTTTCTTTTTGCACTCTTTAGTCCTCTTGACAAACAAAAATCAGAATATGCTAAGATGAAAGCAAATCATTTGATTATTATAAGAATACAAAAGTTTCTTGGGAATCCTTGTTTTACCTTTTTACTATCTGGTAACTTACGCTGGCTCTCTCGAGTTACAGTCTGCTTCACGTTCGATGCATTACGTAAAGAGGCTCTCAAATCGTGAAACAGATCAAACTCAATGCTCGACACAGAGAATCTGCTTCCTTGAGTTGTCGTGGTCATCGATTCATCAGCAGACTTGCGAAGCGGTGTGTTACTGGTGAAACCATTGTTCACAAGAGACAACTCCTCAGCATCAAGAACACCTTTAGCATAATTACGTTATGTCATCGTTCATTATACGATTTCAAAGCAGATCATTGGCTAAATTATATATATGAGATGCATATGAGATGCATAGTGAAATAATTGACTAATCAATAGCTTAGCAAATACAATTTTAAGAAAAATATATAATGCAAAACTAAATGGTAGTAATTAACATGATTAGTCAATATGTGTATAATATAACAAAATCATCTTTCAGAAACATGAAAATATGATGAAAACGTAATAAAATGTGAAAACGTTAAAACCACATAATTGAAGTAAAAAGATGAGACCTGGATCGGTAAAAAAAGCGTTGTCCCAAGCAAAACTTGGACGAGCATCAGTTTCCGTAGGAAGAAGTGTCTTGACAGAGTGCATATGGTTCACTTCATTCTCGTCGATCTTCAAGCTCCCAAACAATTCTTCAGGATCCAACACTCCTTTCACCAAAAAAATAATAAAAATTATGTATAAATTAGTTTTGGTCATGTTCACAAAAAATCTCTTAGAATATAGAGTAGAAACCAGAGTTGGTGAAGAAGGCAGCGTCCCAGGCCAAGCTTTTGCGATGATTCCGTTTACTCTCTTTAACTTTCATCGGCTTCGCGAAATCAACCTTTACTCTTGCTGCTGTGCAAAGTGAGAAAAGAGTGTTTCACAAATATATAATCAGTTTTTTTGAAATGATATAGAAAGGGGAAACAAAAAGGATGATCAAATGTCTCGTACTCGATGATGAATTAGCTTCTTGAGAATCCATCGTTCTTGTTTTTTTTGGTTCTTGATTTAGGTGAACAGGATTTTGAAATTAGAAGAAGTCCTTTATTATACCATAAAGAGAATTTAAAGGAGAGACAAAAATTTGAAGTTTGTAAATGGTTTACGTGATTTAAGCATTTGATTACTCTCTCAAAAAAGATTTAAATTCAAAGCAAAATTTATTGTTTGCGGTTTATATTCTTTTGTAGTATATATTTGAAACAATCAATTGCCTTAAATGTATTTCTATTCTATGCACCAAACATAGATAATTACTGTTACAAACTTATAAATTTAAGAATATAGTATAACTAAAAAATATATCTATGAAATAACATTTTTGACATATCTAGGAAGTGAATAAGAAACAAAAAGGAGCGAACATTGTACCTTCAAATTTTTCCTTTCATTCAATTTCAAACTGTTCTCAAATCTAACAGAGAAATCTTTAAATACAACCAACTAAACCAGAAATAGAAAACCAAAAGTTCAAACTAACACAACTGAGTTTGGAGTAACCCCGAAATAGTCGTCGATCAGCTAAGCTCAAATATAAACAACACACTGATCTCTAATTTCCCCTGCACCAGTTTAGAGAACTCCACGTTAGACAAACCGTTTTGGAATCCAGTGACAACTAATTCATACAGCAAGACAACAATTTATGACCAACATGATCAGCAAGTACAAGTTGTTATAATTTTAAGACTTTTAAACATGACATTTCTCACTATCCTACTATCCTCAGTTGTAATAAGTGAAGGTTGGATAAAAGAACCTACATGCTTATAAGACTATGCTCTTCATTTTGTGTACATGAGGCTATGTGATAGAGAGAGGAATTACTTGATCATTTGGTATTGTTCTTGATCTCTAGAGAGTTTTCTTGCAACTTCTTTCACCAGCTCTGTCATTGAATCAGAATCAGAATCATCAAGTCAGAGCCAGGAACAAAACAGGTTATGGCATATATTTGTCAAAATCATACCGGCATTTCTTCACCAGGAACACCCCCACCAGCATCTCTATTAGATCCATCTCCGCTCTTTCCTGATCCTTTATTATCCCCCTGTCATAATTTCACAATAAAACGTAAGACGCTGAAATGGAACTTCTCTTTGGGAAAAAACTAAAAATGTAGAAATGGAGTGTGTGATTTATTTACCTCCAACTGCATCAGCAGATGTATGTCAGCAACCATACCCGGGGAATGAAAAGAACCGAATTAGTCATGCGTTTAAGAAGCTTCTTGATTTATCGTGAGACAGCAAAAGCATACAAGAAAAAAGAGTACCAAAATGTCTACTATATTTTTTATATTTTTTCCAAAACAAATGCTTAGGGAGTCAAAGCAACATACCTCCCTGTACCTCGCAAGGTATATCTTTAGTGGTTCCAGGTAATCCTCAAATCCTAATGTTGCCATTGCCCACAACAAATCATCACCATTCACAGTTTTCCTTTTCTCTTTCTGACACTTATCACTGGCCCTAATTAGCAAAAAAATTAACAGATACCAGTTAACTTACCATTACAATCCAGAAATCAACAGATAACCAGCAAACAAACCAAACTCAGTTTCTGATTCTAAAACTTAAGATGGTAGGAGAAACTACATCATAGTTTAGGGGATAGGAATCTCATATTACAAGAAACAGAAAACTCATCAAACAAAGCCTAAAAGGCATTCAACACAGGCGATTCCTGCGTGATCAAAAACATGCCTGTCGACTTAAATGAACAAAAAAGGAAAAGAAGAAAACAAACAGATCCAAAGATATAAGAATCTTTGAACCAGATCAAGAAACACATTTAATCCATATCTGTCTAAGATGGTATATGAACACAAGTAACTCACTGACATTAAATGGATTATTGGACAACACTATAACTCCATTAGAAAATTCAATGATGTGGCTGCACAAAAAGTGAAATCAAACAGCTACAGAAAAACCTAGAACTTACGATTTGGCAAAAGAACGAATAAATTCCAACAATTTGTGTGATTAGAGCTCAGACATATTGACATAAACATAGTAGCAGCCTGATGAAATAATCTGCAAAATGATCCATAGAAAAGCAACTAGCTTTAGGCAAGCCCAATATCATCTTTACTCTATAACATCATAAGAATCTCTGAGCTAAACTCAATCCGTTGCTACTTTAAGAAAACCATATCTCACACATCAGAAGCTCCAGTAAAAACGAAGAAATTCCAACAATTTGTGAGATTATAGCTCAGATATATTGATATAAACATAGTAGCAGCCCGATGAAATAATCTGCAAAATAATCCATAGAAAAGCAGCTAGCTTAAGGCAAGCCCATCATCATCTTTACTCTAAAACATCATAAGACTCTCTGAGCTAAACTCAATCCGTTGCTACAAGCAAACCATATCTCACATATGAAAAGGTTCAATTTATTTTCCAACAAAAAGCAAAACACATTTCAAAAAAGGAGAAAACATACTCGCTAGTGATGAAGCTAATGAACTCAGAGACGCATTCCTGAACAGTGTCCTTAGCATCTTTGCCAATCTTTCCATTAGGAGGCAAGGCTTTCTTCATGATCCTGCTGATATTAGCTATAGGAAGGTATCGATCCTGCTCCCTAACCGAGCCGCCGCTTTCTCCTCCATCTCCAGCTGGGCTCGAAGGCGTATTATCCGCCATTTTCAAAACTTCTGCAGAGAGAAACAGAGAAGAAAACACTCAAAATCGTCGCGACTAAATGTTTCGATGAAGTAGATAAAATCGAAAAATGGCGTACGGGATTGAGGAGGAGGGGATAGTGATGAAACAAAACCCTAGAACTTGGAATTTGGGGGAGGGAGGGGGATTTAGAGATATCGAATTTTTCTTTACAATGAGGAAACTGAAACGCAGCTCCTTGTTTTTTTTTGGGGTGGCGACTGCTGTAATTATGATATTATTACACGTTTTCTTGCAATACTTTGCTTATTACATAAAAAGAAATCCACTTTTGAGTTTATTATGGGCAATAAACAGGATTATAATTGGTAATAACAAGATACTTAAGAAAGCAATTTGATGAAAGAGGGACTCTAAAAATTACTTTAGCATTTAAGCAAATCATTAAATACTAATGAAAAGAAATCTGATAAAAAAACAAATCATTAATAAATTTACCAAAAAAAAAAAAAAAACAAATCATATTTTTTAATAAAAATACCTAGAAAAATTCACAAAAAAAATCAGTTAACAAGTGTAATCAAACCCATCAAGCCATCAACGATCTTGTATTTTTGTGATTAGTGTTAAGATTGTTTATAATTGACTATGCTAGCCTCATCAAGCCAAAAATGCAGAAATACAATTCCAAAAAGCACTTTGTGTTTCCAAAATGCAGAAAGGTTTATAGAACGTAACAACCTCTAGTTATCTATAACTTGTGTTTCAAAGTTTTTCAATTTCAGCATGTATACGGTTATTTAATGGCGTTTAATTTGTTTGAGCTTTTTGCTTATTACTGTATTGGAACGGCAACAGTAATTTATTGACACCCTAAAGCATAGACACAAGGCACAAAGCCTGTAGGTTTTACTAGAATCCCTAAATGCTTACTTCGTATATGTATGTACAATACCATATATCAATCATATTATTAGATTGAATGTTAACTATGACTAAATTATTTAATCATTGTTGTTTGTCAAATCTACATAAATTGACATATACAGTATATAAGTTTTGGATTTCATGTTGGACACTTTGGTCATTGCAGCTGGCTAGGTGACAATTAAAAGAGTTGCAACAACAAATTTGACATATTGGATATTTTTGGGATATGGTGAAAACGTTTAAAAAATATATATATATCTGAAATTCAGATAGATAAGATCAAATGCAACATCACATACATATGTAAACAGAATCCAGTCATCGTTCATAACATTGTTTTCACATTCGTTTGTATTTTCAAAATTTCGACATTAATTATTGTCCTTGCCTTAGAAACCCAAAATTATCTTGTTCTCGATAAGGTTTGAATATATAAATATTAAGGGTCCAAAAAAAAAAAAAAAATGAAGAGTCAAAGCTTTTCTACCAAACAAATCATCAATTAATGTGAATGAATGGGGCATATTAATATAAAAGCTGTATTTTGTCAAAGTATTGACTTTGAATACAAATTATATACAGCCTCGCCAACGACGACACTGACACCAACATGGACGTATCCGACTCTCTATATATAAATGGGGCACTAGAAAAGCTCTATTACCGAATACATCGAAACAAAAGAGAGAAGTGAAGAAAAATGTCATTTGGGTGTACTGCAGGTAACTTCTTTTTGGTTTTGTAATTTTATAGTAATCATACTCCATAATTTGATCTTATTGCGGCTTTAATTGATTCTTTTTCTCGTTTAAATCAAATCATACAATTGTTTAGTAGTAAAACACCCTCTGTTTAATATTATAAATTTGATAATCCTCTCTCTCTCTCTCTCTCTCTTTTTATGTTTTCTGTTCAATACTATCTTTTTTGTTTGTCACCATGCACGTGCCATGTTACAAGGGAATTATGGCACACGCGTAATTCAAAGGATACATACACACGACGAGAATATAGTACTTAGCTATGAAAATATTGATTTTTCCCAAATATGAATGAGCTTATTAAATTAATTGATCTCTAAAAATGCCAAAAGTGAATTGATCAGTAATTAAACTAAATTCAACGTGGACCGCAGGTAAGAACTCGTGGCCGGAGCTTGTGAGGACAAATGGAGACTATGCGGCGTCGGTGATAGAGAGAGAGAACACCAGCGTCGATGCTGTCGTCATTTTGGATGGAAGTCCGGTGACCGCAGACATCAGGTGCGACCGTGTCAGAGTTTTTGTTGATAGAAACCGTATCGTCGTCAGAACCCCTGTGACCGGATAGTACGTCATCGCCCTATGGCTATATATATAGACGATGCTCTTGAGATCTCTCATCTATTAAATAAGTATCGTTTGCCTGAATAATTTCGGTGTTCGTTCCCCGGAACGGTTACTGATGTCGTAAGTTTATATAAATCAATGTATGTGTGTATCTGTTTCACGTGAGTGAAGTTAGTGTTCTTCCTATATATATACACTACTATTTAAGGCATGGATGCCCTATTTAGTATATCAGCTGGTTGATTCACATACTACATATAGAAAAAAAAAAAAAAACTGTAGTAGTGTTCAATTATAACGGGTAACGAAATTTAGATATTAACAGACCATTTTGAAAGCACACCGTGTCACGACATACAAATTTTAGAAAATTAGTCATATATATATGATTTAACACACAGGGTGTTTCACACATACACATCTCATGAGGATCCCCATAAGGCTATATAACCCAATCATTCTACATACTAGCTTGTCCGGATTATATTCCAGGCTCTCCCAAGTCTAGGTTCTTTGTAGCAAAAACTCCCCCCCAATATTCCAAGCTTACCAAAACCTATAAGCTCCTAGCATACCAAACTCCCCATAGTCTAGATTTTTCGTAGCCCAAACCTTTCCACGATTAAATTCCATGTTAACATGCTACATACAGTCCAAATTCCTTGTAACCCATATATATTCCGCCCAGTCCAAGCTCCTTGTGGCCCATTATTCTCTAGATCACGACTCCACGAACATGAGATTCATCATGTAGCTCCAGTTCTCTCCATAGTCTCTCAAGATCGATTTCGTAAACAAAATTTTCATCGCTCTATTATATTTTCTGAACGTTAACTCACACGAGTCATGTGCATTAAATCCATACATGACGTATAGTATAGAGAGCTTCCAAACAAAGTTAAAGATGCCATTATATATATATATATATATCACAACCAATCTACACAAAAGTGTTATATTACACCCACGCCAACTCTAAGTGCATGGTTAGATGTAAAGATTCAAAACATGGTATACAAAGTCATTGCCCATTCCTTTACGTATTCAAAATAATGTAGTAGATGACCGAAATTATATTACCATCAAAAGTTATGATATTTGTGTTCACTTTATAAAATTGTAAACAGAACCTAGCTAGTCAGCATTCATAACATTGTTTTCACCTTTGTTTTTTTTTCAAATATTTCAACATTAATTGTCTTTCCCTTAGAAACCTAGATTATATATCTTGTTCTTGATAAGGTTTGAATTTGGTGCACAAAAAAAAAAAAAGAAAGATAAGGTTTGAATATCGATTATATAATTATACTGTTCAAAGCTTTACAATAAACAAATTGAAGTGTCAAAGCTTTTACCAAACAAATCATTAGCAAATCATAAAAAGCTTGTGTTGTCAAAGTTTTGACTTTGAATATAAATTATATACAACCTCACCGACGACACCGACACCAACATCGACATATCCGACTCTATAAATGGAGGACTAAGTCCTATAGCGAATAAATTCAACACAAAACTACAGAGAAGAAAAGAAAAATGTCGTCAGAATGCGCTGGTAAGTTTTTTTTGGTTTGTAATTCTATAGTTCATACTTCATAATTGATCTTACTGCGGCTGTAATTTATTTTATTTTTCTCGTTTAAATCAAATCATACAATTTTTTAGTAGTATAATATTATAGTTCTAGTATTGTTGTTTCCTCAATAATCTCTTTTTGTTTCTAAGCTAATGTTCTTTTAACTAAAGTTGACAAACCACCATGCACGTGCTATGTAACAAGGAAAATATGGCACACGCGTAATTTCAAAGGATCCACCAAAATGAAACTTTGATTTCAAACATAAGACATAACTTGTGAATAATTACTAATTAGTTACGCTCAATGTATATATCTCAGTTTGTAGTTTATATATGCATTTAGTTTAGACAAATTAAAATTTCCGAAGATTCGTAATACGAGCTAATATATGATCTTGCATTGAGGTCAAGCTATGGTGACGTTTGTGTTTTGATTTACCCAAAACATGAGATTATTGATCTCTAAAATACCAAAAGTGAATGATTGACCGATCTAAAGTAACGTGGACCGTATGCAGGTAAGAACTCGTGGCCGGAGCTTGTGCGAACAAATGGAGACTATGCGGCTTCGGTGATAGAGAGAGAGAACCCTAGCGTCGATGCTGTCGTAATTTTGGATGGAACTCCGGTGACCGCAGACTTCAGGTGCGACCGTGTCAGGGTTAGGGTTGATAGAAACCGTATCGTCGTCAAAACCCCTGTCGCCGGCTAGACATGTATCATCATTACTATGCCGCCTAATATATAGATGAATAAAGAAAGCTATAGTCTATATATAGACGATGCATGATTGGTTAGTTAATTATGTATTAAATAAGTATCGTTTGCCTGAATAATTTCGGGATCGGTGTTCGTTCTCCGGGCGGAACGGTTACTGATGTCTAAAGTTTTATATAAATCAAAGTATCATGTATGTATCTGGTTTCAAGTGAATGATATTAGTGTTCCTATATACTACTTAAGGCAGGGATTAGTATTTAAATTTATGTCCTATTTTAGTAGATCAGCTAGTTGCTCCAAATACAAACAAAATATATAAAAAGAAACTGTTGTGTTCAATTAAACCAAGTACAACGGTCAACGAAATTTTAGATATTAGCAGACCATTGTGGAAGAAGCAAAAAAAATAAAAATTGAGGTACAAGTAAATTAAAGCCAACCGTGTGAAATACAAATTTTAGAAAAGTTAAGTCATATACATATGATTAACACAGGTTTATGAGATCTATTTTCTTTACTAATAATAGAACGCATGGTGTGTGATTGTTAATTCCCCCACCTTCCAAGCTTACCAAAACCTAAGCCCCTATCCAAACTTCCCATAGTCTTAGATTTTTCGTAGTCCAAAACCTTTTCACGACTAAATTCTATGTCCATATGGTTCATGCAGTCCAAATTCCATCTATACTCCCACTAGTCCAAGCTCTTTGTAGCCCAAATTCTCTAGATCCAAATTTCTCGAACATGAGATTCATATAGCTCGAGTTCTCCATATAGTCGAGGATTTCGTAAACAAAAAGTTTCATCATTCTTTTAGATTTTCTGGACGTTATAAGCTAACTCACAAGCCATGTGCATTATTAAATGCGCATACACGGGCATACATGAATGACGTATAGTATAGAGAGCTTCCAAACAAAGTTAAAGATGTCAATGTATCACATTTACACAAACGTATTATATCACACCCACGCCAACTCAAGTCGATAGTTGTAAAGTATCAAAACATGGTATACAAAGTCAATGCCCATTTCTTTACGCAGATACCAATTCACCAAAATATAGTAGATGGCAGAAATTATATACACCATCAATAGCTATGATTGTCCACTTACAAATTAAATTGTAACACCAATATAAAATTGGAATAGTGGTACGTAATATGGACCAGTCGCCGCTTAGACTTTGAAACTGTCTAAAAAGGTAGGTACAAATGAGTAGGTGGGTGGATACAAAGTTATCACATGTCAAATCTTATGTCTATATATATAAACATGAAGAGATTCTTTGTGTCTAAATAAGATTAGTTCTTCGAACATTTGGTTTATCTTTTATCAAATACAGAAAAAACATTTAAGCAAAATGGGATCGTCGACGGTTCAGAAGTCAGCTTTGCTGTTATGTGGAGACTACATGGAAGCCTACGAGACCATGGTTCCTCTCTACATCCTCCAATCGTTTGGCGTTAGCGTTCACTGCGTTTCGCCTAACCGCACCGCCGGCGATCGCTGCGTTATGTCTGCCCACGATTTCTTGGGTCTCGAGGTTCCAAATTTTCACCACTAATCGCTGATTTTTTTTTTTTTTTTAAGTAAGTACTAATCTCAGTTTTTTTTTTCTGTTGTATTAAAAAAAAAAGCTATACACCGAACTAGTCGTTGACCAGTTGACTTTGAACGCTAATTTCGATGACGTCACTCCTGAGAATTACGACGTCATTATCATCCCAGGAGGGCGATTCACGGAGATTCTCAGCGCCGATGAGAAATGCGTCGACCTCGTGGCGCGATTCGCCGAATCGAAGAAGCTCATCTTCACGAGCTGCCACAGCCAGGTTATGCTGTTGGCGGCCGGAGTCCTTGCCGGCGGTGTGAAATGCACGGCGTTTGAAAGCATGAAGCCTCTGATCGAGCTCTCCGGCGGCGAGTGGTGGCAGCAGCCTGGGATACAGAGCATGTTCGAGATCACCGATTGCGTTAAAGACGGGAATGTTGTGAGTATGGTTGGTTGGCCTACGCTTGGTCACGGGATTAAGGTTTTGCTTGAATCTCTTGGTGCCAAAGTCTCGAGCTTGAACAAGGATCCAGCTTCTGTGCTTTTCCTCATTGGGGTGAGTATTCAAATTCAATTTCCTCAGTAAAATGTGAAGTCTTTAGTGATTTCAATCTTGTTTTCGATCATCAGACTCATTGAGCATTACTTTGTGTTGTGTTGGGTTTTAAAGGACTATGTAGAAGATTATGGGGTCAATATACCATTTAGAGCACTTCAAGCTTTAGGTTGTAAAGTGGATGCAGTGACACCAAACAAGAAGAAAGGAGAGGTGTGTGCAACGGCGGTTTATGACTTTGAGGAGGGACGGCAGATCCCTGCAGAGAAGCGTGGGCATAACTTCTTTGTGACTGCATCGTGGGATGATGTGTGTGTGGATGATTATGACTGTGTAGTGGTTCCTGGAGGGAGATCACCTGAGCTACTGGTGATGAATGAAAAGGCCATTGCTTTGGTTAAGAAGTTTGCGGAGAAAAATAAGGTTTTTGCTGCTATTGGACAGGGTAAATTGCTTCTTGCAGCCACTGGTGTTCTTAAGGTAAGACATTTTACTTGTCATTACTTTTTGAGGTTTTAGCTTAAACTTTAAGATGAGCTCTGTCAGAAGAGTATAATGTAGTTGGAGGAAATGGTATTTGCCTAACTCTGGATCACGAAATGTGATGCTGGCTTTATACAATATGTGTAATCCTATAGTACTGAATCGTGATTTATGTGCACTGACAATAGAAATGTGATGCTGGCTTTATATGTGTAAAGGTAGATTGATGATACAATGGGACATCCCGATGTAACAATGCTTATATAAGTCCTGCATCTCTTGTTACAATGTGGAATCTCGTAAGATTTTCTTGGTTATTAGATGTTTCTCTTTATGAAAATTTGCAGGGGAAGCGATGCGCGAGTGGGAAGGGGATGAAGGTGACAGTGAAGGTGGCTGGAGGCGAGGCTGTGGAGTCAAAGGGATGTGTAACTGATGGGAAACTTGTGACGGCAGCATCAGTCTCGGATTTGCCTGCCTTTTTGTCTGGTTTATCAACTGCTCTTGGTGTCTCTGTCATGTTCTAAGATTTTGCAAACCAAATTTGTACCACATCTTTCAATTCGCTCAACTGAAGTGGAAATAAAAAAACATAAGAGCTCGATTCGATTGTAGTCTCTCTGCTTTCGTAAAGTTATTACATCCCAAACATAATTAGTTGCTGCTCCTTGGAAACTTCGAGCGGGTGGTTTATCAAGGTGATTTTGTTTCTGCTTCTTCTTCTTTTTGACTGAACAAAAACAGTTGGTTTCGCATAGGATACAGTCTAAACTATTGAACCCCTAATCAAAACCATGAAACCCCATGTTAGATCAATGCATCATTCATGCATGCTTTGAGTTCGAAATAGTATACAAAAAAATAGAAGAACTAATATATATTTTATGAATGTTTGCAAAACGGTTAATGAATCCAACGTGTTGAATCAAAATTACAAGACAGATCTTCAATTGTCTCTGCTTATACAATGAAACAAAACTTCTAATTGGTTTCCGAAGCTGTCTACTGCTCAAACCTGATGAGATAGATGCATAACCTTAATTACTGTATTAGAATTTTGTTATGGTTTTATTTATTTTTTCATCTTTCCTGCTTATCTAATCTTTTTTTATTTTGGTAATAGCTTACCTAATCTTTTAGTAATCATGTCTATATATTTTTCTTAGTTTTCTTTTTTGTTCATCCTCCATATATTCCAATTCACCTCTATAGCAAAAAAGGAAAGAAAGACGAAATATGTAGAAATTAGTAACGACCGACAACACATTTATGGTATATTACTATATTTCATTCTCTCTTTTCTTTTGTTTTTTACTTTTTTTTAACAATGGAGGCCCTCTACTTTTTATCTATATATAGAGAATGATTCAGTTGATAATTCTATATTTCTACAAAGAAGAAGTGAACACATCCCCGATCTCCTAACTACGAAAAGTTAGAAATTGCTTCAACTACGTATAACCATATTAGCAAAGGTTAATATATCTTTTTGCTCTTCAATTGTTTTTGCTTACCTTTGGATTTTTCGTGACAAAACATAATTTTCTTTTGTTCTATAATTATCATTCACAGGTTTTAGCCATGAATCTCGGTTTTGTATCAATGGAATCTGTTTGGTCACTTCCAAATTTTCTACTGTTTCTAGTACTCTGGACATTGATCAACATCTATGGCCAGCTACTTGACCACTGGATCACTTCATCTTACCCTAAGATTAGGTGTTTTATAAGGGAGCAACTTGAGGAATCCAAACTATTTGCAATAATAAGAAGGGAACATGTCGTCATCTGCTTGTTCATCCTTTTTGAAATTGCAGATTTGGTGCGCTTGGACACTACTGTCTTCTGTCGTCAAACCAAAGCTTTTCTTGTGGAGGAGTTTGTTTGCAGAATTTCGTGGGACACCGTTGCTTTATTAGGAGTCATAGCTATCATTCAACCAAATATGATTATAGTTAAATCCTTCCATGACAGTGAAACGGAGACAGAAGATGGGAATTTTAATGTTTAGCTGCTTGTGGTTTGTTCTTTTGTTTAGTTTATTTATTGATGTGCGTACTTTGTTTCCACTATTAATGACTTGAATTGAATAAAATAAAATTGAAACATACTCTACGGTTTGTTAGCTAAGCCCTGGTTGGGAGGGTATAAAAACAGATTCGGATTCGGATCATATATGTATGTATATAAAGTTAAACATTACAAATGCAATTTTTCTGCAAATGGTACAATCAAACCAACTTGGATCGATCAAATCATCCTTCTTCATTCTTCTGCGTCCAAAAATTTGGTAGTAACGGGCAGAGAGCTTCGGATGATAAAAACAACGAGCATGCCCGAGATGATGCTATAAGTATTAAGGGGGTGGGAGGAGGAATGTGTTTGTTTTTTACTCAGACCGTTCCCTACTCCGGCCATTCTTCTGGTTGTTGTACAGCGGAAGAAGCCAGCGAGCCCCGTGTTTCCTCTTTCCATAACACCGCCAATAAAGCACACAAAGTGCAATTATGCAGACTATGGGAATCGCCCATCTATTCACCAAAAACATTAAACACATTTGGTTTAGCTGAGAGAATGAGAGAAGTTTGGCCAGAGTTTGTGCAAGACTTGTTTTGTTACCTGTCCAAGTCGAGAACGGGACTATACACGACATTTTCCCATGTCCCAACGATGAAATGCCAAACAGGGTTGTAATAAAGAGCTTCTGCTGTCCAGAACATTCTTGTGTATGTCTCCAAGAATATGAAAAGTATCCACGCTGCCATTTCTAATAAAATGAATTTTATTATAAACCGGCCCACAACCACCATTACAAGAGAGAACCCAACCAGCCAGTTGAACAGCCTGTTATTGTATTCTTTGATGAACAAAGACCGTGACTTCCCCATCATCTGCACAAAAGATCTAAGGTCAAATTGCAATTCAATACTTCCCCGCATAGCATAGACATGATATATATTACCTTAGTTAATCTTTGCTCATAGTTTTGTTTCGAAGGACCAACACATTGCTGCTCAAAAGTTTGGTTGCAGTACACGAAACCTGCATTAAATTTAGCCATGGAAGGAAGTCGCAGAGCCTGTAAGTGGTCCATGTCATCTTCACACCTTGTATATAGGGTCTCACAGAGCTTCGATGATTGGTATTCATTTGCAAGAACAAAATTCTTATATACCTGGACATAATATTTCCAGGGCACAAAAATGTATAAGAAGATAAATTTGGAAATCTTATTTCTAAGTAGACTACCAAAATACAGTGTTCAGAATCATTCCTTTGTTTCTATCCACTAAGCTAGTGTCTGAAAAGTTAAAAGCCCCACTTAATAGCAAATTCATATTAACATAGGGATCCATACCTCCTGCATTTGTTCATCCAACTGATCGACAGATTTCTTTGCATGCTGTCTACCAAAATGCTGTGCATCAAATGCTTTAATAGCTTCATTATGTGCCGTTTCATGGGCACTATGGAGAGATTCTTCAGACATAGGTAGCCTCAATCCTACCATCCTCTCATTGTACAGCTTCACACAGCGCTCAACAATATCTTTATTGAAAACCTCTACTAGTGATCCTGTTGATGGGATCTCTCCTTTATTTAACGCATCCAATATCTACAAAGCAGATCAATCAGAATCGGAATATATCAAGACACCATTTAGCAAGCATAGAAGGCATATCACAGAAATCATATAAGCCATTATTTTAGTGCTACATATCAAATATCTAGTAACAAATCCATCATTTATAAAGATATGCACACATAAATTGATATGTAAAGGGTACAAAAGAGTATAATATCAAGGAAAACATGACCACATAATAAAGGAATCTATCAATGTTTATGCAAATATTACACGACCAGGTTACCGCGATAACTTTAAGTAGCCAGGAAATACAGCCATCCATGAAAAGATATGTAAGAGCACCAAAAAAGTAGACATTTGGTCCTTCTGATTTTCTCAATGACACGCTTCCACTCATTCATATAAAGTGTTTTGAGAAATTCAAAGAAATGAAGCCAGACAGAAAAGAGATTGACAATCACCTGTTCCAGGAAAGAAATAAATTCCTTCCCATTTAGCATTTTCCCCTGCACTATCTTTGGGCGGATAATACTAGCAACAAGTTTCTTCAATTGATCACGCCTTGCAACATAAGTAGAGTCCAGGTCCTCATCCTTCAGATCACATAGCTTTGTCCGCATGAGATGAGGCTGTATACAAAAAACAAGGAATAAAGTTATCACAAACTAGATCACCTATCTACATACTAGCTAAAAAAAAAAAGAGTATGGAATACTCCATGAGTCAGATCAGACAATCATTTTGAATATTCCACATGGAAGAAAAAAGAGAATTTGCTCCCAAGAACTTTGGAAAATTATAAGGATTCACAAGCACTGAAAAGTGGGGCTTTTGTGCACGTTTCAGCATGACTAAAGGTAACAACCACACCAAAAAAGTTATTTATTCGCAGGCAACTCTGCGAAGACATTCAAATATAATACATAATTTTCATGCAAAACGATATTCATGTTGATTAAAGTTTCCATGTTCTGTATTTCTTGTGAAAAAAGGCTGGAAAATATGCAAAAAAAGAACATACAAATCCCTTACCTGTGGTAAGCTAAACGCTGTGCTGTTGTCACCCATTATCGCCAAGGAATCCCGAATCTGGTTAACCTGAAAAATGTGATAAACAAGATTAATTTCTGAGATAAGAATGAATATTACTTGTACGATGCAGAATAAAAGACAACATACCTGGTCAATATTTTTGTTACCTGAAAACATATGAAACAAAATTAATCAATTAACAAGGTGGGCTGCTAGTAAGAATTGGTCTAGACGACATCAGTTAAAGAATAGAAAAGAACTCTAACCATCTTCATTAGGGACATGTCTGAGAGCTTCATCCACCATTTGCTTCACCGATTTCCCTTCTGCACAACGTTGGAATAGTGTTAATAATGAACAGCTCACTTGCATAAATTACAAAAAAAAAACTGGAATATTGAAATGGATCCCACAGGACCAGCGGCACACACAATAGGCAGTGATTACATAGAATTCAAGCACTATTTATATTGAACTTTTATGAAAGTTGTTGTCAAAAGAACTATGCACTTACGCAGAAAATCACGCTGGATAAGCCACAGAAGCTTTGATGGTTCAAAAGCAACATCTTCACCCTACAGGATATGAAAAATTAGAAACAGAAATTTTGAAGGTTGCCATGGATCAAGAATAACAGCAGCATCAGGGTGTACCTTTACTCTGCCAATTGAGTTGCATGAGCCAATGAAAATAAAACCCAGTCAGTATTCATAGAGGCCGAGATATATTAAACAAGATAGAAATGCAGAGTACAATTGAGCAAACCTTCCGTAAAATTCTTCGGCCAACTCAACAGCAAAGGAGAGCCGAGAAATGTCAGCTTCACGGATCTGATGAGAACTCATATCAGAGAGAGAAATGTAGATAAAGTTCTTTTAAACACTAGCTACTTGGTTACGCATCCATATTTGTACACTTCCTACTATAATTCACGAGCGGATACACTATTGCTCGAGCTTGCATGTCATAAAGCGAATCAAGCCAAACATGATCAGGATACCTATTCCGCATTGTTTGTGTTCGACAAACATTAAAAGACTAACAAGGGGGAGGGGGGAAATGGTATAAATCCTGAGGTGAATAAATTCGCTTTAGTTACTAAGGCAAAATAATATATATTTTTTTTGTCACAAGACTCATAACCAAGGCAAATGAATGTTTTAAGAAATTTTATTATGATTGCTACGTTGGAAACATCGCATGGAGTTGTTCGATACCCTATATTTCACTTTTAGGGAAAATCCTTCTATAGGATGAACCACCTAGGTCTATCAAAACGCTTTGGTCTTTGATTTTAGTAATGACATGATCGCCGACATGATATACAGAAACCTCTCTAAGGTTTCACTCTCTTTGGGTATAATGTAACTAGATGCCTAAGCAATCCGGACAAACAGAGGTGCGACAACTTACAGTTTCAGGCAGATTATAGATAAGCACAGAACTCATAACAGTTGCCAGAGCAAAAATCCTGAAAATTTACAAAGAAATGTATTAGATTTTCAGAGGCTCGGCAAACAAAAAGTTTTTATGAGCATAAATTGAACCGTCTGGGTACCGGTCATCATAGACATTGGACTTGCCAACACTTTCGAATCCTTCAGTGTCCAGGTAAATTACGGAAGTTTTGACTCCATCAATCTCCAGCTCTAATGGTGTTCCCCAGACCCAAATACCTGTATACAACAATACAGTGGATTCCAAAAAAAAACAAAAAAAATTAACCTCAATTAGCTAGAATATATATGGAAATCCATAGCTAGAATATATATGGAAATCCAAAGATGATATTTTCCTCAAGACAGTGGGGCTATACCTTTTGTTTTGGTGTCACGCATATGTCCAACACCAAAACCTGATGAATTTGAATATATCTTAAGTCAATGTTCAGCACCAATGATAGAAGTAAAATGTGAAACCCAAGTGTATGAGATAAGAAGCACCTTCATAACAGGAAAGGGAAAGAAGCTGATTGAGTAGAAATGACTTTCCAGATCGATATGGGCCAATCACCTGCATAGGGAATTAGAAGCAAGAAGTTAAGAAAAAAGCAACAAACTTCTTACTCCGGAAAAACCAGGTTCAGAAAGAAAGAACATACAAATAATTGATAATGAGTCAAACATCACTCTCACATACCGCAACAGCAGAAATAGGAGTTGTAATTCTGCTAATTGCTTCCAAACCTTCTCTGCTAAGCTGAAGCTTGGTATGACCCGGAGCAGGTTCAACGATAGGAAAACTGCAAAAGCAATTGGAATTAAGAAGACACATAAAAGATACTCAACAAGTGTTCGCCCATCACAGATAACTAATCAACAAAAGCTGTTAAACAAACCACATCAATGGATTGCCCATCACAACTACAACAATGTGGCTATAACAAACCAAATAATTCAGCTTATATGGCAATAGACGATACTACATTATCAAGAAGATTCATGGGTTCTCATGTAAGAAAGACAAACAAAAAACCTTTCTTTCCTACCAGATTGCAATGAAACAAAAACCATAGGTTCAATAATTAGTCTACAAAATGAGATCCATTGCTACAATGTAATTCATTTTACCATGGCTGCAACTAGAAGATGGTGTACGATAGTCCCAGAATCGAAAAGAAGAAGACTTTAACCCAAAAGTCTGTAGTTATTTCCTCTTAAGAAGAATATAAATCTGAGGAGGGGGAAATGCAAGAAAGAAGAGGAAAGAAATAACACTTACGCCTGATGAAAATTCTCGATCGAGGAAGAGGTTGACGACAAGAGACAGAGAGAGAAGAAGAAAACAAAGGTCCGGCTCGAAATCTCCATGATTATTTTGACCAAGATTGAACACGATCCGTTATGTACCCGGTTGCCGTTACAAGTCAAATACGTGGGAATTGAGACAAGACCCAGACTTTTAGGATGAAGAAGAAGAAGAACAAGGAGAAGGAGAAGGGATCTTGGAAACCTGGGGAGGTGGGTGTACGTTAAGAATCGGTGCACCCGCAGAGAAGGTTGCACGGGATCTTAGTTTAGGCGGAGGAACACTTAGGCTTCCTTCCTAGCAAAAGCGGGTAATGACGAGACCCAATTTAATTGTCGATCTGACCCGAAACCATTACTAAATTATTAAAATCCAAAGATGTGCTGACTTGGCTTCTCTCGAGGGGTGTTAATATTTAATTTGTAGCATGCTTAGGTAAGCTTATTTAGCTTATTCAAAAGTCAATTGTAATTTGCAAACATATGCTTCAAACCATGACAAATTCAACTACTACTCTCAGTGCCGGGATATTGAGGATGTACCCAAAAAACAGGAAACAAAAAAAGATTTAGAATGATGATGAAAATATCTTCATCATGAGTTATAAGTATTCCTAATCCTAACTAAGTTATCCAAAATATTACTTAGTGAACTGAGCTTAAACATGAGTTATTTAGTCCCAAAAGAAGATAAATCCAATCAATATATACAATACACACAAAAGAAAGGTTCACAACGAGCTCAAATATGAAAAATCGATTTTTAGACGATTCTGCCTGATACAGAATTGTTCTCTCGCCAAGACTCTCACTTGCTTTAGATACGAACCTATCTCTAACTCTCCTCTCGCCGCAGCTTCTTCAAGTACCCTCAACACATCTTCAATGGCGTCGTCTTCTGCCATTCCTTCCACCTCCGGTTCAGTTTCGAACATTTCTTCGATTCCCATATCCATTGACGCTGATTTCGTCAGCTTACGATAGTTCGTCTCTGCCCAGTCCTCCAAAACATTGGAATCATCTTTAAGCTTCAAAGCTCTCACCTTTAATGTCTCTCTCTCGTTCTCGAGCTCAGTGATGATCGTTTTAACCGATTCGGATCTTTGTTTCACCTCTGATTGCAGTTTCCAGAGGTTTTCAATCTCTTCTCCTGATCTCTCCATAATTGTTAGAACGTCGTAGTGGAGGCTCGTGGCTAATCGATCTAAGGCTTCGATCCTCGAAATTGATAGGTTCCGGGTTGGGATTGAATCCGTGGGTACAAATGGGTGATCATTAGCGAGAACTTTCCTGAGGTTTCGAATGGAATCGAGTAAATTGCATCGTGGGTATTCCCATGTCTCGATGTATCTAGAGTTTGTGAATCCTGAAGAATTGACGAATGGGTGGTTGGTGCGAATTGGAATCGAATCAGGGTTTATAAACACTAGAGGAGGCGTCAATGGGTAGTTTTCGTGAATCCATATGGTTACTTGCACGGTTGGGAGTTGTATTGGGGAGCTTCGAGTACGTAGAGATCCTTCAAGGCAGAAGAGTTGAACTTTGGCTCCGTTGTTGTGATTGAAAGTATCAGTTGAGAGCTCGAAATTTGGATAGTCTTGGAGGAATGAAGTCAGATGCTTTCTGATTAGCCATTTCTGATCAGGATCGGTGTAGGACAGAGCAAAGGAACCGGTGGCAAGAAGGGCTTTTTCTATGAATTTGACTGAAGAAGATGATGATGATGATGCCATTCAAAAGGTTAGTGACTTTGAGGCTAAAGCTTGTTCTGTGCTATTTATGACGTTCGTTCGTTTTAAGTTCTTCATATTATTGTTTTATAATATGAAATGACTTGAAATGTTTTGGGTCAAGCAAGCTTCGAGAACAAGTGATCGTGATTGTTCTATACTTCTATTGTTTCGTGGAAGTTTACATTCTTGGAAAAAAGACACTTGTACTAATTGTCTTTTTCTCCTTTGTTAGATTATTCTATTAGGTTTTGTCACTGGATCATTGATTAGGTTTGTATGTATTTAATTAAATTATCCATTTTGGCTTGTTTTAACTTCACCAATTTTTTCTCAATACTTTAATTTGAAGCTAAAAGGGTTTTGGCTTGGATGTGTTGTTCTTTTTTGTAGCGAGTTTCAGTATTAAGGGTCCTAATTCGGAAAATTAAGTTCTCATATCATGAAGCCTTTTCCTTTAGTATAAACACTTGATGACCAAGTAGCTGAACAGTCTTTAAGTCTTTTTGTATGTTGAAGGACCATCAATGCATTTATAAAAAATATTTTGTTGTGCTGTGCTGTGCACTCTCGTTTGTTCCTCAATGAATTCACGTCTCTCTAGGACTCAAGTCTAATTTATATCTGACATGGTTAATTAGGTGGTTTGGGTCACTCTGCTAACTCTGATGATGTGCTTCTCCAAATTTATCAGCTTTGTGCCTGGACATTATATTTCAGTTGTAGTTGCTTCGGTATAATTTCACTTCAGATTTTACTGGTAGTTGATGTAATTTAATTGTTTTTTGCCACCTTTTTCGTTCAAATCTTGATGAACAATTTTGTTAATCCAAGCTACAAGCTGTGACAACATCGTTTCCTTATTTTTCTCTTTTCAGATTTGAGACAATTCTTGGATACGTACATGTTGTGGTGAAACTATGCAGGAGTAATTTGCTGAAAGGAATAGGAAAAAGTTAAAAGACTCCAAGCCCGAAATCAATACGTTACAAACCATCATGGTACGTTATCATTCACCATCATTATATAATAAGCCTCAGGATATGTACCTATCTTCCGATCATGCGTCTTCCTATCATGCGTCTTCGTATCATGCGTTTTCTTTGTCTCGAGCATGATATTTTTTTCTTTGTCCCATTGTCCGGAAAGGTGTTCCTTTTTCTTCTCTAGATGCTTCACCTTTTGTTTGAAATCTTTATATATATTCTTTGCATATTGCTTTATTTGCAGTTCTTCTTCCCAGTCTTTTTGAAGTTTTCTGGTTAGCTTCTTAAGAACCTAGTTGATTTCCAAACATCATCCCGTTAGTCTAAATTAAGATAGACTAATGCTCAAATGAAAGGAGCTAAAAGATCTTACTTTTAATTCCAGCTCCAGAGAATTCTTCAAACTGTCTTGACTTGTGGGGTTACAAACATCTTTCAGGAGATCTCGTCCAGCTTTTCTGCTGTCACTTCTTGGCATTTTTTTCCGGATGCAGTTTAGCTATTAATATATTTAGACAAAATTTCAGAATGGTTCGGGTATGTGAACTATGAATCTTGGGGGCATTTTAAGCTTAACAATAGTAATTATACCTCTCTGCTAAATTCTCTGAATTCGCGTTTTCCTTCGTAGTCCAGCTCTTGAAATTGTGCTTTTTGATGAAGTAATGAGAATTGCTGGCTCTAAATATGCAGAGAAAATTCAAGGGTATGTTAGATATGACAGATATTCGCTGTCTATTGAGCTTGTTCTCGTGTTTCTAAGATCATAATGATATTGGGCATTTACATGATCAATGGTTTCTTCTGCTGTTTCTCCTTTAGGTAGCTTGTCAAGAGCCTTCTGTAATTGCTCTACCAGGTTGTTGCAGCGGTCAATGTAGTCTGCAGCCAAGCGACTGCTATTGACAGCACGCCTTTTCTCATCATATATGCCCCACGACTGTGACTGCCCATAAGTATAAATCATTTCAACGACCATTCTTTGGGTGGCAAAGTTTCAGGGTTTAATGTTTTGAAAACTCACTCTGATTTCTGTGTACTTTTGGCTTGTGTGGAGATAATCTTGTTCCACTTTTTTGAGTCGCTTCTCAGCTTCTAAGTTTTGTTTCCTCGATTTGTTGTCATTATCAATAACAACAACAGTGGAGATTTCGTTGATGCCTTGATCAGGATCATGATCATCCATAGCCTCTTTGGTTTGTCGTTTATGGATTGTCACCAAAGAGCTGACTTCTAATTACTATTAACAAAATTCTTGAGACGATCTTTAACTCGCAAGTACATTGTTCTTTTATAATCGTTATAAATAATCAGAATCTAAACACAAGCCAGTATTAAATTGATTAACGAGGGTCTTGCTCCCCACGCCAAGGCATTTCATATCTTATTATAACGAGGAGTATCTAAATTAATTATTCCATATGCAACGAAATGCTTGACATCACATACTTACATTTTCATTTATAATATAGTCAAGTGTTGTCATTATATAGTAAATGTAGCAACTCGATATAGTAAATATAGTAAACACATAAGGTAATTAGAATGCTATTAACTCTCACAAAGCAAGCACAGAGTTGGATGGATCACTCTCCCTTACAACCCAAAAAAAAAAGACCAAGGGAAGACGCTTATAGGCGTGCATGGATCCTCTGTTACATACCCTTAATATCAAAAACTATAAGGGATTCAAAATACTCCTACACCTCATACCTCTCTAGAAGGTTATGTCACATATATATAAACAAACCTTCAGACACCAAAGACTATGGATCCTATCGATCCAGTTATCATATCTACTGATTCCTGTTTGACTTCTTCATCTGAGTTTTGATCTGCACGAACATAAGAAGACAGCCACTTGGATTTCACATACTCAGCTCTCCTCCATGGCGGCACATGTAGTCCTTTCTTCTTCAAGCTCTGTTTTGCGGCTTTACATATCAGAACGATGATCCTCTGAAGCCTATCCGCTTTCCCGACAAAGATGTTAGGCAGGGTTTGTAAAATCGACTTGTACGTCTTTGTAGCACGAGCAATCTCGAACTTGGATTTGAAGTCGATGTCAATCAACAGTCTTTCACCTTTCAATATCACATCCACATACTCATATTCCCCTGTTTCAATTGACCAAAAAAAGTCAGCTCCACTGTCAAGCTCAATCAAGATAGCTAAGAAATGGCATGGCTTTACAGAAGATAAAAGCTATAGACTATACCAGCAGGACAAGAAGGCGATTTCTCCCAGCGAGATTTGCATACAGCCGCATCATAACCTAAGCTCATCAACCCATTGGCCACAATTTTCAAGCATGACTCGTCTTTAGGCTTGCAATTCTTACTTGTTTCCACAATCTTGGTCACATCGGCCTGTAAATTCCTCTCCCAGACGCTCGTACAAAGGACCAAACTCTGCAAAAATGGATCTCGACACATCAAATTCCTGCTTCATCGAACAAACATAATAGTCCAGAACAATATGATGAGTAAGTACCTTGAGGATCTCACAAGCTTCCCCGGAAGAACATCTGAAACCATCGGACCATTCAGTTTCATCATCAGAGCTCTCCGTACCACTCCCACTGAAGCAGTTGCATCGGCTACGGCCACACCGCTGTTTCTCACCACCGTTGTTATCCTCGATGAAGTTTAGAACCATCTTCGCCAAACAGACCGAGCTCGGCTCAAAATCTCCAGAGTTACCTCTCGAAAGCGGTGCATCAACGTCGGCGCCTGGAAACTTATCCGAAACGTTCTTAATAGTGAACTGACGCTCGAACAGACGCTTCAGCCTCGATTTCGGCATTTGCTTCATCGTCTCCGGGAAAGGTAGCTCATCCGACACATCAGAGTCATCGATCGGTTGGACTTTCATATGAAATGGCATCGCGATCTCTCAAAAATTCAAATCGACGAATCCAGATCGAAATTCCCCAAAAATACACGAGAAAACTCTGAGCTGAGAACAAAAAAAAAATCCTAAAACCTAATCTAAAATTGAAGATAAAGCTTGGAATAACTTCGAAACTGAGCAAACGGAAGAAAAAAAAAAAAAGAGAGACGTCGCTTTAACTTTTAGCTATTTTTTATTAGATACGGATTTAAAGTTTCCGAGATACGCGACGAAGAGAAAACGTCACGTAGTTATGCTTTTGTGATCATTAAAACGACACTCCGACGCAAACCTCGCCGTCGATTTCATCTTTTGTAATTCAACACGGAGATCTGGTTTTGATTATCGCCGTAGAATTGACAAAAAATGAAGAAGATCCCAGAGAGAGAGATGATGAAAACTGAATTATCGAGAAGGAAAACAACAAAATCTTGTGATCTGAAACAACGAAAGAGTAAAGAGGATAAGCTTTGTTTTGGTGGATTTATAAAGGGTGAGGATTTTATGTACACGTGTGTGTCCTACGTGTTCAAAAATAGCTCAATCTGTAAAAAAAAACCAAAAGAGGGGGTACGTGGCGTGAGATCAACGGCTTTGGTGCTTCACAAATGGCTGAGATCCGATGCTCTTGGTTGGAGAAAGGTCGAGAATACCCTCGAAGGTTCGTTGTTAAGGGGACGTGTCGGCGACTCCACTTAGGCCGGAGTCAGTTAGCAAGAATTCGCCCGGAATAAGTTGGAGAAAGAGAGGATGATAAGACTGAAACACCCCTCCGTATTCAACGTACGTTCTTTTTTTTTTGTTGGCTACGCCTACGTGTTTTGGCATATTCCTTTGGTATCTACCCGTACATACACCGTAATAATCTCATGGTATACATACAAATGGATTATTAGATGAGACAATTTTGCCAAAAAAAATAAAAAAGAAGATTTGATCAAAGTAATAAGAAAATGTTTTTGATAATATCGAGCCAAGTTCTTTTTTGTTATCGATTCAAGTATTTTTGACTACTCTTTTTGGTAAATGTTTTGTCACGATCAACATTTTCATCTTCATTTTTTATTTATCTGAATCATTTAGTAGAAATTTAAGGATATTGATATAGTTGAGAAGATAATAATTTAGTTGTACATTTAAAAATCGCATAATTGCAAGAGAAAATACGCTCATTCTTATTCTCAGAAAAATATATCAGATTAAAAAAAAATATATATATTTTTTGTGAAACAGGTTAAGATTAAATATTTTTGTTCTCTAAAAATGCAAAAAAATTTAAAACGAATTTTCATTAAAATAACCAGTTAGATAGTAAGTTATATTAACAAATTCTTGATCTAATAAATAAGAAATTTAACTTATTAGAGAAATACCAACTGAAAAAAGGAAAGGTTTAGAAAATAAAAAAAGTAGAAGAGAAATAAAAAATGTTAAATCGATTTCCGTATAAATTAGGTTCTCACAGTATATATAGGAAATATAAGACGGGTAAACGAATCCACGAGAACGACCAACAAACTCCAATTTTGTGTTTTTAAAAAAAGCTCTCTCTCTCTCCCGCACTAATTTTAAGCATCCGGCTCTCTCGTTTTCAGGTACATCTTTTTCCTCTGAATTAGGTTTTTGGTTTTCTGTATCGTTTTTTTCGTTTTCCGCTCAAAAACTTTTGATTGGAGATTCCCTTCACTTCACTTCACCAGACGACTTATTTGGTTCTCTTATCGGTAAATACTCTTCTAGATTCGACGACGGATCTTAAAAGCTTTTTGTATTCTGAATTTTACAAAATTGGCGTCTTTTGTTTGGGGTTTTGTAGTAGTAGATATGGCTGGTAAAGGTGGGAAAGGGCTTATTGCTGCAAAGACGATAGCAGCTAACAAGGACAGTGGTAAGAAGAAATCCATCTCTCGCTCTTCTCGTGCTGGTATCCAGGTATCCCCCTCCCCTTAGCTCCTCCTTCTCTGACTTTGATGTTCATTTTTTTAATTCAATTTTGTTACATTGTTCTGTGTAAATACTCGTTGATGGTAAATTGCTGCCTCTGTGTTTTCTGGAAATATCACATTATCCTAATGCCAATAAACATCATGTTTGGTTGATCTTCATCCTATGAGTAAGATAAAGTAGTAGCTTGCATGTTCTGCACTTACTTGATTCCTCTCTATGCACTTCCTGTAAAACTCTGTCTAGCGTAAAATTCTGTTCAATGGGTTGCTACTTGTTTTTTGTTACTACTCATTGTGTACTAGCAATTGATACAAAACCTTGTCTTCTGTGTTATTGTCTTTGTTTCCTCTTCTTCCTTCTGTTTTGTTGCATTGCTCTGGAAATGTAACCTAATCCATGTCTTGTTATCGTCATTAGTTTTACTTTTGGGATATTGCGGTCAAGCAAGTAAAAGGATAGAAATATATAGCATAAGTTTATAACCCATTGGATTTTCTGTATCTGGTTATCATACATATTGTGTTTCCCTATATGAAAGTTTGCAGTTTGAATGTATAATCTATATACAAGAAAACATCTCTCTGATTAATTGAAAGCCTTTCTCTGTGCCTTAAAAGTTATATGCTTATCTTTTTTTGTTTCTGCTGTGGTCTTCTCTCAGTTTCCAGTGGGTCGTATTCATCGTCAACTCAAGCAAAGAGTTTCATCACATGGAAGAGTTGGTGCCACTGCTGCTGTCTACACAGCATCAATTCTAGAATACTTAACTGCAGAAGTTCTTGAGTTGGCTGGAAATGCGAGCAAGGATCTCAAAGTGAAGAGAATTACTCCAAGGCATTTGCAGCTTGCAATCAGGGGAGATGAAGAGCTTGACACTCTCATCAAAGGAACCATTGCTGGAGGAGGTGTCATCCCTCACATCCACAAGTCCCTTGTCAACAAAGTCACCAAGGATTGATTTTTTCTCTCAAATCCTAATTCTCGATTTACTATGTGCTTGGTTAGTTATATTTACCTTTTGGTGCTCTGTTTAGGAGAGAGGATTTTAGTTTATTGATCTAGTTTGATTTCTTATGGATGTCCTCAAGTGTATATGAGTTCATTTTAACTCTTCGGTCTCTCTCTCTAGACTCATACTTTTGTGATCTTTCTAATTCTTACATGATGATGGTTTCTTGGTTTCCTATCCTGTTGCAATGCCCCTCTTCTAGGTAACCCGGAAATTTGGAAATTCTCTGAATTTCGATTAGATGATGAAAACAACACTCAAACATTCATAGCAATATATGCAAACTGCATACGATTGTTTCACAATTCTAAATAGTTATATAGAACTAGACAAACACATATGATTGTCCTAGAAATTAGTCCTCAAGCAAGCACACACTTAGTCCTCATATATTGAGAAGCATAACTACCACACAAAGAGCTAGGAAATAAACCATCAAAGTTTACACTTGGGTTTGATTCTTGTAAGTAGATAAATAAATAAAAGCCATTCATCTTCCTTTAGTTGCCTTTCTTGGATCATCCCTGGACCTGCAGCACAAAAGGTGTTCATAAGCAGAGCTTGCAACATATTTGGTGTATTAGCTGAAGTTATAAGAAACGTTGTTATGTTTTTACCTTTATTAATTGCAGGCTTGAAGGTGTCTTCCATAACTTAAAACCGGTGCAGGTTCTCTACCATGTGATATAGTAGGTTGCACGGTTTCAAATGCCTCGACGAGTAATGCAACTTTCCTCTTCCTTGCTGGAGCAAGTTTACTAACAGCACGCTGAAGAGCAAAGTCAAGCATCCAATCCTCTGAGTTTCTCCTCTCATCTATGTCTTGATGCTTGAGGTCCACCTTTTCAGGATCCTCCTCCACTGCAATTGGAAGGTAATTGGGTTCTCTTGGATTGAATGCTCTTAAATCCTCGGTCTCTGCAACGGGTTTCTTGCATTTGATGATTGTCCATGAAATGGTAGACTCTGACTCTTCTTGGTTGCACGGTTTTCGTGTACGGTTAAATGGAACCTTTGTGTTTTCTTTTGTCATCAACATAACTTCAGTCTGGTCTTGAGACTCCTCTTTGCAGTCTTCAGCTTTATCCTTTAATGTATCTTTACCAGCATCATCTTTATCCTCAATAGCATTACCAGCTGCTGAGTTCTTTGTCATATCGATAACTTCTGAAATAAAACAACTAAATTGATCAGCACCTTCATCTTCATCTTCATCTTTGTCTTCCTTCTCTTGGATCTCTTTCACAGAGTCATCTACCAAAGTCTCCTCGATTCTGTTATCTGCTTCTGAGTTCTTGGTCATATCGATGACATCAGAATCAAAGCAACCAGATTGATTTTCATCCTCATCTATGTTTGCTCTCTCTTCAAGATATTTCACAGATTCATCTACCATAGTCTCCTCAATTGCATTATCTGCTTCTGAGTTCTTGATTATACTGATTACTTCAGGATCAGAGCAACAAGATTGATCAGCATCTCCATCTCTGTTTGCTTTCTCTTCGACCTCATTCACAGAGTTATCTACCAAAGTCTCCTCCAAATCAGATTCTTTTAGAAGACAAGCATCTCCATCTCTGTTTGCTTTCTCTTGGACCTCATTCACAACTTCATCTACCAAAGTCTCTTCCAAACCACATTCTTTTAACTCGATGGCATGATCACCTTCTGAAATCATTACCATCTCAGCACTGTCAGAGTAATCATCAGAATCAGTTTCAGAACGAGGTGCTCCTTGAGAAACAGTTTCCGAGATTTGACTATCAATATCAATCTCAAAAGCAGCTCCATTTCCATGCTCAAACTCTTTATTCTCCTCTATACGTATCTTCACAAACTCTTCCTTGGAAGCTTCCATTTTCACACTCTTTTGGGACTTCAAACTCTGTCTCCTCGAGGATATAAAGCTTTTCAGAGGAGGATACTGCACGGAGTGGAGATGGCCGTTGAGTGAACAATACGTGTAAGGACAAACTTTCAAAACAGAGGTTCCATTAACTTGATCATAAGTCTCGCCATGATTAAGCATCAGATACTCGGGGAACTTGGAATCTTTTAGAGTTGAAGAACAAGTAGATTTCTGAGAGCATCTCTTGAAACTAGGAGGCTTTGTCAAACCCCTACCGATCCTAGAACTTGGCTTGTTATAACTTCTTTCCTTGTTAACTCCATAACGAGAATCATGTTTTGAACCGGTTTGGTTCTTCTGATTCCTAGAAAGATTAAATCTTTTCTTGTTCTCCTTCCTTGCCTCGGAGCTACTGGTGCCTTTCATGTAATTAGGTGAACCAGAACCACCTGTCACTTTCACAACAAGATCATGCTTTGGTAATTCTTGTGACTTACCTGATTGAGAAGAAACAGTAGTATTGTCTTTAAGCTTCCTCCTAGGCTTTGTTCTCTTCATCATCATCATCTCCGGTCCAAGGTTCTTGAGATGTTCTTGCCCGAATCGAGTTTCAGGCTGGGAATTGAAAGAAGACTCGAGTACTAAACAAGTCTTCCTCTGAACCATCTTTCCCGATCCCAAGGTTCTTGCTTTGCCTGAAGACAAAGCTATTGGTTTGTTTAGAGGAGAAGAAAATGGGAGGATTTCAATAGTGGTAGGGTAAAGATACGTGTGCGGTTTTGTCTCAGTGCCTTTTTGCAACTTTACGTGAATTTGGTTCAAACTTAAAACAAATGAGAGATTTTGAATACTTTTGTGATTAGGACAAGCACTGATAAAAGAGAGAGAGATTGGTTTTGGGTATGGTGGGTCTATTTCTCTTTATTATTGTGGCCATTTGTTTAAGGGTTGATTACATTATTGCTCCTTCGTGTTGCACGAAATAATGCGCATTATGTTCTTTTGTCTTTCTCTCTCAAATCTGTTTTTTTTTTTATTAGGCTCCTCTCTACCCCACAAAGTAACGAAGAAATTTCAAGTTATTTTGTTATTGTGAACCGACGACGACAATGTACACAAATTTGTGTTGGTTTAGTCCACAAAGGTGTGTCAAGAATAATATAATATTTGACAATTCTTTTCTCATACATATGCTTTTCTAGAACGAGTAAGCTGGAGATTATTTGATTTAAGTGTTAGCTTCAAGTTCAACCATGAAATGAATACTACATATACTAATACATGTTAATTTTTTTGAAAACTCTGTCTCTGGAAACCAGAATAGATAGCATTTGGTCTACAACGGAATTGAACAAGAAGGTTTGCTACAGCTCAAGTCTCATGAACAAGAAGCAAGAATCGAAAACGCTCAATGAACTCTCGCACATAGTATAGTATTTTATTTAGTATTTTACACTCTTGTCTAATGTACCAGCGAAGTCTCTGTTATGTCCAGAGTCTTTTGTTTTTCTTCGTTCCCTAACATAAACCTCTAATTTATTTGGAGGAGTCTTGGATTGACCTGAATTAAATCATGATAAACATGCAACATTATGAACTATCCATTGATTAAAATATGTTAGCACTAGTATTATACTATGAATATATAATTCGTTTTAATGAAAGTGAAGCTGAAGATGGTGTTCTTGAAACAATTTGAAACCAAAGTTTATAATACGAAATTACGATATATCAAATGTGATAAACTTTGCAATGCAAAGAAATTACAAGTCTAGTATAGATATTGATAAATTAGATGTATGTAGGTTTAATTCTTATTGAATGTGAATTTCTCGAATAATATAAGATCCTATCAATATTAGAAAATAAAAGCAAGTTTATGAATTGATGACATACATAATCATAGAGTTTAGCTATTCAAGTTAGTATTATCCGTGCAAACTTTACCTTCCAGAACTCTAACTATCATAAACGTAAACCTAAGCAGATAAGTCTCCGCTATTGTGAATTAATATACATAAAGCCTCGCTTGTTCTACACGTCTTTTAAAATATATATTTTTAAAAAAATGTGTAAATGTATGCACTTATCTACGAAGTTGCAGCTTCTCCCAAGAAACGACTCATGAATGGTGACAAGATCACATACACTGTCACCTCATGATTGGCCGAAAGAAACAAAAATGAAAGTCAAATGGTTCGGACCCATCTGGTCCTTGTTGAAGAAGTCGTGGACAACGTCGTGTTGACAAGTCGGTAACACGCAAAAGATCTTTCTCTATATATCTAAACCTCCTTGGGGTTTTATCATCAGATCTTTGAAACACACACTATCTATATTAACAATACGAAGCAAAAGATACGCTAGCTGCTCAAAAGATTTGGCTAACTTTTTCTATTCTATGAGTAATATGCCTATGGGGAAGAAACATCTTAGCATCAACTCTCTGAGTTACCAATGCGAAGACAACAACAACTGCAAGAACAATCTCTTCTTTGGATTGTTCGATGACCATGAATCCACAAGGTTAAGAAGTGGGAGTATGAAGAGACAGTACAGCGACATGGGAGATAGCTACCATAGAGTTTACGAAGAACAAGGTGGTGATGATGGTGAAGAGGGTGATGATGAGGGATCGAGGATGGACATGAGAGTCTTGATGGTATTAGAGTATATGAGGGAGCTTTACGTGGGACAACTTCAGCTGCTGAAAAAGATGTTTCCAGGTGCAGCTAAAGGCGAGTTTCTTGGTTTCTTCAATAAAATCGGTGATGCTGTGTCCCAATTCAAACAAGACTCTCGTCCTCCTACAAAATCAATGACTATGCAGAGGAGTCTCAGTACTGGTTCGCCACGTTTCACTTCTAAAGGGATTAATTTGGGTCCATCAGATCTAAGAGATGATAGGTTTAAAGTTACAACGGTTAATGTTGGTGGTACTGGTGGAGCTGCTGGAGCTGGTGATGCTGCTGGAGGAGGCAAAGGTGGCTCTGCGGCTGGCCAGGGCCAGACCAAAAAGTAGTCAGGATTTGTGACATGTGGTGTGGCCATGAATGATCAAATCCTATGACACTAAGGGTTCTGCATGACACAAGACGTTAAAATTTGCTTAATGAAATAAAACGTAAAAAAAGTGTGATTTAAGACTTTTGAGTGAACTTGGGGATTCCTAGTTTTAAAGGTGGTTTTCAACTTCTTTATTCAAAAATACTTCTTTTCCTAGATGGGGTTGTTATATGTTTTCGTATATATTTGTGGAGTTGAAGTATCAGACTCATCCAAAGGTAAAAGAAACTAGGATCAACTAGCTTTGTTTATTTATTCTTTTGGAGTTTGATTCTCATATTCTGTTATGTTTGTTCAATTAATAAGAAAAGCTTTGTGAGCATGATCCTTAATTGTAATAAAATGAATTTTTAATTTATGTCAACAATAGATGCAAACCAAACAATGACTAACTTAGCTGGTTGCATCACATTACCTATATTGTATTTACAACACTTAAATGTAAGAAGTTGACAATAATTAGTGCGTCTCAGTGGATATTCCCTCTCTGTGCAGCCACAACAAAGACCATTAGAATCGGAGACGCAAGCAGAATCACATACAGGAGTGTCTCATCTATACCCATTGCCTCTCTTTCATTATCCTCCTGCGCTTTGTAATTCACGTTATCTTTGACAAAGGCTTCAAAGTAGTTCTGATAACCAGTGTTCCCCTCCATGTAGCTCGACCCCTTAACCTTCAGCATCTCCATTGCCTACAAGTGTGTAAAGAAAAGCCCTCACATTTTTAAGCGAAACTGTTTGCCAAAACTAGAGAATAGAAGACACTACGAGAAGCCAACACTTATTATCATTAAGCACACAATAAGAAAACATATAGAGTTATGAATGGCCCTTGTCCAATCTTAGTGACAGAGAAAACACAATTCATCTTGCTCGTTGTGCTTAGTAGGTAGGTATGATACTATTGTGAGTTGTTTTGAGTTACCTGGAAACTGAACATGAACTGCCTCGCTTTCTTGCTCACTCTTGGATTTGGATGGGATAGAAGCTTCTCATACATACCCCTTGCCTTATTTGCCCTGTAAATCACTCCAAAACAACAGTTTTAAGGCACAGGAGCCCATAAATACTAAACAGCAGTCAACAAGATTACTTTTGAGGATTCACAAATGGCCATCAACTTGGTAAGTATAAACAGGGGAAGCTTCAAGTATTTTGTGGTTTCCTTGGGGACTTTTGGAGGTTTTGGGACAATGGTTTACAAAAAACTTTAATGAGGCTATTAAATAGTCAAATACTCATGAAGAAATACTAGTCACCCTGTCGTAGCATCAAGCTAAATACGAAGAGAGAGAAACTTACTTTCGAAGTGAATCCTGACAAATAGACCACTGCAAAGCTGCTTGTCCGTGAAGCTCACTCTGTACAACTAAACTCATATCTTGTTAAGGTCACATCTACTGCTGCGAACATAAGGACTTACAAGTAAAAAAAAAATCTGAAGAACTACTTCTTTCGGTATCTAGGTGGATCAATGGATTAAGATGTCGATAGAGTATCACACAACAAGGTCATGAAACTAATAATACAAAATAATCAGGTTCTTAAAAGCCTTTTATTGATTATGTGGTTGGTTGTTATATAAGATAGCTGGATTTTCTGCTTCACATACATGATGCGGATAGATAATAAAAAATTCTGATGCAGTCAAAAAGAGTAAGGCATGTGAAGGACGAATAGTTGTATGAGTAGATTGATGCATAAACATTGACATGAAGAAATAAACCAGATTTGGAGAAATTACCTTAAAAACTATTTTCTCCATGACCTTTTCATAGTATGGCAAAGCTTCCTTGAGTTTCCCAGAATCCATAAGTGAGTTCCCCTTCTCTATCGCCTGTTATAGTTAAAGAAAGTGTTAAATCAAGGGAAGAAGTAGATGATGAGCAAAACGATTCTAATTTCTAGCTATCTTGAAGCACAAATAGAAGCACAAAAAAAGTTATAATTTTTTCATAGTTTTTCTCCACCCAAATCAATTATTTTATCTAACTATTAAAATAAGAGAATTTTGCTGAGCAAACTTGAGTCCAAATCATAGTTTCAGCTGAACCCATATCATTGCTCTATATATCAATAAATAAGATTCTAAACAGCAGCTAAAACTTTATAAGCTATAACTTGGATCATTCTCATTGAGGGCAAATTTACTCTGTATATGAGTTTTTTTTTTTTTCTATATTACATCCAACTTAACTTCAGCATAGGTCTTTTCTCAGAGAAGAGCAAAAATGTCTTTAAAGTACCTTCTCACACTCAAGTTTGAGTTTGGGATCAATATTCAGTCCGATTGATTCCTTGTAGGCAGTGAGCAATTTTTTTGTCCGCGCTTCTCTTGCAATTCTCTCTTCAGCGGTTTCAACTGAATCACCCGGTTGGAGTGTTCTTCCACCACCAAACTTTAAAAAAAAAAAAAAGGATATATCTCTATCCTCAGGAAAGTATACATTATAAAACCAACGAAGTTAATATTTGACAAAGTTCTAATCCGAAGATGCAAATTCATATAGCTAAAATTGGCCCCAAGCTCATGAACATGAATGGATTAGTTTTAGAGGTTCGAGTTGTTCAGAAACCTAGCGCAAATGCTACTTGGAGAACATAGTGATAGTGTTGGACATATTCATGTATTCACTTATCATCTAGCTTAAAACGAGGAATAAAAAGTCTGGCAGAGTTGATAAAATTTTGCTTACCATCAACAAGAAACGAATTACTCAAAACAGTTTAAAGAACTATCTATATTTTTTCTCATTTCAGACTACCAAACAACTGTAGCCAACAAATTAGAATGTACTTAGTGCTAAAGGAAGATCCATCAAACTTTTCAGTTACTCCTACCTTTAATAATTTGGAGTAATTGGCTCTATATACCCTAACTTAACAACATTGGACAAACAACTTCTTTCTCCTTTGAGTTTTTTGGAACAACTAATCCAATTGCATAAGACAATATTTAGATGGGCTAATCACATACCGTCTTGGAAATGTTGCTAGGTCTTGGGAAAACTCCCCATGTAGAAACTTTGGGCTTATAAACATCAGAGTTTTCATCTCCTTCTTGCTTGATATCCTTATCTGTCTCGGCAAATCTCGTTTTATCACCAACAATAAACTCCACCTCAGGTAAGTCTCCTTCAGGAAGATAGTCTATAACAGGAACAAGTCCAGCTGGAAGCCCTCTTGTGGTTTTCTTATCAGCAAAGCCAAGCCCCATGAAATCAATGCTGGAGACTTTCAACTCTTTCTTCTTAACATCATTATCTTCAACAACCTTATTTGACGATCTGACAAGACTTTGCTCTACACTACCTGAAACACACAAAAAATAAAGATCCCCGGATCATGTTTTGATTAAACTTGTACATATTAACATGTAAAGATCAAATAAATATTAACTTTGCACATAATTGACAACATGAACAAGCACTTCAATGTTGAACATACAGAACAATTCTCCACTAATGCAGCTACAAGTCAAAAACCTTACTTCTAAATCCAATAAAGAACCAACCTTTCTAAGAAATGAAATGGCAACAAAAGCCATATAAATGATAGTACAGCCTATTTGAAAACTGCATTTGATCTACAAACTCAAGCAAAGACAGTTGCAAGAAATTTGTACAAAAAATATGGTATTTACTGAACTGGGTTTAGGTTCCTCGACGACATCAGCTCCAAGCCCTTTCCTTTTCTTATAATCATTGGCTTTTTGCATAGCAGCCTTAACCGAGAGCGGCAATTCCTCCTCACCGGCATTTTTCTCTCCTACTTCTCGCTCTGATTTCGATTTCTTATAAGCCTCTGCTTTCTTCAAGGCGAGCTTCACGGGATCAACCTCAACCTCCGACGAGCGTTCCGGCGAGGACGAGTTGCTCCGAGTTCGGAAAAGTGAGAGTTTCAAGGATTTTGGTTGTTGAGATGGAGACAAGAAGAAAGTAGGAGTTTCGGTGAGTGGAGAAGAGAGCCAAGAGTGGTTGAATGAAGCCATGGTTTGGTGGAGCGAAGAGCTGGTTAGCCATTTTAGTATCACAGACTCGTGGATGCAACATCACCACCCATCCGTCCACTTGATTTTATCATTGGTGGTCACAGACTTTGCGCATAACAGTTTTAATTTCGGTTTATACCAATTGCTTTTCGGTTTTTTTGAATTTTCAATTTTATTTGATTGGACTCGGTTTATTTTCGCTCAGTTCAATTTTATATTGGACTGAAAATCACTTTAGCCCAATAAAGGCCCAAGTCCAGCTGAAACTATGCTAGCATCAGTGAGGACGGTCGGGTCGGGTCGGGTCATAAACACCGCCTTTATCTGCGACGACGATGATATCCACCTCCGCGAGAGAGGCTTAAGCCCTAAAAATCCTCAACTTACTCTTTCTCCACTCTCTGAACATCTTCGTTCTTTATATGTCTTGATTCTCACACTTCTCTCGAGCAAGGAGCTTTCGCGTGAGAGAAATGACGAAGGTCTATGGAACCGGCACGTACGACTTCAAGCGCCACAGAGTGGCCGAGTATCCATTGGAGTTACCTAGCCACCCTGCTGAGAAGCCATTAGAGTCAAAGCCTGGATCCAATTTACCGAGCTCCATCACTTTATCGGAGATTCAGCAAGACAGGTTGACGAAAATTGCTGAGGAGAGCTGGATTAAGACTGGTGGCAAGCTGCCTGAGAAACCGTTCGATCCGGAGGTGGTTAAAGAGATTTATGTAACGGAGCTTAAGGTAACTAGTGGTCGTAAACCGGTTCCACTTCAGCGAGTCATGATTCTGGAAGTGAGTCAGTACTTGGAGAACTATCTATGGCCGAATTTTGATCCCGAGACGGCTACGTTCGAGCATGTGATGTCTATGATTCTTATGATTAACGAGAAGGTAACTAATCTTGCTCTCTTTTGTATTTAATTGGTTGTATATGATGAAAACATTATTGTTTAACATTGCTTCTTCACGCTTTGTAGTTCCGGGAGAATGTAGCAGCTTGGATTTGCTTTCATGATCGGGACGATCTATTCAAGAAGTTTCTTCAGAAGGTTCTTCGTCTCAAAGAGGTTTGTGGTCTACCCTTATGTTTTGTTATTTATGATTCTAGTGGGGTTTCTGTTTGAGATAATCACCAGATGTTAGGCGAATCATATATTCATGTTGTCTTTTGATTACCATTGTAGGGAAGAGATTTGACTATTGCTGAAAAGACAAATTATTTGGTCTTCATGATTAATGCTTTCCAGGTTTGTTCTGTTTCTTACATAAATTTTGTTATATGGGTTGCAAGTACTTTTGAAATTCTGCTGTACATTACTCGAGAACAGAAAATACATGATTTAGTAACTAGTAACTGGTCATCCCGGACTATACAACTGTGTTGCTACTCAGTTAAAATGTCTGTTAAGATAATTATTTCATGCGGACAACCTTTTATTTCATGCTTGTGCACAATTTATATCCTGGTGCTATTTTTGATTTCTTCAATATTCTTAACTGGGTGATGTTACAGAGTTTGGAAGACGCAGTGGTTAATGAGATTGTTCTAAGTCTAGCAGGATTGCAATCTTGGCACAGTTTGTCTTATGGACGTTTCCAGGTAGGTGATATCTTCACTATTTGTTAAGGATAGTGAAATATTTTGTAGTTGCTCTGATATCATCATATATTCTCACAACTCTAGATGGAGCTCTGCCTTCAACCTGATCTAATTAAAAAGTGGAAGAGATCATCAAAGAAATGGGCAGCTGAGGCAAAGTCAAAGGGAGAGAAATTTGATCTATCCTCATCACCTGAAGCAAATTTTGTTCGAGGCCTAATAGAAGAATTTGTTGAGGTATATATGCCTTTTTCATTGGGCTATAGTGGTCTATGTTCTTCAAATTATCTCTCGCATAATTATGCAAATTCATATCTTTCTTTCTAGGTGCTTGATCACGGGGTTTTTGCGGATGAAGTTGATGATACCGCTGGATCTCCATTGGTTGATGATTCTTCTGTCTTATATTGTGAGAGATTCATGGAATTTCTCATTGACATGCTGAACCAACTCCCAACAAGAAGGTACGAATGTTTCACACGACGCAAGTTATTTGTACACTAAAAAGTTAAATCTGTTTAAGCAATTTGAGAATGCATTTTAGGTTTTCTTTTTTAGTCCTGATAATATCTAGTTATTAGTCTTGATATGCTGCGCCATTTACTGTCCATTGCATTACTATTCGCTACTGGACCGTATTTTTAATATATTTTCATCTTGATTATTGCAGATACCTAAGACCTCTTGTGGCGGATATAGCTGTTGTTGCAAAATGTCGACTGAGTGCCCTATACAAACATGAAAAGGGGAAGCTTTTCGCCCAATTAGTTGACTTGTTACAGTTCTATGAAAAGTTTGAAATAAAGGACCATGACGGAACACAATTAACTGATGATGAAGCACTTCAATTTCATTACGATCGTTTTATGGCGTTTCAGCTACTTGCCTTTAAGAAAATGCCTAAGGTATTGTCCTAATAATCATAGTTAATTAATAGATAGTTAGTTTTGTGTTCTAGGTTTTTTGTTTTGTTTCTGTTGGATTTTGTGAAGTTATCGATCTACTTTTTTCCTATTTTACTAATATTCACTCTTCCCTAGTTCTCACATTTGTTGTTATTTTGTTTATTTCAGTTGCGGGATTTGTCATTGGCTAACATTGGTTCTGTTCATAAGAGTTCTGATCTTCGGAGGAGATTGTCTGTGCTTTCTCTTGAAGATTTAAGGGATGTTGTCTGCTCAAAGGTATATATCTGGAAAACTTATTCTTGTAGGTTCACATGTGAATTTTTATCTATCTTGGCACCTCGGCATGGGGATTCAGGATATCACTATAGATTCTTAGGGTCTTATAGCTGTGATCTTCAGTGAATACCATTGGCAAAAATGGTTAGCTAAAATACAATATAAAGTCTGAGTGACATGCTAAGGTTGACACAACAAATTTAGACGTTAAATATCAGCTTGTGTAAATTCCCATTACGGTATTATACTGTGCTGATAGTGTGAGAAACGAGTGAAGGCATAAATGGAGACGGGAAAGAAAATCTGTAACCGTTTTTTACTTCTTTCTGCTGCTAATTTTAGTATTTTGAAAATATACTACGGTTTGCCTTACAGTCTAATTTATGGCCACATACATTTGCTCTTATTTTTATTTTCCTTCTGTGCAGCTCAAACTGGTTTCAAGAGATGATCCTTGGGCAGATAGTAAGGATTTTCTGACCGAGGTCGTTGTCTCCTCTTTTGAGAAGCAACAGTCTCAGAAAGAAGCGATAAACGCTCTGCCTTTGTACCCAAATGAGCAAATTATGTGGGATGAAAGTGTTATTCCTAGCATTAACTATTCTGGGGAAGGTTGCCTCGCTCTTCCAAAGCTTAATCTTCAGTTTCTAACACTCCATGATTACCTCCTTAGAAACTTCAATCTCTTCCGTCTAGAATCCACCTATGAGATTCGTGAAGATATACAGGAGGCTGTACCACATCTTCTTGCGCACATAAATAACGAGGGGGACACTGCTTTTCGTGGTTGGTCACGAATGGCGGTTCCGATTAATGATTTCAAAATCACTCAGGTGAAGCAGCCTAATATTGGAGAAGAGAAACCTTCATCTGTGACTGCAGAAGTTACTTTCAGTATTAAGAGTTACAGATCGCAGATAAGATCTGAATGGAATTCTCTTAAAGAGCATGATGTATTGTTCTTGCTTTGTATACGCCCTTTATTTGAGCCGTTAGGTCCAGAGGAAGCTGATAAAGCTACAGTCCCACAGAAGCTCGGGCTTCAGTATGTTCGTGGTTGTGAAATCATCGATATCCGTGATGAGGAGGGTAATCTGATGAATGATTTTACTGGAAGAGTTAAACGGGACGAATGGAAACCCCCTAAAGGTGAAATGAGGACTGTGACTGTTGCTTTAGATGCTGCACAGTATCACATAGATGTTACAGACATTGCTGAAAAAGGTGCGGAGGATGTGTATAGCACATTTAATGTGCTAATGAGGAGAAAACCAAAGGAGAACAACTTCAAGGCTATTCTGGAATCTATCAGAGATCTCATGAATGAATATTGTATTGTGCCGGAGTGGTTGCATAATGTTTTTCTTGGATATGGGAACCCTTCTGCTGCACAGTGGCCTAATATGCCAAATCTGTTGAAAACAGTAGACTTCAAAGATACTTTCCTTGATGCAAATCATCTCAGTGAAAGTTTTGCAGATTATGAGGTTAGTAATTACGTATATTCGTTGGTATATTATGTGTTCTAGAACTGTTTTATTTTCCATATCTCTCATACTTTGTGCATATTAGGTATCTTTCATCAATGCTGATGGTGCTGAAGCTCTGGATCCAAGGCCTCCGTTTCGAATTACTCTTCCAAAGACACTAAAAGGGAATGCTGCTCTTTCTGGAAATAAGATATCTGAAGTCAATCCAGCAGACAATGTTAATATGGTGGATGTTTCCACGAAGGAGAAACTTATTGTTGAGGCGTATACCCCACCTGACCCAGGGCCTTATCCTCAGGACCAACCGAAGCAGAACTCAGTTAAATTTACACCTACACAGGTATTACTTCTTTCTACTTTTCATTGTCCTTGCTATTTTCTTCAAATGGTGAGAAAATTATCATCTTAGAATCCTTACTCTTACAATACAATCAAGTCATATGAGAAATATTGTGTTTGATACAAGACACTTTAGAACCTATGTAAAATATTGTGCTTGCTCTTTTCATTGAATCGTGAAGCATTTGGTTTAATTTTGTCTCTTTTATCGATTTGAGTTGAACAATATTGTTCCCATGCCATTCTGTTTTATTTGGAGAAAGTTTCACCTGATGTTTAAAAGCAGTTTTCTCCTTTATTTGGACCTTCCCTTTCCGCTGGATGAGAAAATGTACCAAAATATATGGTTTGGATTCAAGATATTGATCTTTGATGCAGCTTGTAATCAAACCATGTGTATGCCTACTATTTCCCTGCAGGTTGGAGCAATAATATCTGGTATTCAGCCTGGCTTAACTATGGTGGTCGGTCCACCAGGTACCGGAAAGACTGATACAGCAGTGCAAATTTTAAATGTTCTATATCACAACTGTCCTTCTCAAAGGACCTTAATAATCACTCATTCAAATCAGGCTTTGAATGATCTTTTTGAGAAGATAATGGAGGTACTACTGGCATCTTCTTTTCTTTTGTTATTATATGGAGTAATATTTAATGGTTTACATGTCTGACGGAGTTCTGAGAGACAAACTACATGGATTTGTTTTTTTTCAGAGGGATGTACCGGCGAGGTATCTACTTCGTTTGGGTCAAGGTGAACAAGAGCTTGCTACTGATCTTGACTTTAGTAGACAAGGCCGTGTCAATGCCATGCTTGTTCGGCGTCTGGAACTGCTCAATGAGGTTGAGAGACTAGCAAGATCCCTTCAGCTTCCAGAAGATGTAGGCTATACCTGTGAAACAGCTGGGTATTTCTGGTTGCTTCATGTATACTCGCGCTGGGAGATATTTCTTGCTGCTTGTGCTGGAAATGAAAACAATCAATCTTTTGTTCGAGATCGCTTCCCGTTTAAAGATTTCTTCTCAGACACCCCTAAACCTGTCTTTAGTGGGGAGTCATTTGAGAAAGACATGAGGGCAGCTAAAGGCTGTTTCTCTCATCTCAAGACAGTGTTTCAAGAGCTAGAAGAGTGTCGGGCCTTTGAACTACTCAAGTCAACTGCTGATAGAGCAAATTACCTCATGACCAAACAAGCGAAGATTGTAGCAATGACGTGTACTCATGCAGCATTAAAGAGGAGAGATTTTCTTCAGTTGGGGTTCAAATATGATAACTTGTTGATGGAAGAAAGTGCCCAGATTTTGGAAATTGAGACTTTCATACCAATGTTGCTTCAGAGGCAAGAAGATGGTCATGCACGACTCAAGCGCTGTATATTGATTGGTGATCACCACCAGCTACCTCCCGTAGTGAAGAATATGGCTTTCCAGAAATATAGTCACATGGATCAGAGTTTGTTTACGAGATTTGTTCGTCTTGGTATTCCTTACATTGAGCTCAATGCTCAAGGAAGAGCAAGGCCAAGCTTAGCCAAACTTTACAACTGGAGATACAGAGATTTGGGAGACCTTTCTATTGTTAAGGAAGCACCCATATTTCAGAGAGCAAATGCTGGACTCTCATATGAATATCAATTGGTAAATGTGCCAGATTATGAGGGAAAAGGAGAATCAACACCATCTCCATGGTTTTATCAAAATCAGGGAGAAGCTGAATATATCGTCAGTGTCTATATATACATGAGATTGTTAGGATATCCTGCGAATAAGATATCAATATTGACGACATATAATGGTCAGAAGCTCTTAATCCGTGATGTTATCAACCGTCGATGTGTGCCGTATCCTTTCATTGGCCCTCCGAGCAAGGTAAAATGTCCTCCTACTAAAGTATTTATTAGATGTGTTAATATGATAGAGATCGTATGATGACTTACTGGTTATTATGATACCCCTCCCTAAGAAAGGTATCTCACAGTTGCTTGTGTTTTGACTTTCTGGTTTTGTTTCCTTAGGTGACTACAGTGGACAAGTTCCAAGGACAACAGAATGATTTTATTTTGCTCTCTCTTGTACGGACACGGTTTGTGGGTCATCTACGTGATGTAAGAAGGTTGGTAGTTGCAATGTCACGTGCTCGGCTCGGTTTGTATGTGTTCTGTCGCCGTTCTCTTTTTGAACAGTGCTATGAGCTGCAACCAACGTTTCAGCTTCTTCTTCAAAGACCCGATCAGCTCGGACTCAATCTTAGTGAGAACACAGCGTATACAGATCGTGCGGTGGTGGAAGTTGAAAACCCTTATTTTGTTCATGATGTTGAAGAGATGGCTCACATAGTTCACGATAGGATGAATCAGTTTTACCAGGTAACGACACAAACTGCTTGCTTGGATAACAACTAATAATATTTGTGTGGAAACTGATTAGTTTCATGCATTGGATAGGCACAAGGAGTGTATGAGCAATACCAGAACAACATGCAACAGATGGAAGATGGTAATCACGACATGGAGAGTGACTCAGTAATAGGAGCTGTAGATGGTGAGACAAATACGCAGCAACAAAACCAAGCTCCAGACATAGACGGTGAATCATTGAAGGAGATTGTTGGAATGGAGGTGGACAATAATGGATTTAGCAGTGAGAATGGAAAGGCTGATGAGAATTAGGACAAATCAAAACTGGGGATATCAAATTAATCCACTAGGAGGGTGATGAGTGAGTTTAATGTATGGAACACTGAGTGAATTTGTTGCTACTGTAAGATATTTTTACTGAATTTGTAGCATTGTCTGACAATTACCAACTTTTGTTTTTGTCTTATCAATCATTCAACTCATATTTGTTGTGGAAGCAAACATAAGAGCAAGAAGATGAAGAGCATAAAGGTTTTGCAGGAGATCAAATCGAAAAAATGATACCAAAGTAGAGCAACAACACAAGAGAGTGAGAACAGAGAGACAACATTTTACAAAAATTTTGGCAAGACAAACAAAATAATGCTTTTCTGAAGCATTCTCAAGACACAAAAATAAGATTTTTCAAAAAGAATTTTCAAAAACAAATGGTCTTCATATGTCTACAATTTCACTCTTCATCTGACGAACTCGGTGAAGTTTCTATTCCCTGCACTCTGCAGTAACTACAAAAACAAAAAAGAAACAAAAGTTCAATAAATAAATAAATGAATAAAACCCAAATGACCAACAACTTACTCACTTAGACACTTACTCTGGCAGTAGGTTTTATCGACCGACGTGGTCGTGCTAACTCTTCAAGCTGGTCATGAACCATCTCCTCATAGTCATCTGCATCAGTGTCCTCATCGTCATGTGCATCACTGCCCATATCCTCATCTGATTTACTGTCCTCATGACCATCTGCATAACTGTCCTCATGACCATCTGCATATTTGTCCTCAAGACCATCTGCTTCACTGTCATCTGTTACCATCTCATCGTCATTTGCTTGATTTCCACCAACCATCTCATCCTGAGCCCTAACTGCACCGGGATACTGTTGCTTGACAGGTAAAACTTGATTTCCACCAGCAGACGGAGATAGAACTGTCCCAAACATCATCATCAAGAAGATCTGTCATGAGTTTATCCACAGAAGCCGGATCAAGGTCTTCCAGACCATCAATTACGTCGAAGTCGAGTACAAGATCATCAAAGTTGATAACACCGTTATCTTGATCTTCATCATGAAATCCATCAACGTCCACACCGTCTCCCACTGCATCAGCATGAAAACCACCAACATTCAAGCCGTCTCCCACTGCATCAGCATGAAAACCACCAACATCCAAGCCGCCTCCCACTGCACTTGAGAGATGGCCAGCTGCTTCTTCTTGAAAGCCAGGGTCTTTTTGAACATTGACCAGCAGAGGATGTTGCATGCCACGGACCAGACAACTATTGTCTTCAGAACCAACCAGATTATGTTGATCTGCATTCCTTTCTTGGGCCACATAAGCCTGGAAAAAAAATTATACATCAGATAATTGCAATATATAAACTCTTAAAGATTCCGTTGAGGAGTAAGGACAAAAGAGAAAAAAAAAACCTGAAGTTGAGACAAGATCTGATCGCATTTGTCAAAGTCCTTAGTAGCATAAGCATTGTTAAAAGACACAAAAAGTTGTGAAAACCCACCAAGAGGATCCATCTCAGATGTGTTTGAAGATTGATTAAACAGTAGTAACTAGAGAGAGAGAGAGAGACAAAAAGACCAATAATTTCGTGAGACATTTAGTAAGATTATATAAGAATTGCAAAACAGGTCAGGAACAAGACACAGAGGCCAATGGAGTTCGTTAGAAAACAAAACCCAAAACATAAAAGCAACCACAATAACGTGAAGAACAAGCTATCAGAGATTAACTTGAGATAGACAGATGGAACAAATTGCTTTCGTCGGAAGAATCACTAACAGATTATAAGAAAAACCATCAAAATCATAAACGCAACTAAGGAGAACGCAAAGTTAGGTCAAGAAAGCTATCGGCGATATTGAGAATTTCAACTAATGTATGCTAATCAAAACCTAGCCTAGCCGTTACTTGCAGAATCATAACCAAAAAATAAAAAATCAAGCATGAATGAGAGAGTTCACCAGAGCGGCTCGGAAAGGTGAGAGAGAGATTGACAGAGACGGGAGTTGAGAGGAAGGTGACGAGAGATACTGGCAGATATACTAGTATTTGTATATATAGATGTGCCCAACCCCGAGCAAATACTAGTATACGTTAATAAAGCGGTTGATACCGTATAAAACTAACCAATCAGAAAAAGAAAAAAAAAAATGCGATTTCCTCTGCCATTGCAGTGACCTGAAAATAGATGATGGTTAGAAAGAAGTACCTGTTCCTTTAGTAGACAGACCCTCCATCATTTCTCTTTATATTTCTCAGCTGTTACACTTCATAAGATGGACCAACTGAAACTGGAGACTTGCGGGAGCTCACTCCTGAACCAGGAATTTTAACCATCTCACACAATTGGGAATTCTAGGCAAAAAGCTGTTATTCACTTCCGGACTCAAGTCTCAGTCTGAGATGCCTTCCTACTTCAGCATGATGCAATTGAAGCTGATATTCTGTAGAGTTGCCCTTGAGGATTTTGTTTTCCTTCTTTTTGTTGGCTTAAGCTGTCTCTTTCTGAAAGAGACACTGATTTCCACATATGGCCAATGGAGTGTGATGCACAAGGAGATGGTTCTCTCAGGTTTATTAAAAACATCCATATCGAGTGCCAGAGAATAGATTGCAGTAACCAGCCAGCACACAGAGAATGTAATGAGCCCGGTAGCCTTCACTTGCTTTTCCTTTCAGCAGGTTTCCTTTTCGTTCTCAACAGGTCCCATGGCATAATAGCTGGCCATTTAGTCACATTTCTCCCCATGTGTGTGTAAAACATCTGGTTTTTAAAATGCAACATGATAACAACCCACACGCCATCTCCTCCACACAAGTCTCTACTTTCCCTTGGAGATAGGATTTCCCAACTCGCCTTTACTGCTACCCGTTGTATGTATACACACATGTTCTGTGAAATGTAACAGAAACACTAAGACTATGTCCACAGCAGTAGTAGTAGGTAAGAAAAAAACATAGATACTCTCTTTGTTTTTAAGAAATTGAATAAAACTATCAAGACTTACTGTGCTGTGTTCAGTTCAATATGCTGTCCTCTGTTGCTCCAAACTTTTGTTTTCTGCGACCATAAGCTGTCACCTTATTGTTGACCTGAAGATGTTAATTCAGTAAGCATAATAAGCTAGAGATTAAACAGAACTTTTTTTGATGGAATAGAGATTTTCAAGACTGAAACGTATGGCTTTTTATTAGTAATGAGGTACCACCATTTCTTATATAATACATCAGTAAAGAAAAATTCTTTTCAAATCCCTCAACAAACCAAAAGGCCTCTTCGGTACAATACAACACCAAATCGACTAGAGAAAGTTAGAATCAAAAAAATATGGAAGAAAAGTTTATGGAAACGTAAGTACTCTACCTCGAAACTGAATGATTGAAAACCAAATATTAACAGGGCTCAAAGATCTTTGTTGGTAGAAAAAATTTCTCAGACTTATCATTGAGATTTGTATAACCCAAGGAAGATGAGGGGGACGGCTGGGGAATCCAAGATAGACACAAAAACAAATAAAAGCCAATAGGAACCTTTTTACCTTTTTAAATTAATGTCACATCTCCTTTTTCCAATTCCCTCTATTAATTAGCAACTAATGGGCCTGGGCCATGCTTTTCATGGGCCGACGATAACTTTCTATTCCTTAGTTATTCTTTTTTTTCGGTTTTCGAACAAAACCTTACTTGAGTTTTGAACAAGAGCCTGTCTGCAAATTTTAAGAACTGAAGGTGTACAAAACGAATTAACGAACAGTTACAGGGTGTCGGCCCATTACGTAATTGGGCTTAACTTAAGGCCTCATTTTTATAAAAGAAAGGAAATTAGAAGAAAACTTGAAAAAAAAAAGAAGGAAATTAGACGTTTATAAAGAGAAGGAACGCATATCTCAGAGAGGGAGGCTCATACAATAATTTCACATATATTGTTTTGTTCTTCTCCTTGGCTTCAAATATTTCCTTGTGTGTTGTTTTGGCCGGTGAATCACGACGGTGTAGTAATTAAAGTGGCGGCCAAGCAAAGGTCTTCTTCGGAGCCAGGAGCCACGTTAAGCTCGGCTGCTTCATCGTCTCTCCGTTTGATCCTCGATGTAAGAAATCTTCTAATTCCCTTATTAGCTTTCTACAAAGGAACCCAACAAGAAAAACTATGCTTGTCTATATTAACTCGAGAGAAAGCTTAGTTTCGTCTCTTTTGTTTTCCGTTTGACGAATCAATTATGTTTCGTCTCACGTTTTATACCTTTTGTCATTCAATTATGCTTAGAAGTTTATTTTTGTTGTGTTGTCCAATTGATTGTAAATTTCCTCACTCTTCTGAAATTGAATGACCACAGATTCGATCTAGAAATCACAGTGTTTATTTCAATCTTTTTAGAAAAAAATTCGAGAAATCATAATTGTTTCTACTCTCTGTTGCCCGATTGATAGAATCAAGTGTGGGTTTATATTTATTATGATTCCAACGAGTATTTTCAGTTTCCAACTAGTGTAAATTTTAAATAATTCTGAACTGTGATTTTATGGATCGACAATTGTAAAGCCCGAGGATGGAATCGATAACGACGTCTGGTGCTGTGCGTCCATTGGCGGGGTCAGTGAAGATTACTTAGTCCCTTCCCTTTTTGAGTAGTTTTCCTAGTTCCTCAGGTCAGAAAAGTCCTAATGTTGTTTTGTTTTGTAGGACGTCCTCTGGGAAGGAGGGCATGAAAGAAGAGGTTGTGCGACTTGGAGTTGAGCTCTCACTATCTATTGCTGAATCGATGTTCTTGCTTTCTGATGACATTTATACTTTATTATGGTTCTGCTATAAGTTATGGAGAGGTGTAATACCCTACCGGAATCCCGTGTTAGAAAGGGTTCTTTGTGTTATTTACTATATCTACTCTAAACATATCAAACCCAAGAATGGAGTGTATCAGGATGGTGGCAAATCGGTCCAATGGGAATTTATCAGAAACACATGGAAGGATGTTTCTGACGGAATCATTGTTTTGCATCGCCTGGATATGCTTCTAAGAAGAAAAGATAGCTCCTTTGATGACACATTTTTATCGTCGGCTTTTGAAAAATACAAGCAACAAGTGCTAAAGATGTTAGAAGATAAATTGAGCCCCGCAAAGCAGGTTTCACAGGCGCATGGGTTTGCTAGGGAGACGTTAGAGTCTAACATTGTTGACTTTTGGAAGTCTCTCTTTTATGAAAAACCACTATCGAAAGTGGTAAGGAGTAGGATTCTTAGCAACCTTTTTACACCTATTTTGGGCAAACTAGTGCATAGTGAGATGCAGGCACTCCCCATATCTTCTCCTTACATTCTAGGGTCAGTAGTACTACTTAGCCCCTTTGACAGTTTTGCTTACTCACTCACTCGGGTCAAAAAGCCTTCATATTGATATATATTATTTTTTTTTGCAGGAAGGATTTTGCAATGCAGGAACTGAAAGAGGAGGTTGTGCGACTAGGAGTTGAGCTCTCGCTGTTTATAGCTGAATCGATGTTCTTGCTGTGTGATGACATTCGTATTATGTTATGGTTCTGCTATAGACTATGCAGGGATGCAAAAAGGGACGTGACTGGTGATAGTCCCGTGGTGGAAAGGCTGCTTCGTGTTATTCATTATGCCTACACAAAAGATATCAAACCGAAGAATGGAGTGTATCAGGATGGTGGCAACTCAGTCCAATGGGAATTGGTCAAAAACACATGGAAGGATTTTCTTGACGGAATCGTAATTTTGGATCGCCTGGATATGGTTCTAAGAAGAAAAGATAGCTCCTTTGATGACAGACTATTATCATCAGCTATTAAAAATTACAAGCAAGATGTGCTGAAGAAGCTAGAAGATAAATTGAGGTCCGCAGAAGATGTTTCAGAGGCGCATGGGTTTGTGAGGGAGACGTTAGTGTCTAACATTGTTGACTTGTGGAAGTCTCTCTTTGATGAAGAAGTAACACCCAAAGTGGTAAGGAGTAGGATTCTTAGCGACTTGTTTACCCCTATTTGGGGCAAACCAGTGCATAGCGAGATACAGGCACTCCCCATATTTTCTCCTTACATTCTAGGGTCAGTAGTACTACGTAGCCCCTTTGACAGTTTTACTTGCTCGTGTGAAAAAGCCTTCATATTGACTTTTTTTTGTTTTTGTTTTGCAGGAAGGATTTTGCAATAAAGGAGCCGAATGAGGAGGTTGTGCGACTAGGAGTTGAGCTCTCACTATTTATTGCTAAATCGATGTTCTTACTGTGTGATGACATTCATACTTTATTATGGTTCTGCTATAAGTTATGGAGAGGTGTAATACCGGCCTGGAATCCCGTGTTAGAAAGGGTTCTTTGTGTTATTTACTATATCTACTCAAAACATATCAAACCCAAGAAGGGCGTGTATCAGGATGGTGGCAAATCGGTCCAATGGGAATTGATCAGAAACACATGGAAGGATTTTGCTGACGGGATCATAGTTTTGCATCGCCTGGATATGGTTCTAAGAAGAAAAGATAGCTCCTTTGATAACAGACTATTATTGTCGGCTATTAAAAAATACAAGCAAGATGTGCTGAAGAAGCTAGAGGATAATCTGAGGCCCGCTGAAGAGGTTTCAGAGGAGCATGGGTATGCTAGGGAGACATTAGAGTCTGATATTTTGGACTTGTGGAGGTCTCTTTTTTATGAAAAAGCACTATCCAATGTGGTAAGGAGTAGGATTCTTAGCAACCTTTTTACACCTATTTTGGGCAAACCAGTGCATAGAGAGATGCAGGCACTCCCCGTATCTTCTCCTTACATTCTAGGGTCGGTATACTACTTAATCCCTTTGACAGTTTTGCTTACTCACTTACCCGTGTCGAAAGCCTTCATATCGACTTTTATTTTTGGTTGTTTTGCAGGAATGATTTTGCAATGCAGGAACTGAAAGAGGAGGTTGTACGACTAGGAGTTGAGCTCTCCCTATTTATAGCTGAATCGATGTTCTTATTGTGTGATGACATTCGTATTATGTTACGGTTCTGCTATAGAATATGGAGCGATGCAAAAAGGGACGTGATTGGGGATAGTCCCGTGGTGGAAAGGCTGCTTTGTGTTATTTATTATGTCTATACAAAAGATATCAAACCTAAGAAAGGAGTGTATCAGAATGGTGGCAACAATTCGGCCCATTGGGAATTAATCAGGACGACGAGTGAGAATTTTGTTGCTGGATTTAGAGATCTGGATCGCCTTGTCTTGTTTCTCAGGGGAGGAGGAATATGTGGCCGAGAGTTTATGTCTAGTATTGAAGAAGAGGTGAAGGAAGTAGGGGAAAAGTTGTGGTTTGTGAAGGCTGTTTCTGAGGCGAATGGGTTTGGGAGGGATGTGATGAAGTCAAACTGTTTGGACGTATGGAAATCTCTCTTTGACAAAGAAGCCAAGGAAGCAACACTGACTCTGAAAGCGATAAAGAATGGGATCCTTCTTGACTTGTTTCTCCCTCTATATAACGAAGCACCACCACCTTAGCGACTAGTTTTATATGGTATTTGGCTTTAGATATCGCATTATGAAGAGAACTCAGAACAATATCATCTAACTTGTGTATGCCATCTAGTAAATATATCTTTTGATATCTTAAAAGATGAAAGAAAGTAGAAGAACTCTCAGAGAAATATATTTTTGTGGACTTTCTTATTTCATCTTAGTTTTACTTTTTTTCATTTAGGTTCAAAGAGCTTTTGATATCGAGCAATTACCACATATAAGTTCTCTCTCATCTGATATTTGAAGCATAGGTAGATGTGAAATTAAAATTTCAATTTCCTAAGATTTTAACTGTTGAAGATGACCACAATACTAATATATATGGGTTTTGGATTAACAACAAGGAGCAACTTATTATTTTGAATGAGAAAATGTACCAAAATACATGGTTTGGATTCAAGATATTGATCTTTGTTGCAACTTCCATGTCTATGCCTACTATTTTCCTGCAGGTTGGAGCAATTATATCTGGTCTTCAGCCTGGGTGGTCCACCAGGTACTGGAAAGATTGATACAGCAGTTGAAATCTTGCATGTTCTATACCACAACTGTCCTTCTCAAAGGACCTTAAGTCAGGAGAGAGTCGTTACATAAAAGGGTGTATCAGTCTTTTACATATGCTTAGCCGTTTCACTACAAAAACAAGAATGAAGCAGAACAGAGGTGGATCATCTGTCTGACTCGTTTGGTTTTTGGTTATTTATTACAAAAACAATCAAGAATAAAGAGAAATTTTTTGATTATTTTTAAAACAATTCAAACTGGAGTTGGAATACAATGCATTTGATTATACAAGTCACAAGCAAAGCCAAAAAATTAAACTAAGGAAATCAGATTTTGGATCCAAGTAAGGTGATGAGGAAGTCCTTGTAGTATCCAGAGATATCACCAACGATAGCATTATCCATGCTTGTGTTGTACATATTGAAATACTCTCCTCTCACTTTCATCAAATCAATCTCTGCACGCGTCACAATCGCTCTCGTCAACGAATCCTCATCTGTTCCAAAACCCTCAATGGAATCTCTTACAACCTGCCAATATAACAAACGCAAACACTGAGGAACAATCACCTTCTTCAAACAGAGTTTTTGAATTTATTCTTGCTTTCAATGTACCTTGGCAAAGTGTTTCTCAGGAGTATCAATACAAAAGATTGCCGTCTGCAATAGACTTCTCAGATCAGCATCTCCTGGACATCCTTCAAAATCCTGTTCATACAACACTAACATGTAAACATCGAAGAAAAAAAAGAAAACCAAACACATGAGAGACCAAAGTTACCACCAAACCAAACCCATGGATCTGAACCTTATCAATAGTGATCCCATAACTCTGCTTGTAAGCAACAAAAGTTTCTCTGAGCTGGTAGATACTACGCGTTCCCAATATGTACAGAACATGATCATGATCTAATTGCTTCTTCTCTATGGCTTCACGTAGCATAGCAGCCTCAATGGTAGCTACTTCTGCATCAGTCTTATCTTTGTCATATCTGAATGAACTTGCCAATGTCACCAGAAACTGTAGTTTCAAACAAGTCAACCCATCAATCCAAAGCTTCTCATGAAGCAAAATATATTAAAAAACGAAACTTTGACACCAATTTGGAAGAAAGAAATCACCTTTGCAAGAGGAAAAGGCAGAGTAGAAGCAATGTGTTCTTCAAGAGATGAGTCAAAGAGAGAACAATAAGCTTTCCTGACAGCAATTAAATGGTCAGGAGAAGTTGTGCAAGAGATCTCTACAAGAACCTTCAAATTCTCAACACCTTTCTTCTTCTTCTTCTCCTTGTTCAAAATCTTGTTCACAAGCCTTGCGTCTCTCTCTGCTGGATCATACACCCACGAAACCACAGCTTTCTACCAATCAATCAACCACATGTTTTCAGAACAAAATCTCTTTTATCTAACCAAGAAGGAATATCAAAAATGTAACAGTAAGTTACCATGAAATCACCAGACAATTCAGAGGAGAGATCATCGATAAGATCTTTGCCGTAAATCTCTCTGTAACTCTCTCTGATCTTCCTTATTTGGCTCTTGTTCCTTTGTCCTAAAACTCGTATAACAGCCTTCTCATCTGTTCCCCAACCTACACCAAATAAATAAATAAGAAAAGACAACTTTTGATTCAGAATTGCATCAAAATCACACACAAATGCTTTATGCTTCTCACCATCAATGAAATGTACGTACCGCGAAAAGCATGGTTAAGAGTTTCAGAATCCTGAGCTGGAGAAGGAACTTGGTCTGGTACTCTAATGGTGGCCATTTCAGTTTCTCTCTCTGTTTCTTTCTTGTGCTCTCTCTCTCTCTCTCTCCGTGTCTCGTCGTCTTAGTTTTTTTTTTCTATAAGGCGGAGTTATTAATTTACTTTTAGGTGTAATTATGTTTTTGCAGGGGATGTTAGATTTGACATAAATACCCCCAAGACGTAACTGTAATGACGCAATTAACTTATTTCTGTCGAGTTTTAGTTTTTGAGGACAATTAAGTTATCAGGGTCCAATAATTAGTTGTGTATTGATGAGAGTAGTATTCTCTTTTTTTTTTTCTTTTCTTTTTTTTTTTCTTATTTAACTATTTGCATAATTGAAACCAAATATTCATAAAAGAGCTCCTTTTAGTCCTTAAAGCTTAAGATAACGTTTAAAGTTTTTTTTTTTTTTGAAGTCTACCAAAGATACTTTTTGATTAGGTGCATGGTTAGTAACATGTGTGCATTGATCTAATATTATAAATTGTTTCATATTCGATACATGTAAAAGCAAAAGAGGGAGGTGACTCTGCATTTGATGAAAAGAGGATTAATTAAGGATACATGGGAAAAGCAAAAAAGAGGTACTGACTGATCTGCATGCATGTTGAAGATTCTTATTATGGCCAGTTCTGTTTGGCTGGATCGGTAAAAGCAAAGTCTCTCCCACTTGAAGTCGAACGTAAAGCTTTGTTATAACTTGCATGCCTCTCGCATTTAGTGCGTGTGAAAAGGGGTATGTATAGATGCGTTTAGTATGATGGAGGGAGATCAGACATGTATAGGGTCTCTTGGAAGTTGAAATCCCTCAAGAAAATGATCCGCGATTTCAGTAGAAGTAACTACTCTGATCTGGAAAAGAGAGTGCAAGAGGCTCATGAGAAGATGCTAGAGGCACAAGGAGAAATGCTTTCTAACCCTACTGTCATAAACGCCCATCTAGAAGAAGAAGCTCATGGTAAATGGTTGATCCTCTCAAATGCTGAAGAAAGTTTTTTCAAGCAAAGATCTAGTATTGGCTGGCTGGGAGATGGTGATTGCAACTCAAGGTACTTCCATAGAATGGCTGACCAAAGAAAGGCTACTAACCACATCCATTCTCTGGAAAATGAATTTGGAGACAAAATTGTTTCTCCTAAGGGAATTCAGGACGTATGCATTGACTTCTTTTCTGACCTTCTGGGAAAGGAGGTGCCTCCCCCCATGTTTATTCAGGATGACATTACTGCTTTACTCGACTTCTCCTGCTCTCAAGGCCAGGCTCAGTCTCTTATTGCCCCGTTCTCTAGTAGGGAAATCAGGGATGCATTCTGTTCTCTCCCCAAGAATAAAACTAGTGGACCTGACGGGTACCCTGCTGAATTCTTTGTGACCTGTTGGAGTATTGTGGGGGGAGAAGTTACTGCTGCGATTCAAGAATTCTTCACGTCGGGCAAGCTGCTTAAGCAATGGAATGCCACCACCCTGGTATTGATTCCTAAGTTCAGTAATGCGTCGAAGCCTTCTGATTTCAGGCCAATTTCTTGCCTGAACACGCTGTACAAGGTTATTTCTAAGCTACTCTCTGATAGGCTGAAGTCCCTTTTGCCAAAAGTGATCTCCCCTTCTCAGTCCGCTTTCATCCCGGGTAGGCTCCTGTCAGAAAATGTTCTGCTGGCTACAGAGATTGTTCACGGGTATAACAAGAAGAATATTGAACCGCGTGGCATGCTAAAAGTGGACCTTCGAAAAGCGTTTGATTCTATTCGATGGGATTTCATCATCGCTGCTTTGAGAGGTATTGGAGTTCCTGAGCAGTTTATATCCTGGATTTCATAATGCATTACTACACCCGCATTCTCCATCTCTGTAAACGGTGCTTCTTGAGGCTTTTTCCACAGCAAAAGGGGTCTAAGACAAGGAGACCCGATCTCTCCTTACCTCTTTGTTCTTGCAATGGAGATTTTCTCTAAGCTTTTGCTTTCAAGGTACACTTCTGGCTACATCTTCTATCATCCCAAAACATCAGGCCTGAACTTATCTCACCTGATGTTTGCGGATGATGTGATGATCTTCTTTGACGGTGGAAGCTCCTCTCTCCATGGAATAAATGAAACTTTGGATGATTTTACTAGTTGGTCTGGCCTCAATATGAATAGGGACAAAACAGAGTTGTTTCTGGCTGGAGTGGATGAGGTTGAGTCGCTGGCCATCTCTCACTATGGTTTCCCTAAAGGTAATCTTCCAGTCAGATATTTGGGACTTCCTCTAATGTGCAGGAAGCTTACAGTTAGGGAGTTTGGTCCCCTAGTGGACAAAGTGAGAGCTCGCCTTTTGAGTTGGGCGGTAAAGGCTCTGTCTTTCGCAGGAAGACTTCAGCTCTTAGCGTCTGTTATCACAGGAATGGTGGTTTTTTGGATTTCTACTTTCAAAATCCCAAAGGGATGCATTAGAGAGATTGAGTCTCTTTGTGCTAGATTCCTATGGTCTGGAGGTATTGAAAATCACAATAAAGCAAAAGTGGCTTGGTCCAAAGTTTGTTTGCCAAAATCTGAAGGAGGTCTAGGCCTCAGAAGCTTCTCAAATTGGAATACCACTTTAAGCCTAAAGTTTATCTGGTTATTATTCTCTAGCAGTGGCTCTTTGTGGGTTGCCTGGCACAAATTTCACCATCTCTCCAGCAACTTTTGGCTCTTAAAGGAACATGTAAGGGACACTTGGAACTGGAGGAGCTTGCTCCGCTTGAGACCTTTAGCAGCGAAATTTCTCAATTGTAAAGTTGGAAACGGAGCCTCCCTAAGTTTTTGGGGAGATACTTGGACACCATTTGGACCTCTCCTTGATTTTTTGGGCAGCTCGGGCCCGAGAGACTTAAGAATCCCGATTTCAGCTACTGTGGCTGATGCTTCCTCCGGAAATTCTTGGCTGCTGGCGGCTCCCAGATCATCTCAAGCTGTGCAACTTTACGCTCACCTCTCTACCATCTCCCTACCTCTTCCCTCAGGTTTGAACGATTCCTTTGTATGGGTTGTGGACAATGTGACGTGTGCAGGTTTCTCCTCTTCTTTGACTTGGGAAGCTGTAAGAACTAGGGGGCTTACTGTGAGCTGGGCTGATTCCATATGGTTTAAAGGAGCTACGCCAAAAAATGCTTTCAACATGTGGGTTTCCCAGCTAGATAGGCTCCCAACAAGGTCAAGGCTTCTCTCTTGGGGTCTGCAAGTACCTGCTCATTGTTGTCTTTGCTCAAGGGATTCTGAAACGAGGCTCCATCTTTTTCTATCTTGTCCTTTCAGCCGTTGCATCTGGGAAAAGGTTTTCGAAAGACTCAGGCTTCCACCTTTGTTGTTTCGGGACTGGGAACATCTCATCTCTTGGACTATGTTAAGAAGCAGATCATCACCTCCTACTCTGAGAAAGCTAGCAGCCCAAGCAACTGTGTATGCGATATGGAAACAGCGGAATAACGTCCTCCATAATTCTCAGATTATCAACCCTTTGGTTATCTTTAAACTTATAGATCGGGAGGTTCGTAATTCTATCACTGCCCGTCGGCATAGAAAGAGTTTCAAGGCTCTAATGTCCCGCTGGATAATGTGACTAGTGCTGCTGTAAATCTTTGATGTTCTTGTATTAATTTTCGTTTTGCTTCCTTGTTTTATGTTTTTTGGCAAGGAACTAACTTCTGCTAAGCCCTCCTTCATGTAATTCAGAAAAATAAAAAAGAAATTCAAAGTATGTTAGTAGAATAATGTAGTGGTTACAAAGATGAGAAGATCTTATAATAATTGAGGGTGTACTCGATTTAAATGTTTGATTAGAAAACCTTCTAAAGAGTCGTATCAAGTTTTACGTTACTTCCGGATTAATAAAATTGAATGTGTTAGTTTGCAGATTTCATTAGAAAATTAAACAAGATTTTAATAGGGTGTAAATATAACTTGTCAAATTTAATCTTTTCACATGTTATAATGTGCTTGACTTGGACAAATAGCTATGTTGTGACTTGTGAGTACATCTAAACTTCGCATTATTGATAACATAAAAAGGTTTAAACAATTCGCACCCCAAGGCTAGCTAGATGAAAACCATATTATTATAAGTTGTATAGTTAAACTGTCTGTGTGAACTGTGCGCTATGTAAATAATGAATATTTAAGATGAAGGAACATGATGGGATGTTGTTATATGAGTGACATGTAAGTATAACCAAATCAAAATAAATAGAGATAGCGATATGCAAAGTGACACGGCTTAACATAGCTGTCCTCCGAGTTATTGCAAGTCGTCTCATCGTGTAAAACGTGATCTTGTCTATTTTTCTCGTTACTGGTAATGTAGTATTTAACTGTGTCCATCTAAGATTGGTTAATATGTTAATTATGTCTTCTCAATGTAAACAAAATGTGAACAAAATCCTTTGATCTAGAATGTGCCCGCCCACACGTACGTAGCTTTATCTCAATCCCAAAAAAAAAATGAATTATATCATAATCTTGTAGCATTTTATTTTATTGATGAGTTCATCACTACTATTAAAATTAAATTTCTTCTCATGTATTGCATATATATATACGCAATTCTATATGATCAAAATGTTAGCTGTTGAATATTATATAATACTTAATATATATGCTAAATCGTGTCATCGAAAGTTGAACAAAACACGTTTTGATATAAAAGAAAGTTAAAGAACATTTTCCAGAATTTGACACTGTCTCCATGAGACAACTTAAGATTTTATTAATTTCTTATTTTAGTTTAATACAAGTTAATACAAATTTTTTTTTGGAAAATCTCATTGACAGATCGATATTCAGAAATAATCTATAAAGAAAAGCCATGTGATATGTGTTGAATATATAATAATAAAAATATATAATAGCTTAATTACGAGTCTCACAATAAATAATGCGAAGCATCCTACCAAAAAAAATAAAATAATGCGAAGCAAATGTGATTGGGTCTTCTCATCTACAATTGAGTGCATAATTTATGAAATGGGACAGTCTGGACCTTGTAAATTATGAGAATGCATACAATTTTATATTCAAGGATCCATTCATTTTTTTTCTAAGTGAAGAAGAGATCTGATGTGTTTTGGCAGTAAAAATGAAACGTCTGGACTAATCTATTTTATTGATAACTTTATTCGTTCCGTTTAAGATTTAGTGAGATTTACAATTTAGTTGACTTTTACTATTTGATTAACTCAGATTTAAGCTATTCAAACGATCCACATGGATTCTTAATCTTATACATGATCATATCCCTATTCCATATATATCACTTCGGTTTGCTTTATCAATATGTTTGAACACTGTTAAAAATAAAATAAACCCATTTCTTTTTATTTTTTTTCCAATAAGTATAACTCCTCCTCGTTTTGTATTATAGAGATATGAATGATGATAATACTAATTATGTACATTTTATATAATGGTCAAACATAATAAATTTCCAGTTAATACGAACTATTAATAAGTTGAAGAATTGTAAATATTTCCAAACAGTTGTTTAATTAACTTTAACTTATGTAATAAATCTCGTGGGCGTTACTACTTACTAGTCCTTTGTTACAACAAAACAAATACCCCTTCCCTTAAAGCTTAGCTAGCACTTTTGTCTTAAAATCAGTTTTTAAATACCGAAAACACCCTTGCATCCATCCTTAACCACAATATTACCCTTAATCATCATATAAAACGTGTTGTCCCTCTTACATAGAAATCCACAGAAACCAAACCAAAGCCGAGAAGAAAAGAAAAGAAAAACTAAATCCGCAAGAAGAAGAAAAATGGCTCTTCCTCTCGACCTTGAAAGCCTCACTGAAGCATTATCAGGTAATTATTTCTAATACTAAAGAAGTAATAATCAGTGGTTTTATTTAAGATATGTAATATATGTGGAAGACAAAGAATGATTTAGCTAGATTTGGTAAATGTGTACGTATGATAAATAATATAGGGAATCTAGGGATGGGAGTGGATGAGAACGCGTTGATAAGCAAACTGGGGAAATCGCACAAAGATCATCGAAAGCTTTTTAGGAAAGCAAGCAAAAGTTTCTTTGTTGAAGATGAAGAGAGAGCTTTTGAGAAATGTCATGATCACTTCGTCCGACATCTCAAGCTTGAGTTCTCTCGCTTCAATGTCAGTATCTTTTCTTCTTCTTCTTCTTCTTTTTTTTTCCAGCTTCATTTCTTCACATTTTCCTCTCTTTTTTTTTTACCTAATTACACACCTTTTTTTTGGGTGGTCAAACCGAATAACAAAATCAATTACTCATTTTTTTACCTAATAAAAGTATATATATAACCAACCATCTATTATTACAACTTTATAAAATTAAAAAATAAAAGTTAAAAAAAAAACTAAATTTGCTTAATTTGATTTATAGTAATTAATACAGAAACTATCTTAGCTAAAATGATTTTTTTTTCAATGTCTATTGATTGGTTTTCTATTAATATGTACTAATAAAATACTCTCAAATATTTCTTGAAATAAAAAAAGTTTGGACACGATGATTTGGTTTTGTTTTTACCGATATATATAGATCATGGATTTACATCTCAAAAATCTAGTTTTACCTAGATAAAACTCGCATTTTACAATATGAGTTAAAACTTCATCTCTACTTCCACTAGGAATTAATTTTTGTAACAATTTGGTGTGTGATGTGTGTAGAACGCCGTTGTGATGTGGGCGATGCATCCATGGGAGAGAGACGCAAGGTTGGTGAAGAAAGCTCTAAAGAAAGGAGAAGAAGCGTACAACCTCATCGTGGAGGTCTCATGCACACGCTCCGCTGAGGATCTCCTCGGGGCACGTAAAGCTTACCACTCTCTTTTCGACCAGTCAATGGAAGAAGACATTGCCTCTCACGTCCACGGCCCTCATCGCAAGGTCAGTATTAATTTTTTGGTTCCCTTTACATTTCCAATGTCGAAAATATCTTAACATTCTTCTCACTGATCATGTCTTTGCTTTTTGTGCAGTTGCTTGTGGGACTCGTGAGTGCTTATAGGTACGAAGGGAACAAGGTGAAAGATGATTCCGCCAAATCAGAGGCTAAGTTTCTGGCAGAAGCTGTGGCTTCTTCCGGAGATGAAGTCGTCGAAAAGGATGAGGTTGTTAGGATTTTGACCACAAGAAGCAAACTCCATCTCCAACATGTCTACAATCACTTTAACGATATAAAAGGCTCTGATCTTCTTGGGGTAATATAAATATAACAACTCACCTCTTATGTTATATAGTGTTTTGATGGTTTTCTAATTAAGTATTTGTGGTGATAATGATGATCATCAGGGTGTATCTCATTCTTCGCTCCTCAATGAAGCATTGATTTGTTTGCTCAAACCGGCTGTGTATTTCAGCAAGGTAAGGAACCATATTCTTGTACTCCGATTGTCTCAAAAGTTGAACGAGACACAAGAATTTAACTGATTTGGTTTTTTTTTTTTTATTTTGTTGTCATTTGGTATTTAGATTTTGGATGCATCACTGAACAAAGACGCAGATAAGACTACCAAGAAATGGTTGACAAGAGTATTAGTTACAAGAGCAGATCATAGTGATGAGATAAAGGATATCAAAGAAGAGTACAATAACCTTTATGGTGAGACTTTGGCACAGAGAATCCAAGACAAGATTAAAGGGAACTACAGAGATTTCTTGCTCACACTGCTCTCCAAATCCGATTGATTCCGTTTTTGAGAAAATCATTACCAAAACTTGTTTGAAGATTCACTTTCCCTTTACGGTTCTATGTTTCTGATTCCAAAATTTGCGTTTTTCTTCACCATTTGGTTTATTTGATAATAAAAGAATTAATGTCGTTCATGACATAACAATTTGGTCCAAGGGGTTCTATTTCGGAAGTAAATTTTGTGTGTTCTGTTTTGTATCTTTGTTCTTCGTATTTGATGAACTCGGAGAGTACTGTTTCTAAATGCGATAACGAGAGATTAATTCGCGATTAAAGCTCCAGAAACCATAATTTTGTATCTTAATGTTGCATAAATCTGAAAGAAACTTGTATTAACTCTACTTGAAAGATTTTTCCAATGTGACAGACTTGGAAGTTGTGTGTAAGTTGCAACTCTAAAATAAACCAAGAAACCTAATTACGAATGCCAACCGAATTTCACATTCTAAACCCGGTTGAATGTTTATATATTTCCGGTTTAAAATTTGACAGCATGTAGTGATGACACGTGGCGAAGAAGAGTCCCCGAATCTTCCTCTGACGACCATTCCGATACCTTTTTGGTTCTGTCTTCCTCCAACTCTCTCTTCTCTGCTTATTTGGTTTTGTTCACAAATCTCTCAAACACCCCATTTGTTTTCTTCTCGTTTCGTTTTGTAATCACAGATTCACAGATCCGTTTCTATCACAATGAATGGCTTCTCTGATCTTAATCCTTCTGAGAGGTACGCTTTGTCTGATCATCAATGATACTTAATAATCTCTTTAAATATGCATGAATCTGTATTTATTTCGTTCGTCTCAGCTTCCATTTTCATCTTGCACTACGTTTTCTACGATTTGTGTTAGTTTTGTTTATTAAACTGCCTAGTGTTTGTGTGTCTCCAAGATCAATGGAACTCGTAGCTAATTGATAGGCAACAAGTGGTTCTAATTGGCTTTTGATCTTTATTCTCTGTCGATTATGGTATCAAAGTTTGATCCTTTTGATGCAATCTCATTCTCAAGATTTACTCTTTTGATCTGTTGTGAAACAGCAAACCTTCTCTGTCTCATCTTGCTCCATTAGAAGCCATTCTTTTTGATGTTGATGGAACACTCTGTGATTCAGATCCCATTCACCTTATTGCCTTTCAAGAACTGCTTCAAGAGGTTCCTCCCCTGTCCTTTATATCATTATATCTTCAATTTTACAGCAAAAGAAAAAAAACTGAATTCTCAATTTTGCTACTTTATATCATTCACAGATTGGTTTTAACAATGGTGTCCCAATTGATGAGAAATTCTTTGTTGCTAATATTGCTGGAAAGCACAATTCTGAAATTGCTCAAATTCTGTTCCCTGATGATGTCCCAAGAGGGTTAAAATTCTGTGATGAAAAGGAAGCTCTTTATCGCAAGTAAGTTTTTTTTTTTTAGTTCTCTTAACTTTCACAAACTTGTTTCAGGTTTGAGTGTTAATTTTGGAGTAACTTTGTGTGTTTGTTCTTTTCTTGTTGATTAGAATTGTTGCAGAGAAGATTAAGCCACTTGATGGGCTTATAAAACTGACCAAATGGATAGAAGAACGTGGACTGAAACGAGCTGCGGTTACAAACGCGCCAAAAGAAAACGCAGAGCTCATGATATCAAAACTTGGTCTGAGTGATTTCTTTCAAGCAGTGATTCTTGGCTCCGAATGTGAATATCCCAAACCACACCCTGGACCATACTTGAAGGCTCTTGAAGTGCTTAACGTGTCAAAGGAGCACACGCTAGTCTTCGAAGACTCGATCTCTGGGATAAAAGCTGGAGTTGCAGCTGGAATGCCCGTGATCGGACTCACTACAGGGAATCCAGCAAGCCTCCTTATGCAAGCGAAACCCGCTTTTCTCATCGAGAACTATGGGGATCCAAAACTGTTGGCTGTGTTGGAAGAACTTGATAACAAGGGAAGCTCTCAAAAGTGTTGAGGAATGAGGAGTTGTGCCTCACTTGTTTGGCTTAAAAGACCACACAGCTATGAGCAGCCTCTTAAGTTTTACCTTTCCTCTTAGTTGATTATTGTTGAATAATAATTCTTTTGAGAATTATGACAATACTAAAGATTTGTATTGATCATACATGCACAATACTACAGATTTGTATCCGGAAATACTTACATAAACTAAAATAGCAGTTTGATCCCAAAAAAAACTAAAATAGCAAAGTAACAACAAAGGGGATGATGAAGATTTGTATTGATCATACATGCACAATACTAATGATGTAGTAACTTTAATTTCCATATTTTTCTTCTGTTAGTTTTGCAAAATTAATTAAAAATAATTATGAGTTATGAACAATTTTGTAAGCATTGTTTACATTTAAATAACACAAAATAAAAAGCCCAAGAATGTGTGTAAAAAGAAAGCCTGAAAGCATAATAAAAAGCGTCTGAAAAAAGCTGAGAGCAAAAAGAATCGATCATTCATAATAGAGCAGAGAGACGGAGACAGACGACAAGGAGGGGCTGATAGGTTTCACCGAAGCTGAGAGAAATCATCAAAGAGTTTGAGCTAGATTATGAATTCGGGAGGAGGAATCGTTGCTGCACCAACAACAGCAGCTCCTTCAAGCGGCGGTGGAAACGTTGAGTGGCATGTCCGACCACCGAACCCTAAAAACCCAGTCGTCTTCTTCGATGTCTCTATTGGTGGCATCCCCGCCGGTCGTATCAAGATGGAGCTTTTCGCCGACATTGCTCCCAGAACCGCTGAAAACTTCAGGCAGTTCTGTACTGGTGAACACAGGTACGCATATATTTTCATTGAATTGAATGTGTAAGTCCAGTCTCTATTTTTGTTCTTGCATCTTGGAGCTCCTTTGAGGTTGAATTTATGGATTTAAGATTTAGAATTTCTGGTGTTCCTCTCAAGAGATTTATGAGGTTTTAGAGCTTTTTGGATTCAGAAAAGTTGGTGCTTGCTGCTTCTTTCATGCTTCATACTAGATTTTGTATTTGTTTAATGCATATTTTTAGAACCTTGCTAGCTTAAGCGCAGTTAAACATGGTTTTGTGTTGCTTAATCTAATCTTCTTCGTCGTTTGGTTTGGCTCTGGTGCTATTGCAGAAAGGTTGGAAAACCTCTTGGTTACAAAGAATGTCAGTTTCACAGGGTTATCAAGGATTTTATGGTTCAAAGTGGTGATTTTCTTAAGGTCAGTAGTACCCTTTACTTCTTTTATTACTTATGATGATTCTCAGCTAGCACTGTCTTTTATCTCTCTTGTATCTGTTCGTGGTTCGTTTCTGTATCTCTTCTTACTGGATGGATACCTAATACATATGTTAAAACTCTCTGCAGAATGATGGTAGTGGATGTGTGTCAATTTATGGCCACAAGTTCGATGATGAAAATTTTACTGCCAAACATACTGGCCCAGGATTGCTCTCCATGGTAAGCAATTGGTTTTATGAATATGAGCTATAAATTCGATTACCTTCTTTCAGTGCGGTTGATATATTGAATGAGTTCACCTCGAGTTTTTCAATATTCATGAGTCAAACTTTGAATTTTATGTATTACTCACGACTTTGGTTGCTAATATTATGGCTCTCATTCTTTTGTTGTAGGCAAACAGTGGACCAAACACAAATGGGTGCCAGGTAATTTCAGTCTCATTATAATGGCCCGATGTGTTTGTGATATGAGATAAATTGAAACAAAAATGTTGATTATCCAAGCTTTGAGCGTTGGATGCCTTATGTTTTGACTATGATGCTAAACTATTATATAAGATTTATTAGTTGCTGATTTGGCATAAAATCTTATAATTGAGGCTACTTACCTTTGCTTTTGGCCATTGCAGTTCTTCATCACCTGTGCAAAATGCGACTGGCTTGACAATAAGCATGTTGTCTTTGGGGTATGTCCTCTCTTTACATACACATTTAAGCTTTTAACTTGTCTTCCATTATATTTCTAGTTCTCCCTTTGTGGTTATAACTGGGATCATCTAGCATAAAATAAAACTGGCCCTATATAGTTGAGGAAGAGCCATAAAGTCATGAACTCTTGTGCATATAATCAGTAGTAGTGTTGTTTTGATTCATTGCAAATTCTTCTTTTGATGTACAGAGAGTGCTTGGGGATGGTTTATTGGTGATGCGGAAGATTGAGAACGTGGCTATCGGACCAAATAACCGACCTAAGCTTGCGGTTGTAATTACTGAGTGTGGGGAGATGTGAAATGTTTTAACCCTCACCCAGCCAAAAGGCCAAAACAGTCCTTGAAGAACCTTTCCGCTGAAGGAGTAATGTAGTGAGAGAGCCTATTAGTTGTCAGCTTACGCATTGTGACAGAAGTTATCATTTGTATTTTAGCAAAAACAATTTGTTAGATTCTCTTTCTATTTAGTGCCAAACTATGAAACATTTCCTGAAAGAAATCAAATTTTTGTTTGGTGGTAAAGCTGCAGATAGCAAATTAGTTGTTCAACTTGGTACAGTATATCGATTCTTGAAGTAAAGCCTCTGGTAAATTTGGTCTGAAGATCAATAACTTGCAAGTGAAATGATCAACTTTTTATATTCATAGCTACCGATATCTGTTAAACTTCATTGGCAATGGAAGCAGAATCCCAAAAAGAAACACATTAGAAGTTTCAGCGCTCACTAACAGGTAATGTAGCTTATCTATACCCCTAAACCCCTCCCCCTTTTCAGTAATCTATCATGAATCTTCTTTCTGAAGAGCAACATAGTTCAACGGTATCACGGCATTGCCTCGATAATCTTTGCCTCCAGAAATAGCAGAACGTCCAGGTGTACTCCCAATCCGTCGGCCAATTGGAGTTTTAGTCACATTGTCTGTGTTAAGACTCTGTCCCAATGGCTTCTTCTTTGCAGACTTTGAACCATACTTTGCTTCTTTTTCTGTAGCAAGCTGACCTTGTAGTCGTTTCTGATCCTGTTATGCAAAAAAAGTCAAATAGCTTTGTTCTGTTAACTCACTAACACAGTGAGCGTCTACAAATCTGTGGTTTTTTTTTAATTTGTTTTTGAAGACACATACTCTGAATTGACGCTTTTCCTCTTCTTTTTGAGCACGCATAACAATGTCTTCTTCCAGCATTTGTAACAACGGGTGCTGGAATTAAAAGACATTAATTATATAAGCTGACCTTAAAAGATAATTAAGTAAATGCATAGTTTAGTTACCTTATCACATAAGAAGGGGACTCCTCTTTCCTTTTCCCAGGCTTTCACTTTCGTGATCAGAACATCAATCATCACTTAGAAAGGAAAACCAAGAGGATTATTATCATCTTACGACTTATCAGTTATACAACAGATTACGTATGAACATCAACTGGCCTTTTAAGGGGAGTAGGCATCACAAAAAGCTTCAAAACATTTTACTTGCTTTGAATCAGGCACTGCTACTACATTCACATTCTACTTACCCTAATAAATGCAAGGAAATACACCATATATTCTCAACAACTAACAATGAGTTGTCGGGTTTTGGCTGGAACCAATGCTTAAGTTATAGCGTACGTTCAAACAACTGTGACAGCCAAAAAGAAACCCCATATCTCCTTGTTGCACTGCTAAAAACTAGGTATGCATTTAGAGAAAATAAAAAATCGTGGCATATAAAAAAAGTATTATTGAAACTTATCTAAAGGACTATCAGTTACCAAGTATAGTTTCCAGACAGCATCATTGTAAAATCAAACCTACTTGCATTAACCAAGTAATAGTATAAAGACTCACCAGGAATTTTGCTGATAAGGCTCCTCGCTTTCTCTGCTCGTTTCAAGTTTTTGTGCGCTCCTCTTACAGCACTGAAGCGGTTTTCATCCTGATGAGGCGAACAATTTGAAGAGATAATCAAGAAGACATATACGAAGCTATTGATAATTTCTAACGTTAAAGCCATAAGAGAAAAATAGACACTCTTCGGAGATAAAGTGCTTCTCTCTAATATATATATGTATTGACTGTGGTTAACCTTAAACTTGATAACTCTATATTTTTATCAGGTAAACTGGTAACATTCAGTCGTTTCTTGGCCTATCTTCAGAAAAGACAACTTTCATACAGATTGTGGAATTCACCTTTTCATAGTCATCAAGCCACTTTTCTTCCTCCTTTGAGTGCTTCCACTTATCAACTTTGTCCAAAATTTCCTTTCTGCTTAAAGCTTCCTCTTTTGCCTTCTCGATCTGACCATCTATGCTTGCCAGGATATCCGACAGATCACCGTCACCTGCCCAGAAAAAAATAGGAAGGTATCTTTTGAATCATATTACTAATCGCATCAGTAACTTAGCAATATGTGAAACCATGCCATTCGCACTCAGTAAACTAAGTTCTGCAAAGGTGTCTCATGACGCATCTTAGTTACAAGTCGAGGAGAAAACCATTGGGTTAAAAACTACAAATGGTCAAAGATGGAGTAACGACTAGCAATATTGGAGAATATATCTTATTTAGTATAGTCAATATCTTGAAAGAGAGGAAGAGAGGCTACCATTTTTTTTTCAAAGATATTTCATAATGCTCTAACTGAGATGTACAAGCAGTATAAGTTTGGAAGCCAAGGAAAAGGAAAACACTACACTGCCAAACTGAAGTACTAAATTGATTAATTGATCCACTCAAGCAGAATGTGTATCGTACCAGATTCAATGAGGTTGACAAGACTCTTTCTTGCAGCATCACTATTGATGTCCATATGATTCCCTCTGCAGATCTCTTCTAGCTCACACTGCCTCTTAAACACCAGTTCCTTCATTTTGCTGGACTTCAGGGCATTTAGTCTTTTCACTTCATCTTCAGCCTATGCCAAAAAAGATTAGATTTAAGGAAAATATAGTTACTCGCTATTTGAAACATATCAGGGTAGATGATAATGCTAAGGTAACCAAAATAAAAACATGATCAAGTACCTCTCGGACAATGTCCAGACCGAGACATCCTTTTTTCAAGGCATCATCAGATGGACCAAAAAGTAAGTTACTGCAATGGTCAAATCTTCTCCTCTCATCCATAGGTGTTTCCATTAGGTTCCACAACTCTTGCATGCTTCTTCCCAAACCTTGTAGCTGAATAAAAAACAATTTTAAGGTATCAACCATACTAGCTGTGGTTTGCTTTCATGGGGTTTCAAAATTCATTTCCGTGAAAACTGGTGCAAGGTTTAATAAGAGGTACCAATAAAATGGCAATTCATAATTGAATGCTATTGTGCTCAAGTGCAGTGATAAGACATGAAAAAACACATAATATATATACTAAACCACCAAAGATCTTGACTGATGTTCTGACCTGCAAGTAAGTGCACAGAAATATATTTTTTAAATGTCCTAAGTGATACTAAATTCTACAGAATGTCAAACATATGCTCAAAAGCTTGTTGTGGAAGCTACATATTGATCTCTAGACTATGCAAAAATCAGCAGCATTCAGATGACTCCTCAAATAATTGCACATATGTAATATCTGAACCAAAAGTGTAAATAAGTTAACGAGCTCATATGTGCACTCTATCAGGATAACAAAATTAGTAAATATGTTGAAAAGTTTGAAAGTATATTTTTTATCACCTTAAGCAACCTCTCATGTTTCTCCTCCTTCAGAGACTTTACAAGTTCAGTTAGCTTAGCAAGAGTATCATTGCTAATGCTTTTCGAATGAGTCATTGAAAACTCGGTCAAGCTGCTATGAACAGTACTCAAGGCCTTTGAGAAATCAAACAACATAACCTCTGACAACTCATGGACAGCACTGATATAAGAGTTTACTTTCTGCAGTCGAACAGCCTGATATTGAAATAAAGAAGATAAGCACAAAACCAGAAACATTTTCAAAAAAATAGGTGTAGATATAAATGTAAACACCTTTTCATTGCGAAGATCCTGCAGATGTGCTCTAAGTTCATCCAGCTTTCTTTGTGTCAAGTCACTTTCATCAATCTCTGGACCAGAACTCACAGGGTAATCATTTCCCGCTATGTTAGAAGAGATCTCTGCTATTTGAGTCAGTGTCTCAGAGAGTTCTTTCCTTCGCAGGTCCTTTTTCATCAGTAGATCTTCCAGAACAGGCTTTACAGTGGATATCTGCTCCTTCAAAGAGCCTTCTTTCTTCTCAAAAAAAAAAATAATAACATATATAAGACAATCATCTATGTTCTCCATGAAACAAACATGGAGTGATGCTAAGAGTACCATACCCTTGGAAACGAAACTTTTTCACCAAGTGCAGACATGAGACTGGCAATCTCAGCTTGAGCTTGAGCTAACGACCTCTGCAACTCAGCTCTGTACTTACGAGTTTTTTCAACCTTTTTGTTGTATATATCCAGACATTCCTGCTCAAGTTCTAGCAGCATCTTATCCCTGTCGTTGTAGTTTTCACCAATCTCATCCCATATTATCTACACCAGAAAAAAACAGTTGTAAACATCAAAACCACCTGCTCAAGTAGTGTTTAAGTAAGAATCAACAGAAACACACATGCTCAATTGCTACACAATATAAAAAACATCCTCACCAGTCATCATTAGTGGTATCCTAATCCTAATTTCGATTATTGCTCAAATCTGAGCTAGCAAGTGAGTTGATTCAACAAACAAGTGAAACAAACGAGGCTAACTAAGAAATGCTTCATACTAAAACCAACCCAGGACAAAATTAGAGTACAGCTCTTTCACAGGAAAACCTAGAAGCTGCAAGCAAATGTAATCGCTGAGGCATAATTCGGCAATTCAACGTCAACGAAGGAAAAATTGAAGCGAGAATTGACAAATTGGCCTGGAGCCGAATCTAGCAGACAGTGACGACAAACATAAATAATCCTAAATCAAATTCGATATTCAATTGCGCTACGGAACAAACCAATGAACCATGGGAAACTCAAATCAAAGGAGATAGAGACAATCACAATCGAAATTTCGTGAAAAAATCTGGAGAAAACGAAGAAGTTACGGAGAGGGGAATCAAAGAACCTGCAACTCTTGGAGAAGGGAAGTGCAAGTGGTGGTTGAAGACGGAGGCATTTCTGTTACCGCCGCCGGCGCCGAGTACGTTTGGTCAGAAACCCTAGAAGGTGAAGGCTTATCTGGTTTAAGTGTGAGAGACTTCGTTTCAAGGGCGAGAGAGTGAGAGAGAGCAAACGTCGATTTTGGAAACAAATGATTTTGGCGGTAAATTAGAATTTTAGTATCCCTCTCGAACTTTGTGCACTGGCAAAGTCCAAATGTTTTGCAAATTTTTTTATTTTTTTTTGGCCACCAAAATGTTTTCCAATTTGTTATCTTCTTTGCTAAAATTTCTACGAAAAAAAAAAAGAAATTAAAATCCCAACATTTAAAAACATGTATTTACGTTAAAAATTTATTTATTTATTTTTAAAATCTATATCTGATTTGCAATTTAGGTGATTACTAACCCTAGTAACTTTCGTGTATACATTAGTTGCTTATAAATATCTCCAATATTTTTACTTAGATTTGATTTAATTTCTGTTTGATTTTTTTTTGTGAAAAAGCATATCCCAAAATTAAATTAAAACTAAATAAAAATATTTTGATTCAGATATAAAAGGTAGGTTAAACGAAATTATTCATTTTATTTTATTAAACAATATTCTCATTGTATAAAATTAGCTTCAGTTCCCACAATTTTGTTTTTATGAATGTATAAGATGGGATGATAATAAATATTTATTCTGCATCAGTAACTTTTTGTTTCTTATTTTTGTTAGTTTTTCGAAACCTTTAAACAAAGGCCTGTTTGTAGTTTTTAATAATTGAAGAAACTAGTAAAACAATTAGTTGGTCCAAAAAAAACACGAATGGAACAAAAGGTTTACTAGGTTATCGGCCCATTATATAATTGGGCTTAACGTAAGGCCTATTCAAAAAATGGAAACTAGAAGAAAAAAAGAAATTAGAAGAGTAAAAAGGAAAAAAAAAACAGCAAGAGCCGTAAGCTCAAATAGTTTTAACTTTATTTAAGTCTTTGAGAGTTGAGACGACGACAAAGACACACCAACCAAAAAAAAGTTGTAATCAAAGGCTTTAAAGCTTTTCTTAGGATTAAAAGGAAACGTACACACTTGAGCAATTTCTTCACTCATCCATTCCTCTTCCTCTTCCTCTCTCTCTCTCTCTCTCTCTCTCTCTCTCTCTCTCTCTCTCTCTCTCTCTCTCTCTCTCTCTCTCTCTCTCTCTCCTTTGCGCTTTTCTCAGGTTTCTCCGCTCTCTCTCTTCTTCCTTTGATGCTCACAATTTGGATTCCTTTTTACAGATCGATCCGATACCCTTTTATAGCTTCCATTGCTTTTAATTGATTTCCCACACACAAAATAAGATCAAACCCGATCTTCATCTTCCAACATCGCTCTTTTTTTTTTCAATTTTTGTGCAATTTGGTAATTAGAATTTTCGATATTTGGCTTCTCACTTCTGGGTAGTGTTTTAATTTTGTTACTTTTTCGTATTCAATGAAATTGCGGGGAAAAAAAGTTCAGTTATTTTTATAACTTCCCATCCTAAGTTGTATTCATCTTCTTACTACGCAGTAGTTAATAAGATTTTTTTGGATGTTTCAGGTTCACATTTCTCACTGATTTGGATATTTCTGCAACGATGGTGTCGGCGAACAGAGAAATGGCTGTTTACTGTTTCGACACTTTGGTCTCTCACTACAACAATGAAGAGACTCCTCCACCTGCCTTTGAAGAGGCCAATCAGTACGTTTTTTTTTTAGGTTGTCTTATGACATGCAAGTTTTCATCTCTCTCAAAGTGTGCGTTTTTTTTTAATTATTTTGGCTTCTCTTTGTCTGAATTTTGGATAGAGAAACCTTTTGATTCTCTCGTGTAAGCGTCTTCTTCTATGGGATATTGATTACAATGTAGAATCGTATGGCTTGATCCTTGTGAAACATCACTTAATATTCTCAGGATATTAATTTCGCAATCGGCCTTAAGACTTAGAGAATCACACTGTTTATCTAATGTTCAGAGACTGTATTATTTTTTGTAGTCCATTGTTTGTTACTTGGAAGAAAATAGTGAATGGTGGGGAGCCTCGATTGCGTGGATGTATTGGTACACTGGAAGCACGCCGCTTGATCAGTGGCTTCAAGGATTATGCCTTGACAAGGTAACTTATTCTCCTTCTATAAGGATTTTTCTTTTCTTCGTTTCTCCTATTCTACATCTCTTTTGCCTTTAAATGATCCCTTTTTTCTTTTCAAGTTAGTTCCCCCTCAACTTTACTATATTCATGTCTTCTTAAGTCTGAGATATTATCTATTAACAACTTTGTTGATTTTGTTTTTCCTGTCTCTTTTGCTTTTGTTATAGACTTATATTGTACTTTGTGTTGTTTGGTGCTTAGAGGGAACACCACTGGTGTAAGCTAGACTACAGAGGGATAAGCATAAAGTGATACACATGTACTATGTTTGCGTACCAGTTCCTTGTCTTGTTAATCGAACATAGACAAATATAGTATTTGTCTATGTTCTATCTTTTTCGAAGTGTTGTGTCTATGGTGAGCTTGAACAGCAATTGAAATACAGTGAAAGCAAATCAAGCTCCAACTTTCTGTAAAAGAAATCAGTAATTCTGTTTTCAAAAATTTGCATATATAAGTAGGTGCAATTCCTATAGCTGATTTGTTTTTCTTCCTCATGTCATTGGTTGTAAATGCTTGTGGTGCCTTTTTTTTTTTATGCTGATTTTTTAAAAAGCCACTAATTGTTCTATGCAATATTGCAGTGCCTTGAGAGACCGCAGGTTCCCACCGATACAGGCCAAAGAATTGCCATTTCTGCAATGTACAGTGTCTGTCCTGACTGATTATGAAGACGCAGAAGATTACCTTGATTGGGAGGTATTCTCTTTACTCTTTGTTTACAATGTGTCAGTCGTGCGAAGAGTATCAAGTTGTGTATATTAAGCATATAATTGCCAACAAGGAGTGCATAGTATGAATACTCATTTATAAACCTTGGGATGTCCTTTATCTCATTTTATTTTCTACTCAGTTAACTGCTCTGCTTTGCTAAACACAGTGACATTTTGATTTGGAGGCAGAGTAGATTTTGTTTGTTGAATCCTTCTACATATTCTTCGTTGGTGATATTTTTGTGATCTCACTCTGAAGGTAGGAAAGCACGGTATAATCATTGAGTTTACTGAACCTGAGACTAACACAAAGCGAAACGCCACATATCTGCCTGAGGTGCCAGCTCATGAAGGTACCATCTTCTTGATACAATAATTTCAAGTACTTGAAGCTATTTGCGGTGTTTATACAACAAAGACTTGTTTTATTCACAGGCTGGACAAAGATAGAGGCAATTGATTCGCTGGTGCGTAAAGCAGGATACAATGGTGTAATAACGGAAGCAGTGCGTAGGCGAATCCATTTAACGCGTTACCAAAGTACATTATTCAGCATGCATTATAGCGAATACCTTTCGTATGTGAAGGCGACAAGGAGCGTTGGCCCGGGTATTAATGGGACCATCAAGCCCGCCTTTGCCTGATTTGCACCAAAAACAGCTGCAAATGGATATGCCATTGATTGTGGTTTGGCTACCCCTAATTTATCCTCTATCTGTCATTTCTAAATTGTCTGGCTCTCATAAAAGAAACGAGACACTTCGACTTGGCTGTTTCACAATTGTAACATTAACTTAATAACTTTGATCTCTCTCGCTCTCTCTCTCTCTCTCTCTCTCTCTCTCTCTCTCTCACTTTATTCCTCTTAAGTGAAACTATGTTAACAAATCGTAGACTTAAACTTGAGTTGACTTTGTTGATAATTAAAATCAAATTTGGAGGTTATATTGGTTAATAAAGAAGTACAAGCGTATTTCGTCAGAATTTGCAAAAATTGAGGGTCTTTTCTGATATATTTGCATATTTAATTTAAAATCATGAATCGTTTTAGGCATGTGCTCATTCTTTGGAGTGGACGCAACCGTATCGTACCAATCAGACGTATTTTATTCTCCCACCTGATTTGAGCTTTTCCTTTCTCTTTCGAACTCTCCGTCACTTCCATTTCGTCTTTTTTAAATTGAATCTTCTGAAAGCTGCAGATCTCTGGATTCGAGAAAAGCTTGAGCTGTCCGGAGTATGGCGGAGGAGAAATGGGTGGTGATGGTGACGGCACAGACGCCGACGAATATCGCAGTGATTAAGTACTGGGGAAAGAGAGATGAGGTTCGGATTCTTCCCATTAACGATAGCATTAGCGTCACGCTTGATCCGGAGCACCTCTGTACTCTCACCACCGTTGCTGTTAGTCCTTCCTTTGATCGGGATCGAATGTGGCTCAATGGCAAGGTACTTGCTCTCTTCATTTCCTTTTAAGTTTCAGAACTCATCTTTAAATCGTCTCTTAAGCTTTCAGATTCGTATGAATGTTTCTCTTGGATTATGAAATAGACTCAGGATAAAATAGTTTAGCTCGTGATTTATATCTGAGTCTTGTTGGATTTTGTTGATGGCGTTTTTGATTTCATGCTAGTATAGGAAATCTCGCTTTCTGGAAGTAGGTACCAAAATTGCTTGAGGGAAATTCGAAGTCGTGCGGATGATGTTGAAGACAAAGTTAAGGGTATCAAGATTGCGAAGAAAGATTGGGAGAAACTGCATCTACATATTGCTTCTCATAACAACTTCCCTACTGCTGCTGGCTTAGCATCTTCAGCTGCTGGTTTTGCTTGCCTAGGTACTGTGGTTTTTCTCCCCGTTTATTGGTCACATGGTCTGTTTCTGAATGATTGAAGATCGCCTTAAGGTAGGACTAGACAGTAACATTCATGAAAATGAAGGTGGATTTTGTTTTGTTGGATATATGAACTTTTATACACTCTCCGGTCGATCTTTTTTAGCATAGATTCTATAGATAATACACAATATCTCCCTCTTTTTATAATGTAACTGAGAGATCAGAGAGAGCCACAATATAGTTTCATGCACAACCATATAGTTACATGGCTTTCTTCTCTTTATCCTTCATCTTCCTTCTAGATCTTTATCTTTCTGCATATTTTAGCTTGGAATTGCTCAAATTTATTGACATTGATCCTGGTTCTTTCCCCCAGTGATGAATGTTTTTCTGGATTCCCTAAGTCGATCTTTCTTTTGGAAACTGCTGAATGTAGTATATAACAGTTGCTCTTGGGTACAGTTTTTTCTCTTGCCAAGTTGATGAATGTAAATGAAGATCCAAGCCAACTTTCTGCTATAGCAAGGTATGACTTCCGTTACCTAACTCGCACTTTCACTCTTACTGGTCAGTTTTGTATCTTCCATGTTAATTATACTAAGTTACTATTATTCTTCTTCTCACATTGACTATGTAATTTTATAAGTTTCCATGTTGATATATGCTTTTGATTTGAATTATCTGTAGTTAGACGTTCCTCTAGAGATTAAGAGGTTCCAGTATATATGGTTATAATGTCATTTCTCCATGTAGGCAAGGTTCAGGAAGTGCTTGCCGTAGTTTATTTGGGGGATTTGTCAAGTGGAACATGGGAAACAAAGAAGATGGAAGTGACAGTGTTGCAGTTCAACTGGTAGATGATAAGCATTGGGATGATCTTGTTATCATTATTGCTGTGGTATGGAGCTTAAGTATTTTTATTCTTAGCGCATTTTTAAGCATTTGTGTGGCTCAGTATTGATCTACTCTTCGTCTTCTATATTATGTGGGTCTCTAATTAACTTTTTGTTACACTCTCTTGTCTCATGATATGAATGAAGGTGAGCTATACAACCAAGTATATTTCAGCTGTTGTTAACAATATGATCTGACCTCTGTGATAATACTATTGTTTTTATGTGACTCTTTTTTCTTAACTCATCATCTTGTGTTACATGCAGGTTAGTTCACGACAGAAGGAAACAAGCAGCACCTCGGGAATGCGTGAGAGTGTTGAGACAAGTTTGCTTTTACAGCATAGAGCAAAGGTATGTTCCCTTTTTGATTTTTTTATTACAGTCTGTATCACTTGAAATAACTTTTGCTGGCTGGCTGAATGTTTTTGGTTGTGCTTGCTTATCTTCAAAAATGAAAATATTTCCCTCAACTTCATGCTCTACTTTATGTTCTCCATAGGAAGTTGTCCCAGTACGGATATTGCAAATGGAAGAAGCTATAAAGAATCGAGACTTTACATCTTTTACAAAATTGACGTGTACAGACAGTAATCAGTTTCATGCTGTTTGCATGGATACGTCTCCACCCATATTCTACATGAATGATACCTCCCACAGGTATCTCTTTCTCTTCTTTGGTGTCTTTTGCAGTCATTTTCTGCTTTTAGCTATCAATGTCGTGGTTTTGATTGCAATCTACTAACTGATAATGCCAGGATAATAAGCTTAGTTGAAAAGTGGAACCGTTCTGCCGGTACACCAGAGGTATGTATGAATGCTTACTCCATTTCTCAAAAGCAAGCATCAAGTTTCAAAGGGGTTTCTAGTTTCTAATCTTAATCTCATTTTCCTGTACAGATTGCTTATACATTTGATGCAGGCCCAAACGCGGTCCTAATTGCACGAAACAGAAAAGTAGCAGTTGAATTACTGCAGGGGTTGCTCTACTGCTTCCCGCCTAAGCCTGACACAGACATGAAAAGGTATGATAGGAAGTGTAATTGATTTATTTGATTGATTTAATTCCTGACTAATAAAAATGTTGCTTCGCTACTTTGTATAGTTATGTACTGGGCGATACATCGATTGTAAAAGAGGCAGGCTTGGAAGGAGAGCTCCCACAAGGAATTAAAGACAAAATTGGAAGTCAGGATCAAAAAGGTGAAGTGAGTTATTTTATATGCAGTAGACCTGGGCGAGGTCCTGTGGTGCTTCAAGACCAAACTCAGGCACTTCTCGATCCTCAAACTGGCCTCCCCAAATAACCATTTATATGTCTTGTTATTACTGCAACTCTGAGATCTACAACAGCTTCATCTTTTGTTTTGCCAGCTCCAACTCTTGTCCTAAGAGAGAACTCATCTGAATCGTTTCCAAATTATTTGTGTTTACATACAATTCTTCTTTATCAGGTGCATCGAAATGCTATACGTAGATGCAAAAAGAAACAAACAATATTGTAAACGAATAAGATCTTGATGCTAAATCTGAATGTATCATTCAAATACAGAACAGACCGGATCAGAGGTCCACTCAAGTCCATAATGTTGTCACCAAAACCACAGTTGTTGTAAAAGCAAAACCAACTTAATGTAGCTATCATTCTGTACTATGCCCAAAGCAGTGTTACAACCATAAATAGCATCAAAGCCAGACCAAGACATATCCCAACAAGTGCGCCAAAAGCCTGTCAAAAGCAATGCATCCACAAGTTAATCACTCTTTCATCACCATCATCATCTATCTACATATGTATTACTCAGTAATTTTGGGTGCCTCACTTTTCCCTGACTTTCAAACTTGCATTTTACTGTAAACCACGACAATCCTCTATCAACAATAGGTGCAAGTGCGACTGCCCTGCATCCATCAACATCCATCAACATTCTTCATGACAATACGAAAGGTTTTAATTACTAGTTTACTACTGCATCATCATGATCTGGCAGGATACAGTTTAACAGCTTACTCAAAGGCATCTCAGACCCATGAAACTATAATGAGAGCATAATGATGTTCTTAAGCTACAGAGAACTAACTGAGTAAGAAACTTATATTAGCCACATACCCTCCGATTCTGATGAGCTTAGTAACTTGGCTTCCAGCCCAGACCATGGCCATCACTTTAAGAAATCTGCATGCAACATGAATCTTTCACGTCCATTTAACGCTAGGAAATGCTGAAAAATGTTCCATACCTCTCAGCCGCAGCAAGATAACCCATTTTTCCTGGTGCTGGGGCCACATAAAACCTATTTACATATAGATAATCGTCATTGTTCTGGCTCACGTATGTTATGATGGAGAACAATGTTCCTGTAGCTTTACAGTCAAAATTATATTCTACTCACCAGACCAAGAGGAAAGCTGTGGAGTAATAGACCGTATTAAGTAACCCATAGGATAATATTCCAGAGAGTCCATATCTCTTCAACTTCTTGAGAAGCCTGCAATATTTGCAGCACATCCAGGAGGGCAAAATCATCAAAAGGAAAAGGAAGAGATATTGCTAAAATGTTAATTCCCCAATATTTCCTTGCAATGCATATTTCAATCACATTGAACAGAACCGGAATCATCTTATCTAATATTTGGACAAACCACATCCGAAATACAAATGAAAGTTTCATGATCACCACAGAAGTGGAAACCCAAGTAACTCAGGCAAATATTTAAACAAGAGGCAGAAAACATTTTTAAGATTCATTATGGAAAGCAAAGATAACATTATACGGCAATACTCAGTTATCTGTGGAGTCTTGAACAAAACATATGAAACAATGAAGTAGTCTAACATGGTAGCCACAGTCATATTCTTACTCACAAGCGTCATTACAGAGGCATAGAAAAGTATACAAAAGCAAGAAATTAGTATATTACATACTCTTCTGAAACGAACGGATTTTTCCTGCTTCTCTCATTCTTATCCAACACTTCACCTAGAAAATGTAAGAGAATACAGTGTCAAAACTCAAATCAATAACAACCAGAGAGTAAAAAAGATACATAAACTGAGTCGTTGATGTAAAATGACAATACAAGAATACCTTCACCATAAGAGGGCTCAGCCTCAGCATCAGCTTTATCTGAAGCCTGAAAAAGAAGTACAAACAAAGAGATAGTCACAGCTCAAATTCGAACACATCAAGTATTCACTGAAATTCTCAATAACAATAAAACCATTCAGGGAGATAAAAATACCAACTTTGTGTCTAAAAGAGTTAGCCAATCGGTGACTATGGTGTACTACAGAGAAGCGATGTGGTAGCAGAGATTGAGTGCGCTTCCCATTGGCGGGGAGGCTGAAGTTAAGGAGACGACACTTCTGGAAACAGAGCAGTAAGATTACTAATTTAGCTCAAAAATCATGGTTTCGTGAGAGCGAGAGACAAAAACGAGTACCGGCGGGAGAAAAAGAGTTAAACGGTAGACGCCGGCGACACTCATCCGGCGGTGTTGATTTTTAATGTAAAAGATGTCGCAATTATCGCCGGTGTGAGATTTCGTAAATTTTACAAAAAAATTATAAAAAGAGAATTTTTTAATTTACATAAACCGAACCTGAACCGGAATCTTTAAACCGAGTCTATATATAACCAATTCACTTCAAGAGTCAAGGCAAAGGATACGTGATTAATCTCATTCTCAAACTTATTTTCGTTTTTTTAATAACTGAGAACAGAGAAGGAAGCAGAGCAAAGAAAGAGTAACGAAGAAGAAGATGATGATGATGATGATGGAAGAAAAAGCTGAAGATCGTAACCACAACCTGACCCTCGATGACATTGATCTCTCTCTCCTCCGTCTCACTTCCCCACCTTACGACTACTCACCCTTCTTATCCGCCGATGAAATCACCCCTCCGTTGAAACGCGCCTCCCCTGTTTCCGACGATTCCGATCAATCCAAACGAAGAAAACTCTCCCCTAAAGACTCGATCTTTATCACCTCTCCTGTTCTCTTCACTTCCCCGGAGAACCAATCTTCATCTGTCCATGACCCGACTCAGTACACGAACCTCACAAGCCCTGTTTCGGAGAAGCAAGATACGACGCCGTCTGCTTCTGATACAGAGGTTTGTTATATTTACTTTTAGTCTTTCTTTGTTCTCTTCTGGTTTTAACTAATGCTAACCAAGAATCTTGAATCGTTTTGGTTAAACAGACGATGAAGAAGGTTAGCAATTGCGTAGAGGAGATGAATCATGGAGAGACTAACTATGCTTATGAGGTCTGATGTTATTCTTTAATCGTTCTAGTTTAGTCTTTAATATCGCAATTACTGGTTGGTTTTTAACAAGTTTACGGTGATATTTCATTCATAAATCGCAGAAGGAGCAAGAGGAAGTGGAAGAAGAAGAAGAAGAAGAAGAAGAAGATTGTGGAGGAGGGATGAGGATAGAGAGATCTGGAGATGGGTTTGTAATTAGACTCAAGTGTAGTTGCAGACAAGCTTTTAGGGTTCTTTTCTCTGATCATCACCTCTACTTCAAGGCTCTCTAAGCTTCACATGCACTTTTGTGTGGTGTGATTGATTAAGTACTGCTTCTTCTCATTTGTAGCAACGTTTTACTTCTTTCTCTTTGTTTGGAGTAGTATGGAGACTTTTGTAAGATTTACAATAATCTGTACAGATAAATGTGCAATGAAATGTTTATAGTAAGAAGCAAGAACTCGTTATTTTTTTTTTGGAAAAGGATATGCAAAAGGTTACAATGAGTCAAAAGCCAATATCTTAAATTTTCTTATAGAGACTTAATTAATCTCCTCTGAAAATTAGAAGAGAGACCCAACAAAGCGTCATTTTACAGCCAAAGCAAATTATAAGAAACTTTGTCTCGTTACTGAATACAAGGACACTAGTATAACCAGCTAAAACCACTATTTTACCACATGCAAACACAATTTAGTAACAGACCTTAAAGCTTTGGGGAAAGAATTTTATAAGCCTTTTAGTAAGAAATGTCTTTGCTGATTGTGCGGTGGCTCCGCCCAAGAATTTACCGATCAATACCGTGGAACCGCCACTTCAGCCGGATGATCGAGTGTAGTGTAATGCAATATTTTTTTGCGTGTGTTTTTGCTAACAAAATATGTTTTGTGTTTTGAAACTTAACTATTTTATTTCTTTTTTTTGTTTGAACCAAAAAACCATAACCATTTTCAAGATAAAAAAATTGAGCATTGAGCATGATAGATAAAAAAAAATGTCAGAAGTGGGATTTGAACCCACGCCCTCTTTCGAAGACCAGAACTTGAGTCTGGCGCCTTAGACCACTCGGCCATCCTGACGTTGTTGACAACTTGACTATGATATTTATCATCTAATCAAACTGTTATCTATGCTTTACCAATACAAATCTTACCATATACATTAGACTAGACTAGGCTATAGACTCAAAAAAAAAAAAAGAGAGGCCAAGTCTAATAAATGATATCAAAAGAGTATCTGAATCAATCAGTAATGTCGAAGCAAAGCAAAGCTTCATTGCCACAAGGAAACCGCTTCGCGTTTGTCAATCTTGACGCCTGTATCACTGTATGGCTTCTCAGATCGTCACAATCAAAGTTCTTGAGCGTCTCAAAGCAAAGTACTTTATATACCTTCAAGAATCTTCCGATAGCTAGAATCTATGACATTTTCATCAGCTATAAAGATTTGATGTTTGATAAGAGTGAATTGATGCTGATACTCTGCTTAGTCCATGAGAATGTTTTGATTTTGAACTAAATTTGCAGGTATGGTGATCTCTACACAGAGAAGAATGTGGCAATAAGTGGGATTCGCATGCTGGACCAGGAGGATATCTTCAGTACGTCACATATATTATGACGTCTCTTGGATTTGTTCGTCAATCTTTTGACGTTGTTGTTAACGGCATTGAGCAAAGCATCATCCAAGCTCACGAAAGCCTTCGTCCTGGTTCTGCTTTTGTCAATAAAGGTACATTTACAATCTTTTCTTTGTTTCGAGTTATTATTTTTGTGTGTGTGGGTAGCTTTAGAGGAGTAAATATAAGTACCTATTGGTAGCTTTAGAGGAGTATATATAAGTATGACTTTGAGAAAGAAATGACCAATAGGTAGCTTTAACAGGTTTGCTACTCAGGACTTACATTTTTGATATACCAACACATAATCTTCAGTACCAGTTCAGGCTCAGTCTTGACAAGGTCTAGAAGAGATCCCGATTCAAGCCTCATAAGTAGATATTGAACCCCAACATCCAAAGCAGCTCCTTGGATCTTTTTGTAGTGAAGAGTGTTTTCTGTATAAGTTGTGCCATTCAGCAACCTTTGGTTCAAAGATAAGATACTGAGACACTCTGAATGATCCAGCTTCATAGAGCGTATAATTTCTGCTGCAGCGATGTCACAGAGATGAGGGATGTCATATGTAACTCCAGCCTTGTAGAGGGACTTGCTGTGCTTTTCAAGAAGACCCTGAGGAATAGTACCAGTTCTCGTGTATAAGAAGCTCAAAAATGTATCCAGCTCTTCAAAATTCATATCTGGAACAGTGAGCGACTCCTCACCACTTGCCAACATTCCTTTCACCACAGTCGATCTTGCTCGTAAGATGAGCTTGTGAGCCTTTATCCCAGGGGAAAAGCTATCCGCACTTCTCACTACGATATCTGAGAGGTAACAGGCTTCTTTTACCTCACTTAGTCCATCCATGAAAGCTTGTTCAGCCATTTGAAAGCTCTGCAGGTAAAAACAGAGATCAAAAGAAGCAGAGAAGAGAGGGATCAAAGAATTAAAACATGGAACAAACAAAACAAGAGCAATGAAGATCAAGTCAGAAAACTATAACAAGGATCCCGTAAATACGAAACCTAAAAATTTAACATTATGGAGTTAAGGCCAGTTTCAAGTAAGAACAGCTTAGGAAGGTTTGCATCATCAGGGACGAGAACAGAGAATTGTTGGAATCGAAGGCCAAGTTCTAACAAACTTATCAAAATTAGACTCGAGTACCTTGATAGCTGCGTTTCTTTGGCGCGACGAAAACCAAAAGACACCAAAGCCCTAGCTCTGTTGAATCGATACGGAGAGAAAAAACAAAATCTCGTTGACGGAGATGGGTTTATTCCTAATCGCCTTATTGGGCTTTGTCCAACCCATGCCCGGCCCACTAATACTATATAAAGGCTAAAAATAATACAGTATTGTCTTTTTGTTTATTATTATTTCTACCCGCTCTATGAACGGAACACAAAGCTCTCTTCCTGAACCCTCTTTTATAACACAACATCGGCGTTGGAGACGAGACGACAACCAAATCTGATCCTAGTTATTCCGAGACTAGAATACCACCATTATATTATTAGTCCTCGCTACTAGCTAGTCCATGCTCTCAATCCCAATGATGAGTTTTTAGTGTGTTGTACGGCAACATGAGCTTATGAAAGCGCACACACACACACACATGTGACCATATTGGAGTCCTTGATTGAATCGAATCAAACATCCTGTCATAAAGTGCCTTCTAACATGAACAATATACCTCATTTATCAATGAATCATTTGGACCTTTCAATCATTCATTGAACTCTCTATTTCAAACAAGGTCGGAGCTTTGATATAATCTCATACACATTAAAACCACTATTTTAACACATGCAATTTTTAGTAACAGACCTTAAAAGCTTTGGCAGGAACATTTTATATAGGGAGCCTTTTAATTAATAATTGATTAATTTTGAATCTTTGACTAAAAGGTGGTGCTCTTTTTCTTTTAATTTCTTCTAGTATTAAACAAGTAGTAATGCGTTATAAATTGCTCCCGCTGGTGTTTGATGCTTATTATCAGCTGCTGCACGCGCTTTCAAGCGCCGTCGTCAATTCGTATCTCTGTCGTCCGCCGCCGTAATCACTCCCAAACACATTCGTTTTGTTGCTTCGCCCACGAGGTCTCTCTCTCTCTCTCTCTCTCTAAAAATGGAGGAATCTCACACATCTGTCCGTATAAAGTTTTTCCCTTTTTTACTCTCAGAATAGCTCTTCGTCCCAAAATCAAATGGAACAGTCTAATCTATCTGCGAACACTGTGATGGATCATCCTCGAGCTCTCACCGATAAAATAACCCAAATTCGCATCGCGGGTCCTTCCAAATTTCAGGTCTTTCCCACTCTATCTCGGAATCTATGTTCAAGTTTTTCTTTTCGTTCTCAAAGCTTAAAACTTTTGTATCGTTTCGTCTCTGCGAATTTTGTAAGGTAATTGCAGACTTTGATGCTACATTAACGAGATACCGAGTCAATGGACTTCGAGGCCAGAGTATGTTCAAACACATTTGATCAATTGTAATCTTCTCTTCTCACTAACCAAATTCAAGTAACAGCTGAAACCTTTTATATATAGCCAGCCATGGCCTCTTGCAGCAAGGAGACGCATATTACGATGCTAAAAGGCAAGCATTATATGATCACTATCATCCTCTGGAGATTTCTCCTGTTATTCCCATTGATGAGAAAACCAAACTCATGGAAGAATGGTATCCTCTTCTTCTTATCAATCACAAGTGCATTGTCTTGTTGTCCTTTGATACTCTAATTGGAAGAAGAAAAAAACTGAGGAACTTTTTGTTGTTTGTGATGAGGTGGAGTAAAACTCATGAGCTTCTCATTGAGGGAGGTTTAACATATGCCGCAATCAAGAAATCTGTTGCCAATTCCTCCATAGCGTTTAGAGAAGGTGTGACTGAACTTTTTGAATTTCTGGAGGTAAAGAAGATTAATTAGTGTTTATAATTATATTTCAATGGTGAAAGAAACAACTATTATTGTCTTACTTGACCTTATTTGCAATCTGATTCAGAAAAAGGAGATCCCAGTTCTTATTTTTTCAGCAGGACTTGCTGATGTCATTGAAGAGGTGACTCTAGTTAATTAGTGTTACTATCCAACTTCTGGTGTCTCTATGATGAATATGCTTTTGTTATATTCTCACTTTCTGACCAGGTTTTGAGGCAGAACCTTCATAGAACTTTCAAGAATGTAAAGATTGTATCGAACAGGATGGTGTTCAATGATGATGGGCAGCTCGTGTCTTTCAAAGGTATATTTGGTTGGTATTTCATCATTCATTTAAGCGCATTCATCAACTCACATTTGTAACATTTCTTCTGGAAAACTGAAATCTCTCTGGGAAATTAGTACTAAGCAGTCTGTTTACCCTCTTACAATACAGGAAAGCTAATTCATGTGCTAAACAAAAACGAACATGCTTTAGACATGGCTGCTCCACTTCATGATCAACTTGGTGTTGACACTGGTGAGGAAGATGAAGAAAATGCAAACATGAAACAACGAACAAACGTTTTGCTTATGGGAGATCATTTGGGAGATTTGAGGATGTCTGATGGATTGAATTATGAGACTCGAATATCTATTGGATTTCTGTGAGTTTTTCTTTTCTTCTGTTTCGCTTCTTCTCTGTTTTGGTCTTCTCTAACTATTTCTTATTTCTCCAGGAACGATAACATTGAGAAGAGTCTTGAGAGCTACCGTGAGGCCTTTGATGTTGTTTATCTTGTAAGTAACATAAGCAATTTATAGGTTTGACTTAATCACCTGGGAATTTGCTAATCAATATTTTATGTCTTGTGGGTCTAAAAAAAGAATGATGCACCTATGTGGGGAGCTCTGGAGCTTGTTTCTCAGTTGTTCTCAACAGAAGCGAGTTAGCTACATTGCCTTTGAGGATTTAGTTAAATGCAAGATTCTTTCTTTAAGTTGATGAAGACATTTCATGTCTTGTTTTAAGATTATACAGAGGTACCATTATTGTGTTAAGAGAGTTAATCTAATGATTAAAAGGGTATTGTCGTTCCATGAGTTCAGATTAACTTTTTGTATTCAAACATAATAAAATGAAATTTGTATTCCCAGATAGCTTCTTATTATATGTATGGTGTATGTAAACATATACAGTCTAAAAATATTTGCTGCAAGAAGCAACACAGTAAAAATAAAATGTAAGATCCGAAGAGTGAAGAGAATAAAAGAAGCAATTGGGTACTAAGACCATCAGTGCCCTCTTTATGTAAAGTGTAAACTAGAGAACAAAATGTGATATGTAGCATTATGACTCTCATCCAAAAAAAAACATCCTACTATATAGTCATTACAAAGATATAAGATGTGCAAGAAACCGAACATGGACTTAAAAAGCTACGCATATATAGCTTTTCATTCTATCAGTCCCCGGACACAAATGACTTCTGCTCGTAGTACTTTTTCTCACTAGCTTCCTTTTTCGCATTACGTTTCTATATACATACAAAATGAATTTGAGTGAGACATTCTTCAAGTGAAGCAATAAGAAGAAGAAGCAAGGAAAACAAACTTGCCTGATATGCTTCATGGTTTGCTACAATCCTCCTGATGATAGTGGAAGTTGTGATATCAAGAGGGCTTTCTAGAATTTGGAATATGCCCATGCTTATTGGTACAGCATAAGGATTATCTTCCTCCTGTCAAAATCATCAACCAAATTCTCAGAAAACACAGCTCGTTCTATTTAACCTATTAACTCGCATGTGAATCTTGTCTTACCTTCTGAAAATCATCGCTCTCTGCTACTGTCCCATGAACAACCAACGAAATGTCAAATGTGGTTATCTGCCATATTCAAATCATTGTCAACAATTGCGTTTCTTGAAAGCTATTTGGATATTACTTGGAAAAGTTCTTCGACGCTTACCGTATCTTTAGACACTTCCCATGGAGCACCAATGATCACCTCATCTACATAGCGGCATGCCAGAACACTTAAACTCCTTTCATGGAGATTCATGATTGGACGATGCGTTCCTCTTTTAGCACTGCACAGCAACATATAACAAGCACAATTTGGTCAGACGAAATTAAGCAGAGATGCAATTACGCACATCAAAACTTCTCAAGTATTAAGGTAGATACAAGAATGACGACAACAAGTATTCTTTTGCCTAAATCTAACACATCAACACCGAGACATGAAAACAGGAACGATAATGTAATAAAATCTGAGACGATCAATTAAGAGACTGCCAAAATGGAGCTTATAAACCTGACAGTCTGGTCATTATGTATTCCAACAAGAAGAAAGTCTCCAAGCTCTCGAGCACGTCTGAGAATCTGAACAAATTGAGTAAATCAAGAACAAGAATTAAATTGGCGAATAAACCTGGACATATTAAACCTATGATCTAACTTAGACTACTGCATCGTCTTCATAGAAGAAGAATTTGATGCTGGACCATATTGTGATTATATTGTGTAAATAGCTGTTCGGAATCATAGCTTATATATTAAAACTTCCAGTCCTCAAATATAAGCGTAATTGTATGCTCTGTGCACCAAATTAACTTAATATACCTCAACATGGCCAGCATGGAATAGATCAAAAGCACCATCTATGTAAATTATGCGTGCATCAGGTCCTGGCCCCTGTCATCATAAGCATGCAAAACTTGATAAACTTCAGATACAAATTGAGAAGGAGAATGAAAAAAGAAGTAAAATGACAAAGGTCTATGTTATGTGCCTGAGTAAGATAACTGGTAGACCCACAAGTATACAATACATAAAATATGAGGACACAAGGACACTCTTAAAAATTGCATACCTTGCCATTGGAGAACTGAACAATCCTGCGGGAAGTAGGAAGAAAGTGAGAGACACGAGTACCAGAAGAACCTCCGTCCTCAAACTTCGGGCTACTATGGCCATGACTAAATTGCCTTTGCAGAGAAGAACGACTATGAGTGTCACTAACAGATCTTTCTCTTACACAGAGAAGCATACGACCTGCACACAGATGGCAACCCGAAAATGTTAGAGACCTGATGTGATTACACATTCCAAAGATCAGCGGATGCGAGCTAAAATGAAATAGGAAGGGACGGTGTGAGATTACCGACGATATCAGTGCTAGAAACTCCTTCGGTACGCTTAATCTGCTTGTAACGACCAGCCTTCTTAGCAAGTGCATAAGCATCAGTTCCGTCAGGAAGAACACAGGGATCATCCCCATGGATGATGTAATCGATATCATACTCATCGAACAATTTCTTCATAAATTCTTCGGTAATAGCGTAAGGAGCATCAGATATGACTTCATCGACCCATTTGACAGCCTTCACCATTGTCATTCTGAACAAAACAAGATCAAAATCGAACAAAACGCGAATCGGAATTACGAGGAAGAAAGAATTGTGATATCGCGAGAGAGATAGAGAGACCTCTCGTGAAGAGGCGTAACAGGAGGTCCCTTGTTAGCTATGATTTCTTCGTCGGAAACAACTCCGACCACCAATTGGTCACCGAGAGCACGAGCTTGTCGAAGAGCGTTGCAGTGGCCATAGTGCATCATGTCGAAGCAACCATCCATGTAGACGCGAACAGGCTTGCGTTTTCTCAAAATGCGCCATGGAGAAGACAAACCTAAACCTAATCCCAACGGAAGCTCGCCTTTAAGGAAAAGATGGAGGAAAGAAGCTCCGACGGCGAACGCAGCTCCTCCGGCTATACAACTTCCGACGATCTTCTCTTTCTCCCAAACCATTTTTGCTTACAAACAGAGAATTTTTCAAACTCTCTCAGATCTTTTTTTGTTTTGGGTTTCCTTCACATTTCCAGACGTCTCAGATCTCTCTCAGACGTTCTTCTCTTTGGAACTAGAGACTCGGAATCAGAATCCTATTTTTCCCTTCTTTTTTTCCTTTTTTCACTATTTTCCAAAATCATCTTAAACCGAATCGAAATTGTGTGATTTTGCTCGGTTTGTTTTGGTTTAGATTTTTAATTTATAGTATGTTTTGGTTTTTATGTAATCAAAACAATAGGAATCAAAAATCTGAACTTAACCAAAGTGACTCTATCTGGTTTCGACTTTTACAAAAGTGATGAAACCGGAAAAACAGAATTTAAACCGAACTGATAAAGCAAACAATGCGATTATGTGAAGGTGAAAACTTAAGAAGACGTGTAAACAAACATTGAAGGAAGCATATGTTTCGTGATCCTTCATGTGACACCTCTTGCTTGAGTCATCTCCTTGTTTCTTTGATGTGATACGCAACTTTTCTCTCCTACTAAAGCTGCTTAGCTTAGTAGGACCAACATTATTCCAATGTTTCAACTACCATTAACATTCATAACTAAACTAGTTTCCTCATCTTGTCAGAAGCCAATGAAACAATAGCAACAATAGCGTTAACTGTTGTTTTGTTGAACTTGATGCTAAAAGATGCTGATGAGATAGGATCAACCGCGGTCTATATAAGAAAGCAACATATTAGTTCAAATCAAAAGAGATTTTGATCAACCCCAACAACATGGAATCTCCTATCTAATTTTATCAAAAAGATATCTAGTAATAGACAGAGATACCGTAATCAGAGGACTATCCGCTTAGCAGCATCCAAAGTATTGCATAGTAGCATGGCGATCGTCATTGGCCCGACTCCTCCAGGTACAGGAGTGATAGCTGAGGCGACACCTAATGCTTCCTCGTAACATACATCCCCAACAAGACGGTAACCAAACTCACAGCTACTATCCTGCAATATTATAACCCATCATGCTCCAATGTCTAACCAGCAACCAAACAAAACAATCCCAAAGCAAAACATTTGGTCTCTTTGCTTACGCTCTAAAATAATTTAGTTTCAGGTTTTCTGTGTTAGAATGGGTTCATGCTACTGTACTGAGTCTTTTTCAGTGGGAAATATAAGACTTTTGATCAATTTAGGAATACTTATAATAGTTTTTACTTTATACCTCAACCGGACATGTTCCAACATCAATGACCACTGCTCCAGGCTTAAGCCAACTTCCACGAACTAAATTAGGTATACCTGCAGCTGCTATCACAATATCTGCCTTCCTAGTAATGTGCTCTGGATCCTTTGTAAACGCATGCACCGTGCTTACTGTTGCGTCATGCCTCTACCCAAAAATTTCAGGAAAGACATAAAATGTAGTTAATCAAAAAACCAAAATGCTTAAACATAAGAACCCACTTGCACTATAATGAAAAACCAATTTACCTGCAATAATAAAGACATTGGTAGTCCAACGATGTTGCTTCTTCCTATCACCACAGCATTTTTTCCTCCTATTTCAACGCCTGCTCTTATCAACAACTCCACACAACCTTTAGGAGTGCAAGATAAAAACAACGGTTCCCTCCCTCTCATTGCAAGATTTCCCATGTTTAATGGATGAAATCCATCAACATCTTTCTCCAATCTCACCATATTCAAGATTTTTGATTCATCAAGATGCTGTACAAGATATCTTCCATTACTTGACGGTACTCATGAGTCATGAGAACGTAAAACAACAAAATGCAAGAAAGTTCTCTTGAATAAGTTCTCCACAAGTAAGATGATTCAGATGCTCTATTGCATAATCTGTAAATTACATGTTTTACCTACCAACAATAAAGGAAACCTTAAAAGGGAAAATTTTTATGCAGAGAGTCCATAGTCTATGAGGTAGGTTATAACATGAGAGCGTGAACACAATTAATAGATTTGAACATTAAAACTTGATGAAAAATATATGAAGTGAGCAATTAACAGAACTATGAAAACAAAGGAAACATAACTACTTGACCTGCAAACATAGGACTAATCTTTGAAATCAACAATACTCAGCATCCCCATCAGTATGTCATGATTCAAATTACACAAAAAAAATGTGAAACATACTTGGGGCAAAGGAAGCTGCACAAGAACCCCATGAATAGACGGGTCTTCATTAAACTTTTTCAAGATACTGAGAATTTTTGCTTCACTACAATTCTCTGGTAATTCAGCTAGAACAGATTTAATGCCCGTTTCTTCACAAGCTTTAATTTTGTTGCGAACATAAGTTTGCGAGTCTCTTTGTTGGCCAACCAAAACAACCGCAAGACCAGGGACTTTTCCAACAGTCATTTTCATCTTCCCCACTTCATCAATAATCTTTGCTCTGATTTCCTCGGCGATAACTTTACCATCTATTACCACAGTCTCCTGTTTAGTCTCTGTATAAATGCATGTACACCACACACAAAAACAACTTCAGATCATACAATTAGAGAACTTTCTTGTAATATATATAGCCATGAAAATGCAACAAGTAATATTACCAAAGGAAACAGGAAGTGGGGGATCAGAGTAAGGGATCCAATTTTCAGGCAAATCAAGGGACACAAGTGGAGGAGACACTAAAATGGAGCTTAGGCAATGAACTTCCCTTGTTGTCAAACGAATAGCCTTACTATGCGCCGAGGCCAAAGCTCTCCTCGCGATCAATAACATGCTCAAAACTAAGAGAACAGTCTCTGATTCAGATAAAGCACATAAGAAAATCAGAGAATGTAAAAAAAACACACAGACCAGACAGCAGATTCTTAAGACAGTTAAAGCTCAAACAATGCAATAACATTAAAAGCTGATCCTTTAAACTTATCCTATTCATCACATTCACACAAACAATTACGGACCAGAATTAACCTAAATGGGTTAAAGATTTCACGAGACTATCAAACGCTTTCACAATCATCTTATACACTTAAGCTAAATTCATCTTCCTCACTAAGCTAAATTCATCGTACACAAACTTGTTTAACAAAAACCGAAATCGGAAAATAGGAAAATACGGTGGAGGAGAGATTCACCAGTGTAAATAAGCGTCGTCAATGGCGTTGAAAAATATCGCTAGGCATTCCGGAGTTTAGGATTCAACAAACGAGTGACAATATAAAAGGAATGATTAAAATAAAATAAATAATACTAGAAAAAATTCACCACCGTGTGAGAAAGACACGTGTTATGATCTGGAGATAGATCTTGCAAGTGGGTTAACTAATCAAACGGTAGAGACAACGCTATACGTGTGAAATAAGAGTTTGTGTGTGTGTGTGTGTGTGTGTGTTAATCGTGTATGTGTGTGTGTATCTCTCTCTCGCTCCTCCAAGTAGCAAAAGCAAAGGGGAAAGAGAGACGATGCGATCGGGCAAAGTGCAGAAACACTTATAGTTCTGCATTCTGCAAACACAGACACACACAAAAGAGAGGATTTGGCATCGTTCAACGAGAGTGTGATTTTGAGTGTATCGAGAACAGAGACGTAGATACAGAGAGATCTTTGCCAAACGTGTTTTGGGGATCCAATGCGTTCGTAATTCGAAAGGCATTTCATTCAATTCTAAAATCGGGAATATGAAAGGCGGAGGCGGTGGAGGAGTTGGTGGTGGTGGCGGTGGAGGAAAACGCCGGTGGAAAGTTCTGGTTATTGGAGTTTTGGTTCTCGTTATCCTCTCTATGCTTGTCCCTCTTGCTTTTTTGCTCGGTCTTCACAATGGCTTTCACTCTCCTGGTATGTGTATTATTCTCACAACTCGCTTTGCTTGTGTTTTGTTTTTTTTGGCGATCTCTGTTTCCAGATCTAATCTCATCACTCTTCTTTCTTTCTTTTTTTCACTTTTTTAGGATTTGTCACTGTTCAACCGGCTTCTAATGTAAGCATTTCTCGTTTCTTAATTTGTGTGGTGAGTAATGTTTTGGTGTTTGTTCTGAATCTTCCTTCTTTTGGAATCAGTTTGAGAGCTTTACCAGAATCAATGCTACCAAACATACCCAGGTATTGTTGTTTGATTGATTCGATTCCCATTTATACCAAATCTCTTTCTTTTTTTTTTGCTGCTTCTCATCTTTTCTACCATTTGCTTTTGTAGAGAGATGTATCCGAACGGGTTGATGAGGTTCTTCAAAAAATCAATCCAGTGCTTCCCAAGGTTGGTCCTCCTATTTGAGTTCCACTTTTTTCAGTGTAGATTAGTTGTTTTTGACACAAATTTACATCTTTTCCTGTACTGATATAGAGTTTTAAGCCTTTATGATGGTTATAAACACTTCATTATCTTAGACACTGCTCTGAAATTGACACAGACATTTTAGATCTGGTCTATCCATCTTTAATTTTCAACTATTGAAGAATATTTCTGTCATTATTCTTGGCATTAATGTTTCCCATCTTCTCTTTTCAGTGATGTTAAAAATGTGTAGGCTTTGTAGGTTTAATTACAGATAACAGAGCTATCAGATCAACCTGACTTAACTAAAATACATGTGTATCAGAATTGCCACTGTACTCCTGCTAGAGGTCAATGCTAACTATAGAAAGAAACTTAGATGCCTGTTTGTTTTATGGAAAGCTATGCTAGATGCCTCATGAGTCATAACTAACCAGACCCAACAAATAAACTAGGGGTCAAGAGATTGTAATTAACCAGTTGTTTTTTTTGTGTCATGTTGCTTAAAGGGTAGGAATTTTAGATGGATGAATAATTTTTTTATTTGACTAACTCTTGAAATTTAGAAGTTGAAATGCTTTCATAAATTATCACGTATCTTAACTTTTTTTGGGCGAGGTAAAGAATTGGTTCCTTGTGTGGGAATGGCTAAACTGCTTGTAACAATGTTTACTTGTTTCACATGATAGAAAAGCGACATAAACGTGGGTTCCAGTGATATGAATGGGACAAGCGGCAGTGATATTAAAATAAGAGGTTTGTTTGAAAGTGTCATTTTCTTCAAATTCTTCTCCCCTTATCTTATCCTGATCTGCAACTTTATGCCTGGTTCCTTGATTATAATGCAGGAATACCAGGGTCCCCAACTGTTGTTGCCAACCCAAGCCCTGCAAATGTACAAATGGATTAAGTGGTTTCTGTAATAGTATACCTCTCACCAATCGTCTAGAGCTAACCTTATTCTACTTTATTCTGTGAACAGAAAACAAAAATTGTAGCCTCAGGGAAAGGTACTCAGAGGAAAATAGCAAGTACTGATGAAACTTGGAGAACTTGTGAAGTGAAATATGGGAGCTACTGCCTCTGGAGGGAGGAAAATAAGGAAGCGATGAAAGATGCTAAGGTGAAGCAAATGAAGGACCAGCTATTTGTTGCTAGGGCATACTATCCAAGTATTGCTAAAATGCCTTCTCAAAACAAGTTGACTCGGGATATGAAACAGAATATCCAAGAGTTTGAGCGTATTCTTAGTGAAAGTTCACAAGATGCTGACCTTCCACCACAGTAAGTTCTTCACCAGTTTGTACTGAAAGTTAGTTCCTTACTGGAAAAGATTTTGTTGGACTCTAGTCACATGAATCTCTTCTAATTTTTCGTCAGCTTGTCTGGACATGCTTGCTCTCAGATTGTTTATGTTACAGAAAATATTAATCATAACATTCTGTCCTCATCCTCACCTATTCAGTGGGCAGCACACCCAGAAATACATCTATTTTGAAGCATTATCTGTCCCAATATCTTTTTTACCAACATAGAATTTAATGAACTAATGTACTAGATGATAGGAGGGATTTCATGGATGTTGTTTTCTCTCTTTCAGGAGAAGCATTTATGCATAAAATCCTCTGCTATTTTCCTTTGATTGTACTTATTTGGTATTTCTTTCCCCTGTTGTGTCAGGGTTGAAAAAAAGTTGCAGAAGATGGAAGCTGTAATTGCAAAGGCAAAGTCTTTTCCAGTTGACTGTAACAATGTTGACAAGAAATTGAGACAGATCCTTGATTTGACTGAGGATGAAGCTAGTTTCCACATGAAACAGAGTGTGTTCCTCTACCAGCTTGCAGTACAGACAATGCCTAAGAGTCTTCATTGCCTGTCAATGAGACTAACTGTAGAACATTTCAAGTCAGCTTCACTCGAGGATCCCATTAGTGAGAAATTCTCAGATCCCTCATTATTTCACTTTGTTATCATCTCCGATAATATACTTGCGTCATCTGTTGTGATCAACTCAACGGTTTTACACGCAATGGTGCGTACTAAATCAGTTTTCTTTACTTAGTATTTTTTTCTTGCAGTCATAGATCTCTAATTTCTAATTCTTGGTTGGTTACTGATGTTTCAGGACAGTAGAAACTTTGTTTTCCATGTACTGACAGACGAGCAGAATTACTTTGCAATGAAACAATGGTTTGTCAGGAATCCCTGCAAACAATCAACTGTTCAAGTATTGAACATTGAAAAACTAGAGCTGGACGATTCTGATATGAAATTGTCTTTGCCTGCGGAGTTCCGTGTTTCCTTCCCCAGTGGTGACCTTTTGGCGTCCCAGCAGAATAGAACACACTACTTATCCCTTTTCTCTCAGTCTCACTATCTGCTTCCCAAATTATTTGCCAAATTGAAGAAGGTTGTGATTCTGGACGATGATGTTGTAGTCCAGCGAGATTTATCTCCCCTTTGGGACCTTGATATGGAAGGGAAAGTGAATGGCGCTGTGAAGTCGTGCACTGTGAGATTGGGTCAGCTGAGTCTCAAAAGAGGAAGTTTTGATAACAATGCTTGCCTCTGGATGTCTGGTTTGAATGTTGTTGATCTTGCTAGATGGAGGGAATTGGGTGTCTCAGAAACCTACCAGAAATTTTACAAAGAGGTCAGTTTTATTCTGAAAAAACCTGTCTAAGAGATAATTGAGTGGTTCTGTGCGATGACTTCCTTTATTCATTTGCAGCAGATGAGTGGTGGAGATGAGTCGAGTGAAGCAATTGCATTGCAGGCAAGCTTGCTTACATTTCAAGACAAAGTTTATGCTCTTGATGACAAATGGGCTCTGTCAGGGCTAGGTTATGACCACTACGTCAATGCACAAGCCATAAAAAACGCTGCTGTATTGCACTATAATGGGAACATGAAGCCGTGGCTTGAGCTGGGAATCCCAAAGTACAAAAACTATTGGAGAAAGCATCTGAGTCGGGAAGATCGGTTCTTGAGTGACTGTAACGTGAATCCATGATGAGTAAGTAGTTACAAAGCCAATGGTTTAGAAGGGCAAGGTCACACACGCAAAGAAAAGATTTTAGAGTGCGGCATCTCATTTTTTGGGTCAATAAACCCGAAGGCATTGGAGGAGAAATGCTGAAGGGGAAATTGCAAGCAGAAGCGTACCAAATTGATTTTAAGAGACGTGATGATGGTGATTTGAGAATCTTTGATATGTTATAAGAAAAGAGAAAAAAAAAAGAGAGCATGTGAAGAACTTTGATAATGTTGTATATGATTTTTGGCAAAGAGATGTGCCATTCTTTTCCTTGCGTTAAAATTCCAGTTTGTCATGTAGTTTCTTTTTTTATTCTTTACTTTTTGTGACCTATCAAAATAGAAGGCGATAAGAATTTTTTATCTATTTCTCACTTAAACCAGTTTACACAGTAAGTTATACAGCTTCAAGTCTACTACACTGAGCTTAACATTTGCTTCATTCGCATCTGATGGGAAACATATTGTCTCAACAACAATACATGCTTGGCACTATTCTAAACCCAATAAGAAAGCTTCTTCTCATAAAACAAAAAACATCAGGGTACGTATTTGCAGTTTTATCTGCAGTCCTCAGTGTTGTGGTTCCAACTGTAATAAGTCTGATAAATTTTTCCTAAATCTAATAAATATTTCGAATTAATATAAACACACATCCAAAAATTAAATTCTTTAGAGATAAAAGCTTTTTTTAAAAATCCTAGACTAAGATATTGACAAATACGATAATTACATGATCAAAATTTTCGATATGGGTTCTTAGAAAACAATCTCGGTCGTTCTCAGCATATGTGAATGTGACAACAAAATAATAACACTTAGTAGCTTGACGCAGGAATCAAACAAACCTTTATTCGTCGAATCAAAATGTCTCATATATATAGTCATAGTCTAATGGTTAAATGGAATCAAATGTCTCATAGCTAGCTATATAGTCATATAGACGTTAAAAAAAAAGAATCTACTTATTAGCTAGAAACCTTCATTTACATACTGTGCTCTACCCAATTTTGATGATGACGTACGAGGTAAGAAGATGCAAAACGAGCATACCAAAACAAACACACTAAAAGCTACATATAAAAGTTGAGGAATATAAAGATGTTGGGTTGGTATATCAAATGAGAGGAATCAGATTTGGTTTTAGGAAGACAGCATGATATAGCTAAGCCTAGGTTGTATTGTATTTACATTTACATCTGTATATATAATAAAGAGATGATGATGAACGGAACCGAACATATTCTTCAAAGTGCAGCGCGTAATTTTCAATCCCATTGTGAAAGTCGTAATCAACTTTTGTACGTATGATCGCATAAACCCCCAATACTCTTTTTTCTTTATATATATATACGTTTTTATAAACAGACGATAGATAACGAAAGCTTTGTGAACAAAATTTAGAAAATAAAAATAAAAATAAAAATAAGGTCAACGTGAGTGGAACATTCATTATTATAACACAATGGACGTGGAAAAATATCACAAGTAAAAAAATATAGAATATGATATCTCTCTTTTTTTTTATGAAGACTTTAGTGGGAATTTTTGTTGGGATGGTTTTATTTTTCTTCCCACCGCTAATTGCTTCTCGACCACACACCTCCCTAAATGTTTTAATTATTTATAATGATGATATATATATAATAGTGGTCCTCTTTTCATCATGTCAATATTAAAAATCTTAAAACCGTAGATTGGTTCAAAACTCGACTTTTTTTACTTTTTTTTTTTTTTAACTCGGTTACATTTCTAGTCCATGTTTTGAAATGATTAATGTGTTTTAATGAATGTGTACAGTATATGCTAATCTACTCGTTCTTATCCTCCACTAGATTTGATTACCTTTTCCTCGACTCAACAACAACGTCCATGGTAATAATAATGATTATTCAAATGCTTATTATAAATATGTTATCGGATCTTTAAAATATAATTGGACGACTAAGAGTCATCATGATTGATGACCAGAAATGTTGGAACTGGGACACCTCCTGCTGAGAGTAAGTTTGATCCACAAAGTGATCTTTAAAACTTGGTATATTATCTCCATTACTATACATATACTGTATATGGTTTTATCTTAGAGAGTATAAAGATCATATACTATTACTTTCTTCTTTCTTTTTTTTTTTTTTGGTTTGAATCATATATTACTTTCGGTTCGGACACACATGTAGTCTGTTTGTTGCAAAAAAAAAAGAAACAAATATAATACTTTCGGTTGAATTTTTGGAGAATAATCCTTTAGAAATTGAAAATTAAAAAAAAAAAACAGTTCCCATTATAAAAAAAGATGCACTGGAAAATGTCGATGGATTGTTATGGCCCGTACTCCGTAGGTTTTCGTTGCTCTTAGATTCTTTTCTCTTTTTTTTCTTTCTATAATTTCTGTAGCTAGGACAATTAGATTCTCTGTTCTATCAATAAATAAATTGCATGGCCAATAAAGATTAGAGAAATGTTTAAGGGGAATCCTATATTGATAGCGAAAAGAAAAGTTAAAATATATATATCGTTTTCGTTTAGAAAATATAAAAATAAATACGTAACAGAAATTTGTTTGGAATATCATTTTTGTAATTAAAAAGAGCGGGTTAATAAAACCATCTCTAATTTATAAACATTATTTTTGCTAATTTTCCTTTAAGTAAATTAATTTAGCTTATCAGTTGAAAAAGGAATCGCCAACAATATATAGTTTCTGCAAAGTTTCTTTATTAAAAAAAAAAACTAGAGCATATGAACCAGTGTTTTGTTTAGTGTCACATTTATACTATACTTGAGACCATAATAAGCTATTTTGTAGGGCCAAAAATATTGGTCAGAAACAAGGTTTTCGATATGAATAATTTTTGTTGGAGTTTAGGTGAAATGCAAAACCGTTATTATAATAATATTTGATTATAGAAAGGAATCGATTCACTAATTTACATTTAATAATGCATTAAAACAAAAATTGGACCTAAGAAAAAAAAAAGAGAAGATATCTTATAGTAATAGACTGACAATGATATCTCTCCCTAGTGGAAAACAAGAAGATGGAGACCATTCTTTTTTGCATTTGAGCACCTCATTCTCTCTTTTCTACATTTTTGTATAAATAAACACGCAACACACCTCTTCTCATTAACAAGTCCTATACATACAACAAAACATCAACTCATCTTCTTCTCCAACAAACTCACACATACACATAGAAACAGAGAGACTAATAATCAAAAGAACGTACGAGAGAGATGACAAAGGTTCACCCTAAATTCCCAAACACTACATGCGACGAGAGCTTGTGTGATAGTAAAGCAGCCGTGGTCTTGACGGTGTGGAAGAAGTCCCTTCTCTTCAACTGCGACGGCTTCACAGTTTACAACGCCAATGGTGAGCTTGTCTTTAGAGTCGACAACTACATGAATTCTCCTAGAGACAACATCGTCCTTATGGATGCTTCCGGTCTCCCCCTCCTCTCCGTCCGCCGCAAGGTACTTTTCTTGTTTTTCTTTTAAGACATTTCTCTAGTGATACAGAATCACAATTATGAATTATGAAAATAAAACTCAAATATTCATTTTCTTGTTAATTGACTTGAACAGAAGTTGAGTTTTGGAGATTGCTGGATGGTATACGATGGAGAAACAGCGAGAGACCCAATCTTGACGGCGAGAAAGAACGTTAACATAATATCAAACCGGAGAAGCTTGGCGTGGGTTAGCACAAAGAAGACGGTGTTGTACGAGATAGAAGGATCATACGGTCAAAGAAGCTGCAAGATAGTGGACGAGAGGAGGAACAAGAAGAAAACAGCGGAGATCAAGAGGAAAGAGACGATGATCGGAGGAGTTGCCTTTGGCAAAGATGTGTTTAAGCTCATAGTTGAATCGGAGATGGAGCCTCGTGTGGCCATGGCATTGACCATCATCCTCGACCAGATGTTTAGATCTTCTTGAATTTTCTTCACCCTCTTTTTTTTTTTTTCACGGTTTAAAGATTTTAACGTGTATATTAGTTTACTTTTTTTTTATGTAATTTTTATGCAAAGTGTTCCTTCCTAAATGTACACATGGATAGAGACAACTTTAGAAAGAAAAAAAAAAAAAAAACAGAGATAGTTTTATTTTGTTTTTCTCGTTTTGATTTTGGCCTTTGGGACTACAAAATTACAATCAACAAAAATATCTAGAGACGAATCAACGATGACGGTTTTGGTAGAGGCTGATGATGAATTAAGCCGGCTATATATTTAATAAATTGTCGGTCATGACAATTTTGATGACAAGTTAATTAACAAGAAAATTTTAATTTGTTAATAAAATGATTTGATGCAAATTCTCTAACATATTTGCGATAAAAGAGTTAGTTTCTTAATTTTATAGTGAACAATTAATATCATATTTTGTGCTTTGGTCAAACTAGAATTTGATAAAAAGGACTCACACTCCAGAAATGGAGGAACTGTTGAAGGCCACCAAGATCGATTTAGCTAAAAGTCAACTACAACATTTGTTTAATTGGGAAATAAAAAAAGCCATGGAAAGGGTGAAGCAAACCTTAAGCTAAGCTCAGTTTCAAAGTCTTATTCTGATTAAGAGATATGAGCACTTGGGAGTATTAGAAGACATTTAGAGATTTGATGCAGCTATTAAGAGGTCTTTACTGCTTCTAGTTCTAAATAGATTAGAGATTTTGAACCCAAACACACATTATCTACTTTTTTCATATCGCTGGAAGCACAAAAGCAATATTTTTTGCGTTGCAATCTTTGATATGATACAAAACTTATACAGTTCTGATCCTTGCACGGCAATTATTACATAGTCAAGTTTTGATGCAAAAGCACAACAACATCATTTTGTTATGTTGGGGTTCTAAAATTGTGAGTATTCACCAAAATTACAAAACAAACACTATCATGAATGATAAATTACAAAAGTTTATATTTCTCTATTTACAAAGTCGAACAACGTGATCTCATATCAAAAACTAAAAATTTGACTTATTATTATGTAACTGTGTAATTACTATTTAGGATTCGAAGCCAAATTTTGAAATTCAGAATTCGAGGCGAAAATTTGAAAACCGCGTAAATAAAACAATAGCGCCAAAATATGATTTCATATGAAATTTATAAAATTAGGGTTTAGCGCCAAATTACAAATTATGATTTGATACCAAAATTGTGAATTAAAATTTGATCCTAAATTGTAAAATTACATAATCATATTGTTCTTTTCAATGTAACAAAAGATTTTATGCCAAAACGGCACAAAGCATATAAAAGCATAGCAGTCACCGAGACATACACATCTAAAGCTTCCGACAGTTTTTAAGCACTAAAATTTTGCGATTAGAGAAAAAAAAAAATTAGTTTTAGAGAAAGAGCAAACAATGTTACATTACACATTCAGGAAAAATGTCATAAGCGCCAAGTTTTTCTTATGATAAAATCCTTTTAATTCCATAGATTCAGATTAGCCCATTTGGGTGCCTTTGTTGTTGGCTGTTGCAACAGTTAGTGTTGAATCACTTTGGCCAAAAAGGCAAAAGCTTTATTATTGATGATCATGGAAGGAAGAAGAATCATAGCAAACCCTAGACCTTGCGGCGGTAGAAGAGTTATCGCCAAAAAGAGGTCTCGTCCCGATGGGTTCGTCAATAGCGTCAAAAAGCTTCAACGCCGAGAAATCTCGTCTCGTTTGGATCGAGCTTTCTCAATCAGCACTGCTCAGGAGAGATTCCGCAACATGCGTCTCGTGGTATGTTATATTCTGATTTCGATTTTATCTCAAGAGTTCTCAATTTGGTTCTCCAGCTCTCTACCAAAGTCTGATTCTTTTGCGTTAATTTGAATTCAGGAGCAATATGATTCGCATGATCCTAAAGGGTACTGTTTAGTTTCATTACCTAACTTGTTGAAGCGAAGCAAAGTTATTGAGATTGTCGCTGCTCGAGACATTGTCTTTACTCTTACTCAATCTGGTATCTGTGCATCTTTTAGCAGAGGTACTCACTCTTCTTCTTCTTTTTTGCGTCATCCCTTTTAACTTTTTTTTGTTAGCTTTGTGTCATTGTGAGTTTGACGATGGGGTTTTGGTTTATGTAATTGCAGAAACGAATAAAAGGGTTTGCTTTTTAAATGTTAGTCCCGATGAAGTCATCAGGAGTTTGTTCTACAACAAGAACAATGATTCTCTCATCACTGTTTCTGTTTACGCCTCTGAAAATTACAGCTCTTTGAAATGCAGATCCACTAGAATCCAGTATGCTTGTTCTTCTGTTGTTATGTCTTTTTAAGTTAGCTCTAAGACTTGTGGAAGTAATGTTTTTTCTTTTTCTTTTTTATGTGCTGTTAGATATATTCTGAGGGGTCAAGCAGACGCGGGATTTGCTCTTTTTGAGTCTGAGTCACTAAAGTGGCCAGGTTTTGTAGAGTTTGATGATGTTAACGGGAAGGTGCTGACATATTCTGCACATGATAGGTATTATCTTGTCTTCATTACCCAAACTGTGTTGACTTGAAGTTCTCCAACTGAGCCACAATCTTGCTTTGCAGTGTTTACAAGGTGTTTGATCTGAAAAACTATGCCTTGCTATACTCAATATCAGACAAGAATGTTCAGGAAATTAAGATCAGGTGACTTTTCTACATCTTTCCATGTGTCCCGTTTACAAATGTTGATTCATAGTGTTCTTGATTGGGATTGAAGACTTGTCACATTAACTTGTGCGTGTATTTTACTTGCACCAGTCCAGGGATAATGTTGTTGATTTTCAAGAGAGCTGCAAGTCATGTTCCTTTGAAGATTCTATCAATTGAAGATGGCACAGTTCTCAAGTCCTTCAATCATTTGCTTCACCGAAACAAGAAAGTTGATTTCATTGAACAATTCAACGAAAAGCTTCTAGTTAAGCAAGAGAACGAGAATCTCCAAATACTTGACGTGAGTAGTTTTGTTCTTGGTTCAAGCCGCTTTATGTCTTTTGCTTTTTTATGTTTCTAATAGAGTTTTATGTTCTTAAAGGTTCGAAATGCTGAGCTGATTGAAGTTAGCAGAACTGAATTCATGACACCATCAGCATTCATATTTTTGTATGAGAACCAGTTGTTTCTAACGTTCAGGAACCGAAATGTTTCTGTGTGGAATTTCCGCGGGGAGCTTGTGACCTCGTTTGAGGATCATCTTCTTTGGCATCCAGACTGTAACACAAACAATATCTACATAACAAGCGATCAGGATCTGATCATCTCATATTGCAAGGCTGATACCGAAGAACAGTGGATAGAAGGAAATGGTAAGCACTAAGCAGACTCGTTATCCACCCTTAAAATCAAGAAACCTCATAATAAATGATCTCCCTTTGTTGTGACTTGTTAATGCAGTGGGGTCGATTAACATAAGCAATATCTTGACTGGTAAATGCTTAGCTAAGATAAAAGCAAATAATGGTCGTCATAAGGAAGAAGACGGCAGCAGCAGTGATTTGGGGAACTCCATTCAAGTGAGAAGTGCGGTTGTTGAGGCTTTGGAAGACATAACCGCTCTGTTCTACGACGAAGAGCGGAATGAAATATACACAGGAAACAGAGACGGCCTTCTCCATGTCTGGTCTAATTAAAGCTACCCTCACCATTTGTTTTGTTTACATTAAATCAGCTTTAAGATCTCTGTGTCTTGTACTGTTTCTCAATTGTGTAATATCATCTGTAATTTACTTTGAGTTTGAACAGCAATTGCAGTTGTAATGAAGCAGCAATATTTGGGGGGATTTGGCTCCCATTTATGTACACTAGTATAATCATTTGTCTACTCTTTTTCGTTTTCTTTTTGACATCAATTTATTTGTCTACTTAGAATATTAAACTAGAGCATTAAGATTCTGCTCTGGCACTTTAATTGTCTACTTAGAATATAAGGGAAACAGAGACGGCTTTCTCCATGTCTGGTCTAACTAAAGCTACTCATCATTTGTTTACATTTATCAGCTTTGGAGCAGATTTCTGTATTCTGTTTCTCAATTGTGTAATATCATGTGACCTGTAATTTACTTGTGTGTTTGAGTAGCAATTGTGGTTGTAAGTTGTAACAAAGCAGCAAATAACAGATTTGGATTCTCTTCAGTTTGTTTTGTATTAGCACAAATCTATCTCAAATCACAAAGATTAAAACACCAAGATGATGGTGACAATAAACTTGAGCCATCAGCTTCAAAACTCCAAAGAGAAGCCTGATCAGTGATAGAAATTTGGAATTTGCCAGAGCTCAGAACTGAGATTTGTCAAGGTCGTCAAAGTAGGGATGGTCGAGACTCGAGAGCAGCTTTTGCTGAGATTCTATCAGCTGGATTGTACCTCAGCATTTGTTCAAAAAGGTTCAAACAAATGATCATCAACTAGGAACCCCAACAGAAAGAATCTGAGAATTCCACTAAAGAGATCAAATACGCAAAAGAATCTTAGGCCATTTTCTCCAGCAATGGTAATGTTTTAGAAGAGCATAACCGTGAGAAGATCAATTCCTTCAGGAGATAGAGATGGAACATCACGTGATCAATCTTGAGGCTCCCACTTTGGATAGACATGCCGGTCACGCATTGCCAATTTGCCATTACACCCGGCCACTGCTGCTCTGCTCAGTTGATACTACTACGATCTAAATGAATTTACAAGATGTGCTGAACTGGTTTCTGAACCATTCATCGGTACATACACACACTAGGCATCAAAACTATCAAGAAATGAAATTTAGAATCCAAACAAGGAAGCAAACACCTGAAAATATGAAGTAGCTGCTGAAACTCAGAATCACCAGGGAAAAGAGCTTGCCTCCTAAATATCTCGGCTGCAAATAAAAGAAAAGTGGGAAACATCAATAAAGGCAAAATAGTAGAACAAAGATGGGATTCAAAAGAGTAAAAGACGGTTGAGTACAAACGAAATATGCATCCAACAGACCAAACATCAACAGCACTAGAGTAATGAGTAGTCCCAAGCAAGACTTCAGGAGCTCTATACCAGAGCGTGACAATCTCTTTTCAAGTAAACAGTTATTGTTCACGTACCTTGTCGTGTTTCCCGCTCCTTTAGGCTTCCACGTACAAATAATATTTTGCATTAGTCAAAGCCATTTTTAAAAAAGGTCATGAGTTCTGAGATTTGACTAGTGTGCATTGACTAAGGAAAGACTTTTTAAAGGTTTGATTGTGAACAACGGTTGGTTACTGATTTACAAGCGTCAACATAGTTATTTGCACACCATTTACGGTAATAATAAAGAATATGTAGTCGTAACTCGTAAAATAATATATAATTGTGCGTTACAACTTACAATTAGGGAGGGACTTGGAAAGAGCCATGAGAGGATGGATATAAAAAGACCACTCAAGTCTCAAACAACCAAATAACCCTACAAAAGAAAAGAAACTTTTGGGACAAAATTGCAGAAGAAACACATTTATTGGGTTGTTAATTATGAAAATACATAAATGTCAAGAAGGCCAAAAAGACAGCTCTCTCTCTAGAGTCTAGACTAACGAGCGATTGCATGGTTGACACGTGTTCACTTTTAGCGGCGTTAAAAGATACGGTCTACGTAGTCACGCACACACCTCAAAGTTTCTCCCTTTTATTATTATTATTAGTCTTCTTCATCAATTTTTTTTTTCTCATTAATTAAATTTTTATTCACAGAATCAAACGGCGACGACGGTTGATTGTTTTTTTTTATCCTACACACAAAAAAAACACCAAATTTTTCAACCTTTGTAACAGAGAGATCCACGCTGTCACTTAACACAACTTTATAGTTGATTTTTTTTTTCCTTTTTCTTCCCAAAAGATGAAAAGCAAAATAATTGATTTTTTTTTTAATATCAAACAAAATAGAGGAAAAATTAAAAAAAAAAGTCTGGCGTCTTTCCTGCAGAATTCACATTTGGTGTCTGCTGGTTTTGGTTTTTCTCTCTCTATCTCTCTCTCCCTCTCTTTCTCTCTCTCTCTCTCTCTCTCTCTACTATTCTGCGATTTCCATCAAACCCTTTAGAGCAACAATCTCCTTTGGTTTGGTCCTTCTGTACAGACAGAGGAAGCAAGAAAGAAAGCCGCAAAAACCAACCCATGTCTGGTTTGTATAATAACTCCTCTTACTTCTCTCCTGCTCGTGCTGCTTCTCCTCAGATTAGAAGCACTCCTGAGATCGACAGGTTCCCTTTTTTTTTTTCTTTTTTCCAAATATCATCGCAACTCTCTATTTTTGTTTTTAATTGTGCAAAAACCGATCTGTGTTCTGTTTCTTGTTCGAACAGCTCTCAGTACTTGACGGAGCTTCTCGCCGAACATCAAAAGCTTACTCCTTTTATGCAGGTCCTACCCATATGTAGCCGTCTATTGAATCAAGGTTCGTCCTTTTTTTTTCTTTTTCTTAATTTTTTTTTTTTGATTCTGATTCGGATCTAAAGCTTTCTTTGTTTTCCCACCACCATTAAAGTGTATATACCCCTTTTAGCTCTCTATCTTCTGATTTCCACCAGATTGGGGGGAATGACTTCAAGTCATTAGATTTCTTTCTTTGTTACTAAGCTATTTTTCTTACAAAATGTTCAATTCAGTTCATTCAATTAGTCCATGAGAGTGGGATCAAGTTCGTTTGATCTGATTCTTCAATTTTGTCTGTTTGAATCCAGCATTAGCTATACTTTATTACTAGCATTTTAGAGTGTCAAATGCCTAAAGAGTGATGTGGTTCTTACTTCTTATAAAGAGTTCCTTAATTTGCAGAGATGTTCAGGGTATCTGGAATGATGTCTAACCAAGGATTTGGTGATTTTGATAGACTTCGACACAGAAGTCCCAGCCCCATGGCTTCTTCTAATCTTATGTCTAATGTCTCTAACACCGGGTTAGGCGGCTGGAACGGCCTCTCTCAGGAGGTAGGGTTTCATCACAGCACCAAGTGTTCAGTTTGCCTGACTTATTCAGTGACACAGTTGTATAGTTGGTGATCTGTTTTAAGCCATGTTCTAATGTTGTCTAAAATTTAACCTTTCATTCACAATGTCTTTGTTTATATGGTTAAGAGTACTAGAATGCTATTGCGCTAGCTTCTGTTAAGCATTGTGAGATAAGCTAAAACACTCAGTTTCTTACAGAGACTTAGTGGAACACCTGGAATGACAATGGATTGGCAAGGTGCACCTGGAAGCCCCAGTTCATACACCGTCAAAAGGATATTGCGTCTGGAGATTCCTGTAGATAACTATCCTAATGTGAGTAGTTTTCATATTTATGTGTGTTGTTCATCATATGCTCCATCATAGATGGTCATGTTTCTCAACTCTCCATTCTTATTTTCTTCTGTTTTTTCAGTTCAATTTTGTTGGACGACTTCTTGGCCCTAGGGGCAACTCGTTAAAACGCGTTGAAGCTACCACAGGTTGCCGTGTATTCATCAGAGGAAAAGGGTCAATCAAGGATCCTGAAAAGGTAAAATTTTATGAAATATTTGGGACTCTGTCAAATGCTTTCACAAATAAACCAACCAGTTGAGTCTACCAGATTGGTATTCTGGCTTTTAAAAGAGTATTGAATAAGATGTCGTGTGCTTGTGCTTTTGATGATACAACGTAGGAAGATAAACTAAGGGGAAGACCGGGATATGAACACTTGAATGAGCAGCTTCACATCCTAATAGAGGCAGATCTTCCAGCGAGTATCGTGGAGATACGTCTGCGACAAGCTCAAGAAATTATAGAAGAGTTACTAAAGCCTGTGGTAACACTCATTGTCCTCCTCAATTATGTTAGGTCTATTATATGTTTTGATATCAGTACAAGGCATTAAGAGAGTAGTCTCGTCTTCCGTGGAGGGTATTAAATTGGAAGGACACGTTTTTCTTTTAGGTTTTTCTGTAGCTGTTTTGCCTCATTGAGACTATAGTTATTACCTGTAGGGTCTCTAGTCTTTTGTCTCAGCGTACATATTTCAGTACCATTCTTTGGAGTTTGTGGTTAGTGTTCAATTATGCAGACATGTGTGACCACTACTCTGACGACCAGCACCAGTCAAAGTAGCAATTGGTGTAATCGCAAACGCCAAAAATAAGCCATCTTCTATTCAAACACTGACATTGTTATGTCTTTGACTATTCTTATTTGTTACCAAAATGCAAGCATAATAGGAAAACTTGGAATCCAATACAATAACATTTTTTGTTTGTTTGCTATAATGAAGGATGAGTCGCAAGATTTTATAAAGAGACAGCAGCTGAGGGAACTAGCATTGCTAAACTCGAACAACCTGAGGGAAGAGAGTCCAGGTCCAAGCGGTGGAGGAAGCGTTTCGCCTTTCAATTCAAGTGGTAAACGCCCCAAAACAGGATGCTAAGAAGCGTTTTTTGTTTGTCTCGCCTGAAACGCTCCTATAAAGCCGTATAATGGTTTCTTCAACCAAAAGTACATGTCTGCATGCATACACAGACACGCATGTGTATATTTGGTTTCTCCAATAGTGGCTGCAATGGTGGTGGTCTGGTCTTAAGGCCTTCCTGGTTTCTCTCCGGTGAGTGACCATGAGTGGCTATTTTCCTTTTTCTTATTCCATTTTGTTTTTTTTTTTTCTCTGGTCGTCTTCATGAGACTACATCAGAGAAACATTATAGATTATTTAAAAAAGATTCATGCAAAAAAGGGAAAAAAAAGAAGAAGGTATGAGAATATATATTATATATAGGGAGAACATAGATGTGGTGGCTTGGGAGGGTAAAGGGCGAGGATTGAAATTCTTATTGTAAAAACATAAACCCAAAAAAAAAAACACATTTATTGGATTGATTCTTATCGTTTGATTTTTCATTTTTGAGACTTTGATGTAAAAGTTTGGTTCCTTTTCAAGTTCAAATATTATATCTATTTATTTTTCTTTGTAAAATTTTGCTCTCTCTTTTCTACAACTTGAGTTGGTCAGATCACTAGAACTTGAGTTGAGACATACCCTTGTGTATGTTGACAGTTGTACATGTATTTTGATTGGTAGAAAAAGTGGTAAAAGTAGAAAGTCTTAGGGAACAAAGTACATAGGATTGGGAATCTTGAAGGTACGATCCCCTGAATATTCTCCTTGTAAGTCACTCCACTGATCTCCCACATTGCCCCATATCCTGTAACCTTCGTCCATCATCTCCTTTCTGATTCTTGTTTTGTATGTTATGGCGCTTTGTCTTTTGTTATCTGCTGTCCTGCAAGTACGTACGTAGAATGTTTCTCCACATATATTGTATGTATGTGACTTGATCTTCCAAAAAAAAGAATCTTTAAAATAATTAAGCAAAGCTTCCCTTACCTCATAATCAACCTTTCATAACCAGTGAATCCTTGGTTATGCAAATTTTCTTCTGTTGCCTGACGAAGGGTCTCTTCATCTCTTCCGGTTACTAGGAAAACCTTGAAGCCTGTTTCTATTAGTGTGTTAAACAGTTCAAGAACAGGTTGTATTGCTTGACACTCTCCTTTCATCGACCATGTTCTGAATCCGCTTGGATCATAAGGGTCGCATCTACATATTTGACAAATTAAACATATTATTTGCCACATTTTTGGTATCCTAGCTAGTATATTCGGATCATAGGTTTAGGAATGTTTAATTCATGATGACACTTTAAAATGGTCCAAAAAATGATCAAACGACGCTATTAGCCAAATAGATTCAATGGAGGAGTAAAATTGTGACCTAAACAAAAAGAAACAAGAAGTTTACGTATATGCGTACCCGTATCTCTTAAGCCGATAGTAAAAAACGTTTGACAAGCAAGTATCATCAACATCCAAGATCCATGCGTCCATGCCATCACCAGGATGGACTATCTCATTGAGATAAACCTTGATTTGGTCCACAATTAACTGGACGTCTCTGTCATATTGACCAGCAAGCATATATACCTCAACGTAACGGAGACATTGCAGAGGAACGATGCGCCACAAACGTACATTGTTGGTCTCTACTCCAAGTCTCCAGCTTAAGCAATAGCTAGCACCATAGTTTCCGTCCATCGGTATCCATGGACTTGTGCTGGTTGCCACTGAGGATATTGTCAGAAATATGAGAAGCAACGTCTGTCTCCTACGCTTGTGATCCATTTCTCTTGATTCTTCTACTTTCTCTAAGTACCCGTGAAGGTTTTATGCAAAGATAGGTAGAGATCATGAAGTGTATGGAAAAACTAGTGACTCGTGAGCAAAACTTGTTAAGAAAGGAAAGAGAGCAAGCTTGGTTGGTGAAACAAGAAGAGTACTAAGTAAGAGGAGAAAGTAATAATGCTTGAAAAGTGAAGATCAGAGCTAGTAATAATACCTAGAGATATGATGTGGTGGTGGTGGATCAGCTTAATTAGTATTGTAGTCGTGTTGTAGACTCGTATTTAAAGAGTTCTGGTTCGGTAGAAGATTCTGGATGAGGTTTCATCCACTAAGTCGCACCATTTTAACGACCAATTAACTTAAATTATGAGATAAGCAAAAGAATTATTAAAAATTCTTGCAAATGGGGTCAAAACCAAGCACCGAATATAGTCACTAATACACATCTATCACCACTATATATATATATATTCTAAACACATTCACATCCTCTACTATATAACTCCTCTAATAATACATCACTCGCATTTACTTACTAAGTGGCGCATGATATTCTTTTAGTTAGTACTATATACAACACTATTACACTAGGTGGATGAGCTCACTATAATTTTCACTTAACTCAGTTTCCACTTTCCAAGGTCATATCATATCCAAGTTTTAAGGGGTTTCATCTTAAGAGATGAGCTGGTTGATAATTTTAACGATCATCTGGTTTTTATTCAACATGTTTAATTTGTAAGTCTCCAAGCTAATGCAATATAGTAAGACCCCCAAAAAAACATTGTATGGTTTCTTAGCTAGAGGTAAGGAAAGCAATGGATTGGTGTCAAACCAACAAAAAATGGACCGACCAAACAAGAGTTACATATGTGGGATTGGATGCTGACAAGGATTGGATTGTTATTGACAATTGTCAACAGAAAAGTGGATGACACGTTACACGTACTAGTCTAATGGAAAATGTAAAGGACACCAACTAATAATGAAGTTTTTTAGAGTTGTCAACACTACTAGTCTACTACTAAATTGGCAATTCCGTTAAAGAGTTGTTGTTGCTTTAGCCTTTAATCATTAAAAACTAAAAAAGGAATACTCTTCAACCACTTAACTAAAACATCCTCATGCCCACAACAACCAATTAGCTTATCTCTTTAACGCTCCTTTGGTTATTATTTTTTTTTGTTTCCACTCCGTCCCTCCCTTCGATTTTTTCATAGATTTGAATGCCACTTACAACACTAAAAAGTTAAAAGATATATTATAAAATACCAAAACTAGACCACTAAGAAAAACATATTGTATAGAGAAAATTATCACATGTGTCTAAATGCTTATATACATCATGTCTCACACCTAGCCATTGTCTAGTAGTACTGAAGAGTTTGGGTTTGTTGCTTACATGAGTCTTGTCTTCGCTCAGAGGCTTAAGACTTATGTTTGAACTTTCATGATTTAGTTGAAAAAGAAGTAAAACAATATAACATGGTGCACTCAGTCATCATCATCATCATCATCATCATCAATTCATTATCCTCATCAAAAAATTACAATAAACATCTGTATTTTGTAAGTGTTGTGAAAAGCTAATCAATGATCCTTGTGTATCTATGTAAGGTCCCTTAGATCCAAAAAAAAAAAGAGGGAGCGAGAGAAGTAGATGAGATAATGCAGCTTCTCTGTCTCCAATGTATTGTTAAGTTTGACAAAAAATCACATGAAAAATACTATTTCTTTGCCGCCAAATCTGCACCACTCACGTATCTTGCTACAAACGAGACGAGCCTGAAAGGAGCACCTATGAGTGGAGCGTCCACCAGAGGCACACCAGCACTTGCTTCGTCTTCTCTGGCTACTACAACCTGTGATTCCACGTCTACTTCCCCATTTGCATTCACAGAAACTGGCACTGTTTCTTCTATTTGGCCTTCTGACATATTTCTCTCTACCAGTGCAGTATCTATGCTCTTAGAGTTTTCAATTCTAATCAACTCGTCGTGTATGGGTATTTCTTCTAAGGATTCAGACTTCTCTACTTCAATTGCTAGGCTCTCAGGGGATGAAGGAGAAGCATGCTGTGATTGGTTGAGCTTAATACACAACTCGTTCACCTGACAACATAATAATAATAACCAGTGAGATTTTCAATCATTCAACAACAGAGTAACTTGGTAGATATATAGCCATGCACTTTACCTTTTCAACAAGTTCAGCGTTTTCAGTGATAAGCTTTTCAACTAGAGTACACGCTGCTTCAATCTGTGAGTTTAATTCTTCCTCAGAAGCACCCTATATCAATCATCATAAACCGTTCATGCATTTCTGAGTTTCTTGCAAATTGTAAAAGTATTCAAAGTCTAACCTTTGCATTACTCTCATGATTTTCAAGCTGGATTTGAAGATTGGATACAGGTTCTGTAAGACTCTGACGCTGCTCTAGAAGATTACTATTAGATTCCTCCAACTCCGTAACCTGCCAAACTTTGTTTTAATCTTCATATCAGACTAATTCTATGCAGTATTATAAGTAGCAGCTTCCTGTTTTACACGAGCAAAATCACTAAATGGTCTCTTAGGAGGCTACAGTTTCGTGTTCAGATGCATTTTCGTGAACCACCCTTGGAAATGAGAAAAACAATTATGTGACACGTACCTGTGCTCGTAGCCTTGCAATTTCATTGTTCAGGCTAGAGATCATTTCTCTGGATGACTTCTGCAGGATTTAATGTGTATGATGAGTAAATAGTGACCATCTTATTTTAACTCTTAAGAGACTCAACTTAAAATGAGTCTCAAGCTTTTATAGTGTAAGATAGAGATACCTCCACATTCACCAAGGATTCTTCATCATGTTGAAGTTGTTGAACTTTCTTTTGTAGACTCGTCTAATTAATAGAATGCAATAATTACTATGATTAGGCAAGGGAAATGCTTAACAAAAAAGCATGCAACTGTCATCTCCAATGATTGGAGACATACCTCTTTCTGGGTGAAGGTAGATCTTTCATCCAGCAATTGTCTCACCTGGGCTTCTGTACTAGACTGTCAAATATATATAAATGTCAGAACTACACAACATCTTCATGCATATAAAATGTAATGTAACATCTTTAACAATCTTATCATGGCTTTCTTTCACGTTAGCTAAGACCAATTCTTAGTAGATAATGCAAAATACCAGAAGTCCTAATTTACTACTGGAGATATAGTTTAGTAAACCCTAAACCATAACTCCTAACCCCTAATCACTAAACCCTAACCCCTAATCACTAAACCCTAACCCCTAATCCCTAATCCCTAATCCCTAACCCCTAAACCCTAAATGCAACTTTCACATGATCACACACAAAGGAGAAAGTGTAGTACTAAACGAACACTCCCGGTGTTGAAGATGTCTCACCATTTCACGAAGAAGCATGTCGTTCTTGTTTTTGTACTGCACAAGTCTTTCGTCCAACTTTTCCTGCATAAACACATGTTATGTTGACATTCAACTTGTAGATGATCCTACAAAATAAGAAAACTATGGATACGGCTTTATGCTAATTTCTTCACTAACTTCGTTTTGTTTGTGAGCTTCATTTTCAGTCCTCAAATGTAAGAGCCGTTCTTCCAACCGTTCCTGTGAAACACCATGTAACTTTAACCTTCAGCTTGCAGATAATGCAGCAAAATAATTAAGTTAGGATATGGCGTTATGCTATTTATTCACTAGCCTCATTTTGTATGTGAGCTTCGTTCTCTGTTCTCAAACACAGGAGCTTTTCTTCTAAGAGTGCCTGTAATAATACATCAAGTTATTTTGACCTTCAGCTTGCAGATAGTGCAGCAAGTTAGCTAAGTTATGGATACAACCCCATTCTTTAAGTTATTTCTTCACCAACCTCATTTTGTATGTGTGCTTCATTCTCTAGTTTCAAATGCGCTAGCCTTTCTTCCAATAGTGCCTGTAATACACCATGTTATTTTACCTTAAGTTGCAGGTAATGCAACAAAATAGCAAAGCTATGGATACAGCCTCATTTTTAAAGTTATTTCTTCGCGAACCTCCTTTTGTATGTGAGCTTCATTCTCTGCTTTCAAATGCACTAGCCTTTCTTCTAACAGTGCCTGTAATACACCATGTTATTTTTACATTCAGTTTGTAGATAATGCAGCAAAATAGCAAAGCTATGAATACAGCCTCATTTTATATGCTATTCATTCACCAACCTCATTTTGTATGTGAGCTTCATTCTCTGTTTTCAAATGCACAAGTCTTTCTTCTAGCATTTCCTGTAATACATTATGTAATTTTGACCTTCAGCCTCTAGAGTCTAGATAATGCAGCAACATAGCAAAGCTATGGATCCAGCCTCATTTTCTATGCTATTGCTTCACCAACCTCATTTTTTATGCGAGATTCATTCTCTGTTTTCAATAGCACAAACCTTTCTTCTAACAGTGCCTGTGAAACACCATATTAAAATTGATTTCTCAACTTGTCGATGAAGCACGAAACGGAAGGTAAAGAAAAGGCTTTAGTCTATTCTTCACTAACCTCTTTCTGTAGGTGAGCTTCATTCACAGTTTCTAAGCCTCTAACATTTTCTTCAAAACCAGCCTATTAAGACATGTCACTTTATTCTTTACTATTCCATGTGGAGTGGTAACCTTTAAGACAAAAATAGAGCTAGCGAAGAGTATCACCTCTTTCTGAAGGTAGGAGCCATTTTCATCACGTAACTGTTTGATAGTTTCTTCCAGCAGCGCCTACAACAGCATTACAAACTAGTTTTGGAATCCAAGTGAAAAGATAGAAAACAAGAGAGACTCTTCATGATAATAAGGAACAAAAGATTGATATCTCACTTGGGTGAACAATAACAGATACTAGTGTTAGCAAATCTTTATCAGCTAACTTATAGATAGACATGCAAAATTTGAATTTAATGCAATACTATTGTTCTTCTATCTTTCTCATCTACAATCCCAAAGAAATAACAATAATCTACTCTGCCAACTCCATAAACTAAATAACGAAATTGCATACAAGAAACAGTGGGAAAATCTGACCTCACTTGTGTGAGACTTGTCCTCAACACCAGAATCATCTGCCTGCTTGAAATAAGAAGATTAAAAAGTATCAAACCATGAGGACGCACCTCACTTGCACTATCCCATAATTTTAGTCTACCATCTCTATACAACCCAAAAGATAACAAGTACTCTTAAAACACATGGGTTACAAATAAGCAGACACCCACATAGTAAAAAGATATACACGAACTTGCATTCAATCAAACCACACAATGTGGCATAAACATATCAACAATATCAAACTGCATTTACATGTAAACTTAAGTTAATCAATCAAATTTAACCCAATGTCCTATCATCAACCCAGAGAACCAAAACTAATGTAGCGCTGTTGCAATCGATCTTTAGATATATAATGAACTTACAGTTCCGACGACATTACTGATCTGGTGAGATGGTTGCGACTCATGGGCATCTGGGCCTCCGCTAATTAGAGCAATGTCACCATCTCCGATATGATTTTCATCAGCAGAGGTCGTTACACCGGAAGCAACAGCGTCGTCTGCACGTTTATTACTCTGCTTGTTCTTCTTCTTCTTGTTTCTCTTCTTCTTCTTCTCGTCTTCCATTACCCTGATCCAGCAGCTTCCAAATGTATCAGGATTCGAAAAAAAAAATCCAAAATTTATCTCATCCTAGCATAAAGCGATGAAATTTATATATAACGAAGTCAGATCTAAATGAATTGCGCGGAGAGGAGAAGGTTAATGCGAAATAACGAAGAGAGAAAGAAACCAAATTGGAGGAAAAGAGAAATGCATAGATTCGTAAGCTCACTTTGCGTTTGCGGGTAGATGATGGGATGGCGAGTGATGATAATACGACACGAAATCGAAACCTTAGGGGAAAGGACAAAAGAGAAAGAGGTCGTCGAACGAGAAACGTATTTAGTCCTTTTTAAGTCTGACGTCTCTTACCCATGGAAGCAACAATTTTATTAGTCGTGGGACTTTTTATATAATAAACTCACCTTCCCTTTTAGTCCGTCCACCATAGAGTTCTCTAGGTATGTGCAATTGCTCTTCTTCCTTGTGCCTTTCTCTTCCCGTACTCAATGCTCGACTGGTGGTGAAACCCAATTCAGAGAATTGTAGATGGAGGCTAAAAAGGATTCAGCATTCGATCCTCAATTGCTCAAGGAGAAGTCACGACGTCTCAGTCCACAAAATTGATACTTTATTATCCTCATCAGAAAGAGGAGCTCGGTGTTGTTTTGATTCGAAAAAGTCTGCCTTTCTCGGGGAATTCAGCTTTAGAGAGAAATCGAGTGACGGTTTCGTCTCTTGTCTGCGTTCGTCGTCACTACCTAATGAAGAAGATGCAGTGCATCAAATTGTGGAAAGTGATAATGTAGAATTAAATGGAGAGAGTGATTTGATTCGACTGGTTGGTGCAAACGAATTGACTATTACTGGATCGAGAGGATTCAAACAGACGTCGACGAGATCGAATCTTGTTGCTAAGCAAGTCATTAGTATTCAGTCAGCTCTGAGCTTAGGATTTATCTCTCAGCTCTGGGTTGACACTACTTCTGTGAGTTTTTGTTACATCAGTTACCTTTTGAGGTTGCATTACATCAGTATTGAGTTTCAAGTCTGGTTCTTTTTTACCAAATTTGGGAATTGCAATGAGCTTGATCGTTCTGAATTTTGTTTCAGTGGTTGGTTTTGGTGGTTGATATTAAACCAAGCTTGCTATCTGGAGAGTCTGAGAGATTCCTGCTTAAAGACATTACCAGGGTACTAGTACTAGGTTTGGTTTATACTACATTGAAACTTGTTTCTTCTGCTGATTATGTTTACATCTCAGTTTTATATTAAGATCTCTGTAGGTGGGTGATGTTGTGCTTGTAAACGATGAGACTGTATTGGATACTGAATTCAAGATGGTTGGCCTTGAAACACTGGTATATATATATATATATATATATAGTTTGATTATCCCTCTTTAGTTGTTGTCTTGTGAATCACCCACTTGTAAGCAAGTCTAAGATTGAGTTCTCATCTTTTGTATAGGTAGGTTACAGAGTAGTGACACCAGGAGGCCGAAACATTGGAAAGGTGTTACCAATCTTTCTAGAACTTATTCAGTGATGATATATGTCTCCTTGCCAATATCTTGCCATTAACTTAAAGCGTATGATTGATTTTAGGTTCGAGGTTACTCGTTCAACATTAACTCAGGAATAGTTGAATCACTTGAGCTCGATTCCTTCGGGGTAACCATCATTCCATCAAGCCTGGTGGGTAAATTTTTCCCTTCTAAGTCCAAATAAAATGATTTGGTTAATGAGATACAAGTACAAGCATATAATCTATATCGGAATAGCAAAATGTTATGATTAACTATTTGGTATGTGATAATGCAGGTGAGTACATACAGATTAGATATCGAGGACATAATCGAGGTCTTACAAGACATAGTTGTGGTTCACGAAGCTGCAGCTTCTAAAAAACAGAGGTTGACTAAGGTATACCTCTCTTGTAATGGATTGCCTTGGGACTTTTTCTTGTAGTCATAAATGGATGATTGAAGAAAAACTCTTAAATCCAGGGACTCTGGGATGCTCAGTTTGATAGTGAATACTCTGATGTTGAAGAGCTTCAAAGTTCATCTGATAGAACACGGCGAAGGAGAAACAATAGATCCAATCGAAAGAAGAGAGATTTGGACGATGAAGATTGGGATATATTCCGCTAGAAGTCTTTCATCCATTGTTTGCCCATCACCTTGACATACATCTGTATTTTATAGAGGAAAGGAATAGACTTATTAAAACATGACTTTCACAATACTAAACAGGTCATGTTCACAAATTCACAATGCTATACAGGTCTAGTGACTTGTTTCGCTGTATCTGATAAAGAACATATATTACTATGTTTCTTGTTTTGCAGTTGAATCCAATCAGAATCAGTTTCACCTTTCAAGTGATGACACTTATTGATCAATATCCCATACACTAAAGGCTGTTAAAGTTCAGCTGTTCGAGATCATAATAAGGAGGACAAAAAAAGAGAATCTAAAACTTTTAAAAACTTCAAAATATGGCAAAATCTGCAAGAAAAGGTTGAGTTGACAGTTTGGACAAAGAGAAGCAACATAAATAAGAGCTACAAACACCTAAATTAGTAAATACCCCTACTCAATCTCTATGACACTGAACGATATCCTTAAACAACATCAGAGCCAGAACATTTTCAGAATACTGGCAAATGGACATGAAGCTTCTGATAAACAGAGCCTCTATGTCTTCACATGGGTCTCTTGTAATAGAAAGACACACAAGAGATCTCGTTAACAGAACTTCCAGTGGTTGTCGCAGTTAACACATGTAACATAAGTCGTCATTGGCTCATCAGCACTTCTTGTTTGCATCTGATAGTAGGTGCATTTGCGCTGACCACAACGCCCGCACTTGAACTGATCAGTAGATGCTTTTGCAGCAAGACTACGCTCGCAATCAAACAAGGCTTTCTCTTTGATCTGATTGTTCTCTTGTTTCCTCTTGTCGCTTGCCATTTCTTCAGCAGACAATGTAATGAGTCTCTCTGGTGAAATCTCCCCTGTGAGAACCCTCCTTCTTAAGTCTGGGTTGTTACTGTCCCTCAGGTTGAACATTATAGATCTGTACTTAACCTTCTGAGCTCCAGTTGAGCGACCCAATTTCTCAAACATCAGTGACTCCACTGAAACAGCAACACGGAGTGGATCACTTGCATCTACTGACTCTCTCTCATAATCATCCGCTTCTCCAGCAACCCTAGCCAAGGCCTCCACAAGCAACTCACGGATTTTGTCACGCACAGGATCATTGCATTTGAGCATTGAAGTTAATTTTGGAGGAGCATTAGGTGCCTTAGCTGGAGCCTTCATACTTGATTGGTTTTCCTTTGAGACCCTTTCATCCTTTACAGCCTGACCACGATAATCTACCTTGGCTCCATTAGTGACTTTGTTGACTGGTTCCTTTCTCTCAATCTTGGCGCCGGTGATGACTTTGCTGTCTGGTTCCGTTCTCCCAACCTTGATACTCTTAGCCGAATCACCTCTCTGAAGTTTCTGGACTTTAACAGGCGCGGGATTTGAAGGCTTCTCATCATCCATCTTATTCACCTTAGCCTCTTTGACAGTTTCAGCTTTACAACCGTTTGTGCTTTCGATTTTCTTAGCCTTGGCTGTCTCTTCAATGACAACTTTCTTCCATATCTCAAGCAGATCAGTAGCTACGCTTTTGATATCCTCAACAGGATGTTTTGCAAGAGACCTCAGCTTCTTTCCCACCTGGAAGAAAGAAAAGAATATAACTTTATCTAAAGCAATTCACACACTATCAACATTACAGAGGGTAAAGAATCAACAATCAGCAATAAGCGTATAACACACAATCTCTAATTAGCACACTTATCCATCCAAACCACGACCAAAAAAAATGTATCTCTAAATGCATGACTCGATTCATTCTGTAAACAAAGGCAATCATTGATGACCTTTAAGTAAAACATATCATGTATCAAATTTGGGGTTGTTCCCCTTACCCTAACATGTGGAGCTGAGTTCAATGTCCAAACTGGGCTAAATTCCAATAATTTCAACAGGACGTCTCATACAAAGCACTAAACAGTTTGCTCAAGCTTCTTCATTGGTTGATTTAAGACTATTCATGTTAAATTTCTGTGAATTTTTTCGATGAAATCAAATAACTCTAGTTAAGAATCTAAGGTAACAACACAAGTCAATGCAACGAGATTAGGCAATCAAAACTCAGAAATAGAAAAATTTTAAAAACCTCTCCAATCTCAAAACACATCAATCGAAAAAAAGAGACACGTATAAAACTTTTCCTAAATGCAAAGCAATCAATCTTTTATTTAGGGTTACGAGAACATCCGAAACACACCTGAGTCGCAACGAGCGTGTCGTATGTGACAGGAAACTTCTTGAGTTGTTTTAGGGCATCGAGACATCTCTCAACCTCCGGACCAGAGGATGCAACACCGTCGAGAGCTGCCGCATCGGCCGCCTTCTTCGCTCCCTCAAACAATTCAATCAAATCACTTTCCATTGTCCCTAGCTCCAACAACAAGGCCCCAACGCCGACAGATCCAAAGCCGACAGAACACAAAAAAAAAAAAAAAAACAATCCAACAGAATCTCTAAACAATGGAGAAGGTTTAAAGAGATGTTCGGCGGAACCTCGTCTGAGTCGCGACGAAGAAGATTAGAGATTACGGACTGAAACTGTGTTCCTTATTTATTTATACAACCGAGACGAAGCGATCAACGGTTTCAGTTAAAACTCGAAGATTCAACGGTCTCGATCACGTGGCTAGGTCTATGGATACTACTAGAATCACGCTTCTGCTCTTTCCGTCTTATCCCGATATTACCTAATCATACATGGGCTTAATAACTGGGCCCTTATTGGGCCAGAGTTATACTAGTTTTTCTCTTTTTCTCTGCTAATGCGAAGTTGCGAGCAGTGAACATCACACTAACCGGAGCTGTAATAAAAGAAATAGCCTCAGGTGATTCATTACTTGTCTTTGTTTATCACATCTTCCAAACGGGACTAAACCCTGTTATTGTTTGTTGATATATCGACTCACCAATCTAAATACTCGGGAAATTAGAAAATGATTGATCCCAAAAAAATTGTACACAACTTAAAAGGAGACACGAAGGAGTTTGGATATAGGATGCTTATGTTGACAACAGAAACAACATTCTCTTACCATTTTCTTCTATCCTTCACTTCTTACAAACCCATCGCCTGATTCATCTTTTCCTCCATCTTCCAAGTTTGGTCCTTTTTCTCTCTTTTCCACCAACTTATACAAGTAAAACACTAACATACCACCACTGCAACAGAAACCCAACATATTTTAGCCTTCTTTCTGGTAAAAATCCTAATTAACCATTATATGCAAAGTTAGTTTTAAGTATGACTAAATCTTTATTAACATATCTCATTGGGGTTTAGCTTAAGAACTTCTTTCAATCATCTTCCTCTAGTGTTTTGTTTATGAAATCACAATGTATAATGATTGAAACTGAGTTTTTACCTTGTAAGGGTGTTGAAAAAACCTAAGAACGTGGATTTCTGTAGATAGAGAGAAAGGAGAGTGAATTAGTGTTTCGTTAAAAGCCACTGTTCAATCAATACATATCAATCATTTGAAATACAATTTTGGGAAGTGAGAGTTACCTGAGACAGTAGCAACCGCAGCTCTCTCAAAAATATGATTGCCACTATAGCTGTTGAACATAAGAACACGGCAACAAATGAGTGTCAACAAACTTACTTTACATCTACTCTCAAACCGAAATGTCGGACAACCTCATATATCACATTGGCGAAAATATAATTTGCTGACTACAATCAAACTGTATGATTGAACCGGTATCTCTTGAATCAAGGCTCGATTCTATACAAATCAACAATGCAACTCTAACTAATTCTTTCATGGTTAGCTACTAGGCATGTCAGAGGGGTTTTCAAATTCAAACTTCAAAAAAGCACAAATACAGGTAGTTAAAACAAAAGAGGTAGTAATTGGTCTAGCTTTGTGAATAATATGTCAGGGATTTAATACAGATGAAAAACTTCACTAACCCATCTGTCCTTTTAAGAACTTGTTAGATGATTCTCCTTTCCTATGAGACTTTAGACTAGCCAGGCTCAGTGCGAAAATTGCTCCGCCAAGAATGACCCCAAACCTAATGGCAGGAATGCTTCCACATACCATAAAGTTAATGAAACCACCAACAAGCAGGGTCAAACCTGTAAAGTAGAAAATAATGATCATCCTGTTCCTAGATTACGCACCATGGAAGATTATAAACGATGAACAAAATAAATAACATGTTTACCATAGGGTATTCCAACATGGAAATCATTTGCTTGGTCCACATCTTTCAGATCCTCAGTAGAGGCGAATGCTTCAACGATCTCTTTGACATCTGAAGGTGAATCTTCAGCTGCTTTCATAATAATTTCTCTACCCTCTTCGCTAACAACTTTAGCTTTTGTACCCAACTCCTCTTTCGCCTTTTCCGCTTGAATCCTAAGTTGTTCTGAAGTTTCTTTCAATACCCTCATCGCCTTTTGGGAGTTAACAGAGTATGCCTCCGATGACACGCTCTGCATCTTCGAAACCTGCTCTTTAAAAGACTCGAGAGTTTGCTTCCATGCTTCCTGAGATTTACCATCTTCAATATCACTCTTCTCCTTCTCCACCTCAAGACCTGATTCTTCCTATTTGAACAATGGCGATAAAGGGTAACAATCAAAACATGTTCTTTAGCTAAGCAAATATCATTTGATAGCAAATACTAGTCAAAACATATACACATGCATCAAAAGAAAATGCCAAATTCAAACCCCAAATTGCACCTCACATGAAATTAGCAGATTATATTTGCTTAATCAAGAATATTTCACCAAAGTCCAATTCTTTTCGAGCCTCGGAGCAATTTACAAGATAAAGCATCTAAATTCCGAGATACCCAAAACAGAAAGTAGAAGTTTTGAGCACTACCACACTACTCACCGAATCTTCGTGGGATGCAGCGAGAGCAACGACGGATCGATTGAGCAAGACTTCTGGACAACAAGGGGAGCTAAAGCCGAAACGTATCCTTGTAGATGAAACAGCAGCTCGAGGAGCACTGAAATGGCGTCGGCTATGGAGGAGAGAACGTGGTGGAGCACACAGAGCAACCGGCGGACGAGAATGAGCTCTGTAGAGCAAGGTCGAATTAGGGTTTCTGATGGACATCAACTCCATAGGGATGCTCATCGCCTGATCAAAACGTCGCCTAGGTGAGAGAAGTCGTCGGGGAAGTAAAGATATGGATTTTTAAGCTTAGGGATTCAAAAGCTATGTATGTGTGTGTTGTTGTGAATACTTCAAGTACGAAGCAAAGTATCTCCCCATTTCCGAAGGATCGACTAAACCCAACAAAGGAAGAAAACGACGTCGGAACGTTTGGAGATACCTAAGTTAAAGCGAGTGGAAAATATCTTCTGTCACACTATTGTATTTGTACATGAAAGCGTTTGGATCAAACAAAATCAAGAAAACAGCTGGTTTTGCAAGAGTAGACCCTCTGAGTGATCTAGAGTCTTTCGAATTCAACCAATCTTTCATAATCCCTGACCGAGGTTAAACCAATCTTATCTGTCCGGTTAACTTTAGTGTGCATTATGGTTTCTATTCTAAAACCTTGAGTCAACGCTTCAACTAAGACCTTGAGTCAACACTTTATCACTCTAATAATTGCAGATCGGAAGAGTTTTGGAAACATTGAACTATAGACATAGTTACGGAATTTATGGTCTCACTTGACCCCAAAATAATAATCAAATGCAAAAGAGAGACTACTATACCATCTGAGTATATCTATCTACCTACTACCATGCATCCATATTCCATATCATTAATTTTTTTATTATGGTTGGGAGATGCAGATGTGAAGCATTTAAGGCAGAATCTAACTCAAGTCCATATAATGACGAAATGTGTACATGCCATCAAACTCTTCTACAAAATAATTTATTTCGACACGTAATATACGTATAGCTTAACTTCCTTAATTAGTGCTCATAAATTTAGTGAGTGAGCACTAATTAAGGAAGCAATCCATCTAATCAAAGTTAATACTCCAAACTTGGAGATTAATTATATCCATTTTGTGGAACACACGAACTTGGAGAATGTCCCGTTTACTTTACAAGTCCTGATATAAATTGGTCCATCACGTCCCCAATTATTGACGTAAATGATAATAATATACTTGGCTCACAAGTCCTAAAATTAGTGTCGATTCTTGTTTTTAGATTTCCATTATCAAATAAAGATACAAAACTGTTGACATACTTGATGCTTCCCAACTGTAATGCATTTTAATCATCTAAAGAAAAAAAAAAGGTGGATTATACTAATTAAACTATTAAAGCAAGCTTAAGTAAGAACACAGAGCAGGTTAAACTCCAAGACTGAAATTTTCATATAACGTTGGTTGAGATTTGAAAACATAGTAGTGACGATCACATAATAGGAACGTCCACGATAGGAAAAAGAGAACAGGTAGATTAATATATATAAAAAAAACTCTAAAAACAGCCATTCGAACATCTTATTTTAATATATGTTATCTCATCCATCTTATAACATTCGAAACGTCCGCTAGTAGCTTCATCAGTGACCCGTCGCCCATCACCTCACGCTGCAACCATACACAAATCAACACAACCCCGTTAATATAAACCATTTCAATTATTTTCAACTCAAAAAACAAAATCGTTTTTCTTTGGAACCCCTCTAGTTAGTTTACGCTGTATATATATATATATCTGTGAGAGGGTGAGAGAGATTAACATACGTCTTGCAGTTGGTGCTGGTGCTGATCTTGTAAGGAATGTTGACTCCACATGCCTTAGGGATTCCAGCTGCACGGCCAGCGTTGAGACCAGAGCCTAGGCCTCTAGCGGCATTTTGAATGCAAGTGCATGCTTGCTGACGGTCTGGGGTCGTACGGGCTATGCTGTTAAGGTTTCTTACGCCGTTGCAGCATCCTACGGGAATGATACCACCTTGGATCAGGTAGCCAATGCACGGTGCCAAGTTGCTGTTAACAGCGCCACAACTCAGAGCTGCGTTAGCTGCCATTGGACCGGCCACAATCATGCAGGCCAAGACCAAGCATGCCAACTTCATCACTCCGGCCATATTTGATCTCTTAGTTAAAGAGGGTTTTTGTTTGGTTTCAAAAAAAGGAGATGTGTCTAAGTGATAGATGATGAAGAGAGTGATGAGGGGAGTGAGTGTTTATATAGAGAAGGGAAATTAAAGTGTTGTTTATGTAAATGTAAATGCGATAGACTATAGTGGGACGGAGTGGTTGGTTGTTGTACTCATCTAATGTAGAGATTCATATATATAATTATGTAGGACCTCTCTAATCTATTTTTTTATTTTTATTTTTAACATGTTAACTCGATATTTTATCTTCGGAAGAGTAATATATATTTCTACCAAAAATAAAATTTACTGATCTTACTCATGCTTCTTATTTGCATATTTCATTGTTTTGTTTTGGTATGCACTGTTATAATATAGTGTTCAGACTTTCACTTTATAAAAAGTTGATGTAAAGAAATTTACTAACAAATAGTAATAAATTTTAACTTTTAAATAATCAAAATCATGAATCATTGGCTTAAGAAAGTTGAAAAATGACCATAACAAAAAACTAAGGAGAACATTTAGGATTTTTAAATTAAAAAGTGTGATTGGTAAAAATCAAACTTTTTAAACTTTTATAATATGTAATAGTCTTAAAAAGTGTCAACCAATCACCTCTTAAAACTATATATAGATAGATGTGTTGGGTAGAAAAATTACTTTAATTTACATTGAAATGTTATTGTCATTGTAATAGCGTCTATACTCTCTATTCTATCTTAACATCTGTTTATCTTTATAAGTTAACTTTATTTTTCCAAAAATATATTATATATAATTAAATGTTTTTTTCATACATCAAATAGACAACGGTTGTTAAGAGAATACCAAGATCATCATTATTGATGAACTCTTAAGAAATTTTAAGCTAAAAAATATGAAAAAGAAAAAATTATATAAAAAATGTCTTAACGTTTCTTAACTTAAAATTTTCTTAAAAGCTCATCAATAATAATAGTCATCGTGAAAAACTTCGGAGCATGTTCGGTTACACGTACGTTTCCTATTATAAACTATCCATCACTTCCCATTAATATCCGACTTTATGGATCACTAGCTAGTCCGAAGATTAGTGTGTAATATTTTTTAATTGAAAACAATATGAAGTGTTGTCATACTAATGAACACTTCACAGTGTAATGCAAGATAATAAAGCTATCCATATCGATTGAACTAACTAAGTACGTATAGCTTAAGTGAGAATGTAGAGCAACGTAAACTTCAAGTCTGAAATTCATATAAAGTTGTTTGCGAACATAGTACACAGACCGAGTACATAATAGGGGAACATCACGATAGAAGAAAAAGACAGGAAATTAAAAACTCTAGAAACAGCCATTCGAACATCTTATTTAGTATTAATTATCTCATCCCATTATATAATATTCGAAACGTCCGCTTGTAGCTTTATCTGACCGTCGCTCATCACCTCACGCTGCAGCCAAATACAAATTCACACAACATACCGTTAATATCCAACCCAAAACCAAGTTAAATATACTAACACATATTGTTTTTTTTCTGTAAAACCACTCTAATGTTACGTAGTATAGTACTGTGTAAAATATAAAAGAGAGGCTGCATGAGAGAGAGAAAAACATACGTCTTGCAGTTGGTGCTGGTGCTGATCTTGTAAGGAATGTTGACTCCACATGCCTTAGGGATTCCAGCTGCACGGCCAGCATTGAGACCAGCCCCTAGGCTTCTAGCGGTATTTTGAAGGCAAGTGCAAGCTTGCTGACGGTCTGGGGTGGTACGGGCCATGTTGTTAAGGTTTCTAACGCCGGTGCAGCATCCTGCGGGAATGACACCACCTTGCATCACGTATCCAATGCACGGTGCCAAGTTGCTGGTAACGGCGCCGCAACTCAGAGCAGCGTCAGCAGTGATTGGACCAGCCACGATCATGCAGGCCAAGAACAAGCATGCCAACTTCATCACTCCGGCCATATTGATCACTGACTTAGAGATCTTCTTCTTTTCTTTCTTTTTTTAGTTGGTTGGTTTGGAAAAGGAGATATGTGTGTAGTGATGGATGCTGTAGAATGTTGGGGAGAGCGAGTGTTTATATAGAGAAGGAAAGTGTTATGTTTATGTAATGTGTGAATGCGATTGATTAATAGAGAGTAGCTAGAGCCTAGCGGTAAACGAGTGAGTAGTTGGTTGTTGCTCTCATTTAATGTAGAGCTCCTAATTCCTAACTTTGTAGGACCACTCATCTAATTTGTTTGACATGTTAATTTCAACTTCTATCATATGAAAATTGATAACTCTACCAAATATACTAATTCAACTTTATCATATGAAAAGTGATATAATTCTACCAAAATACATTTCAGTTACTAATATATATACTCCTCTGTTTTGCATTCTCATTGTTTTTTTCTTATATATATATATATAACTATGTTCAAAACTATAGGTGTGCAAGCATGCATGTGGATAAGAAGATAGTTTTTTTGACATAGGAAGCCACTAAACTTTGTGTATTCAACACAAAGACTGTTTTACAAAACGAAAAAGGCTGAAACCAACATGAGTTTATTTGGACTAGTTGATCGAACAAACAATTGAAGACTTTTTAACCTAGGATGTCTCTGTGGGTTTAAGATGAAAACAACGTTTTCCTAATGTATAACTAAAATGATTTTAGTAAATGAATGTCTATTTTATATTTGTTTTTTTTGGCATAAAAGTTATTTTCTCCGTAAGGGATATACACGAAAAGATGTCGGTTAGTACAGTCCTCCCACACCATAGATTGTTATGTAGAAGGTTCGTCTTTATGTGAAAATTTGACTGATACACATATCTAATAAAGACTGAATGCATTGTGCATCACACATGGGTAGGATGGGGTCACGGTCGGTTCCCTGAACTCTCTCTATAATTATTTGGCTTTGCTTTTCAAAACCATCACTCACTCCTTCGTCCCATTAGCTTCTATAGTACTATTTCTAGTCTTATTTTTGGTAAAACTAGGTGTGCTAGCTGTGTGTTTTACTTTTATTACTGGTACGTTTCGTTTCACTAGACATAAAATCTTAAACTTTTTTTTCAGGAGGACTAGAGAAATTGATTACTTATTTTCAATGTAGTGTGTGTGTGTTTGATAGTAATCAAAATACCCGGTCCGAACGACGAGAGCGGGATTAACACAAAATGCTAGAGTCTCCGATTATTGTATTCCTTGTTATTTAGATAATACTACAACTTATTCAATGATAATATTATTATTATATAAATTTCCTCTATTTGGCTTTCGAACACGTCAAAACAAGCTTTTTAAAAGTTTCACACGTATGTAAACATTATTTGCAACCAAAAAAAAAAAAAAATTGCTGTTAAGAAGAAGGGTAAAATCCTATTTACTGTTTAAAAATAATATTGTCGGTGCCTAAATTAAGCGCTACAATGATTTATGCCTTTTTTCCTATATTTTCGGTAAAAAAATTGATAAGTAGGGCACCGAGATTGCCACATGCAACATATTATCTGTACGCACAACACGTGTGACCATAAAAGATACATTCGTATTAAGCATTAAATGTATACGATATAACGTCATGGTAAGGGCTAGTAAGGACCATTTATACGTGTTAGAAAACTGCAATCAAACATTGTGAAAAGCCTTTTTAAGTCGGAAATTACGACATATATAGACAAAATACTTAATCTGGAGGAAATCTATAAAATTTAGCAAACAACATAATTTACTTTTTTCTAGAAACTTTTTTTTTTCCCCAGTGTTTGATGTTATATATATATACTCGAGAATTTACCTCTTCAACATGTAGATTCCATAAAGTAATATGTGACTGAGACGTGTCTAGGAGTGCATTTTGCGACATTGGAGAATGGAGACTTTCAGGCCGTTTGGCGCACTTCGGGCACATACATGAACGTAACTATATATTTTGACTCAATGGCGTCTGAAAATGCTTCACATCAAATCATTTATAGCGGTGGTCGGTGATATTGGATATTACTGATGTTGAGGAGAGCAAGTTAGTTTTGACTATGGTAACCATAAACCATCTCAAAGATGACACCAACGAGTGGTACAGTGAATGCAAGAACTTATTATAAGAAATGTGAACGTAGATGAACACTTATATAGTTTGTGTAAAATATAGTGTAATTATATAACAAAGTGCATGTACATACATTGACAAATGACAACTACTACGGATCATTCTAGATTTAGGTAGATTGAAATTGTGTCAAACAGTAGAGTAAGTGGTATTGGCTTTGGGCCGAATAAGGCTTGTTGTATATATATACTCTGAATCTCTGATACAGAGTAAGTAAGAGATTGACATACGTCTTGCAGTTGGTGCTTGTGCTGATTTTTGTGATGTTTTGACCAAATAATCCGCATGGGCCAAATCAATTAAGTGGGCCAAACATCAATTACAAGAATAAAGAAGATATGAGCTTCTGGACCTTCGTCCAAACCGACTAAAGGAGAAGAGAGCCTCTATATAAAAGTCAGGGTTTTGTATCAGGCTTTTTTTGTTTTTTAAGAGATACCGATTTATATATAAGAAATAGTCAGAGTTTACAGTTTTGCGGAAGAGACCAGATTGGGAGGTGATATAAAAAAGTACAAGAAATAGAGTGCTATGGTTTCACATCAAGGCAATTGGAAAACAGAGAACCAGAGGGAGAGATAAGTTTCCTGAGGATGAGCTGACTGATTAGTGGAGTTTGCTCGGTCCATACCTCCTAGCTTCCTTCTAAGGCTTTTTGGTGTGAAGTTTGCTCGGTCCATCCCTCTTAGTCCATACCTTCTAGTTTCCTGAGGAGTAGCTGACTGATTAGTGGAGTTGTCTCAGGCTTTTTGGTGTGGTCGTGAGTGTTATCTTCTTGAGCCGTTGGGATATTACAAGAAACGGCTCATTAGGTGAATTCGTTAAATCTTGGTGTCTTTTAATTTGTTAGTTAGAGTTGTCAATTGGCAACGAGATATAAGTTCTCAGATCTTAACATGTCTATTTAGCTAAGCAAGATCGAATGATTGTAGAACCATTACATTAATAGATACATGTGTCACTCTAGTCATCTAACATCATGTAGAGCTGTTTCTAGTTATATAGGACCCCTCGTCTATTCTTTTGACATGTTAGTTCGATTTTACCTGAAGAGTGATATATAATTCTACGTACCAATTCTATATTTGTTGTAGTAAGAAACATGCCATTTATGGGGTTTTATTGTAGTAAGAAACATACCATTTATTGCCAATAGTTTTCTTTCCACAGGTGTACGTTTTATACTTTTATATATAATAAATGTTGTTTTATAAGTGTAGTATATGGTGACCCAAAAAAAAATATAGATCATCTCGATTGAACTAATTATAAGTACGTAAAAGCTTTAGTGAAAATATAGAGTAACGTAAACTTCAAGTCTGAAATTCATATATTGTTGTTTGCGAACATAGTACACAGACCGACTACATATAATAGAGGAACACCACAATAGTTAAAAACTCTTAAGACAGCCATTTGAAACGTCCGCTTGTAGTTTTATCTGACCGTCGCTCATCACTTCACGCTGCAACCACAGAAGAACACAACACCGTTGATATAAACTTTTCAAATCTTAAACCCAAAAACAAGTTATAACATATTATTATTCTTTTTCCTTTTAAAACCCATTTAGTTTACAGTATATATGATATATGAAAGGGGTGAGAGTTAACATACGTCTTGCATTTGGTGCTAAAGCTGATCTTGTATGATATATTGACTCCACATGCCTTAGGAAGTCCAGCTGCACGGTCAGCGCCAGGGTTGAGAACAGAGCCTACAAGTCTAGCGTTTTTTTTAATGCAACCGCAAATTTGCTGACGGTCTGCGGTCGTATGAGCCATGCTGTAAAGGTTTCTAGCGCCGGTGCAGCAAGCTGGGGGAATGGCACCACCTTGTATCACGTATACAATGCACGGTGCCAAGGTGTTGTGAACGGCCTCACAACTGATCTTAGCCGCGTTAGCTGTGATTGGACCGGCCACAATCATGCAGGCCAAGACCAAGCATACCAACTTTATCACTCCGGCCATATTGATCACTGACTTAGGTCTTTTTTACTATTTCTTATTTGTTGGCTTGCAAAAGGAGATGTGTGTAGTGATGGATGATGAAGAGTGTTGGGGGGAGTGAGTGTTTATATAGAGAAGGAAAGTTTATGTTTATAGAGTAGATCAGGCCGGTATCGGAGTAGTTGGTTGTTCTTATAGTAACAAGTTGTTACCCTTAGTTAATGTAGAAGGTCCTATATCCTAACTATGTAGGACCTTTGAAAATCATCCAACACAAATACTGTTTTACAAAATGTTTTTTTTTTGGTATCTAATTAAGTTTACCCTTTTTCGAACGAATAATCTCTGAGTTGAAAAATAAACAGACAAGAAAAATCAACAAGCGAAAAAAGCCTGAAACCAACATTAGTTTATTTGGACTATAGTTGAACAAACAATTGAAGACTTTTAAATGTTTTCAAATACAATATTTTCTTTTAGGATGTCTCTAGGACTAAATTGAAAACAATTGTCTCTATGTATATGATTATATGGTTTTAGTAAATGAATGAATATATTTATAAATGAAATATTTATACACCATGAAGAAGACAGTTCATCTTTGTGAAATAATCGACTGTTAAACATAATAAATATCGAATGCATTATGCACAAAGACGGACCCGTCAAATACAATGGTGCGGGGTCAGTCGACCCCATTAATAATTTTTAAAATATAAAACGAAATTATTAGTTTTTAATGCAATTTACTATAGTGAACCCACCAAATAGTTTATTTAGTCCAAAATCTATTAATAGAACTTGTTTTTCATTTTAGTTCAATATTTCGAAGGCTCACTTGAAAAAATCATATCCTGTTTTTAATTAAGATGAAAGAAAAAAAAAACTGAATATTCTTTTTTTGTAATAAAGCAAAAATTAAATTAAATTTAAAACATGAGTCTATTTGAAAAAAAAAAATTTCATATTTATATAATAAAAGGATGTTAAAAAAAAAATTGATCCCGGTAAAAATAGGGATTTAGATCCGCCAATGAGTATGCATCACACATGGGTGGAATGGGGTCACGGTCGATTGCCTGGACTCTGTAATTAATTATTGGCTTTGCCTTTTAAAACCATAACTCTCCGTCGTCCCGGAACTGACTATAGTACTGTTTATAGTCTTATTTTGGTAAAACGAGGTGTGCTGTGTTTTGCTGGTACGTTCTATACTAGATTTCCATGAGGCAAGTTTCAATTTAATCAGGAGGACTTATATAAAATTGATCCCTTATATAAAATTTAGTATACGTGTATATTATTACTAGTATATTGAGAATTATTAATTTATTAGGGACCAATTCTAGATTTTTGTACAGTGAAAATGTGTGCAACAAAAGTGTAAGCAACGGTTTAGGTCTGCAATATATATGATTGGGTGGGATGGGTTTGGTTTGGACTGAAACAGGCTTGTTTCTTGTTGTATACACATTACAATATTCAAAGCCATTTGGTTTAAAGCATCAAATATTGTGGCCACTTTTCTTCACTACATACATCTGAATTCTGAGTCCCGACTTACACATACAAAGATACATATGGCCGGAAAAAAAAAAGGAAAATATTAAAGATTAATTAGCTTACATGTTAATCAAAGCTAAGCTCAACCAATTAAATGGTTGTATCTTTGGTATTTTAGTTTGCCAAAAAATAATTCCTATATCATTAACAATCCGTTAAAATTGTCGATTGATAATTTTAACATTTCTAGATTAGTTAATTCGTGTTTTGTAGTAAACCAGTCTCCAGATCATTGCTACAACCATCATCCTCGTCTTCTACTTCAGCATGGACGGTATCTTCTTCCGAGTGACTTTTATCGGCTGCAGCGGAGGTAAGTTCCTCTGCCCGCTTCACTTGATGGCTCCAGTCCGTTCGGATCAACGTATAAAGCATCATAACCAAACACGTCATCTGTGCAGACAACAGCCCAAACCATAGCCCACGAAACCCAACCTTAAACCCAAAAGTGGTTGTGACTGCCACAGGCAACCCCACAATGTAGAATGCGCATAGGTTAACGCGTGCCCCATCTTTAGGCCTCGCCGTCCCTGTCAAGACTCCACACGCAGCCGTCTGCGGCGAGTTTCCAATCTCACAAAGCCCCAATATCGGAAGCGCCGATGAAATCAGCCCGAGAATCTCCGGTTCGTCCGTGAACATCTTTCCCCAAACCGACCTAAGCGCCGATACAAAAACAGCAGCTGCCAACCCGTACGCAACTGCGAGTATCAAACCAATCACGGTCGTACATTGAGCCCGTGTGGGTTGGCCACCTCCTAACGCATGTCCTACACGGGTTGCAATGGCACTGCTTATCGCAAACGGGACTACATATAATATCCCCGTGGTCTGTATCAGTATTCCCATGGCGGCCACACTCGCTTTAGGGTTCCCAAGAAGCCCACATAGAAAAAGCATGATCTCATACCACCAATACTCCAAGCACACCGAGATAGCGCTTGGTGCGGCTAGAGAAAGCAGCGGCCACCAGCCGCGGAAAAGGGACCGCAAAGCGAGCCCTTCCCACGGTTTGATTATAGAATCCGAGAAGCACGTGTAAACTAGCAGTCCCACGTTGATATTCATAGTGTTAAAAGCCATAGCGACCGCAACGCCCTTAACGCCTAAACGCATACGTATGACGAAAACGTAGTTGAAGAGAGGGTGAAGAAGAATGGATACAATGGCAGATATTGTTAACGGTGAAGTCAGGCCTTGCGTTCTGAGGAACGTTCGTAAGGGGTGGAGCATTGCCTGAGCTAGGAGCTCCGGGACAAAAAAGAATATGTAGATTTTGGCGACCTTGGTTATATCAGGGTCTTGACCCAACATCAAGAAGATGGGTTCAATGTTGAGCCACGCAACGGCGATTGGAATGGAGACCACAATAAGAAGACAAAACATTTTCTGAAAGGTGTGGCTAAGTACGGTCCATCGTTTGGCTCCGAAGGCTTGGCCACAGATTGGGTCCATACCAACGGAAAGGCCTTTGAGTACGGAGACCCCAGTGATGTTTCCGAAGCCCATGGCAAGTGCACCGCCGGCGAGTTCTACTTTTCCGAGGTGGCTCAGGAACCACATTGATATTATTGATCTTGAAAAAATGAGAAGTGATGTCATCACGATCGGGCATGCAATTTTTGTGAGTGACGCCATCTCCTCTCCCACCTGCATGGGAAAACATATAAAAGAAATATACGATTTTTGTTAGGTTTTTTTCAATATTATAGAACAACTATTTACTATTTTAGTGTTATATATATAACTAGGCTTCTAGTTTTAGCAAAACGCACTCAAGAAAATAGTAGTAATATAGAAAGAAGCGCATTGAGCAAAGAAAGAAGAATTTTTTCTTGATACGAAATAGTCTTTAATTAATATCATATACAAGAAAATGAAATACATATGTTTAGTATTTGAGCGTGGTTTGTACGTACACATTAAAAGTTAACTAACTATTATTTTTTTATCTAATCATAACTAAGTAAACAAGTGTGCTTCTAATTAACAACTTGTATAAAATGGTAGATAAATAAGCTTTTTACATGAGTCTTTTAATATCTATAAAGAGCTTTCAACACTAATATTTTTTGTAAATGTAAAATAAAATCTATATAAATAATTTCATAGTGAAACAGAAGGACATACGATACAAAAAAGAATATTATAAAACAAAGAGCAAACTGTAAGCACGAGGAAGATGGTCGCATCACATGGCCACTGGGACTGGGATGAGAAAGTTGAAAAAGAAGAGAAAAAGTTTAAAATTCTATATACAACTTTTAGAACTGAATAATCAAATTCACAAGTGACAGAAAAAGCTAATGGCTAACTGTACCAACATTCTAGGATCTTTTTAAAAATAAAAATCATCATGGGTTCTAAAAAGCTCACCTTTTCAATTTTGATATTTTCTTTTTTTGAAACACAAAATCAGCTTAGATATTATTATGTCTTTCATTTCATTTCATTCATGAGCTTCATTAGCAATAATATCGATACTTTAAAAACATAAAACCGTATAAAAACTAAAATATACATACACACTTGTAAAGTATCATGAACTACTATTGAGATTCATGAACAAAAATTGGATAAGGATTACGAGAAAATAAATAGAAAAGTATCCAGATTAATGTATTAAAATTGGTATTAATAATTAAGAACTTTGTTGTACTAAGTAAAAGGAACTGATATTAAAAAAAAAAGAAAAGAAGAATGGAATGTGAGGAAACATGTATAGAACACTTTCCTAAGTAAGTACAACCCAACTGTCAAGAAATAAAAGGTAAGTACAACACAAAAAGCAACTCGCCCTCTCAGTCCATGAAAGTGATGCTTGAAACACACATATGAACATGTCTGCAAACTCAAACATCATATCTACTTATATAGTTACAATATAGTGGATGTCGTCTATCAAATTATTTGTCAACACTGCGTCAGGTATAGATGAAGCTTTTCCTCAAGCTATATTCATTAAAATGCTATAAAACAGTCAAAAGTAACATTTTAATCCACTACAAGATCAGTTTCCAAGAATTCCATATTAGTATTTACCACCCCCAAAAAAGTATAAAAATAGCTGTAAAGTAATACAAGAATCCATCAAAAAAGCAAAACTAGCAGAGTGACTTGTACCCAAAAACTACTCTGAAGAAAATGTAAGAAAAACAAAAAGAAGAAGAAATTAAGGAACCTCGTTAAAAGGGATGCGACGGAGACCAGCGGAGAATTTGGGATGGTTGCCACTAGTTTCTCCTTTGAGGGATGAGGTTGAAACATCGCATTCTCCGTTTATAATCTCACTAGATTCACTTCTGTTCATGTTGGACCTGCACATGCTCATATATTTTATAAGAGATATAGTGTTATCACACTCCGTTGTCACTTACAACATATATAGATAGCTCACTATACGAAGTGTTTTGTTTGTATGTGTGTGCGTGAGAGAGAGAGGAAGAAGAAGAAGGTTTTAAGCTCCTTCCCCCTCGTCTATTTATGTACGCTTCTCTCATTTTTTTTCTTTTCTCTGCTTAATAGTTTATTGGGAACCTGTTGCTTAGTTTGATTTTTTATTTTTAACTTCCACAAAGTCATCTTAGACTGACCAGTAAACTAAAGTATTTCCTTTTAATTTACTTTATTTTCTACTTATAGAAAGGCTGGTTGACACTTGACACTTTTGGTAAAAAAAAAAACAAATATAATATGAGTTCACATATATTGGTGGTTCTTCAGAGCATAAAATATTTGCCAACTCTTGCTTCACTATATTGTATTCTTCCCTTTGAGATTAGTGTCTCCACATATTATCAATATATAACCTTTCTTCTTTAGTTTAATTACAAATGTTGTTATAATTTACTATTTCTTCATTTGATTAGTTATGACTAATTTACTAACAATATATTATATACGTGTCAAAAAGAATGATTAATTATATTTAATTCCTTAGTTACGCATAAACAATACACAGTACAAATTACAGCAAAATAAAATACATGAAAGCATAGAATATAATACAATAAAACATCAACCTACTGTATATAACCAAAAAAAAATAAGAATGTATTAAAACGCTATTAAAAAAAGAAAGTAATATATTTTTTTTTGAACAAAAAGTAAGAAAGTAAAGTTAAGCAACATAGTATATACTATACTTTTTTCTAATAGAAATAAACACCATGACCAGGTCTTACTCATCAAAGTCATCATATACTTCAATATTAGTAGAAAGTAATTGGTCTGTTTTCTTTTGTTTAAAAAAGAGCTTTGCAAAACTAGTTATAGAAATGAGAGCTATGTTACCTCCGATATAACATGTTTTTTTGTTAGGATGTAAGATGTTTGATTTGGATAATGAAGAGAAAGACAACAAAGGTCAAGTGAGATCATCCCATTATATATATATCTATATATATGATATTTGAGAAGTTAGATATTTTATACTATTTATATAAAAAGATCAAGTCCCTATATCTAATTGGAATGCCTTTCATGATGAAAGTGGAGAAACAAAACAGCTTTGGGGACTCGATGTATATCAGTTTAAGAGAAACCTTGAGAGGATTAAATTGTTATTTATATCTACAATATTGTACCTATGTTTAACTCCGCATGACTAAGAAAGTATAAAAATTCCCATCATAGTCAGTAGTCACACACAAATATAGGTCTAAACATTGTAATCAAATTCATACACATGGACCATCTAAATGACGAAGAAGATCTTGTTCTGGTTCGACGTACGCCTAGCTATATGTGCTATAGAACTTGATGCAGCAGTTAATGAACTTTGTAGACGTTAATTTGTTGTCCTCTATGAGTACGTTCAAATGAGATGATATTGGTGTCAGTCCAAACTATTGCGATTTTCTATATATTTTTATTTAAGAATAAACTCTAACATTGTAACCAAATAAACGTTCATATGCCGAATTCTGATTTAAAATCAGTAAATTTTACAGAAACAAATATCCACGATATATTTATTTTCTACAAATCCATAAGGTATCTTTTTATTATTTGAAAACTGAAGATAACTAATTTGATGAGTTTTGTCTCTTGGTAAAACTGATTCATTAGGGTTTTGGACTCTTAGTGTTCCAAATATATATCCAATTACACCCCTAAACAAGAGTTAGAAAATATGATTATTTTAGATAGCTTAGCTAAACTACGTAAATATATATATATATATATATATATATATATATATACATGTGCAATATTATAAAACCGAGCCTTATTACTTTTGGAAAACACATGTATAAATTACGTCTTCTTAACATAATTAACCAATTTATTAATGCAAGTGTTTATTTTTATTTTTGGTCATTTTCAATCATTTTGCCAATTAACATAAGGGATAAACATCATAATCAATAGTCTACATTGCTGAAAGGTAGAAACCAATTATTCAATTAAACAGTGATATATATATTAAGGGCTTCTAGTTGTAATTTACATTTTATAAATATAGATTTCTTGGATAAGGTAAAAGATTCTGAAGAACAAAACTAATGATGGTGTCATCTTAAAGGCATTTTTAGTTGCAATTCTCTTAAGATAAGTAAATTTTTTCGATAAAGTGAATAAGTTTTGAGATACAAAATCATTAGGGGAGATGCGGATTGTCTACTCAGAAGCATGCACAAGAGTTTATAAGGTATTTGATACATTCATAACATCTTCTTTGATAGCGACAGCTTTTGGTCTTCACCAAAACTTGCTCCATATGTCCTCCCTATTGCGAGACCTACATAATTTTAATTAATATCGTTTCTATACCACGAACAGCTTATTTTATTAAGCACGTATTACGTATATAGATTATAAAAAACTGTTTTATATTTTAGTTCTGCGCTTCTAATTCGTTTTGATATATATAGTTAAATTTGTCATCGTGTTGCCCCAAAATCCTAAGGAGTAAAACTTTATAAAGACTAATCGAACGGGGACCATTGTCGTCGAAGCTTACTAACGTACGGAAGATGCTATGACTAACCAATTAGTGTATAATCACATGCATATGCCCTTCAAACTTCAATTATGCACTCACTCACAAGTCACAACAACACTTATCTTTTCTATTTTGTATGTTATAATATAAGATTAAACACTTGTTAACTTAGTTGGTCCACTTATCTAAATTTTTAAAACAAAAAAAAAAAACTACATAACAAGACTTGGTTGGTACAGGATTTTATTTTTTTATTACCCCACGAAAAAAAGAAATGGAACTCAGAGACGGCCAACAGCTATAATGATATACAGTATAGTAATACATATCAACGAGACAACGACCCTTCGACTTGGTTGGGGTTAAATTAACTTACTTTATAGAATTTGTTTCTCTTAGATTTGTTCATTCATGTCAACTTCGGGCTAAGTATAGTGTCTTTCCAAATAAATTTCTCGGTTGGAAAATTGTAGTTTAATTATGGGGCTTACTTATCTTTAATATCCCTAAAGGGTAAGCCACAAAAGTAAATATTAAAATATTTTATCCAATCACATGTTTCCACTTTGTATTTTTTTTTTTTTTGTTTACTAGTATTTATTTTCCTACTGTTTATTCCATACAATAAACTCAACAAGCTTAAAGAAACTAATTAACAAAATAATTCACTTATTATATCTAAAACTGTATATAAATTCATTAATCACCAATTTTATTATTTTGGCTTGGCCGAGTGTGTTATTTTCGTTTAAAATTGTTTAAAATTAATACGCAGAAAATTATAATCGCTATAACGTGATTCATTTTTCTATATTTTCAACCATGAGAATTAACTTTTACTTGTTTCTATAATATCGTTACTGTGTTATGTGTTATTGACAATTTTTTAGCATTTAGTTTACTCAAAGTTAAAACCATGTAAATATTATCATATTCGTATACTGTTTATTAATTTATCGAGATATTACTTTCATTTGTTGTTCACTGTATAATTTTTTGTTTTTTTTTAATCAACCGTTGACTGTATTATCTACCTAGGCTGCTATTCTCACTTCTATGGACTATGTTCCTTACAAGAAGAAGTTCAAAGCCTTTTATCTCCTTTTAAAGGCTAGCAATCTCGCCCTTTGAGATAATTACGCAAGCAACCAGAAACTATCATCTTCCGAAATTTGCACATCTGGACCGGTTCAAACATTCAATGCAGCCCACATAATGGCCCAATCCAAAGGTGAAAGCGCGTTTTCAATCTGAACATAAAATTATATTCAAATCTTCACAGCCGAAACTAATGAGGTTAGAGAGACCCCATGATCATTGATCATGATCGTTCACCATATCATAAAATAATAGATCAGTAATGGACCCTCACTTTCTTTTAAGAAATCATTAACATAAAATTATTAGGAAATAATACAACAACGAAATTGAATGTGCCTCTAACAATCGAACAAGTCTTTTTGTTTCTATTTTCCTTTTTTCTCGAGGGCGGATCATAGTTTAGAACCGCCCGAGACCTTCGGATCTTTTTCTCTCTGTCTCCGATGGCTCTGATGCGAACCAGGAGCCAGTTGAACGTATCTTCTTTGACTCCACCACCACCACCTCCGTCTCCGATCCCTAGAGCCAGGGGTTCACGTTGCGCTGCCAGCGAGATTCTCACCGAGATCATTGAGAGATCCGTTCAGGTTCCTGAGCTCACGCTTCCTGAATCTCATTCTGGAGGTGAATCTTCTGGGTCACGTCATCTGATCCCCGCGGAGATTGATTTTAGGTTATTAGCGTCGAGAAGAGAAGGCTCGGTCGATCGGTTGGTGCGATCCGCGAGAGAGTTTGGAGCGTTTCGTGTGAGCTACCATGGGATATCGGGGGAGGAGCTGAGGTCTCTTGTGAGGGAGTCTGGTCGGGTATTCGGTGTTTTAGAGGGAAGAGACACCGGGTTTCGTCGGAGTGTTGTCGGAAACAGGGACGAGATCGAGTGGGTACGGTCGTGGAAAGAGCGTATGGAATGGGCTCGCGAATATATCGGACCTGAAAGGTACCGCTGCTTCAGGTATAAAAACATCTTTGAAAAATGAAGTTTTAAAGCTATAATACATGTTTAGGTTGATGAATAAATGCTTCGTTAGAACTAGTTACCTTGTGTAATACGTGAAACCTAGGTTTTCTTTATGCTGCTGATATTGTTATGAAATGTGTCACAAGTAACCATGTATATTTCCAAAATAATTGATTGAAATCTTTAATTCGTTGTGCAGCCAAGAAATGGAGAATGTAGCTGATAAACTTGAAGGGATAGCGAGGAAACTAGGGCAGATAATGGTAGAGAACTCAAGAAGACAAAGTGATAAGAGGATACAAAGAGGAGAATCTGTGCTCAGCGTTTACAGATACAATCATGAAAACGTAACTGAGCAAAGCCCTCCTTTGCCCAAAGAGAAGACCGAAGATATGCTCCATTACACACTTAGCCTCCACCTTCCAGCTAAGAACTGCGAGTTCCGTGTCAACTCAGGGAAAGGCCCGCTTTCTTTTCATGCTGATCCTGACACTATCCTTGTCACTTTTGGTCGCCAGCTTGAGGTATATGCAAGAGCATTTAAACACTTTAGTTTTTATATGATATGGTCAATATCAATTGTATACTAATCTTGTAACAAAACTGTGAAACTATTCAGGAGTGGAGTTTAGGAGAATTCAAATGTCGTCAAGGAGAAATCATTTATCATCCAGATGCGTATGGTTCGCGCACTTCCTTCTCGGTAGAGCTCAAGTGCATGTCTCTTTTCTTGTCACAAGCTTCTATTGCAACGTCTAAAACTTTCTCTTTAACCCATCAGATTTTCACTGCGTTACTCCTACTTTTTATCTTCCAATCCTTTTGGATTTTTGGGTCACATATATGACCACTTAGAATATATATTCACTTATATATGTGTATATTTTGTTTGTGTGTGGGAGAGACATATGCGGGCATTTGAATCCAACGGGTAAATTAAGTGTGTTTATCTATTAGGTGGAAGCTTCGGTTGTATATGTAAAACCCAACACAGATTATTTGTTAATCGTTAAAAAAGAATACCAATAGAGAATTGATTGAGTTTTTTACTTTGTTTGGATTCAAATTTATTGACTTTAGAACACGCAAATTTTCCTTAATTATAAGCAATTTGTGTGTTCTTGAATACGATGTTCCTCTTTTCTGATGGGTATGGGGTACAAATTATTTGTCATAATATAAAAGAAGATCTAATGTAATTTCGTAATATAACTTTGACACAATAGCAAGATAAACCATAAAGAATTGTCTTAGTTAAAACTTAAAACAACGATGAAGGTCCTAGATCTAAATAATGATTGTTTTTTTGTTGCGAAATTTGCTTCTTATTAGATCTTATAATAATTTCTAAAATAAATCAAACCATGACGATGTGTGACGAAGAAGAAACGTCCTGGCTAGATAGAGTGACGGTGTTTGTGCTTGTGATGGTACGGACGATGTTGATGGCTTACGTACAGCATCACGGTGTCAAAGACGGTGTCTCCTCGAAGCAAGATGTCTTTATTCCGTGATGACGGTAACAACGAGAATCAGTAATTACAAAAATAAAACGAATGTGACGTATTACTTCTCTAAAGAATTGAGTTTCCATAGCTTTTGGGATATGTATGACTCCACAATGACTATCCGGGACGTTCTAGCCAGAACTTGATTGAGATGATCGATATGCCATATATGGTACAATCGAGATGACTTGACAATCATCAGGTGTTTGGTTGGATGGTACTGCAGAAATGATTCAATGGTCTTAGTATGTTCCATTTTCACATTTATTAGATAAAGTCAAACTAAAATGTCGATATATATATATAGCAAAATACCGTTACGAAAGCGAATACATACAATATTGGAAACCATAATGAATGAACAAGAGTTATATTCTTTATTCGTTTTACTTTGTCGATTTTTTTTTCTGCCTTTGTATACTGTCCTAAAACTCAATTTTACATTACATATTATGTATGCGCAAGTTCACGTGTAAGGATTAAATTTTGGCTTTTTCAACAGCAAAAGGGGTATACTAGTATGATTTACTCCACACACGAATGACTTGGATCCACGAATCCAACTTCAAATTAATTATGAGAATAATCCTTATATTAATAAAAATCTCCAGCTATCAAAAAAGTAGTTATTATAAGCTATATATTGAATTTCAAACATTTAAATGTTATTCTTTTGTCATTTAATATAGTATTTACTAATTGGATAATGTTATTGGTTTGATTTGGTAGCTACGGTTAAAGATATTTGATCAATTACGATAGATTATTACGATTGTTAAGGGAGGTTGATCAGTCCACAGTTATAACATTATCGTGTCTAAACGTCTTTATATGCATGCATACATATGTATTTGGTGCTTAATAATTACATAAGCAAAAGATTTTGTTCTTTTGCTTTTTTTGTAAAATTTAGTTCGCATGATCAATCCTGGTCAATTGGGATTCGACTTGCCTACAAAGAGAGATTACAAAAGAAACTCAAGACCGGTAGTGTTAAGCTTAAACCATCTCCATGACTCCATTAATAAATGTTTTTTTTTTTTTTTAACATTCAATAGATAGATAGTAACGTCAATCCACGTTGTTGTTATCTACGACGACATTATTCAAAGATAATCTACTTCGAAGTTATCCTCTTCTTCTTTTCCATAAAGTTTTTTTTGTCAACGATGTAAATTTTTTAAAGAAATATATATCTATATGACTTTTGAATCCCACCTGGAAATAGAATGGTTTGGTTGACCTGACAAGTCATATTTATTTTTTTGTAATAAACAATAACATAAAAACACATAAACCACACAACTGTAAATTACTTTGGGGATCAAATGACTCTTAACCTGGTTGGTATAGCGCAACTAATTCGAATTGTATCGCATTGAAATTGTCCTATAAAGATTATTTCTTTCATTTTATTTGTTTAATCCTGTTTTATCATAAAGTCAAACAACATATTAAAATAATGTTTTTGTTTTTGTTTAGAATAATGACTTACGTGGCAAGTTGAGGAACTTGAATAAGAAGAGGCACCGCGCGCATGTCTTTTCAATTTTCGAATTGTTGTATTATTAACAAACTCTATTAAGACTGTTTCTCTCTGTTAATGGCCGAAGACTCAAACTCTTCCGATTCAATCATCGTTAATGTCATCGGAGATGATAACAAGTCCGCGCTCTTCGGCAAGTACGATCTCGGGAAGCTCCTCGGTAGCGGCGCGTTTGCCAAAGTCTACCAAGCGGATGATCTCCAAAACGGCGGCCAAAGCGTTGCGATCAAAGTCGTCCAAAAAAAGCGTTTGAAAGACGGTCTCACGGCGCACGTTAAGAGAGAGATCTCCGTCATGCGCCGCCTCCGTCATCCTCATATCGTTCTCCTCTCCGAAGTCCTCGCCACCAAGACCAAGATCTATTTCGTCATGGAGCTAGCCAAAGGCGGAGAGCTTTTCTCCAGAGTCACTAGCAACCGTTTCACCGAGAGTCTCAGCCGGAAATATTTCCGGCAGCTTATCTCCGCCGTGAGGTATTGCCACGCAAGAGGAGTGTTCCACCGTGATTTGAAACCGGAGAATCTCCTCCTCGACGAGAATCGAGATCTCAAGGTTTCCGACTTTGGTCTCAGTGCGATGAAGGAGCAGATCCACCCCGACGGGATGCTTCACACGCTCTGTGGAACTCCGGCGTACGTGGCGCCGGAGCTTCTCTTGAAGAAAGGCTACGACGGTTCCAAAGCGGATATTTGGTCGTGCGGCGTCGTTTTGTTCCTCCTCAACGCCGGTTACTTGCCGTTTCGTGATCCCAACATCATGGGACTATACCGGAAAATTCACAAAGCTCAGTACAAATTACCGGATTGGACTTCTCCAGAACTACGGCGGTTCCTCCGCCGTCTTTTGGAACCAAATCCGGAACTGAGGATCACCGTCGAGGAGATTCTAAAGGATCCGTGGTTCAATCACGGAGTAGATCCGAGCGAAATAATCGGAATCCAAGCCGACGATTACGATCTAGAGGAGAACGGGAAAATTCTAAACGCTTTCGATTTGATCACGTCGGCATCGAGCTCGAATCTCTCCGGTTTGTTCGGAAATTTCGTGACGCCGGATCATTGCGACCAGTTCGTCTCCGACGAGAGTACGGCGGAGATTATGGTAAAGGTGGAGGAGGTTGCGAAGCAGTTAAATCTGAGGATAGCGAAGAAGAAGGAGAGAGCGATAAAGCTTGAAGGGCCGCACGGAGTAGCCAATGTCGTCGTTAAAGTTCGCCGGCTAACAAGTGAATTAGTGATGGTGGAGATGAAGAACAAGCAAAGAGACGTCGGACTGGTTTGGGCTGATGCTCTTAGGCAAAAACTACGTCGTTCCATTAACCAACCGGTTTATAGAAATCCCTGACCAAATCCGTTATTAAATGGTTTCGAACCGTGCGTGAGATTTTTTTTGAACTCGGAATTTTTCAACGTAAAAGATCCAATCGTGAGGTTTCAACAGTTGAACAAGAGAACCGGTTTTTAATTTTACAAAAAATAATTGATAGAGGATTCGAAAAACATCATGGTGAACCGGTTCGGTTTACATTGGAGCAGAGAGAGTAATGGAAATGATCCGCCTCTTTGTATGTACGGAAGGAAGAATACGAACCGGGTTCTTATGTTTTTTTCGGAGCAAATGAAACATAAAATTTATTTATTTTATATTTGTCGGAGAGAAGTTGACCTTGAATAAAACTCTGATCTAGTCTCTGTGTACGTGTGACTGTGTGTGTGTGTGCAAACTTGGGCCTTTGTTTTTGCTAAGGGACATTGCTACACCGTTTGTAATAATTATCGTTGTTGATTGTGATTGGTAATCGCACGAAGCTTATAAGAATCTTTTTGTAGTAAGCTTATAGATGTGCTCAGTTTAGATAGATAATTCAGTGGTGTGGTCCATTCCAAAAAGTTACTATGCAATGTAAACTAGTCGAAGTCGAGTCAAATGAGAGAAGAGCGATGTTATAAAGCAATAGTAGCTGTCGGTAATTACGTGTTAGGTGTATGCAAAGACTATCGAAGCTAACCATCTTTTTTTCAAGTAAAAACTCAAAATCTTAGGTTGAAGAAAACCAGAGGACAGAGACAGACGAGATATATCTGCGAAAGTTGTGTCCCAAAATGATTTTCAATGTTTGTTTGCTTTTTTCTTTTTTTCTTTTTTTACTTTCTTGAATTTGTGACTACCAAAACGACTGTACATCTTGGTTTAGGTACTGACCCTCCACAAATTGCTTCCCAGTCCCATCCCCAGTCTTCTTCACTTTCCTGCACATCATCAACAAACACCAATATCATTACACAGTCCTCTTCATTGCTATTGTTCCAAATGTAGCAAATTTCTAAACAAACCTAATCTACATTATTGTATTTCGGAATGTCAAAGAGCTAATCTAAAGCATGTTACAGGCATAAGCTGCTCTATAGCCTAGGAAAAAGTTGACTAGTTCCTTAAACCAAGTTTCCTTGGACACGTTTTTATATTAGTCATTTGGAGCAAAAAAACAGAAAGTAGAGGTTCTGAACAAACTAGTCTTACTTGAGCCAGTGATTCGGAGAAGGGAGTTCAAATGAATTGTCTGGAGCCAACCCAGTTGGACTCATGTACGCCATATTATTCAAGCTGGCTTCTTCTGGTCGACTAACAGACAAAAGACTCTCTGTGCCAGATGATGCGGGTAGGAACATTTTCTGTGCCCAGGGATCATGGTTGCTTGGACCAGCAATGGGACTGAACGCGCCACTTTTCTGATCATTTTCAAAATAGTCCTTCCTGTGTGAATATGCACTGTGAAAAGGGTCATCTTTTGCAAATAAAGATGATGTCCTATTATGAGGCACATGATGGACAGCATTTTCCTCATTAGATCTAGTATTATCTGAAGATAGAAGGAGGTCTTGGCCAAAGGTGGTCTTCCACATTTGCCAGCTTCCATCATTAACTTGTTTTTCATCTGCAACTCGTAATCTTGACAAGGGAGATTCAATCGGAGATGGCTTATTGACTTCACAAAAAGGTGTATTCTTCAACAAGTGGGGTTTTTCTAGCCCTACACCAGTTTCAAACTCGGCCCTTAGATCAAGCGATTCTGAAACAGGTCCCAGAAGAGATATTGGATCCGGAACATAACACGGATCTTCAAAACGCTCTTCTTCAGGCATAAAAACACGTGCATTTTCCCCAGGCTGAGGGAGAACAATATCTCTTGCGGATGAGAAACCTAAGCTACTCATAGTCGATCCGCTGGAGTACGTAGGTATAGTGAATGGTGATGGGAGTCCAAAACTGATGGGGTTGTCAAAGGTTCGTATTGAATGATCTTGATTAGGAACCTGAGAACTCTGACCATCTTTGGGCTTTGTACTAGGTCGACTTATAACATTAACATTGGAGGAAGCAGGCACAGATGGCGTACGGGCAAAGAGTTGCTGCCATGATCTTTTAGGTTCTCCACTTGGTTGTGGCTCAGAAACAACCTGAGGGGAACATCATATTTTTGTTAAGTATCCTTATAAAACAATTTGAAGAAAACTGGTACCAAATCTAAGTTGAACCTACTTCAAGATACCAAACTTATCAACTTAACATGAACAAGACAGATGAGTTTAAAAGAGAGGAGTGGTTACTAGTTTAATTATTCATATCGCAATAGCATAAGAAATTTGGCAAGAACACTTACATGACGATTAGTATTCCTTTCCACTCCATTTGAACCAGATTTTCCAGCAACAAATTCAGGAGGATTAATATGCCTAATCTGAGCAGGTGCATGAGAATGATCTGCAGAGCCAATGGGCTTATTCTCTTTTGCAACTGTAGCTGACATATTGACACCTCTTCCAAAGAACCGGTTATCTGTAAAAGCCTTAGAAGAAGAGAAGAATGTACCCTTCACTCGATCAAAATACCTACCGCCAGCACCTGTCATGTTACTGTTACTATTAGCATTATCTACACCATGCCCATGTCTCTTTTCCAAGTTGGGACTCCTGAAATGATCATTTTTATCAAGCTCACGCTTATGGTCAGTATCTTTTCCTGTTCTCTTATCAAGCTCTTCCGCATCAGAATTGCTCTTACTAGAGGCCTTATCTCTTTCTTTTTTTCTCTCCTGACGCTTTTTCTCTGTCTCCCTTTTGGTATCTTTTTCCTTGGAAACAGGTGATGCTTTGGTGCATTTCTCGGCTTCCATCTTCTCATCTCTTAACTTTCTCCGTTCCTCCACTAGTCTTGCGACTTCCTCTCGTTGTTTTCTCTCTTCTTCCTCCAAATGCTCCTTTTCAAGCCTAGCTTGTCTTTTCTCCTCAGCCTTTCTGCGTGCTTTCTCAACCCTACTCTCATGATAGCTGGTCCCATTCTCACCCTGCCTAGCCAGCAATCGTCTCTGGTCAGCATCAGTTGACGATTCATCAACTGAAGAGGTAAAGCTAAAAATCTTTCTCCAAAGCCACCTAATGCTCATGAAAAAAGAAGTAAGCAGTCGGCAAGCAAAAACAACGCCACTGGGATATGATTTTTCCCCCAAACAGTTCTCATCTTCACCAAATGTACTACCACTAGTATTCCGCCAATAGGCTGACTCGCTAGACCATGTGCTGTTTTCCGGCCATTCTTGCCCATGCATCCAACCATTCTCATTCCATCCCTTTCCATTCAACATCTTACCACCTCTTCCTACAAGATCTTTCAAAATTCCAGAACCAGAAAGTCCTAACCCTGGAGGCACAGGCATGTCTAAAACAGGTCTCTTTGATATATGCCCACAATATGAGCACATAAAGCGTCCACCACCTGGGTTTTGGTCCCGGTAAGGCGTAGAGCAGTTACGACAACGTCGTGTAGCAGTTTTCTTAAGCTTTTGCAATTCCATAGCTTCCAACCTCTTTCTCTCCCTAAGACGTGCATTTCTCCGCACCCGCCAAGTAGATAGCTGAGGCATCAAAACCTCGTACCAGAATAAAGTAACCAAAAGCACAAAAACACAAGCTAGCCTGGGAGAAGTGATTTCGAAACGAAAAGCTGGTGGAAGAAGCTGAGACAGAGCCCATAGTCCAATCAAAGGTAAGACCAACCAAGGCAGCATCGTTGCAACCCGGCGAGACCACTTTTGAATCACACACAATATACACATTATCCTCTCAAACCAACCCTTTTCTTTCTTCTTGTTATCAGACCGTAATCAAACCAAAAACCCTAGACTTTCAGAAATGTTTCAACTCAGGGGATGTGCACAGAACAGAAAACCCTAACCCTAATCTTCCTGCTAGGTTGTCGTATATCATCGAAGTACACTAGTCCCAGCTCCAAAAAAAACTTGAGCAAAAATTAGGGCTTCAGGAGAATCAACCTAAATGCAAGAGCGACATTTGAATCAAATTGAAGACCGCCCAACATACACAAATTGGAAAAATTGATTCGATTTACACAAGTAATGACCGGAACCAAGAAAACCCAGTTCGGGAACAAGCTCGAATTAACTCACGGTGCAATGTGATGATAGTGGGCAAGAGACAAAGGAAGAAACTTACCGTGTAAAAGGAAATTAAAGGGCGAGTGCAGATTCGAGATTCGGATCCAATTGGGGTAGAATAGCGTATCGTATCGGTTCTTGGCAGCGAAGAAAACGAAAGATTTGATATAGAGGACGATGACGAACGATGATGATGATGAGAAATGAGAAGAAGAAACAGAACCGGGTGGTGAAATCGGGGCTGGGTCCTTAATACCTATTCTATTAGTCGGTGGTGCCTTTCATGCGCCCCCTTCGTTTTAGGTTTATCCAAATACACACAAATAATATAATTTTTATTCTATTATCTTATTTTTCACCAATTATTATTACATACTATAACATATATCGAGAGATTAATTAAAAAAGACAATTATCAAACTTTCTATGATTTTTTTTTTCTATAAAATATATGAAAATTGAGATTATAATAAAGAATAATTAAATTAACATGTGATTTTCCAATTTTAATTGGGTATTTTTTCATTTAAAATTTTAGTGTTTCTTTTTTTTTTAATTGTTGATTAGTTTTTACTTTTAGATAACACAACAAAATAAGAAAAAATAATGGAAAATTTACAACAATCGTGAAAAAATGAAAATGCATTGTACTTTAAACACATGGAATGAAATAACGAATTAGTTAGATAAATATGGAAGATTGTAAAGTTTTAGGTGAAAGACCACCTGTTTCTAATTAGATGTTAAACAATCAAAAGTTTTCATTTTAGAATATCATTTTACCCTTAACGGTATTTTATTTTATAGATTAATGTTTGGTTTATATAATATATAATATATAATATAGAATAAATTAAGTTATTTTTTGTCACACAAAAAATATTGGTTATCATAGCGACATCGATTATCGATTTGGCAAACAACAAAGTACCATTTAAAAAGGAAACCACAATTAATTTTATAAGTTTTCTTCGGCGATTTTCAGAACTTTGAAGTTGTGCCTTATATTATGAGTTATGATCTTTTATTCTATTCGTAGGAGTTGATATGAAGAAAAATAAAAGGATAACATATGAAAAGTTGGTGCTCACTTAAAACTTTCCATTGTTGAGATAAGATTTTGGTACTGCATATATCATATATGTCTATATGAGATAAGAAAACAATTGTACTCTTTAAAATAAATAAGTAAGCAATCAAAATTAAAATGTCTTTAAAAAAATATAAAAGAATTGTGTAGTCTTTAAAATAAATCTCAAACACACGTCAAACACTTGACTTGACCCTATCGTCGTAACTCGACGTGACGCTACCGCAAAGCTCAGTAGATTTTAATGTAGTGGTTAATGCCAAAATGTTGGTATGTTTACCATCACGATGAACTTCTTTATGTTTTTGTTATTATAATTCTTTTTCATAAAAAAATTGTTGTAAACTCTAAAGTTTCAAAAGCCAGTACGAGTCTTCTTTGACATTAAAGCGTCCTTTTTCATCCATCAAGATCACTCGTTCATGTCTTAACTGTTGTTATAGAACTTCTCTAATCTAAGAGATCAAAATAAGAAAGAAATGTTTATACAATATTATATATCTACAACATCAGGACCTGGAGATCCTCTTTGTATAAAGATGAGTAGAAACCTCAAATCCGAAGAACTTGCTGTTGATATAGAAGACTAAACTATGTTCAAAACACTAGGGACATTGGTATAAATAAAAATACACTTTTAACCATTTGACGGATCAAAGCTAACATATGGACACTACACACAAACTTTTTAATATGTATGGATATTGAGTAACGAAATCAAATCGTTCTGAGAGTAACCAAACGCTTAGCTTAATTCATTGCATTCAAAAAGTGGTCTTATTACAACTGAGCAATATATCCCTATTTAAAGTAAAATATGGCTGAAAATAAAGCAAAAACCTATTAATGACTGTTTTGAAAATCATACAGAAAAACTAAGTCAAAATCATACATATCGACTCCTACTTACCCCTTGCTCTCTTGTAGTGAGTATGTACGAAGTTTTGGTTTATGCTCGATAATACTATTTATGTTCATATATAATAGTCGCACATGTTTTCACTTCTATATATTAACAGAAATAGCCGACAATAACATTTTGCTAGCACATGTTCTTGGTTCTGGAGGTGTACTTAAGACAACAAAGATTAACATTCCTTTACACTGAAAACACAATCCTCCAATGAGAGAAAAAAACAAATCAACTGTATCCACAAAAACCTCCAACCAAAAATTTTGATTCTAAAGGCTTCCTAAATAAAATTTGTTGAATTATTCCATTCTTAGCACGAGAGTTATGGAATCAAACATCACAAATCCTCTAATAGCAAATATATTTTTAAAAGAACAACTACCAATTCATTAAATAAAGAATATATATATATATATGTATATATGCGTGCAATGATCATATAATTAAATGTTAATTTGTGTATATATATATTTTCAGTCAGCCAATGATAAGGCTTCGCTGGCTATTAGGCAACAACAAATGCAAGCCACGATTTTAATAACACACACAGCATTGTTTTGTTACTTACGCTCCGTGCGCCTCATAGCACGCGGCCACGCGTCGAGTTTTAACATCTGTTAATCACAGTAATTAGTTAAATTATCCCATTAATCACTCCCGCCACAACGCGTTTTCTTCAATTTAACATTCCAAAATCGCGAAACCTTAATTAGCTTACATATGTCGTTTTTATTACAACTGAGTTTTACTTTTCTTCCAAGTTTGTTATTCCTCTTCCCCCAATCTTCGCATTTAAAGCAAAACTGACTCAGACCAAAAAGCTTTGAGATCTTTTTAGAATGACGAATCCGGACAACCAGAAGCCGGTTGAAGTAGCCGACGTGGAGGCGCCGGAGAAGACGACCGAGACGACTGCGCCGTCGTCTGGAACGTCGACGTTTTCGGCGATTACTCAGAGATGGAAAAGAGAGGATTTGATCAGGAAGGCATCTCCGATCATGAGAGGATTTTGTCTTTTGTTCTCTCTTCTTGCTTTCATAATTATGGTCTCTAATAAACATGGCTACGGTCGGAACTTCGACGAGTACGAAGAGTACAGGTAATAAAAATCAAACATTTTGAAACTGGGTTTTGTCAAATTTCGATTGAATTGAGATTTTCTTATTTTATTCAGATATTTATTGGCGATCTCGATTCTTTCAACATTATACACTGTGTGGCAAACTTTCTCACATTTCTCCAAAAGGGAATTTTTCGATCGCCGGACATCTATTTTGGTTGATTTCTCCGGCGACCAGGTAATGTAGAAGCTCATTAGCAAAAAATTATAGACATATGTCGAGGTGGTTCAATTGGAATGTAAAGTTATGATCTTTGATGCAAAAAAGGTGAATTTTTTTGCAGATTGTAGCGTATTTGCTCATATCAGCTGCGTCGTCTGCAATTCCATTGACCAACAGATTTAGAGAAGGTCAAGATAACATTTTTACTGATTCTGCTGCTGCAGCTATCAGCATGGCTATCTTTGCATTCATCTCTTTAGCTCTATCTGCCCTGTTCTCCGGTTACAAACTCTCCACTCACTCTTTGATTTGAATTTTTTGTTCTAAAATATTGTGCTCTTCTATACCATTTGTGATATCTGCAATACATGTAAATGTCATTCTTTTATGTGTTCATATAGCTGATGCTACTTTGGGTGTGTGACTCTTTGTGTGTCAGTGTGTGTGTGTGTTCTTCTTTGATACATTATACAAAGTGAAAAAAAAATGTAAAAATTCATTGGCTTTATTCCATTTTTTCTAGATTTATGGTACAAACATTAAACATATTACAGGCGTGTAAATAAAAACAAATGAAAAAATTTCTCTATGGACTATAGACTTTAGTCTGTCTTACTATCCTGCAGGATCACTAGTAAGTAGTAAAAATCCTTTGGTGGCAGAAATGTACAAAAGGAACAAACAGGTTCCTTTTTTTCTTCAGGGCATAAACGAATCGAAAAACGAGGTCTCCTCGTTTGGTTCTTCCTTTGCTCTAGAGAACCCATCACCAACAAAGTTTTGTAGCGTTTGAAGGTTGTTATTATTGTTGTTGTTATTGTTGTTCATAGCGTAACCAAAAGACCTTGCATTAGTGTTGTTGTTGTTGTTGTGCAGCATCTGAAGAGTATATGGTGCTTGGGAAGAAGTAGTGTAGTTGGAGTGACCAGCAATAGCAGCTGGTCTGATTGGGACTGAAGAAGCATCCTGTGGCGCTCTGTTTGTGGCGTAACCACTACCACGAGCTGCAGGTACATCGTGGTTGTGTTTTCCTTCGTAGGTTGTGATTACTGCTCTCATATCATGTGATGCTCTCTCAACATGTTTTCTCACTGGACAACCGATGGTTGTGCACTTGTAGTAGCTTCTGTTAGATTCATCAAGTGAAAAGGAAACAAAAAGGTCAGATTCTGAAGAAGCTTGATTATGAATTTGTGATTATTGAGAAGCACAAATGTTTATGTTATTTACCTTGGATTTGGGTTTCCTTTAACGACTTTCTGGCCGTATTTTCTCCATCTGTAACCGTCATCAAGAATGTCGATATCACTTGTTGTTTGCACTACAATTCTAGGCTCTCTCACTGTCTTGCTTACACCACCATTCCCACCATTGGTTTCATTTTCTCCTTTCCTGAAAACACAATAAACAAAACATTTTAGAACTTTCTTTATTATTCAAGATTGTTCAAAGAGTAGGCAAATATAGGAGCGATGATGATATGAACCATCTCTTTGCTTCAGGTTCACTTCCACAATCTTCTTCGTCTCTGCTGACAATCGATGAGCCTTGTTCAAACTCGTCGTCTCCCACAGAATCAGAAGTGGTATTATCATCTTGTTGCATAGCAAAGGAATCAGAGTGATGGAAGCTATTATTGGAATTAGGTTGATCAGAAGAAGCTTGACGATGATGATCTAAACTGGCATTGTACACAGCTGAGTGAAAAGTGGAAGAAGAAGACGAGGAAGATCTTCTAGTGGATTGAGGTTTGGGATGGTTATGGCTTCCCTTATACACAATCTCTGTTATCTGACCTTCCAAAGATCTCTCCACTTTCTTCTTCGTTGGACAACTAGGGAAAGTACACTTGTAGTAACTCCGAGGGTTCTCACTTCCTTTCACCTGTTTCTGTCCGTACTTTCTCCAGTTGTAACCATCCTCACCTTTCCTTTGTTCTCTTCCATTGTAAGAGACAGCTTGGTTGTTTTGACGAGACTCGTTTTGACTCCATTGATCTGACTGGTTCTTCCTCTGTTGTTCCTGATACACAAAACAGAGTTCAGTAACAAAAAATACAAATGAAAGAAAAAGGGATTATAGGATTTGAGGCTGTTAAGGAACATACCTGAGATTGAAAGATAGAACTGTTGTTGGTTGTAGTTGTTGTTGTCGTCGGAGCAGAAACTCCTGACGATTGTGTCTGGAATGAGAAATCGAAGAAGTTAATGTTGTTGTCCTTCTTCTCTCCCTCATTTATAAGTTTCGTGTTACTTTCATTTGTGATTAAAGCTCCTGTGGTAGGAGAAGCAAGAACCTGCAAAACCATCCCAAGAATTAATATTATTATCCAATCAAAACCAGAGGTTTCCTATCAAACATTAAGGATCTTGTTCAGGATCCAAGAAAAGAGACAAACAGCAATTATTATAATTAAGAAATATAAGAACAGAATCAAGAGTTGACTCTGAAACTCATTTTCTCTCTTTGAAACCGTTGACTCATGACTTTATATTACTTCCGATTATACCAATAGACAGATTTTAAATCAAAGATACAATACAACAAGCCCCAAACTATGGACTAGTTCGATTCATCTCAAAAGAAAGAGAGAGAGAGAGAGAGAGAGGGGCTTACGTGAGCAGAGGAGGAGACAAAAGCAGGGGAATCGAGGAAAACAGAGGGACTGAAACAAGTGGAAGGAGAGACAAGAGAAGGAGAGATAGAAATGGAAGAAGGAGCAAAAGATCTGAACTTTGGGATCTCAAGATCTTCCAAGGAAGAAGTGGACGTTCTTCCGTTTTGTTGAGACCAATTAGTAGCAGCAGCAGAACCATTCATGTTCTGTCTGGTTCTGCTATTGTCCATTGTAAGAAGAGAAGAAGCAGCCATACGAAGTTGAAAAGTTTGTTATACGAAAGACCAAACTCGGATATATATAGAGAAGTATCAAGGTGGGGGAGCTTGGAGAAGAAGAAGAAGAAGAAGAAGAAGAAGAAGAAGAAGAAAAAAAAAGGAAGGAGAGGGTGATTGTAATGTTTTTATGTAAATTTTGTTAGTTATGTCTGTATATATAAAACATATTGCACGGTCTGATTGGTGAATTTTCTTTTTCTCTTTTTAATTTTTATGGGGTTCACATATGATGAACTAAAAAAAAAAAAAGGGTGTAAGTTTCTGAGAAGGTGATAAAAAGTTTGACCGTTGAAAATATGATTAGAAGAAGAAGAAGGGAGGGATGGTCAGACCTTGTGGCCTTGACTCTCAAATACGTTGAATGGATTTTATTTTAGAGGCGGCTTTCATGCTTTCATCATCTTTGGATGCCTCTGACTGCCACGTGTAATTTTATATAAATTTCGATATATTACTTTTGTAAACAAGTTGAGAATCTTGGAAAATTTTGAGTAGGTAAGGTATAGTAGATTAGTAGTAGTAGTAAGAAAGGTTTCTTTTTAAAGGACATTATTAAGTAAAGTTTTGGAGTGAGGTTTATTATTTTGTAAACCCATGTGCGGCTATTTGGTTTTTGATCTTAAACATTTGTTAGAAGGGCTTTAAATTCTATGATTAGACAAAAATTTGTTTTTGATAAAGCATGATTACTGATTAGACAAAAATTCTAAATTCAACTCAGATTATTAGTATGAAGAATAAAATCTAAGCCTATTTACTAGAAGGGTTTAAATTTAAGAATATTGATTATTTATATATATATAAATAGGCATATAAAAAAAAACCCAAAAACCCCATAGTTTTGTAATTAGTAAAACTTAGAATATCAAAAGATTTTGTAATTAACGGGTCAAAAAAGTTTCACTACATGAACCCTTGACCACATTTTAGTGTTGCTTCTATTTCTGTTGAAGGTAGTCCCTCAATGAGTTTTTCTTTTCTTTTTATTTTCTTGTTTTTTTTTTTTTAGTTTTAATGTTAAGTAACAATGTTTTAAGAGAATATACATATGTGTTGTGTCAAGCCGTAGTGTAAATCGTCAATCGCTTAGGTAAATAAAGTGATCAGTTTGTCTTAAAATTTTACGGTTGTATATGGTATGGTTCTTCACGTGGGACTAGACTAAAAAACGTCATGGATTTTGTGTCGCTTACTTGCAAGTAGCATGCAACTCTATGTGATCCGAATAACAATATTCTTCAGTCCAAAAAGCCCCAAAAGTAAATAGCCTCTTAGTTTAACACACGTCTTGTTTTCTCTACAGCTGACACGTAAACAGACGTGGCAAGAGTTGCTTCCAGAATCATTTATAGTTAAAAAATCATGTTCGGCACAGGTAAGTGAGATATTTTCGTAGTCTTGCTTTCAAGTTTTCAAGTTTTCAAGTCTCTCTCTATTTGGCAACAGCAGCGATGCAAGAAGCCGACGCATCACAACAACGGCCATCGAAGTCTCTGACTGATCGAGTAAAGACGAACTGTTTGTCCATGGTAGTCACGTGCCAAGAAGGGTTTAGCTATGTCAAAGCCTTCTTTGTTGGCCAGGTACGTATACTATAGACTAGACGACCTCGTTTTGATTTTGTAATCGGTCTTGACTCTTGAATCAGTGATCACATGAGTTACTTAGTTGATTGACTTCATGTTACTATATATCTTTTTTTTGGGTTTGAAAGACGAAGAAGTTGACGGCGAAGAACGAGAAGGAAGCTACGGAGGCTCATCTAACGGAGACAAAGATGCAAGTTAACGCAACCGATGAAGCTGAGAATGCCAAGAAGAGACTTCATCAATCTTCTTAATTAATGGTTTTTTTTAACATATATAATAAGGGAGCTTATACTTTATTAAGTAGCCAACCACAAATATCTGTATTTTTTTTTTCAACTGTTTTTCTTACTAATTATAAATGTTATTTGAATATGGATTTTTAATCTATAATTCTTTTCTCAAAAGATAAAGCGGACCATTTTTCATTGTTATTATAGGAAATACATAAAAGTGAGTTCATACAAAAACAGAGTGATGAGTTCAATCTCAGGTTTGTTCCTCAACAGTCAACAATAGTACTCCAAAACACATTTAGTTTACTTTATTACTAAGCCAATTAAGCTACACGTTTTCGAGAAAAGATTAAAATTGTACATTTGACACAACTATCCCTTTTAGTAGTTATCTATGTTTGGAAAAATGGTGGCTCATTCCACAACATGACAACATTAATCACATGTTTCCACGAGAAGGGAGTAACTTGAATAAACATTTGTTCAACAAAGGAATCTTTTCAAAGTGAAAAATGTGGTTTCTAATGCGGTAGAGATGTATTGTATAGAGCATTCCTGCTAACGTGACCGTAGAGAACGAGATCAACGTCAATATCCAGAAATCCTGAAACCAATTAGTCCTAGTAAACGTTAGTTTTGCATACACAATTCACATTTTTATAACATTTCACGTTGCTGCTAGTATTCAATTCTTACAAAATTTAACTGAAAATGTACACTGGAATAGTTACCTTTGGATTGGAGACAACGATACCCAATAGATAGGCCATCAAGTCAAGAGCCGACTGCAATGAGTTCTGAACACCTCCAACCACACAACGGTCTGATTCTGAAACGAGATCCTAACATGACCAAAACACATTACTTAAGGACTTAGGTTCTTTGTGTTTGGAAAAACATACGTACTATATATGGTACAATCCTAAAGAAAATGTAAACATACCTGCATTTGTTGGATGACAGCAAGATCAAACATCCACAAGCCAAGCCTTGAAGCAGCAACTCCAGCCATTAGCATGTAAGATGCTATTTTATCCTTTTTAACCCAAATCGATCCAACGCAGACCAAAAGACAACTCCACCGCAAACAAGAACCCTACTTTTTATGTCTCATATAAACTTGATTCTTAATTTACTCAGGTTCCATAACATGGTCAACTTCTACTAGATTGATATAGTATACACCTAACAATGATAGTCAAAAAAGATTCTTATAAGTTATAAGTTATAACCAATCAGATGAATCAAAATGCAGTCCATATAAGTATTTCATATTAGACTATCAGTTTCAAGTTAAATTACCTGCGACCAGAAGGACCAGAGACCGGTTCTCAGCGTCGAAAGGCGTGATTGCATTAGAGGATACATGAATGTAGCCGCTAGTCCAACCATTGCACTTATTCCCCTGCCTATACCGATGATATATGTAGGTATCCCTTCCCACTGCAATGTAGCCGTCATCAATGTTCCAAAGCTGTGTCAAAATGGTACATAGAAGATATATTCAACAATTATCAACTCGAGTGGAAGGAAATGCATGTTCCATCTCAGGACTCTAAATCATAAAGAGGAAGAGAAATGGACCTGAGGACGGTGAAGAACAAGAGTGCTAGAGAAACTCCGGGAAGTACAACTTCTTGACTGAAATATATTCTCCAAGCACCAACAAAAGAGGAGTTAGATATTCTATCCACAATCTTCAGGATCCCGGTTCTACATTGTGGGGGGCATTGAGAGCCCTCCTCTGTTCTCAGAACAGTAGATATAGCAACAGGTGTATCAGTTTCTTCTACTGGATCTGTCCGGGAACGCAAGATCCGTCTCTCATTGCTTCTTGCTATTGCAGGAACACCACTATACACAGAAATGAAGAGCCAATATTCAAGCCAAGCGGTTATAGTAGCCCAAGCTGCAAAATTGATCGCTGACGCCTTAAGAGAGACAAAACTGATGATCAAACCGGTAATGACTGGAGACAGTAGCTTTGAGCTCAAATCAATGCCTCTAATGACAGAGTTCAATCTTGTCAGTACAGCTGGTGGATGACCTTCCGACATAACCACAGCCCTGTTGGTTGCCAAAAGAGCCAAAGTAAACTCACTATAAAGATTGATTTCAAGTGTGCATATATATACAGTCTGAACATTTTACCAGTCTCGTTCTATCAAAATGGTGCCAGCAAGAGTTGAAAGCACTCCAATGGCGCCAGCAACATTCGTTAACACAACCAAGATTGCAAACACCAGGAAATTCTGAGACTTGAGATCAGAAACTAGCAACAACTTGACGACTGCACCACCAGCAATGGTGTAGGAGAGGTTCTGGAAAAGGAGCCAGAGTCTTAGAACTTTAACGTAGTCCATTCCTTCGACCCATTGCCCCACAAATGGACCAAAGATTGCAGTAGAACCAGATTCTATTGCTCCATAAATAGCCGCAAGAAGCAGAGAGTTTGGCCACAAGTGGATCATATACAAAGCAACAGAGAATTCCCATGTTCTGCATCAGAATAACCAAGAAACTCATATACAACTCATCTTAACACTATGAAGTAAGTTTTCTTCTATTTGCTTATAAACCAACTCTCCACTCATCCAAGATTCTAAATCAATTTAAGAAACCCATAATAATATTTAACAACGAAGTTATGTTTTAAAGTGAAACCAATCCACCCTTTCTAGCTTCTTGAATTGTAGAACGTAAGAAACAACAAAAAGAATATAAATGTGTTTGGAGATAATAAACGAACCTGGCACTCCATCTGGCAAGAAAATATCCAACGTAGAGAGAGTACACAAAACGGCGTCGTAAGGTAGGTTGGTTTTGTGGCTGTGCTTCTTCCTCTTCTTCTCCTTCACGTTGCTGTTCTTCCTCTTGAACAACTCTCAATTCTGTCTCATTCTCCATCTTTTGCTGAAAACTCAGATTTAACATCGATCAAACGATTCAGTATTCATTTGTATATCGAATTCTCAATGAAACATGACATCTGTTGTTATATTAGCGTTTTTTTTATAGACATCATATTGCATGAGCGTTACTATGTGACAACAAAGTCCTTCATCGAGAATTCCGATAAATATGAATAATCATATAAACCATTATCAATCTAGAAAACAAAAAACAATAATCTAGGAGTAAATTAATCGGAAAATTCTCAAAAAAAGAAAGTGATTCATCAACTGACGCTAGAAAGTGAGAAACAAAAACCTTGTTTATGCGCCGTAGAGGAGATTGGAGAATGAATGAACGAACGAAAATAGAATCCAAGAAACTCAGAATTACTTTTTACTCTAGGCAGGGCAGTCTTATTGGTGATATTCAAAAGGTATGAGGATTTATATTCCCACTATGACACTAGTGTTAAAAGAGAGTACTAGTAGAATCAATGAGTGATGGTCGAAGAAGGAAAAGAGAATTTGTGGGAATATATTTTTGAATTCGTGTGTAAAGTGAACATGAATTATGGTTTAGATTTTGAGATTAGTTTTAAGAAACAAACCAGTCTGATGCTCTAAGTAGAGAGTTTGAGAAGGAACATGTTACAATTCTTCTATTTCACTATTCATCTGATTAATCCGTTCTTTTCGATGCAGAATGCCAAAAATACTATGATTTTGAGATTCAAATATGTGTTAACAAACAAAAGAAACACACCTAAAGCCTGCAGGTCCAAGTCCTTGTCTAAATCATCAGATAATGTAAGTTGTACAAACTACTTATTGAACTAAAATGGATTTAAGCAATAAGGTATAGCAGGTCATAAATGAAGCTTCTCATGAACTTTTTCTCCTTGATACTAGTTGAAGAACCCTTCTGACATTGTTTACTTTGGAAAATTAGAGTGTGACAAAACAATACCTTAAACCCCCTTTTCATTGCTAGAATCATACAATATCAGCAAAGGTTTTCACCAAGATACAAAAAGAAAACCGAAAATCTGAGTAATAGAGCTACAAAATGATTAGCAAGCATCAAAAGACTTAGCGCTGATACAAGATATATAGTGCATTGCTGGAACTTGGAACATCCAAGCTTGAGACAAAACTGAACAAAAACAAGCTCTTTCCATCAGGGTATGCTAATCAGACTCTGAATCTGAATCACTTGCGTTGTAACCTGAGAAATCAGAAAAGAAAAAAATCAAAGTTTGTAATCCAAATCCCCAAAAAGGATCAATTGATAAACTAATTTGACAAGTAATATTGAAAGAAAAAGAAAAAAGACCTGGTCGTTTATCTTTCACTTTCCACACAGAAGAACGAACTCTTGATGCTTTTGTAATCCAAAGTTTCCCCTAATGATGACAAGAAACAGAGAATTAAATTTCAAAAAAAGGTCAAAAAGGAATAAACTTGCAAAATCAAACTCATCAATTAGAGATTACTAATCAACCAAAGTATAAAAACCTAAACTTTGGAACGATGAGAGTACAAAAAGGGATAAAGAAAAAACCTTTTTAGCATCCTTAGGGATGCCATAGCCAGAGTTATACATCTGACCCAGTAAAACCTGCATGGTGATGTTCCCAGCTTTAGCCTCCTCAAGTGTGTCTTTGAACCACCGCTTCGCACAATCAGAGACCACCGTGGACAGCGGAACGAAGCGGCGGCTACTATCGCTGGTGGTGGCGGGTGAGGAATCTTTGACGGGACTGTCCATGGAGGTGATGGGTCGGATCGGTTTTGAGGATTTGATGAATCCAGCTGCTGTAGCGGCTACCCCTCTTAGCCCTGTTTTGATGGGAATTGATTTTCCCATAAACAAAAATATATAAAAAAAGGAAGAAGTTTGGATTTGTGATTTTCTTCTCAAACTCTCCTTTGTTTGGTTTTTGGGTAGAGAATATTCTTCTTCCTACAGCGGAGTTGATTAACGTGGTTTGGTACCGGTTTGGTCAGGTTTATAAAATTAATTTCATGTTCGGTTTGATTTTGGTTTTTCTGATACCAACGGCGTCCGATACATAGTATTCACACACTCGTAAGCTTTCAAGAATATACGTTTCTAAATTTAGATAGATTTTCAGTTCTACAGATGTCACAACTGTATTCCAAGATTAGATATTCGTATTTTATGCTTCTTACAGGACAATATAGATCCAAATACTGAAATACACACATACTGATTGAGGACACATTACATAGGGAACTAAAAGAATGTTCTATTGAGAAAAAAGAATATAAGAAAATAAAACATCACAGAGCTTTTTGTAACGCTAATGTAAATTCCGCAACTTACTTACAAGTTACAACATGCACGCACAAACCTATAAAACAGTATACAATATACATACATACACATAATATATGAGCGATGAGATGACAGTACCGCATTTTGATGTTGTTGTTATATGTCTTGAAATAGAAATTGTATAACCTACCTGACTCCAAGCGCTTGCGCACTCATCATGAAACAAGAACTGACACAGCGGAAAAGCCAACGATCTTGGATCTAAGAATCACTCCAACTATCTGAATCTTCGTCCTCATCGCTTCCAGCCATTGCCTGCACCCGTGTCATAGGGGTTAGGAATAAGGATGTGTCATGTTTGTGCGTAAAGATAAAAAGTGAAATCTTAAATTGGTCTAGGATCAGGCTTATAACTCAATGTTTCCACTTATGAAACTACTTTGGGATCCAATGTAGGACTACATTCCTGACTTTCTTTTTGACTCATGTAAACATCGACATGCTTTGACATGATGCCTCTAGCTCTAGGATTAGTAAGATAAAAAAAAAAACTAGAGAACGTTTACTATTTCAAAAGGAAGCTGAAAGAGAGAACGAACCTGGCGTATTGTGTTAGCTTTCTCTAAGATTGCAGCTACCCTTATATTCGTTTTAGGACCAGTTTGGATGCTGGGTCGTGTAACTGCTGCAGGCTTCAGATTGACGGACTGCATAGACAAAATAGGGTCAAAAACCTCCAATCTCAAACTCTGTTAACAAGCTTAGATATTGCATTTGGAATTTTACATTATCAATACAGTACCCTTTAGACCTACTGCATTAGCCGGAGGCGAATGATACAAATTACGACAATCAACCACAAATAAAGAGGACGGAAAGGACTGTGTAAGAATAAAAACAATGTTGCTACCTTATTTCGAATTTGCGCAAGCAATGAATCTTTGTCGTCTTGCTTTGATTTAATTGGTGGGTGGACCATCTCAGAGACTTTCTTCATCTGCCAAATCATCAGGACAAGCGATTAGAGTCAAAATTTTAGCATAGGCATGGTATTGCAGATGGGATGTAATTATTACTGTGCGTCTGTCATGAGCTGCAACGGCATCAACAAGCGGACTTCTTGGCCGAGGAAGCCGAACCATAGGGACTACTTCTGGCTTATCTGTGTCCAAGGTAGGTGCAACAGAGAACGCGTTGACAGGCCACATAGCATCTCCCACTACACTAGGAATTATCTTCTGAACTGACGTGTGTGATGCTTCAGCTGTATCTGTATTTGAAGCATCAGGAACCCAATGACTCTTATCTTCCACTTTAGTTGATTGAGTTGGTGTCAGGGCTTCGGTTTCAGGGCAATGCTGATCATCGCTTGAGCTTTGTGACACATGCACATCTGTATCGTTCTTGATATCTTCGTATTTTGTCGATAAATCCTGAGGCAGCTGCAATAAAGGCTCTTGTGAATAAACGAGCTCATGGTTCTGAGTTGCATGATGATCCAAAAGATTGTTCACTTCAGAACCAAAATCGTCAAGAAGTCCCTGATTAGGCATTGTAGGGAGCTCGGAACTGTCATATTGACTATTCAAATCAGTGCCAATGCTTGGGAACTGAATGGAGGATTGCAATGGGATTTCTGATGCATTGTTCACAAACCCTCCGGTATGTTTTTCTGATTCGTCACTTCCTAAAGATATAGACATCTCTGGTGATTTAGACCCAATTTGAACGTCCAAGCTAGAACCACTGAGTGGAACCACCGATGGAGAGGTTTCGACTGATTCACCCATGAAGGTAGGAAAAGAATGTGGAACCTTTCCAATACGCCATTGCATAGGAGGAAGGGGTGGCAGAGGAGGCATGTCCTCCTGGTTGGGTGGAGTAGTCTCGGGGATCAAGCCAAAGCTAGGAAAAGTAGGCTCCAGATTCAATTCTTGGTTAGGTCTGTTCAATTCTATACCTGCAGATTGTGGTGCATATTCTAAACCAGCTGATTGTGGTACAAACTTTAAACCTCCGAAAACATTTGACTGCAGAAATTCCTCATCTGCAACTGTATGGCTTGCACAAGGTGTTTGCTCTCTTACTGTCTGCTCAATAGCCTCACTCTCTATAAGGTTCAGATTATTCGCTGGCGAGGAATCTATACAATTATCAACAAGAATGCTCTCACCAGGATAACTGGTTTCTGTGTCTCCGTCCCTCTGATCGTGAGATGGCTTGGGACTTATAGATTCAAAACTTGCCAGGTCACTGTTGTCTAGGGCAGTACTCAGACCTTCTGAAGACACTTCCAGTGGGCTTTTCTGCTTTTTTATCTCTGACTCTAGATTATTGTCTGCTGGTAGTGCCTCGTCAGACTCTACAACTGTATCTTGGCAAATCTCTCCAGCTTCAGAAGACGAACGATAAATATTAGTCGAAATCCAAGGCAGAGAACCATTCAAACTAGTAGATGACAGGCTAACGGCATTGTTAACACCACCACTGGAAGTGTCGCTGTCGTTATCAGACACGGCAAGATCTATGGTCGGGGCAATGTCTGTAGTTGCATTGTCCAGCCCTGAAAGGTCATGAAAATCTTCAACAGAGCCATCACTTTTGCTACAAGTAGGTGAAGCATCTCCCACCAATTTCTCTCCGCCCGAGTTAAAATCAGAAGTCATCTTACTATTGACTTCAGCAGGCATAGACATTCCATTCTCTAGTGTGTCTTCATGGGACTCTGATACAGATACATCAGCCGTGTTCTCAAATGCACATGATTGTTCACTAGAGATCTCAGCAACTGAATTTTGAGAACCAACATCAGCAACTGAAGTTTGAGAACCAATATCGACAACTGAATTTTGAGAATCAAGGTCGGCAACTACATTAGTCACTGTAACACAATCAGTTTCATCACCCGGAGCATCTTTTAAATGAATTTCATCAACTGTACTTGGACCACAAACTTTATAGGGCATATCAGGTGAAACTTCCATTCCCATTCCAGCTGAGTAAGGTAATAGCTTTCCTGTTAGGCTACTACTATCATTGCCTTCAGGATCGCTGCCCGAGTTTGCTACAACTTTAGAAGAAGCAACTGTAAAGTTTGTCTCAATATCATTATCACCGAAAGGTAACATTTCACCTTTTTGAGTATCAACAAAAACTTGAGGACTAGAGCCTGAGTTTACTAAATCTGAAGAATGATCAACCATATAGTTCTTCTCAATGGTGGTATCGCATCTGTTTCCTTCAGAAGTTGAACAAATTGACGAAGTTTCAGAAAGGAAGTTAGAGTTTTTAGCATCAAAAGATGCACACGATCTTGAAGAATCGATTGAATCCACCTTGCTTTCATCATTGCCTCCCTTAATTAGATCAGGCCTAACAAGTTCTGGAGAAGTTTCAACGACTACTGGTGCTAACGATTGAACAGTCAGTGGACATGATTCATCATTCTGAGAGACTGGCCTTGGACTTGAACATATATCTTTCGATCTTAATGATGTCTGGCCATCTATATTGCTGCTACTAACTGATTCCTGAACATTAAAATCATGAGACACTTTGCTGGCTTCAGGAGTTACAAGGGACATGGAGTCAACCAGCTCACTCTTAAAATTAGAAGTCGAAGTTAAACATCCAGAAAGTTTCTCTCCATCAGATTGATCATCAATGGATACGCTTGCAGTGTCCGAGTAAGAATAACTAGTGCTCCGTTTCCCAACTGAGCTTCGCCCATTTTCTGACACTGGTGTGTTTCCATTTGAATGAAAAAATGAAAATTGAGGTGGGTCCTCCACCCTTTCTTCATCCGCATCAGAATAAGTATGATGGTTCCCATCCTTCAAAGCATCTGATCTATTCTTAGGTCTATACTCATCGTCTGTTTCTGTTTCCGACTCCATGGTGGCTGGTGCGTCCACATAATTGTCAGCCTCACTGGTTAAATCTTCAGAATAACTCCTCTGTTGAAAAAATCCTGGCTTCTCGTTCAAATTAGTTTGTGAATCCTTTATAAAAGTTGTACCAGGGACTTCACTGTAAGTAGATTCAGGCACTGTCTCTATATCTCTTTCAATAAATCCCCCATTTAAGTTAATATTTGCCACATTTTCCTGCTCCCTTGGTAATGAAACCTCTGCGCTGCTTCCTCCGTGAGACTTCTCCATAGCATCCGCCATACTGATTTCAGGTATATCGGTTACTATATCTCTAGTACTATCCATATTCCATGTCAACAGTCCAGGGTTTTGAGTGATTACTTCATAACTTATTTTACTATCTACACGTGTCTGAACAAATTTCTCCATGTAGCTTTCCCCTGATTTTGAAATAAGGGAACACCCATCTAGCTTTCTAGTTTTCAACTTCACAACGCGCGCTGGATCTGAATGATGAGTCTCTAAATGCTCCTCCAAAAACAATTCATGCAATCTGTGCCAGTTGAATGATTTGAAGCAGCCATTGTCACTCAAAGTCAAATACCAATATGGGAACTTAGGGAATTATGAAAAACATACAATACATCAAATAGATCATACTCACTTGGCATGTGATGATAGAGCATTTTCAGGTGTTCCTCCATTCCTCCATTGAGATGCTCTTCTCTACAACAGATTAAAAGGAAAAACTATGAGAAGTACGGAGAGGAGAGGAAGATATAATTACACATTCAAAACACCATGAGCTTAAGCATCCTCATTGGACCTGTCTTGTTTAATGGTACGCTAGACAAGAACATATAAGAGAGAACCTACTATTCAGAAAATCTACCATGCTTCTTTTTTCCTACTTCTAAAGCCTAAACTAAAACTACGTTTTGTCTACCATGTAACAGAAAAGTAGACAAGAACATATGAGAAGCTCCCTCATTCAGCAGTACTACTACCTTTGCTTTCTGTGATTTCTTCTCTCTCTGAATATCATCCCATGATTCTTCATATGAAGACGTTTCGAGCCTAACAAATGATGGATCGGTGTAGCGTTTCAAGCATGCTCCAGCTCCCGAGATATCAAATCTAATCAAACCCATCAAAAGATGTTACATCCTCAGCTCTCACAAACTACTAGTCCAGAAGAAATATTAGCAGAAAAGGTAAATCATACTTGTCCAGAAGAAATAGCCTAGGGGGACCTCTGCATTCCTCATAAGAGTCCATCACACAACGGGGCAAGTCACCACGTGTAACCACACTCTGTTCCAATTGTAGATTTGGATGCCATTCCACACCTGAAATAGAGTCATAGAGCCATCTTGAAATAATCCAACATCATAGTAAGCGGACCAGATCATGAATATTCATAGCAACACCAATTCTCTGACCTTTATTAGAGAAAAATGGTGAATGATCGGTCTGACATAGTAATGCCTTCTCTATCGAAGGGAACTCTGCTTCCAGCTGCTGTACACGAGCCATTAGACCATGGCTTCTAGAAGCAGTTGCCATCACTTCTTCGTGCAAGTCATGGAACATCTCAGCAGCAAACCTTCATCACAAATCACATGGATTTCAAGTCAATTTCATCGAAATTAAAAAAAAACCATAGCTACTAAATCTAGATTAGTAAAAATTGTAGCTTTAAACTCGTGGGTCAAAAAACAATAGATTCGGAAACCTCAGAATTTGCCGCGATTAGAAGTCAAATAAATAAATTACGATTAGAGAAAACATACTCGGCGAGATCACCGAGTTGACGCAAAATGCCAACGAGACCAGCCATGGCGACTCCTTCGAGCAGAGCTTCGGGGTCATCTTTATCAGCAGCTTGGTACAGATCCGGATCTGCTAATCCGTACTCGTTACGAGACTGGTACCTCGTCAACGGCATTGTTTGAGCTCTCTGATCAGCTCCCTAGTTAACTTTGTTCAATTTCAAAAGGGAAAAACTTTACAAGGAAGAAAGACTACAAAAGCTCCTCTGTCTTCATTGAATTAGTGACCGACCACATTAGAAATGTGACGACATCACTAGCTGTAAACTAAAAAACGGACTTTCTGTGGTTTCGAGACGGCGGATATAGGTAGGGGCAAAGAGAGAGAGAGAGAGAGAGAACCTCAACGCTTAATTCTTTTAGAAAATTGAGAAATTGCCTAAAAATACATTTTTTTCCTTTTTCACTCAGCCTAAAATACTTAAAAATGGTTACTTTTTAAAAAGTTCTTTATCAAACCAAACATTGTTTCAATAAAACCCTGCATTTAAGACCAGCGACCCCTCGGGAACCTGTTTTTTTTCCAGCACTAGGCTGCGCGACTGAGTTTTGGTTCATGGACTTCATAATTGACATGTCTAATTGTGATCCCTAATATGGAAACAAAACACAAATCTAATAATGTTTTTTTATATGCAACCGATTAGTTAATAATAATCTATCTTATTATTTTTGCAACCCTTTTTTTTGACCACCTTTTGTTTCATACAATTTGACACGAAATGCCCTTGAAAACTATCAATCTAGCTATTTTCATTAAGGTTACTTGTGTAATATAGATTATCGGGTCGGTTTTTGTTTTTGATTTAATACCCGATTGCAATGGACGGATCTTTACTTCTTTCTCCAGGGTAAATCATTTGAATTGTTATATTAGTAAACATAATAAATGCGAAGATTGTTGACATAAAAGTTCCTAAATCTTAGCTTCTCAAAAACTATTAACAAAATAAAAATATGATCTTTGTAGAATCAAAACCAAATACTCCTTGGAGTATAACATAGTGACTCTATAGCAATAGCTACTAACCATATAAGAATTTCCCTGCTATAAATTCCGATTGTATACACATACTATATCCATATATAAACATCCTTAATAATAATAAAAAATCCTTAACTTATACTATTTACTAACAAAGTTCCCTAATATTAGCCAAATCATTTTCGAGTCCATAAATATAATCCATGAAAGCTAATATCGTTCATATATGCTTATTTTATAGTAACCATTTAAAATACTTTTCCTAATTAAGAATATTGAATTTCTGATAATATAGGTATATGTTACCTGTCAATATCTTCATAATATTAAAACTTTATCAACGATCACAGCCTAAAACCCTAGAATCACTAATTCACTTGCTTATACTATAAATATTTGTGGACACATTCAATTTTTGCACCCATCTCGACTAAAAATATCTTAACATTACCAAACAATATAAAACAATTTTTGCTTCCTTTGCTTACCTAAGAGACATCCGTCCTTACAAAAATTTAACAACTCTAGCCATGCCAAGAGCAAGACCATGTTACATAAACTCACCAAATCTTTTTTTCGAGTAAGTATACCATTTTTGTATGATGAACTCACCAAATCTGTAGATCATCTAACACACTCTTTCATGAGAAATTACTTACTTAAGATTTGATATATTCAGGGTCAAACGTCAAATCTCAGTATACAAGAAGGTGTTTGCTAGACATGATCAAACTTCACTGACGCCACCTCCGTATGAAAATCATGCCACAAAAAATTAGTTTACAATGATTATTAAGTTAACCAATTAATATTATGTTCAAACAGATGTAGTATATCTTGATCGTTATATTTTCTATGCTAGGCAAACAATGTTTTGGTCCTAATTCATGTATAACCAAACAACAATATGCTAAATGAATTTTGTATAAAACTGATTAAACTATAACGATTAAAAATATATACATTAAATACTAGACCCGTGGTGTACCACGGGCTAAAATCTAGTTGAAAGATAAAAACGGAGCGAAGAGTCTCTTTTAAGTTCACTGATACTTCTCTGCAGGAACATCAAAAGGCGTTGAGTCGAGTATAGGTATGATTCGCCTTCTCCCCTTCCCACCTTAAACTTCTCTGTCTTTATATATCTCTTGCCTCGTCACTCCTTTGGATATATTCTGTCGTCGTTTACTACACTTTTTCTCTCTGGCTCTCTCTGAGCTCCAAGTTCAAGTTTTTATCTTTAATTCGTTTTTGTTTTGGATTGGGTGAGATTCAGGTTCAAACATGTCTTATATTCCACCACATAAGAGGCATTCGAAGGATCCGGCCAAACCATCCCCTGTTCCAGATTCTCTTGTTACAGAATTCAAAAAAAAACTCGACTTTAACAGTAGCAATGGTTATCCCAACCGGATAGTCTATTCAGGAGATTCCATTTCTAAATGGTTTCTTGTTGGTTCAAATGGAATCGAGGCTGAGGTTCCTTCATATGTTAAGTTTGAGCCTTTGTCCTCGGATTCTGTCGAGTGCAGAAAAGGAGTAAAGCCTTCGGTACTGATGCACAACAATGTCCAAAACGGTAAAGAATTGTGTAGTGTTGTACTCCGTTTTAAAAAGACGCAGACTCTTTTGTGTGTTTAACACAGTATTTCTACTTTGGTTTTCTGTTCGACAGTTCAAAGATCATATAACGAACATTAGTTGCGACTATTTTGTTATTATTATGATCGTTCTTGGCAAAAGAAGATTCGTTGTGTATATTGAAATGTGGTTGTTTATATGTTTATATTCAGCAAATATGAATATTGGAGAGAGTGAAGAACAAAGAACTCAGTGGCTGTTTGTAGCAGAGAAGGTTGAGGAGGATCTTGTGTTGGCATATGAGCGAGCTAAGACTAATATGGATGAGCATCATGTATTGAAATTGATTGCTCGGTTTGGCAAAATTTTCTTCTATGGGTAAGCGATTCAACTTCTGATCTGCCATCTTTTGCTTACAGAAACTCTTTGTATTTCTTTTAAATGTTACATTATATAACCAGGCATCAAGGTGGTCCTGTGGGTGAATTTTTGCCAAAAACTCGAATAAGGTGTTCTCTGCAGATGTCCCAACGTCTTACTTACAACTCATTAAGTCTGAGGTTGTACCAAACCATGGATTCTCTATTGACTTGGAAAAGGAAACGTACACTGTGAAGGTACATGTTTGGATCTGTCCTTCTGATGTCTTTTGAATGTGTTTAATTGTGGTTGGTTTCTATTCCCAGGTATCACATTATACTCGTCCCAATACAACTATCAACTGCAAATGTTCCCTTAAGGAAGATGGACGGCTCAGTATGTACAAGGCAAGTTTCGAGTTCTTTGTGTGTGTGATAAGAACCAGAGTAAAATCTCGTCTTTATTCCTCAATGATTCAGCAGGAACAACAACATAAAACAAGAATCAAAGATAGAACCATTTTCTCTCCATATGATTCATCTCATCATTGATATTAACTTGATACATGCCAGGTTTTTACGTTGTTTGTCTTTGATTGAACTTGAGTATTTTGCTGTTGCACAGGCCGAGCTTAATCCTGTAAGGCATTTGGTTGTTGATGTGTCTTGCATTGACAAGAATCTTGACATGAGACTCATGCTCGCTGCCAAGAGGAAGATGACGGCTCTTACAGTGAGTTGAATTTGATTTATATATAAATTTCTGGATAAATTATGCTTCTTTTGGGTGATCTTTCTATGATGGGCAGGATAAAGAGATAAGCAACATTAAAGCGCTATTGGATTCAGGAACTGTTGATCCAAATGTGAAAGGTGGTTTAAGGTGGCCATTCGGTAAAGCTTTATCTGAGGATGGATACAAAGTATTTGAATCTTGTCACGGTAGAGTTACTATCTACAAAAACCAAACTCTAAAGCTTAAAGTAAAAGAGACTGATAGATTCAATGAGAGGGTTGGGATAGGGGAAATCAAGAGGGAGGTGTCCCTGAGACTTAAAGACCTAAACTCTAAGTTACAGGTAAATTATTGTTGCTCTTGTACTTTTGAAACTCTTTTGGAAGTGTAAAGGATTGATTACACTTGCCGTCTGCAGGAGCAAAATACTGAGAAAAGTTGTGTTTTGGAAATGCTTCGAAGTACTCTTGGATCTATATGGGACTTATTGCATTGTGATCCCTATCTTACATGATAAAGAACCATACGATGTTGCTCGTTCTATCGGTGTCTCTTTTACTTTCTGCTGTGTCTCGGTTCGTTTTATTGGTCGTCTCTTTTACTTTCTGATGTGTGTTGGTACAATAATGTTTTGGGTTGTTACCAATCATTTCATGTATCTGAACTTGGTAAATGGTACCTAGATGACTCGATGCATATTGAAGTTTCCTTTTACTTAAAGAAAATAACTCAATGCATACTGGCGTTTCTTTTTTACTTGATGGTCTAGTCGTCAGCCAAGCAGGACAATACAATGAAAGATTCCCAACTCACACATTCAAATTTGGTGAATATGTTGTAACTGGTGCAAAGAACAAATCTAGTTCCAAAGTTTGAAATAAATTAAGATTTCTCTTTTGCTTTGATCACTTCACAAATCCTGGAACAAATAAACTAATATCCCTTCTTTTAAGTTATAAGTTGTAACTTATAACAATCATCCATAAGACCAAATACATCAATTTACAGCTATTTAGAGTTGATCCATAGCGCTCACACCAGGTGTGCTAAAAGTTCAACTGCTTTATCCATCAAGCCTTTATCACATAACCTGCTAATGACTTCCTCAGTTCTTGAACTCTTAGCAAACACGTTCATGTTAAACGCTTCCTCCAAAAAACCTTGAGCAGAAACAACATCACCTACCTCAATAAATGCGCTAATCATAATATCATATGTGTGGCTGTTCCGGTTAACTCCATTTATCCCCATCTCTTCCCAGAGAGTCTTAGCTTGACTCAGATCCCCAGCATTAACCAATGCCTTGATCAATATATTGTAAGTAATCACATTAGGCTCAGAACCTAGCTTGTTCATCGAAGACATCATCTTTAAGGCGCCTTCAATGTCGTTCTGCTTGCATAAGCCATTCATATACACATTATAGGTATAAACATCAGGAGCCAAGCCTAACAAGAGCAACTCATCAAAAAACTTGTCTGCTTTCGAGTACTCCGCATCCGCAATTACCCCTTGCAACACGATAGTATAACAAACAATATCGGGCTCAATTCTGTCACATTTCATCTGATTCAGTACACTTACAACTTCTTTTCCTCTTCCTCCTTCAACCAAGAAACTCATAACGACTGTATAATCCCGCAAACCTGGTGAAAACCGAGTCTTTCGCAAATCTTCCAAGTATCCAACGACATCGAAACATGACGAATCCTTGTGTTTACATACAGAACTCAGTAACTGAGAGTATAATCTCGGATCAACAATAACACAATCAATACTCATGTATCTCACTAACTCAGTAGCACAATCTACCTCACCGATTTTACATAGAGCATCGATCAATATCCCAAATGTAGATTCCTCTAACCTCACACCCATTCTACTAGCTTTCACCAAAATCTCAGGCACCAATTCAAGACTCTCTCTTTTTCTCACGAGAACTAAGAGCAGAGCATTGAGCGTGTAAGCAGAAGGCACACACCTGAAATTAGGGATCTTGAAGAAAACATCGATTGCCTCTCCGATTCTTCCGGCGAAACCATAAGCAGCGATGACATCCCTGAAAATGGATTCAGGTGTATCGAACTTCTCAGAGACTTCAAGGTGACTGAGAACAGATGCAATGTTCTCGAGCTGAGAGGTTTTAGCTAGAGTTTTGATAACAAATCTGTAAGCTTGAGGCGTTGGCTCACAGTTATGGAGTCGGAAAGAGCTTACGAGGGTTCGTATAACACCACCGTCCTCTGAATCTGCGACCGGACTGCTTCTTAGCTCTTCCATTGCATATTTCTGCTTGAGATTCTCGTTCCATTTGGTTTTGAAGGGAGAATGAGGAATTTTTCGATATTTTCTCAGGAAATTTGACATTCGGTGCCATGATGAAGATCTTACCATTTCAATTCGACAATGATTGTCGAGTGGAAGACATGGAAGAGGACATGTCATGTAGCTTCAGAATCTTTTGTTGTCGGTATTTATTAAAAGCCCAACTAAATTTTAATTGAAAGCCCACGATTGGCCCAGCTTCGTTTAGGTTTTTTTTTTTTTTTTTTTTTTTTTATATATATACATTACACTGTCCTTGGCCGCAAGAAATCAGAAGAAAAAGGTTGAAACACAATGACGACGACGATGATCTCCAACCTTCCAAGAAATTTGATAGAGGATATTTTATCTAGGCTTCCCTTCAAATATATGAAAGCTATGCGTTTAACATGCAAAGTTTGGGAAAATATATCTAAAAGTGAGAGCTTTGCGAAGATGCACATTGGTAAAGTAACAAGAGAAGGGGAGTACTGTATGATGATCGTGAACATGTGTCTCACAAATTTTATCTAATTAACGACGCCATTCATTAGATAAATGACTCTGACTCTGACTATACCAAAGCACTAGTTCCGGACCCGCGCTACAGCGCAGGGAAAAATTACCGGGTTTTTAGTCTTTTGTATGTTGCGAAATAATTTTATTTGTGTTTGCTTTACTTTATTTTCATCAGTAATTAAATTTTATCATTTTTAGATTGTATGTGTTGGTTTCAAATATGTTCAAAATTATTTAAATTGTATGATTTTAGTTGGATTGTTAATTTTAGAACAATATGTGGCATATATACATGTATAAATATTATACAATGAAAAAAAAAAGTATACAGTGAATCATTTTTAAAATTTAGGGATTGACCCGCGGTACACCGCATAATCATAAATACATGATTTTAACTTGGACCTTTCATGCAGTTTTGTAAAGTTGCAAATCTCTAGAATAAACAAATAAAGAGCCAATGATTTCTTATTTCTTATCGTGTTTAAATGTAAAATCTGTGTTGATGTTACAATTTTGTGGTAGCAAAAACTTATTTAAATAGATCATATTTTCTTAGGGTTAAATTGAAAAAAGATTAGTTTTATAATCAAGCCAGAAATTCGAAACTATTGCCAAATAAATATTAAAGATGGTCATAGAGAAAATATATATATATATATTAAAGATGGTTGAAAATGAAATATCCCGTAACTGGTGTGAAGATCATAGTTAATATAGGAGAAAACTATACATCCAAATATCAATATAGGTTATTTAAGGAAGACTTTGTTTTGAAATATTATGGATAATTTGATAATGATTATTATATATTTAATTTATATTTCTGATTTTTAGGTTAATTTGTTAAACCAATATACAAAATCATACATTAATGTATTTTTCCTTAAACAAATTAAGATTAATGTACTTTCCCAAACCGATATTGATGGTTTAATTTGGTAGATTTTGAAATAATATATATGGAAACTGGTATTTAATATCCTTAAACTTTTAGTAAGATCCAACTGAAAAATTCCGGGTTAATTTTTTTTTTAAAACCCGACCCAAAAAGCATTTGTACTTCTCTTTTACTATAGTAGGGATTCGTTAACATCATAGGAGAGGTTGGATACTTTAATAAATTGGATCCTGGATTTCCTGCAGCCAAAAACGGTTGGTCTCGTGTGTGCACTTATGTTCCAAGTTCGATCTAAATCAATAAATTTTTTGTCATATTTTTGGAAGAAAAAAAAAATAGTGGTATTTTTGAAAAGAAAAAAACTTAAAATGTGATATTCAAGGGAATTTCTCTTAAACTTTCCCTAAATGATATTTTAAAATACATAAATATTTTTTAGTTCTCATAAAAATATGAATATAAAAGAGAGTAGAAAAAACAATATAGATATAATTAGTCAACAATATAGATTCATTCATTAATCATCAAGTACCACAATTTCCACCTGGTCCTCCAAAAGAAAAAGATACCCCATTCGTCTTTATATAACCCCAATAAGATAGTCTATAGCATTGGTAAGAATCTGAATATTGTCTTATTTTTTTATCTTCAATATCAACATTTTGATATTTCTGATTCCAAACTTTAACATGCAAAAAATGTGAGCTTTGATGAAAGTTGAAATTCGGAAAATGACCATTTCCCATTGGAGGACTGATTCCGTCCGGAGATGTAAATGTATTTCCTCCATAACGTACCAAAGAAGCTCCTTTGTTTAGATGAGTAAATAACTCTTTGGGCCAGTATCCAATTAATTCATTAGAAACTTTTAGTACCCAGTTTCCAGTGAAACCATCCTGATAAATATTAAATCGTAACAAAAAAACTATTAGACGAAATTTCTAGAATTTATAAGTACATATGTGACATCAAGAAATTCTACCAAAAAATTATACAAAATTTATTTTAATCCAAAACTTGAAATTAATATAAAGTAGATAAATATTTACCTGAAAAACTTTTGGGTAAAAACCAATTGTTTCTTTACCACCATAAATAGAAGATCTATCAAATACAGTTCCAACCCAGGGTTCTCGAGTAACAAGAATAAAGCCAGGACATTTCATATCATAACATCCAGTTTTTTTATAGCCATCTGCCTAATAAATTAAAAAATAAAAAAGAAAGGTCAAAGCTCATGCAAACAAAAAAAGTAAAGGCAAAACCTTTATTCGTTTACCATGTATAAAGAAACATTATTAAAAAGTAATTAATTTACTCACAGTCCAATATATTGTAAATCGTGTCGAACTGTCACCATATAATCTTGGATGCACCTATTAAAAAAACATGAAAAACAGAAATTTCAAATATAAGAATGAAAATGTTTGTTTCAAAAAAATGTATACTCAAACACTAATTCTCCAATATATCATGCACTAGATCACCACAAAGTTATTCACCACAAATGATAACAACTTACCGCCCAACCAACTTGTATGCTGTTGAGTTGATCGCGAGGTCCGTTCTCTAACCAAATTTGACTTTTACTGTATTGGTTATTTTGTAGTGTCAAATTATGAATAGTTATCCCAGCTTCTGCTCCTCGATAGATGCTCCCATCCAAAACAGTCTCAATTGTTGCAAACTGTATATGACATAAATAAAAATGTTGATAGTTATACTAAATTTTGCATGTCTTATAATCACAACACACTAGAAAGAAGAAAAGAACTTGACTGCATATAAACATTTTTTGTGTTGTGGATAAGATAAAATGTCATATGGGATGATATAGATATTTCGATAAAAGTATGATAATAGAGGAAAACATACATGTTGGCCTGGGTACTGAACCGTGTCAAGATGAATGCTCTCAGTTCCATTTCTTTGCCTTAAAATTGGTACTGTTCCTTTTGGACAACTTTGATTATTTATTTTATACTTATAAATTGTTGTTTGGCTTTCATTTGAGATGAATTGTTCCTAGCACATAACACAAGAATAACAAAATTAAGTTAGAAAAATAGAATTAAAACAAATTATTCTCTACCAAAAATATTTGTTAGCCATATATCATTGAAAAATATAAATTATTATACCGGGATCTTGTGGTGTTTCAACAATGGATGTTCGAAAGCTGGTTGTTTATATATATTAACACAATCAAAATCCTGTAAAATCAGTTATGACTTAACAAATCAAAAATATTATTATAAGTGATAAATATTATTAAAAAAAAAATCCAAATTTATAGGTAAATAGTGGACAAACAAAAATAGAAGTGATAGAATCTCACATCAATGATTCCATTGGCCCCTAACGTTAAAATCATATAAGAAGCAAGAACTATCACAAGATGTAAACCCATTGTTAAGTTTTACTCTTTGGTGTCCATTGATAATTTAAGGATATATATATAACAATAGTGAGTTAACGTCTAAGAAATTTGTTGCTAATCATATCCCTTCACATTTCATAAACCTACCAAAAGTATCAAATACAAAGATTTTTGACTGTTGACTATAATAAATTTAGTATCAATATTGGGTCAACCATAATAAATTTGCTGCTAGTCTTATCACTACACCTTTATAACCTACCTAAAGTGTCAAATACAAAAGATACGTTACATTAATTTCATCAACATCTAATAAATTTGTTTAGTCAATAATTATATAATTCATCTAATATAAAGTTTCCATAAGTGACTAATACAATTATTTAATTATAAAAACATAAAATATTAGGGAAAAATGTAAAAAAAACAAAAAAAAAAACACAAAAACTTTCAATTTTGGAACAAACAAATATCAACTTTCAAAACATCAGTAAAAGCACAATGTTTGGTTTGAATTTTTGATACATTAGTCAAGTTTTGTTGATTTGACCATTTTAGTATGACAAATGTATCAAAAATGACTAATGTATTTGACCATGGTCATAGCAATAAGTTTAGAATCAACTATGACTAGCAATAAGTTTTGTTGATTTGACCAGTTTAGTATGAATAATGTATTTGACCATGGTCATAGCAATAAGTTTAGAATCAATTATGACTAGCAATAAGTTTAGAATCTTATTTAGACTAAATGGAGATTGTTAACAGAAAGTTATTGCTAGTCATATCACTATCCTCTAATAATTCCGCCAAATGTGTCAAATACGAAAATCAATATAGTTGTAAAATTACGTTATAAAGTGATATTTTTATAAACTAAAAACGAAATAGGTATTGGACTGCTAATGTATATGTTGAACTAAAAGTCTTTTCAAGTATCGAATGTTTTAGTAGAATATTATTTGATGGTTGAGTATTTCATCAAAATTAAAATTATTTTAAACAAAAATAACTAAAAACATATATTTTATTAATTTTCGTACATGAATGACAATGTCTTCAGCATAGATGAATGAATATAGGAGTTTTCATTACACAAAAAAAAAAAATGTACAATTTGATTTTTGTTTTTACATTTACAAGAAAGATCTTCAATATACTATATGAGTTGAACGTATACATGTTCATGCAGAATGAAATGCAAATGTATACTGAAGATGATTAATGTGTTAACGTGAAAACAACTGATATTATGCAATTAAATTTTTTTTAAAAAGGTGATCATATGCAAACTTCAGAGAAACGATACCCAAATAAATTAGAAACAATGTTTTGCCTTATCGAAATAGTGATATTCGATTGCATTTTTAAACCGAATAAACACAAATTTTAAATGACCTATTTATCAGTGTAAATCCGTTAGCCGGTGTAACGTTGATCTAAACGGTATTAAGTATTAACCATCCGTTAGTCAACCATTTAGTTGTGCTCAGTCAGACATGTGACATGGATTTTGGCTTAGATAAAAGACGCTATATATATATATATGTAAACTTGAGTATTTCATTTTTATTGTAACAAGATATGTAAAGAAAAATTCAATAGCTCTGCTGATTTGGTTTCAGATAATATTCGTCAGGTGTGATTGGGTTCGATACCTTCTTATAGTTGTTTTTTTTTCTTATACGTGATTATGCCTTTGAACAATCATTTCAATGAAGACAGGTGTAAACTGGAAATCTGTTGGAAGATAGAAGAATACAAACACAGTGAACACAATACAAACACATTGATTCAAACACCTTTTTTTTAGCCCTTCTTGTACAGGAGCATCTCTGTATCTCTTCAGAGCAGCTGATTAGAAAAAAAGAAGAAAATCACAATAGAGAGAGATTTGATTGATCCTTTCAAAAGCATCTGATTTGAGTTTTTTGTTTTTTGTTTCTTGGGTACAGTGAAGCAGTGTTCTTTTTCATCACGTATTCACACTGTTGTTTGTTACTAGTAACCTCAAAATTTTCATTTTACATGGCGAGTACAGATCATACATGATACATAGTTCATTGCTCTGTTTTACATGCTTTCTTGATCATCATCATATCCTTTGTCCCACAGAGATAAAGAGCCAATGAACTTGTTTTAACTTTCTCTTTTCACTGAAGCCATGTGGTCGAGTCAAAATAGAGTCCAACTGGGTCAACCCTTGTATCAAACCCGGTTCCAAAATAGCAAGAAAGCTAAGAACAAATAGACATGGTCCTCTCTCTCATGAGAATGAATTAAAACAATGTGAACCTATGACTAAAAGAATTAAATCAACATGTTCAATAAGCTGAATTTTTGTTGTTTACGGGTCAAATCGAATAGCTGAATTTTTATTTTATTAAAGAGTTACAAATTGGTTGAATCATGATCAGTGCTACAATGTTAATTGTTAGTTCTTACTTCATATATTATATATCAATCAAGACTATAATTGTTAGTTCTTACTTCATATATTATTTATCTACAATTGTAGATAAAAATGTATCCCAACTTTTTATTATATACATTTTAGGAAAAAAAAAACTTTTAATAGACACTTGTTTGGATAATCCTCGTCCAACACGTAATCGGATGGATAGAGTATAAAAGATCAAACCTCTTAAGACTATAGTATTAAACATCATTAAAAAGGGAATTATCCACCTAATAAAAAAAAACAGTTATTCTTTAATAGATTTAACGTTGACCTTGACCACATTATAAAGACGCGTGGTGTTAACGCAGTAAATAAAGAGCGTGGAGCGGGAAAATTGCCGTCCTTAAAAACAGAGAAAAAGAAAGCATCATAATATGGATCGAATCGATCAGAATAAATAAATAGAAGAAAAGAAAAAAAAGAAAAAAAAAAAGAGTTTTTTCCATTTTATTGTGTGTGCTTTGTTTCTTCTTCGTGGAAGATTTAGAAAAGGAAAGAAAAAAAGAAACAAAGGCTTAAAACAGCAAAAAGCAAAGATTCTCTCGCTGACTTCGTCTCTTCTTCTCTGTGCCGCTGGCGAAGAAGATTTTTTAGGGTTTTTTATTTTTCTCTCTTGAGCTGGGGAATTGTTATTATCAATCGTGTTTTTTGAGCTCTCTTTGATCGGTGAGAAGATATGGCGTCGTCTTCAGCTTCGGCGACGGTGGCGGTTGATAAAGCAACCAGCGATCTTTTGTTAGGTCCTGATTGGACTACGAACATGGAAATCTGCGATTCTGTCAATTCTCTTCACTGGTAAATTCTGGTTTTAGATTTTGGTCTTAATTTCGTTCGGAATTGTTGATTTTTTTTTTTGTTTTTTATGTAATTGGGTTATGCTGGATTGGTTGATGTTCTTATATAAGGCTACAGTCACATGCAAAATTTGGATTTGGTGTTGTTTAGTTCTTGATTTGGAGTAGGAATATTGCATTTAATGGTTTTGCGTCTTTTGATTTGATCAGGCAGGCGAAAGATGTAGTTAAAGCTGTTAAAAAGAGGCTACAGCATAAGAGTCCTGGAGTTCAACTACTTGCTCTTACGGTAATGATGTTTTTAGTGAATTTTGGGGCCAGTTTATTCTGTGCGTCGTTTTTGACTCTACTTAACTTTCTGTGTATTCTTTTGTGCTAGCTTTTGGAGACTTTAGTAAAGAACTGTGGAGATTATTTGCACCATCAAGTTGCAGAGAAAAACTTACTTGGGGAAATGGTCAAAATTGTGAAAAAGAAGGTACTTCTTGTTCTGGGTTCTATGTATGTATTTCCATAGTGGTGGTTGTTCGGATTTCTGATGATATTGGACTTTACAGGTGGATATGCAAGTTAGAGATAAGATATTGGTCATGCTGGACTCTTGGCAGCAAGCTTTTGGTGGTCCAGAGGGAAAGTACCCGCAGTATTATTGGGCATACGATGAGTTAAGGGTGAGTATCTCGCTTGGAATGTAATTGATATACATGTATACATTTTTGGTCACCTTTAGTGGACATATATACTGTTTGGTCATCGTTTGTTCAAAAAATTTGAAGTATTGTATATTGTTAGCAAGTCTTGTATTTGTTGCCACTACTCATTTTCACCCGGTGCTAAATCTGAAAGTTGAGTGTTTATAGTTCCGGAGTCATGTTGCTCCGTGCTTTTATCTACTTCAGATCTTGAATATATATGGCATTTGCTTACATTTTATTGAGATCTCATTTGCGTAATTCTTAGTCTCAAGGTTGTTGTTACATGTTGCAGCGTTCTGGAGTTCAATTCCCCCGCCGTTCACCTGATGCGTCCCCTATAATAACACCACCAGTGAGTCATCCACCGTTAAGACAGCCTCAAGGGGGCTATGGAGCGCCTCAAGCTGGCTATGGAGAATCTCAAGCGGGTTATGGAATACCTCAATATGGAGTACCTCAATCGGGTTATGGAGTACCTCAAGCAGGTTATGGAATTCCTCAAGTGGGTTATGGAATGCCCAGCGGTTCGTCGAGAAGGCTTGACGAAGCAATGGCAACTGAGGTTGAGGGGCTAAGGTAAGCAGATTTGTTAGTTCAATATGCTGTCGATGTGAGTTTCTAGCGTTCTATTTAAATCTTTTTTTTTTTGGGGTTAAATTGTAGTTTGTCAAGTCTTGAGTCCATGAGGGACGTGATGGATCTCTTGGGCGACATGCTACAAGCTGTTGATCCCAGCGACCGTGCGGTATTGACATCTATATACAGCTATATTTTTGCGGGTTTGGGAATGAATGAATTGCTTTACCCATGGTTTTCCTGTTATGTAGGCTGTGAAAGATGAAGTCATTGTCGACTTGGTTGAGCGTTGTCGTTCCAATCAGAAAAAGTTAATGCAGATGTTAACCTCAACTGGGTTAGTCCTCTAACTTTAGTAATCACTCTGTATTTAAATTTTTATAATGCGTAATGATATTGGTGGCTTGAGAGGTTCCATGGTTGTGCTAAATAGTTTTTTGTTTATGTGGCAGGGATGATGAACTTTTGGGCCGGGGACTTGATCTAAACGACAGTCTTCAAACTCTGCTAGCTAAGCATGATGCAATAGCTTCTGGTTCTCCTCTGCCAGTTGCGGCTTCTGGTTCTCCTCTGTCAATTCAGGCTTCTAAACCTGGTGATTCGAGCCCCAAATCTTCTGAAGCTAAAGATTCTAGTTCCATCGCTGGTTCTAGTTCCCCAATACCAGCCACTGTGTCTACGGGGAAAAGCCCAATTGATGAGGATTACGAGGAGGAGGAAGATGAGTTTGCGCAACTAGCTCGAAGGTTTGTCTTACAAATTACGACTGGATTCAGGAACTGTGCATATCATAAACTTTGTATTTGACGCATCACTCTGTATTGTTTCAGGCATTCTAAACCGCCAGCATCTGTGACTGCAGACCCCACCAGTTCAGAGTCTCATAATGCTGCAAGCAATGCTCTTGCTCTTGCTCTACCTGACCCGCCTCCTCCAGTGAACACCACAAAGGAACAAGACATGATTAACCTATTGAGTATCACACTGTCTACACCGTCAACTCCGCCGCCTCCATCCTCTCAGTCTTCACCCCCTCCTCACGCTGTCTCAGATCAAAACACCCACATCTATCCACAGCCTCGACCACAGTTTGATACCTATGTTGCTCCATGGGCACAACCTCAGCAACAGCAACCGCAACAGCCTCCAACACAGCAGGGTTATGCTCAACATCAACAACAGCAGGGTTATTCTCAACATCAACAACCTCAACAACAGCAAGGTTATTCTCAACCTCAACAGCAGCAGGGCTACTCTCAACCGCAGCAGCCTCAAACACAGCAGGGCTACTCTCAACTGCAACAGCCTCAAACACAGCAGGGTTATTCTCAATCGCAACCGCAAGCACAGTACCAGATGCAACCGTCAACTCGACCTCAGAATCCATATGAATATCCGCCTCCCCCATGGGCTTCAACATCAGCGAATGCTTACTATACTCCAAGGGCTAATGCGAGTGCGTCATACACAGACACATCGGCCCTGTCTGGGAGATCACTGCAGCAATCCAACTCGTTCCCTACAAGAGCCGGAGATCCCCAGGCTAACTTAACTTCCAGCAATCCAGGAGTATCTACAGGACAGAAGCCGTTTGTTCCGTCCTACAGATTGTTTGAAGACCTTGATGTGTTTGGGAGCGCAGATGGGAAGCATAATAAACCGACGAACAGTAGTAATGGTTCTCAAAGCTTGTCTGGGTCTCAGACGCAGCAGAGCATGATAGGAGGAAGGAAAATGATTTAACAAAGGTGTGGGTGCTTCATATTTTCCATTTGTGAATATAATGGTGTACATTTTTATCCCCTTGTTTGATTTTAGGATTTGGTATGACATACTGATTCGCTTTGCTGAGACCAAGAGGTTTTTTTTTCCTTAGTTACTTTGTCTTCTGTTTTCTTACCTTTTTGTGGAGTTGTGTGAACTATTATTGGTTTGGGGATAGAGTTATAACAGTTGGGAACAACAATTCATGGGAATTGGGAGTGGGAAATGGAACATTACTCAGTTTCTAGTCTCTTTGGGTTCTCTTAACTTCAACTCTCAGGCTTTATAATGGCTATGGAGAACTAAACAGAAATCTAACATGTTAGTATAGTACATATAACATGTTATGATATAGTAGTGGAGGCCTATGGGACAAAAAATAAATCGAATAGGTTTCAGACTTGGTACAACCCAAAGTCATCATTCTCATTGGTTTGCACAACCAAAAATGTATTCTGAAACTCAGGTATTCAGTTCTTGCAACATCAGCATTTTCATTTTCATTGGTAACTTAGTTTGCATCCCAAATCGCATAGTGTTTTGGCAATATGAACAACATCGAGATACAGTATTGGCAACACGATGTAGATGTGATGAACTGTGATGCTAAAGATGCGATTTAAATGTTTAGCAATATTTGACTTTATTTTGACGCAAAAAAAAAGTTGTGAACAAAAAGAAAACATAGTGATTGAGAAGCAACGAGATGTTGGCTCATCAATCGTTGGTTGTTCGTACCATAATATTACAAGCATACTTCATCACAACTTACTAAACACCATCTTTCATAGTAGCATCCATCATTTTTCTTTTCTTCACATCTTCGACATTGAGTAGTCCATCGCTTCCACGAGATAATCTGCCAGAAAGAGATTTTTATTATTGTGATCATTTTTCTTTTATATTCCTTATTAACAAAGAAATGATAGGGCACAAACTTGCGTCATCCTTAGTGAAGCAGAGAGGTGGTGTGATTCTAAAGACATTTCCAAAGTAGCCTCCTTTTCCAACCAACACGCCCAATTCTGTAAAATTACTCATAGACATATTAATTCGCCATTTCAGTACCGAGTTTCACTAGAGGAGACAAGTGTAGACAAAAAACAAACCTTTCATTTGATCCATAATCTGCAGAGTCTCGGCGGCTGCAGGAGTCTTAAGGGTGCGATCACTCACCAGCTCTACTCCAAGCATCAGTCCTCTTCCCCGTACATCCCCAATAACTACATTAGGGAAGTACAACAAAACACATTGAGGCTATTTTAAAGCACAAAGTTATGAAGAGGGAGAGAGAGAGAGAGGGATATTTACTTTCGTGCTTCTCTTTCAGCTGAATGAGTTTATCTTTCAGATAAGATCCGACCATTGCTGCATTTTCCTGAAGCTTCTCTTTCTCAATCACCTTCAGAACTGCAAGACCAGCTGTAGAAGAAACAGCATTTCCACCAAATGTATTGAAGTAGCTACGGCGAGTCAATACTCCTGCTATCTCTGGAGTTGTCACAACCGCTCCCAAAGGAAACCCATTTCCAATTCCCTATTTTCACACCTTAAACCAATTAGCCAGGGATTGCAATAAAGTAAAGCTTAGATGCAGAACAAAATAAGGTTGGGACATCTCTAACCTTTGCCATGGTTACTATGTCAGGGACAACATTGTGTGCCTCAAATCCCCAGAAATTGCCAGTACGAGCGAATCCGGACTGAACTTCATCCGCAATGAACAATCCTCCAGCTTTCTTAACAGTATCATAAGCTGCAGACAAATACCCCGGGGCTAGCTCCACAATCCCTCCAACTCCCTATTCACATATGCATTTACTCTTAATCTTAATCTAGTAACACTTGTATAGATGAAATTTCAACAATAGTCAAAGGTTGATTACCTGAATAGCTTCACAAATAAAGCCAGCAATGTGTCCGGTGGTGCCATATTGAATGAGATCCTGCAAATCCTTTGCATACTTACCTCCATCAGAACCAAACACACCTCTATATGGATCCGGGTTTAAAGCATGATGAACTCCAGTCTGAACCACATTAAATTTCCACATGCTCTGAGCAGTAGCCCCCATGGTTGCAGCCGCATTACCATGGTACCCGTTTCGAATCGACACAATATCTTGACATCCAGTATACAATTTAGCCATCATGAGTGCCAATTCATTAGCCTCTGTCCCTGAGTTGGTGAAAAACACCACCTTTAGATCACCAGGAAGTTTGGAAGCAAGAGCCTCAGAGAACTCAGCAATGGCATGGTTAAGGTAAAGAACAGTAGGATGCTGAAGTCTCTTGATTTGATTGATCACTGGCTCCACCACATCTGGGTGACAATGTCCACAGTTCACAACAGCAATCCCAGCAAATGCATCTAAGTACCTCCGACCACTCTCATCAAATAGATACTGCATCTTCCCATCCACAATGTTCAGCTGCAACAAACTCTCAAAATTAATACACATAAATACAAAAAAACACACACACATCAATACAAAAATAGGAAAATGAATATTCTATTCATCTGTTGTCACTAGTCAATTTCAAAGCCTGAAAAAAAGATTCAACATTTATAAATTTTATTATAATATTATAATAGATTCCAATATTGATTCATGAATATTCGGATAAGAACATCGTAGTCTGAGCTAATTTTTAATTATAAAAAGTTTAGCTTTTTCCGATGAGCCGATCAATAAAGTTTCAAGCTTTTCGTCAATATCACACATACGGAGATCATCAACACAAAGATCATAAACCGAAGACTTGCTTCACGAATCAAAAACAATTGCCAGAAATGAAAAATCACGATTTTTGAAATGGGGCATGTACCGGTTTGCGGTAGAGACAGAACATGGAAGGACTGAGAAACTCCTTCCTTTTACCAAGGATAACATCGGCGGAAGGGCCAGTATACGGCGGAGGAGTGTAATCAAACGGAGGAAGCCTCGCCTGAAACTCATCAGAATCTTTAACGGGAGCTGCCGCCGTGGCCTGAGACGTCGACGTGAGACATCGTCGCCAGAGAGAACCGGAGATGTTTTGCACCGATCTTTTCGCCGTGAGCCTCTGCATGATCTCTCTTTTTCTCTTAAATCTCTCCGATGATTATAATATTTACAGAGAGACACTGTTTCGATGGTTACAATGATGTGTGTGAGAGAGAGGTGGCGACGTTTATTTATATAGAGAGACTCCTGATCGAATCCATTGGATCAGTGCTGATGACGTGTTTCCAGTTTATTGAGTTCTACCGAACTTGATTTTATTACAGTCATGGTCCTTCAACTTTAACTTTATTTACCTACTTATCTCATATTACCCTAAAGTCTACACATTTAACCCTTAATTGAGTTATAAATGTGTACAAACTAGACTACAATTATAATTCGTAAAGTTTGGGAAATTAATTGTAATATCAGAAATATTTATGTGTTGGAATCCAACATATTTTGAGATATTTTTCGGTTTTTTTATTTTTAATTTATTACCGTAAATGACAGTATTAATATCCAACGAATGTTGACTGGTGTAACAAGACATTCTAAGTCCAGAATTAGTCAAACGACAAACATGGTGAAATATCTATTTCAGATGGAAACAAATTATTTTTTTATAAAGAATATATATAATTAATAATTTCATCCCCAAAAAATAGCTAAAAAAGATCAACATAATTACGTTTATTATTTAGTATAATCAAATAGTGAATTTTTTTACTTTTTACAAAATAATTAATAACCTAAACAATTTTCAAAACTAACAATTCTATAAACTAATAAAAGATTTTGGGAACTCTCAATTTAGGTGACGTTTTGGTGTTCCTCAAAACCGCTTTGGGCGTTTTAGAAAGGCTAAATAATTTAATGCAGTTTTTGGTTTCACAGTTCACATTTCACACGACCAAAATAACAAACCCATGTTACAACTCATTTTCCTGACTCACGAATCACGATAGACCAATACAAGTATATATATTTGTAAAATGTTTAAATACAAGTTGTTTCGTAGACAGATCTTTTAGAAACAAGTTGATCGAGTGTAAGAATTAAGTAAATGTTAAAATCATCGTGATGATGAGTGTGTTCGGTATTAATTTGTACCAAAACATGTAATGCATTTGGTAAAATGGAATTGGTGTCATGTGACTGATCCACCTACGTTCTACGACACTATTTGGATTTGATGATAAGTACCAAAAAAACATTACATCATTTCTCCCAAAGATTGGACAAAAAATTGTCTTGCCTTTAGAAAGTAACTCATATATACCTAAAGATTAGACACAATTTGTCTTTCCTTTTTATAACGCGTATACAAAATCCCAATATCGTGGCATAAACTTATAAATACCATACAATGTGTGGAGGGACCATAGGTGTATGGTGCACGAGCTTTCAAGTGAAATGATCAAATGCGTCTACTAATATAATTGTTTGTAATTAATCAATGTTCCTAATTAGATATCCTCCTGGCGTGGATCGAAATTTTAAATTGTTTTCTGTTTGGCGTGAGCCAATTAGCCAAAGCCCTTTTAAAATTATGAATGTGTATCTAAACTATACGACTTGTGTTTGTGTCTCTCTTATCTCTTTATCTTTATAATCTCCATCCGACTAGGATTGAATTTATATAACACTTTGTATTGTTTTGAAAAGACAAGTGGTGATGCATGAGAGGAAAATGGAAGAGTTGATGATGTAGCAACCAAATCTACTTTCGCATTCTTAAAATTGGGCTTTTTGTTGTTTTTCTCATTTGGGCTTTAGTAAGACCAGTTTTCATAAATTTCATAACATGTGAGAACTTTATTTAGTCGAAATGTTCCCATGCATTTTATACGTTCTTACATTATATATCCCAACATGCATTAATCAGATAGAACTCACAACACCATCGTCGTTCTCCACGTCCCTAATTCTTCGTGAATTCACAACCCTACAGTTCTTTCTTATCTCCCCTTGAGTTCCAGTCAATGGTCTAAGATTACCCATCCTGATCATTGCATCAACGAATGCTCGGAAGAACAAGAACGTGCTGCTGCTGTATTGGTTTACTAGTGGAATAGTGTCGGCTCCTGGAGTCGAGAAGAGCTCTTGGTCACTCTGAATCAGACCTTTCCCGTTACGAAGATTGGTGTAGTATTGACTATCGAAAGCGGTTGGAGTCACGGGATCGAAGTTGACCAGAACTGTGCCGTTTCCGTTTTGTGGGCATAACCGACGGAGTTCGGCGAGGTAAGTTGGGTTTAGAGTTGGGTCTGGTCTGTTGGTTCCGTTGAAGTTGTAGAGACGAGGTGTCACGAATTGGCATTGTGCTTTTCCAAATGTGTGACCACCTACCATTTTGACAAAACATTAAGGATTTGATACATATTGTATGTTTTTATTAGATGAGTCATGTTTCTTTTCGTTTTACCAAGTCATTTTATAATTCAAAGTAGATAGAGTTTCTTTTAACAAAGCCAACCAAATCATTTCTAAGAAAGTATAGACTAAATATAAATAATTGAGAAAGTTTTTATCATTTTTAATAAAATTTTGAATTAAAACACACTTATCTTTTATAGATGAGAAACAACACGCATGAAAAAAATTACCAGAAAGAGCGACAAGATCCGAGGGGCGGTTTAGACCAACGTCAGCAAAAGCTGCTTTGAGTTGAGTAAGATTGAAAAATGGAGAGGGAAGAGCTGTATTAGCCAAATCGAAGAAAGCTTCCACGCTGTCTCTTCTCCCCAACGGAACCGGCCACCATGGACCTCCCGACTATATAACATAAAAAGCATTGACGTCAAAAACATTGATGTCTTGTTCATATAACATGTTTCGATTAGTTTCATCCTGAGATAGCCATGTAGGTAAGTCTAGTTAAATACCAAAAGCACTGATATTTGAGAGGCTATGGTGAGAATATCCGCACAAGACACCGTTCTTGGGCAAGCTCTCTCAAGGGCTGTTTTCATTATATCTACGACATCGAGACCTCGAATCGAATTTGCGTTCGGAGCAGCATCTTTCTCGGTCCGGAATGATGTGGAATTGTCAAGCAAGATTGATGCATCACAACCCTACAAAAGCCATATATAAATATTACATATAACATGAAGACATTATTTATTAATTCAAAATTGCCTTGTAGGGTATTTTCTATACGTATAGATGTAAAAGTAGATGACGCTATGGATTTCTTTAATTAGTAAAAGACAAGTGAGTCTTTACCCGAACAAAGCAGTCATGGAAGTGAAGACGAAGGAGGCTCGCGGCAATACGAGGATCAGTCTGCAGTCTCTCGACGATGGCATTTCCAATGATATCGAAAACAGGTGGGCAAGTCCTGGAGTAGAAGTCAGGCCTCAACTGAGCATTAGAGTTTGATGCTTGAAACAGAAGGCAACCCAATATTAGGGCTCCCATAGCACTGCAAGATAATGAAAGTGAAAACCCCATGTTTTCAGGAGGGAAGACCAGAAAAAGATAATACGAGTTGTGAGTGTGGATGATGGTGAATTAGCTAAGGCGTAGAAAGAGCATTATATAGAGAAGCTTTGAGTGTTTTCTTCTATAATACTTTAGACGACTATTAGGTATTGTATCAAGGCCATGTGTTTTACTAGCTAGAGTTGTTGAAGGATAAATACCAAAAAAATTAAAGTAAATTAACCGATTCTTTTGACAATGATATCTATTCTTCGCACATAATTATTGTTTTGTTGTATTTGTCGCGCTGTAAGTTTCTTATAACAACTCCATACAATATAATCTTATGGTATGGACTTTTAACTTACTAAAGTATCTGCCTATATTATACAAGAGTCTGCCTATATATATATATATCCTTCTTTCTAGAATTATTTCAAGACATACATGATTCCTTCTAAGACACTGAATTCGCATTATTGGGACTGATAAATAATTCATATATATACGACACAGAATTTAACAGTGGTACGAAAAATGTAACTGTACTATACTAAAATCAAATTTGGATTTCATGTAGGGTCGCTAAAGATATGGTTGTTGATTCATGTTAAACGTAAGTTATGTCTATGTAGAAATCGTATTACCTTCACGTTGTGAGCTAAATATGTTTTTATTAGTGACGTGTTCTTGTTAGTGTTCTTTGAGTGTTTTGAGAGAATATTTGTATCGTTGAAAAATATGGAAAAAGAGTAAACAACATATGAAAAAAAAAAAAACGATTTAATCTGCGGGCGCCAATGTATTCTCAATTTCTCTGTATACAACTTATATATGTTACATCGACGAGTGTCAACATTTACATCCGTAGGATCCATAGAGCCGATCTGACCATATATTTTACTCGTAGACGGTACACAAGTGGATTCAAGATAAATGATCTTTACTCGTAGAACCTTCCTAACAAAGATTGTTTTTCCTAATTGGCAAATATTAATTCCAAGCTTTTTCGTTAAACGAATGTATCTTCATAAGCCACACCATCACAAACTGATAAATAATACAAATCTTGCCCAAGATAATCTAAATCTGAAAGAGCAAAAGTCACCTAATACATACTCCATATACACGAGACGCTATGGTTAACCTAATCTAATACTTTAGCTCCTTGTCTTTTCTTCTCTCATTTATGACTAAGATTTGAAACTTAGGGAAATAAATAAATAAAAACATTCGAATACGTTAGTCATTCCTGAAAACAAGATGAAAAGGGAAGAAGACAAAAGAAAAAGGAAAAAAACGAAAATATTAGTCTAATGGGTTGAGCAAAAAGAGGGATAAAGATGGACTAATATTTATTTGACGACACTCTCTACATAGCTCACTTTGTTATATCACCTTTTAGGTGAGATTGAGAACAATGTTGAAGTTTAAATCTTGTAGACAAAAAAAAACTGTGTGTCGGGCAAACGTTATTATCAAGACTCTTATTTTTTCTCACCTAAACGATGACAAATCTGATATATTCTTACCAAGTTTGTTTTACTCGGAACTCGTCACCGTCTCATCTCATGTGCTATATTGTTAACAAGGACTTGCTTAGCCAATTAATAAATTGATCATTTGTTTTGTTTATAATTTAAATATCCTTTTAAATCAGACACATAAGCTTACAAAAATTGTTGATCATAATCAAAAAGTTAAGATGGTGTTAATTAGCAGTTTAGAGAATAGTGTCATCAGTGACACGCGAATTTTTTGCTAATGTCAAATTTAAAATTTTAAAAAGAAGAAACGGATACGGATTGATGGCTTTACAACACTGTACACGAGGCGAGACGACCATGGCGTGTGTTCCGACACGTCTTTATTGAACTAGTTTCAATTTTTACAAAACACCCCACCAAAGACTTTTTTTGGTTCCATCCTCGTTTCTCTCTCTTCCACTTCACTCTCCTCTTCTGCTTCTCTTTCGTCTTTAGCTTTCTCTATGGCCGAATCCCCAGAACGAGACACTGTGATTGAGCCGGTGAGTTTGAACCCTGACTCTGATCTCTCGGGCACCCACAATGGCCGAGCAGAGATCGACACTTCAGCGCCGTTTGAGTCTGTGAGAGAAGCAGCCTCTCGATTCGGCGGTTTCGGTTTCTGGAGACCTACTAATAAAGTCCCAGAAGCTTCACAGGTTTCTCTCTTTCTCTATCTCCCTCACTTGCACAAGTCTATTCTTTGAATTTTATCTGCAAAATGTGATTTTAAAGGTTTTTACTGTTGTTTGTTGATTAAGCGTGCTTGACATTGCTGGTTATTTGAATCGACAAAATGATATCATCAGATTTAGAAATTGATGTTTAATGATTGGTTCATGTCTTTAAACCGACATTATCATGAAGATAATGATGATACTTGTTTTCCCTTTCATGTTTAGCAATATTGATGAGTACATTATAAGGAATTGTTCATTTCCTAAATTTTTGCAACCTGATTTTAAGGGAAGTAGTTGCTCAAATTCATCACATTGGTGAAGTCTGTGTGTTCTGTATCATAGTTAGAAGTATCAAACTTGTTGCAATTTAGGATTTGTAAGGTAAAGTCTCTGTCTTTCTGATATTGGTGGCAGGAAAATGTGGAAGAAGTTGATATCATTGAACTCATTGCACAAGCTGCTGAGCTACAGAACGATCTGGTTCTGAAAGAAAGCGAAACACTTGAGGTGTTGAAGGAGCTTGAGGCGACTAAAGCCACTGTTGTAAAGCTCAGCTCCAAGCTGGAGCAGAGGAGTGAAGCTTGTGAGGAGGATACATTGAGAGAAGAAGTTCACGGTCATAGCAAGCCAGCAGGTCTAGTACTGAAGGATTTAAATCAGGCAAAAATGAATTTGTGCAAGATTGCTAGTATACGAGAATCTGTGGAGCAGTTGAAGAAGAAACTGAATGAGGAGAGGGCTGCACTTGAGAAGACACGCGAGAGGCTTATGGAGAAATCGTTGAAGGTGATTTCTTTAGAGGAAGAAGAAGTTAGAGTAGGATTTGCAAAGGATGGTGAAACCGGCGAGAAAGATCTTGAGAATAATGCGTTAGTAATGTTGAATGAGGTTCAAAGACTGAGCCGTGAAGCTCAAGAGGTCAAGATAACAGGAGAGAATGCACAGTCTGAAGTTGTGAAAGCAATGGCTGAGATTGAATGCACAAGAGACAAGATTAGAACAGCTAAGATAAGGTTGGTGGCTGCAAGAAAGATGAAGGAAGCGGCCAGAGCTGCTGAGGCGGTGGCAATCGCAGAGATTGAGGCTGTTACTGGAAGTAAAAACACTGATAAAGCCGAAGCTGTGACTATCTCTTCTGAAGAGTATGCTGTGCTTGCTCGTAGTGCTAGAGATGCAGAGGAAGAGGGGAGGAAACGAGTGGAAGATGCAATGTCGAGAGTTGAAGAAGCGAATGTTTCAAAGTCGGATGTTCTGAAGAAAGTAGACGAAGCAGCTCAAGAAATTGAAACCAGCAAGAGGGCATTGGAGGAAGCTGTGGAGAGAGTTGATGCTGCAAATACTTCAAAGATCGAAGCAGAAGAGGCGCTACGAAACTGGCGGTCAGAGAATGGACAGAGGAGAAGATTGTCTTCTTCGGTGAACAACACTTCCAAGTTCAAGAGCAAAAGAGAAGCAACGCGTCTGATGGATGTAAACGGTCTGAATCTGACATATGATGCTTTCGAAGGGTCCTCATCATCTTCAGTTCCTGTCTTGAAGCCAACAATGTCAATCGGGCAAATACTCAGCAAGAAGCTACTTCTTGCAGAGGATTCAGATATGAATGTTGCTAGCGAGAGAAAGAAAATGTCGTTGGGTCAGATGCTGGCAAAGAATAGCAGTAGTGATAAAACTGTAAGCAAGAGGAGTGAAGGGAAAGAGAATGGGAAAAAATCGGCGACTCGAAAGAGAAAGAGTTTCGGATTTGCTAAGATCTCTGTGTTGTTAAACAAAGAGAGCAAGAATAAGAAGAAGAAGAAAAAGATTGCTTTGAACTTGAGGTGATAGAATGATTCAGTGTTTTTTGACTTATCGTTTCTGTCTTGGTAAGTGAACCAATAGTGTAAGGGAAAAAAGTGTATCAAGTGTTTATTTTAATGCTAATCTCAGATATCTAATCCAACTACGACCATATTAGCCTTAACAGAGAAGATGTGTGGAAATTTTCAGCCATTGACCTTCTATTACAAAAGTTTCTTTTGTATCCTGAGAGCTTATATAAGAGACATAGAACAATCAGTTGAGTACTAAACCAAATCTCTCTCTCAAAGGCTCAAAAGGTAGTCTTGACTCTTGATCAGACGAGCTAAAAATCTTTTTCTAACAATATGATTTTTTGGTGCTTTAGTGAATTGTTGGAAATGTGTATAGCTGCAGACTGCAGCAGGAGCCACATGCATATGATAGCATTGACACTTGCAACTCTAAACATATTTTCACATCACATGTGACACGAATTTCACAAATTACCGAGACCATGAAATTGTATTTGCCTTCGGCATATGGAGTCACTACTACTAAAAGGGTAATGAACTGATACTGTCAAATACATCAAAGAACTCTCTGACACCTCCTCAAGGCATAAAACCATTGTTGACATCTCATGATTTTCATGAAATCAAAAAGTGGCCTCATCAAACAGCTAAAGTAAACACTTGAAGAAGTAGTGTAAAGTTCTTCATTTGTGTATCTTAATGTTACCATTTATTAAACACACAATTAATCCACAAAAAGATATACTAGTACTTTTTTTTTCCACCAAGATATACATACTATAGTACTTAAAAAGAGTTAAATATAGCTACATAAACTCTAAAAACTATATTGAATGCTAAAATAAAACAAAATATTTTAGTATTTTAATTACTTTATTTTTTGTTGACAACAAAGTTTTTTTACTTTTGAGAATTTGGAAAAATATTGAACTCTTTAACATTTAAGTATCTTCTAAAACACGAGATTTAACTTAAATATAGATCATAACTAAATCGAATTTTCATAATAATAATAGGAAACCCAAAAGAAAAAAAGGAAAAGACTAAAGAAAAAAAGAGAGTAAAATAGTCACGTTTATTGTCGGTGAGCCGTAGCAACGAAAGAAAGAGGAAGGTCAACAATTTTCTCACCCCATATATAAACAAATCTCTTTAGCTTCCCTCTTTATTTATTAATCTCTTCCCCAAATCTTCAATTCCTTCAACCCTAATTCTTCTCTTTCTCTCACAGATCTACCAAACTTGAATCTCCAATGGCGTCCACAGCACCACCAGTTCTCCCTATCTCAAATCCCCAAACTGTTCCATCCGCCGCTCCTTCCTCCGTCGAATCCCAACCACCGATCGCTACCCCGGCGTTTCGCAACTTCGTCAATCAGATCACCGATACCGTTAAAAACGGACTCTCTAAGCGTCGTCCTTGGGCTGAGCTCGCGGATCGTTCCGCATTATCCAAACCTGAGTCGATCTCCGACGCAGCTGTTCGGATCCGTAAGAATTACTCGTATTTCAAGGTTAATTACCTCACCGTCGCTACCGCGATCGTCGGGTTCTCGCTCGTGACTCATCCTTTCTCCCTCGTCTTCCTCCTCTGTCTCCTCGCTTCCTGGCTGTTCCTCTACCTGTTCCGTCCCACTGATCAGCCGATCGTCGTCTTCGGCCGTACGTTCTCCGATCGTGAGACGTTGGGGTGTTTGATCTTGTTCAGTATCTTTGTGATTTTCCTCACCGATGTTGGATCTGTTCTTGTTTCGGCTATGATGGTTGGTGTTGCTTTGATCTGTGCTCACGGTGCTTTTAGAGCTCCCGAAGATCTTTTCCTCGATGAACAAGAGCCAGCTGCTACCGGATTCCTCTCATTCCTCGGTGGCGCCGCCTCATCCGCCGCGCCTGCTGTCATTGCTGCTCGCGTGTAAAGTGACTCCGATCTATCAGTCCTTGATCTGGATTTTTTTTTTTTTTTTTTTAAATCTTCATATATGATTCGTTTGTTGAGTCCATTCCATACTTAGGATTTTTAATCTGGAAACAATAATTTGTGGATCTGGCCTAATTTTTGGTTCTTGTTCATGGGCAAAATAGCTATAGCTGAAATATATATATATCTTTGAATGATTTTGATTTGAAGAAATTTTACCACATTGTGTTAATCTTTAGCGTTTACAAGTCTTTGTATTTGAAGTAATTGGATATTTGTTTTCATGTTCAAATTCAATGTTCCATCTGCTTATTGGATCTCGTAGCCATATTCTTTTATTTGTTATTATAACTACGTTGCATACTTGCATGTATACAATCGAAAGAATCAAGTTTAAATACATTGTGTGGCAAGATCTGATATGATATTAATGGAAAGGTTTTTCAAAGAAAAGAAATTTCTAGATTCAATGCCAGTAGCAGCAGAGCATTGTCCACAGTGTTGTTGGCTACCAAAGTACCAACGCAACGCATACGCACTTGACTTGAAATCGACTAACAGACAGTTTTCGGGTCGGAGTAGATACGATGAGCCAGCTCTGTTGATGTTGGGTTTCGTTCTTGAGTCCGGCCCAGTAAAAAAGCTCATTTTACTTTTCATAGAGGCCAGTTCGGCAAAGGCACAGTGTCAAAATCTTGATGCCAATGACTGCAAATATCATCGATGGGCAAAGATTATGCGATTCTTAATGTTTGAGTCGAGGAAAAAAAAAGGTCTTTTAGGAAGAAAGAAACAAGTGGAAGATATCAAATTGGTGGCTTCTTACAAGTTACAAAATTAAAGCCAAAACCTTTTAAAGAATCTTTCTGTTTAAAAATGATTTGTTTCATACCTAAAATTTATACTTTTGGGTAACAATCCATCCATCTTCCACGAAATTCTTTCTTTTTTAGGGTTGTGGCTTATTAGAGTATGAAGCCACCAATTTGACATCTTCCAACAATAGAAAAATTAGTGAATCACACAATAGTTGCCAAGAAATGTATTACCAAAAACAAAATAAGATTGAAAGTTGCATTGACCTCGGAAACAAGTATCTCCGTATACTATGATTTTGTCAACAATGCCAGTGCCTTGCAATTTGTTTTTTTTTTTTGAGCTAAACGAGTAAACGAATTCGAAAAATTTCTTCAGTAACCATTGTGCAAGCTCGCTATTCTTGTCTAGCAGAACTTTCTTAACTAGTTTACTAATCGTATAGTTTCAGAACATTGGTGTGAAAAGGAACACGATTGTCAGAAATAAATTAAAGTATGAAGAAGATGTCAAATTGGTAGCTTGCACCGTAAGCCAAAAACCCTGGAAAAAATAATATTTCAATTTGAGGTGGATTGTTACCCAAGATTATTTCAGTATTTCTTCACACTATTAATTACGAATATTAAAAATTCATAGTCTTAGTCGCAAAGAAATCTCTTTAATCCGAAAAATAATCAGAAAAGGATATTTGATGACGTCGCATACCAGAATTACCTAAACTAGGGATCGCCACGTGTCGCTTGGACGTACATTTAATTGTCGTCTGCACCACGCGTGTTCTCAGAGGGGTATCTAGATAAGTGTTCTCACCTTTCCTTAATTTCTGACGTCTCTTATGCTAAATGGTGAATACTAGGCCAATCTATTCAGACCCAACTTTATTCTTTTGTTTTGTCTTTTGCTCGTTTTCCCATATTTTTGTGTGTCTGCGATGGACAAAGAAGATAATGGATCAAAACAGAGCTCCTCTGCTTCTGTAGGATCCTCGAGAAGAAGAAGAAGAGCGGTTGAGCCAGTTGAAGCAACGTTACAGAGATGGGGGAAGGAGGAGGACGGGGAAGGGTTGGAGAGGGTTCGCAGGGTGCAAGCAAAAGGTTCGAAGAAAGGTTGTATGAGAGGTAAAGGCGGACCAGAGAATCCGGTTTGTCGGTTTAGAGGTGTTCGACAAAGGGTTTGGGGGAAATGGGTTGCTGAGATTCGTGAGCCAGTGAGCCACCGTGGTGCAAACTCGACCCGTAGCAAACGGCTTTGGCTTGGAACGTTCGCTACTGCTGCTGAAGCCGCCTTGGCTTACGACAGAGCTGCTAGTGTCATGTATGGACGCTACGCCAGGCTAAATTTCCCGGAGGGTCTTCTAGAAAATGAGCCGGGTGGAGAAATGAAGAAGAAAGATGAGGCGGGAAGTTCTGGAAGCTATTGGTTTGAACCTGACAACGTATCTGAAGCCCGTGATGGCATGATTGAAACGAAAGATGGGAAGGATTATTTACTCTATGACAACCATATAGAGCTTGGCCAAGACAAGATTGAAAACCTTGATCCTACTGATACCAAGATAGTGGAAACAATGGCTTACAATAACCCAGCAGTGAAAGCAGAGGAAGATTACAGCTTCGATCGATTCGAATTGGATAGCGGATTGCTGTACAATGAACCTGAAGGCCCCAGTTATTATCAGGGAGGTGGATCCGATTCGTATCTAGAATTTTTTAGGTTCTAGCTAGGGTTTTTTTTTATGCTGCATTGATATACTGTAAGACTATGTACTATTAGTTCATTCCGTTTTCGTTATCTTAAGAGTCATGCATCATACCACAAAAATGTTGACGCAGAAACAGGATCAGGATCAGGATCAGGATCAGGATCGATCCGTTTCATTCTGGCTTCTCTGGGGTAGACCACAGCATTTTCCATGGACCTGTTCTTGTCCCCAATCTGAAACATGACGTAACATCCTTAGAGGAAAGTAGTTTTGACGTGTTTAAAATTAAAATGGTCTTTTAATAGTTTACCTCCAGGCTCCGGCAACCAGTCGCAACGCCATGAAGAGGAACAAACCTGTCCAGATTCCCGCAAGGCCAAATGTTGGTGCAGCCACAAGCATGAACAAGGAAGATATGAATCCGACAATCACCTGTTTCAAAACGAGAATTTATCAACTGATTCCATGTAAACAAAAGAGGAATTAAACCACCAACTGATGAAAAAAGAAAGAGAGACCATAGAGTAAGCGGCAAATCCAAAGTCAGAGACACCATAATAGAGCCCATCCAAAACAAACGCTAGAGCATTTACTGGTTGAGATCCAGCCACAAACTGCATCATACAACAGTATTTAGATATTGTCTGAGACTACCCTTCCAAGCTCTTCAGGGATTATAAGATAAGATCTTACCAAGGTCCCTGACAAAGCAATCTTTAGAACCTCTGAATCCGTTGTGAATAAACTTGAAAATGGCTCGAATGTGATGAACAATAAAGCAGCCAAACCAGTTCCAGTTGCTAAACCTACCTGTTTAAAAGATTGCAATTGTAAATGTAAAGCGCAATTTATAAAGTAGAATATAAACGAAAGGATGCTACTGAATTGCACCTGAAGGACTCCGAATAGAACTTCCCGGGCTTGTTTGTATTCTCCTTGAGAGAAAGTGGTTGCAAGAAGACTCTGAAAATACAGAACATAACTACAAAAGTGAAAAAAACTGTCCACGAAACTTAATCTTGATCATATTAAGTGGGATCCTTTTTGCAGTAACAATTTGCTCGAAATGATCTATTTTTGAACTTGAGTAGCTAAAAGATAATAGACCTGTGCAGCGATAGCTAAAGCATCGGTGAGTAAAGAGACAGCCAACCAGATTTCCAAAACGATTTGATGGCCAGCCATTTGAGTAGGTCCATTTTGAGCTGCTAAGGAAGTAGCCAATGTAAACGGTACAAGCAGTGCCACAGTTCTACCAATCAGAAGCCCACCTAAGCATGAATTAATACATTTCATATAGTAGCAATTAGCAAATAGCATTTTTGCGTTTCTATGAAAAAAATTTAAAATTCGAAAAGTTTGAAGAGATACCTGATTTGAGGTACTGGTTGGCTCTTCCCACTTTGATTTGAGGAGAAAGCAAAACCACATTCTCATTCAACTTCCACAGAAGAATAAACGCAATCAAGTATCTGAAGAAACAGTAACAAGTGAGAAGAAAATAAGAAGCCACAAGTTAAGATAAATATGCTTATTAGAAAACGAGTCTATTAGTATCAAAAGTTTACCACATTTTTGGACGTACTCAGAAATCACAGTAGCAGCCGCAGCACCAGAGATACCAAAACCAAGGACAAATATCAGTATTGGATCCAATATCGCATTAAGCACATTCCCCGCAACTGTTGATCCAGAGATTTTACCATATCAGAAACATGTATTGCAATTTTTATATATGCTGAACTGCTAATGCGTAACCAGTTCTCTGAGTACATTCAAATAACAAAAAATGGAAGATGAGCTTTTTGACAAAATGTTGGCCATACTCCTATTTCCGCAGATTCATTCGTGCATAAGTACAAGAAGAAAAAGAGGTTATTGTGCAATACTTGCCAACGGCATATAGAGGTGTTGTAGTGTCCTTGAAACCACGAAAAGCTCCTTGCGCAGCCAATGCAACTACAATTGGCGGTGCACCATACGCTCTAAGTCTGAGGAACTGCTCTGCTGGTATCCGCATTGGTGAATCCTGAAAATTTACAAATCGAGAGAGATCAGTTATATGAAACATCAAATATAACAGCTTCTATTAAAATAAGTTCAACACGCGATCCAAGAGAAGCTTAAGACATTACAAAAGGTATAGCCATGACGTCCATCAAGAAATCAGACCCAAGCGAGAGCGCAATCGCCTCTGCAATGCCAACTCCAGCAGCAAGAAGTAAGGATGTTGAAACAGAAGGCAGCACTTTCTTCTTACCTTAACACCAAAATTAAACAACAGATTCAAAGTAAGAAACAATCTCTGAACAAGGCAGTAACACAACTGCCTTGTTCTTACCTTAACACCAAAATTAAACAACAGATTCAAAGTAAGAAACAATCTCTGAACAAGGCAGTAACACAACTGTCATTAAAGCTTCGAAGGAAAGAAAAAATAAACTACCAGTTTCCCTAGAACCATCATCATCTTTATCAGCAATGGCTTGCTCCTCCGCAACAAACGAAGTAGTGACATTTAACAAAGGAACATTGAAGAGCTTCGACACCAAATTGAATACAGAAACTGAAACTCCTACAGCAGCTAGTTCTGCAGAACCTGTAACATTACACATAGATGTAACGGTCAAAAATGTAAATATTTTTGGAAAAATGTGAGAATTGAAACAAAACAAAGAGAAATGTAAAACATTTTACCAATATGGCCAACGAACGCAGTGTCGACAAGAGATGTAATAGGATCAGCAGCTAAAGCTAATGCAGCTGGTAATGCAATTGACATAATCTCCATTCCAATTTTACCAATCCTAAACCCAATAAAGTAAATGATCACTCAGAAAATTTAGGAACCAAAAGAATACAGAAGAAGAGCATTAGGTTGAGGACGAACCCAGGATCCGGTTTATGATCAGGATCCGGTTTAGGAGATTCCACTAGATTCTGCTGGTTCTCCGGTCGGCGAGAAGAAGCGGCGACGGCGGGAGATTCATCGCGAGGCGAAGATTTACAGACGATTGATCGTCGAATCGATGGAGTAGTGATCTTAGATAGATTGTGAAGTTTTGAAACTGAGGGAGATCGGAGAGGAGAGAAACAGAAGGAGGTCGCAACCGCCGCCATTGCGGAGAGAGAGGGACGGAGAAAAAATCTCGGCGGAGGAGGAAGAAGAAAGAGAGCCACATGTTTCACTCTCTTTTTATCTATCTTCTTCTTACTAACTGATTAAACGGTCGGTTGTGTTAACTGAACTATAACCTTGTGGTGCCTGGACCTTTCATGGGCTTTTTAGTGGGCTTTTAACGTATCTCGTTCTTTTCCCCCTAGTTTGAATGTAATGAGGCGTGATTTTGTATTTTACAAAGGTGGTTTGGCTGCAAAATTAATTCAAAGTAACACTTTGTATCATTACAAATCGTTTTTGTTTTGAACCTTGTCGAAGACACAATACTATATATGTCTCAACCTAGGGTTTTCAACTCAAAAGCTACAAATTCCTATTGTGTATAAAAATGGTGGTGAAAACTCAAAATGGCAAAGAAGGAAAAAGATGGAGAAATGGAGAAAGAAGGAGAATTTCAAACACACAATACATATTTCACTAGTATTAAAGAAAAAAAAAAACAGAACCAATGCAATTTGGAGTTTATTATAGTAGTTTCGGTTGGTGTGGGGACAGGGGAGAGTGAAACAGCCATGCATTTTCATAGTTCTCAGGTAGTCTCTTCCCAAATGTGATACACTTGAATATCTCATATAGTATTGAAAGATAAAGAACGTGGTTTACGACTGAGCAGAGTTGGTTGTAGAAGGAGTAGTACTTACACGAGTAGTAAAGAGCATAGTGTAGTAGTATATATTGAAGTCAGGCTTTTATAAAAATAATACACATCGTAACTTGGAGCGTTAAGTAAAAGAAAGTTAATGAATAGAGAAGAGAGTTGCGACGCCGTGCAGCATCAGCTAAGCAAGCAGCCTCACATGACTTACGGTCCCAGCAAAATATACTGAACAATACTTATATAATGGCCTCTCTCATCTTCTTCTTAAATTGTAGAGGACCTATATGTATATCTCTCTATCTTTTGACTTCTTCGTTTGTTTTTCTAATACCTGATTATGCACGTTATTATACAGTAACAGCATCGGCACATTAACATAAAAATCGTAATGACGAATGATTGGATCGGAGACAACAAATCAAGTGAAATTCAATTAAAACATATTTGTTTTTGGTCAACAATGTATAATATCCAAAATAACCACACATTTCTGACCCTCGATATTGATATATATAACAGCAATAGCGTAAACACCAAACTATAAAATAGTAAAGTTTATGTTTATATTATTTTCTGTTAAATTGAAATATATTTACTTAAGTGTCTTACGTAACCATTATATTACAGTATAGAAATTTCATTAAAAAAATAAAAATTCCATTCCTACTATAGTGCCAAATTAATAGTGATTGATTATAGTGTTGACAACCAACTCCTTAATAAAAAGTGTATTTCTCTCATAAACGTTGTTATATAGCTCCTTTTTTTGTTGTTGTTGTTTATCATATCAATAATGCACTTTGTGAGATTTTCGTAAATTCGGTAATCTAGATTCATTGGTTGGTGCATCAGTCCCAATTCTTCAAATAGACGACATGTCTAGTCTAGTAGTGGCATGGGCAGAAAAAAAAAACAGTATGCCACTAAAATCCATTGTAAATGGCTGTATTCTCCATAATTCAATACAACGTTATACCTAGGCACTTGGCAGCATAATGATTGTCACAACGAAAATTCATTGCAACCCACACATCATTATTTTGTGATTCGTCGCCCTTTAGTATAAGAGTAACTAAGCAATTGAACAGTGTTTTTTTTTTCTCCTTTTCTAAAATCAAATAACTCGTCTCTTTCAGCGCAATAATAATTACAGTTTCATAGATTCGTTTGTTTTCCTCTTATTCTTTTGTGAAGTGGAAAAAATACAAACCAATTAGTCATTATATAGATTCAAACAAACAAGCTAAGTTTATACATATATATATATAGAGCTCTAAATTAGTAGAGAAACAAACATACATTTTATGTAAAAAACTGAAAAGTGTTTCTACTTACCTGTGAATAATTCGATCTGTATTTTGAATATATTATCCACTCTATTCGTGCAATAGCAGTTTATTACGGTAACGGTATGCACGTTTTCTTTTTTTCTTTTTTTACGGTATGCACGTATATGTGAAGAAGGGAGTGAAAACGTGGAAGAAGATTCACCAATTAGAAAGATTGTATGCGAAGAAAAAAAAAGAAAAAAAAAAGGATTGTATGCGGCCAAAACAAAATTACCAAGAAGAAGATATAAACTCTAAAAGATACTGAAAAGAAATGAAAAATGAACCTATAAAGAAAAATAAATGGTAACTGTGTATGTGCATGTTGGTCCACGTGCTTCATGCAGAGCATATCTGTTCCCCACTTACCCTGACCCCAACCACAGGCATATACAAGTAAAAATCCTAAAACAAATCTCGAAGAAAATGAAATTATATGATATTGCAACTTTGGTCATTATATATAGTAGCATCTCTGATGGATGTGACTGCTTTAATGTTAAAAATAGTGGCGTTTTCACCTTTTTCCAAAATAATTGGTTTATAAAGTTTGGACCGACATTGATTAACTACTTTGTTTACCAAAACGGTATAATTATAACAACACTAATAAGTCTGATCACTAGCTAAATAGGATACAGATGAAAGTACCTACCCGGCGGTGGCTGCCTTCACCGGAGAGAAAGACAAAGGATGAGACTATTTTCTAAGTTCAAACAAAATTTTGATGCCTATATATATGGAAAGAACTAAAAATGAATTGGTTACAAAGTGGTTTTTAGGCGTTTTCGGCTTTGGCTTATGCATTTGTAGTAAGAAGAGCCAATGAAACTCAGGATGGATAGCGCCAAATATAATCATCATATTGATTATGTGAATAGTGATCATCATGGCGCTATCCCTCCTGAGCTTTACAGATTCTTCTCTACTTCCTTTTTTTTTTTTTTGGGGTTTGTGTGACTTTAGAAAAAGAAAAAAAAACGATTAGAGAGCATAGAGAGTACTGATGAAGCTAAGTGGTGATGGAAGTGAGGAAGAAGGAGGAGAAGAGAGGTCTTATTTATAGACAAACGACGAAACTCAGGTTCGAAGGATCACACGTCATCTCCTCTTTGATATACGTGAAATTATTACTTTGTAGTATATTCTATAAACTAAATACATTTTTCCTGTGAATAATTTTTAGTAGTTAGTTGAATCTTTTTGTTATGTTAAGTTTAGCTTTTATTAGTGTGTAAAGTATTGATACTATATAGTCCATATGTGATTTATTGGATCCTGTAAAAGATCGTTAGACTTTATTTTCTTCTTCTCAGGTCTTTTGGCTCACAGAAATTAAGGAGACTTGCTTAATTCAAATACATTATACCTATGTTAATAAAAACTATAGATGCATCATGCATCTATTATTATATGCTATTATTTTATTCCAAACTTTTAAGTATAAAATAGTTATACTTATTAAATCTTATATTGTATTACTGTGTGATTAGATTATAAATATTATATTTGGATACCGCAGAATATTAAATCCATTGGTTCAACATTCAAAATATTCGAAGGCCTTCGCATTATTTGACGAGATCCTTTGTATATTATATACTTTCCTTTCTTTTATCGTGGATTAGAAAAAGTATAGAATATTAGTATTTTTGATACGCATTCTTTGGTTTTAGACACACTATTAAAAAAAAAGGAAATTGCGAAAAGATCTTAGATTATTATTTTATAAGAGTGATTAATTAATTTTTAAGTGGAATATAAAAGATCAGAGAGGTACAATTTGTTGCCAAAATAGGTAAATTCTGGTAAGCGGTGAATTGTGTTTTCCATATGTGTTTACAAATAAAAAAATGATTAAGTTAATGAGAATGTCAAGACTTATGTGACTTTACCTTTTCTAGATTTGTCGTTTGTTATCTTTTTTCATGCATTCCTCTTCCTGCCGACTACGGTCGTTACTCGTTAAGTAAAATTATGTATTCACTTGGTTTCAAAAAATATATAATAATTGATAAGAAGACTGTAAAAAAACATTTTAAAGTCTTGTTTATCTCTAATGGTCCTTGTTAAACATTTACTTTTTCATTCTTCTTGTGTGTTGTGGTTAATATAATTAAGTAAACTATATATACTGAGAAATTATAATTTAACAAAATTTGTAGGGTGCGTATATATGTGTTTTCTACTGTAGGATTTAAGCAAAGAGAAAGAAAAAATGTTTATTCTCCAGCTAAAATACAAAATTACCTAAGTTATAATGGCTCTTGTCGAGAAAAGAACTAACTTACAAAATGGCCTAATTTATAATGATTTTGTCGAAAGAGCTAACTTTCGAAATGACTATACTGAACATTGTTTTCATTTTAAATTTCTTTTAATTAATATTTTCTAGTATAATATTCTGAACTTGTAAATATATTTATAACTGTAATAGACCTTTAGCAAAAGAAGAGAAAGAAACTGTAAATAGATAACTTTGTTTTTCCACTACAATTTTCTGTAAAAATGTATAATGAAACAAGTCAGATTGGAAAAGATGATCAGATTCGATTTATAAGAAGTATTATTAGTAGCACTGTGTTAGATGTAAGTAAATATTTTTATATAGTTGGGTAAGTCTTGATTGTATTTACAAAGAAATTATCCAAAATTGAAATGTTTTTGTATTGCATGCCAAAAGTTTGAATGGTTTATGGTTATTACAGAATTTTAACTCTAAAAAAGGAAAAAAAAAAAACAAGAAAAGGAGAGGTTGTATTGATTCTTTTCAAATAATGATGATGTTCCCCCTATAGCGAATCTGAGCACTTGATGAACAGCAAATTTTTAAGAAACAATTTTTTCTCATATGAAAAAGTGAGTCTGGGTGTTATTAGTTACCATATTCACATCAATCTCTCACATCATGCGGTGTGGTCAATGCTTTCAATAGTCCATCCCATATACTTCACTTTCATCTCAATTTGAAATTGTTTTATGATTTCTTCCTAAAAGAAGGGTTTGGCCACCTAAACCATTGAGAAATGAATTCATAGGTTCCATATATATAACCAAATAGTTTCACATTTAGTAAAGTGTTAAAATCAGTTCATTAACTTATCAAACTTATTTTAGAGAAAAAGAAAGGGATCAGAGATGAATGATCCATGTATCTATAGCTTCCAAGTGTGCCAGAGAGAACTTCCAAAGAAAAGAAAACAAAAACACACACATGAATAATCAATTTAGATATCTACATATCTTTTACTGGCTGAGAATTTTACAAAACATTCAACCTGACATTATTCAATTCAATTTTGGGTCAGCTTTTCGTTAGGTCATTATCATAGGCAACAGCTCTCAATCAGTAGCCTGTTAAATAAATGTTATATATATAATTACAAAAGACTTTAAAATCTAGATAAATTCATGAATGAAGAAGAAGATGAACGAATCTAAGTTGGAGTGGTTATTTTTGCTATTAATACACATGGAATTCTTTAGTCTCTATCTTCTGCCATCTCTACACAGTTGTGCTCTCTTAAGGTGTGACATAGAATTTATGAACACGGCTTTCTAAATATTTGGCTTTGGGACATACTATATAAAACTTGATGGTACACTAGGCTCTTCTTTACTAGGGACTTGAAGCATACAGTTACTCTAAATAAAACCGTAAAAAACATTCTTCTTCTCTTTTTTTTTTTTTTTTTACCGAATAGTCTTTGCAAACAAGGTATCGGAAATGTTGTTAACTTGTAATCAGGTTGTATTCGAAACACACTCACACACACATGATAATCTTATACTAGCCAAGATTCACAAGAATCAGAGTAGTAGGAAGACTCCATATAAAAAGAACCAATTATACACATTCAAAAGTATTAAAATTGGGTTGAAAACTTTTATGCAAAGACATTCATTCTGACAAAACTCAACCTCATTCGATCAGCTTTTCGTTAAAATGGTCATCACCCACACAGTCCTCAATCAATGGGGGGTCTATTGCCAATTTATATCAGTAAAAAAAAATATAAAATAAATGTAATATGAAGCAAGAACGAGATTCTTCGAAAAATCCAAAACAGAGTATGATTTATTTATTTTTAAGTAATTCGAAAAATGAGAGTTGAGAAAAATAATAATAATGGAGAAAAATTCTGAGGAAAAAATCAAAACAATAATTGGAGCGTCACTTCAGGGCGGCTTTATGATTTCTGTATCAGACGGACCTGCCAACTTCACCAGTTTCTCCGCCTTCTACTTCGTGACACAGAATTTAATACACACAGCTTTTCATGCATATGTTTCTTTACTCTACGGTATGATTTGTTACACCATTATTTTACTACATATATATAAGATAGAGTACTGGTAGAGTTTGGTTTAATGTTAACAACATCTTTACGCAAGTGTTAGTGCTTGAAGCCCAGTATACTTGTGATTAACAATCCAATAGCAGTGAAGCTGGATATATATATCCTAGTCCCAATTACAACTCACAAGCATGATTCTTAACATGCAATGATAAACTCAGTGATATTATATAAAAACACATTTGAGGCTATGTAATATATGTGTAGATTTATATAAAAACACATTTGAGGATATTATATAAAAACTCAGTGATGTTATGTAATCTATGTGTAGATTATAGAATATTACAAATTTTGCAAGTATTAGAGATAAAATGTTTTAAAACTACATCGAGTAAAACAAAAAATGCATACTAACTAGCATATCTATGATTGATGGATTTTTTCTTGAAATTTCAAAGCCTAATTAACATTTACACCAAAGAATACTTTCAAAGCCTAATTAATTATGGCCCAATTGACCCAAAAATGGATTCCAATTATACTATACTTGACAATCCTAAGTTCTTAACAAAAGGCGGGAAAAGGTTATGATTATGGTTAATTTAATACACATCTTTGGGTAATCTTCCAAGATTAAGTTTATTTGATCAGAGAAGAATACAATATTTCATAGCAAACATTTGATCAAATGATGGTAGCAAATCAACTGTACAATTGAAGTGGAATACGTAGGAAAAGAAAAGAAGTAAGTGTAGCTGTTAACTAGAAGGATGATCAACAATATAAGCATAAAGGAGTTCATTCCAAACATCAGGAACTCCAGGCAAACACCAATGTATACAGTCTGAGTTACTATTTGGATTCACGTTTTCATTATCCTTCGATGGTACGTCCCATTGCTTTCTGTAGATCGAAGGATGACCTTCTTTTCGATACTCTGATAATTGCGTAATGTTTATCATCTGCATGTTCAATCCTCGACTTTTTAGCCCCTCAAGCACATTTTCTAAGACTCTCATCATCTTTGGATCCGACCCTTTTCCACTATATCCTTCTTTATCTATTTGCCTAGTTTCTCCATAACAGTTCTCGTTAAGCTTTCCTCCCCATTCTTCAGCCCTACATATTGTAATGTAGTTATTTTACTTGTTATCTTTCATAAGAAACCAAATAACACCCTCATTATATAACAATAGTGTAATTTAAAAAAAAACGTGGAAAACACAAAAGGGCCTTTTAATTATATTCGTATCGAACATGAAACAAAGATCAACTAGAGAAAATTCCACTCCCACTCTAAAAACCAACTGATACATTAAGAGAAATAACTTAATTACCAAAAAAAGTTAAAGAATATTGATGGAGATACGCATCTATATAAGTATATATACGAGGGGGGGAAAGAAAATGGAAAAGCAATATCATGGATATCGAAAAAAGAGTTAGAGAAAGGTACCTTTCATGGGTGGGAGACATGGACATGAAGAAAAGTTTGGTACGATTGGGGTTAACGTGAACCTCCAACCACTGAGAAAGAGTTTGCAAAGCCATCTCATAAACCCTCACCATCCCCACTTCCTTGTATATTCCATCTAACTTCTCAAACGACCCCCACCTTATTTATACATTTACATAATATATTTACCCATTAATTTCATATTGAGAATATATAATTGAGTTTAACTATATATAAGTAAAAAGAAACTTACAATGACTTGATATGAGGTCGTCTCCACCATAAATAAGAGTTGAAGACGATAATATCAGATTCGGTCCAATGCCTTGCATGTCTCTCTATTGATTGGATCCGAACTATCCGCTCCGGTAATCTATGGTTAGTCGGGTCATCCGAGTTGGATTCCACTAGTAAAGGAGCCCAATAGAAGTCTATTGTCGCATTGTATTCCTGAGTATTTTTATCCACAAAGATCGAGCTCATGTTATTTGGAGGTCACGTTTAGACATTATACTAGAGAATGAATATTGATCTAATGAAAAGAATATAGAAACTAAAGCATTTTTAGAGATATTCAAAATTTTCTTCAAAATAGAATTTAAAAGTGTGGATTTGAACGAATTCACTAAACGCGTGCAGCTTGCTTGCATGTATCCTCAGTTCCTCACCAGTCACCATTAGTCATGTAGCCAATTTTACAAACCAATAATTAATTGTGAGTGGATTTTTCGGAGGACTTACGAGAGATTTGAAGGTGATGAGGTTAGAGCCATTGTTGTGCATATACATGGCCTTTGGGTTTGTAATGACCGAACTAACCATACACACCATTGATACCCATTGGCCTCTGTTTAAAGAGTCTCCTACGTACACCATCCTCTTATTTCTTAGCCCCTCCAGCAACTTCGTCCCATTGAACCTTTTTACATTTAAGGATTTCAAGAATAACAATATATTGGTTACCCTAATATATTGTCTTAGAAAAATTAATTCTTTTAAAGTATAAACAATAAGGCCCCAACTTAGTCCCAACCAGATGTAAATTAACTTTTGTTTTTCTGAATAATACAAATGACATTACAAAAAAAGGAGAAATTATTCTACCAAAAAAAAGAAGAGAAGAAATCATCTTCATATATATGGTCTATTAGTCTATATATAGCTAATTCTCATTAATTTGACTAATATAGAACTATGGCAAAAAGACTTGTTGCTACAACCAAATGTCTCAATTAGTTAATTATGAAACTATTCCAACATTTATGTACAGAATAATTACAACCCTTAGCCAAAAAAAAACACAAAAAAAAAATACAACCGTTAATTATGTACAAATCATACATCCTGACCCAAAAAAAAAGTAAAAATGCGATACACATACACATTTAGAGAAAGTTAAGAATGCTAGGAGAAGTTAATTAGTGACTTATGTCAGATTCTTTTTGCTAAATTAATAAACAACAATTCTTCTTGGAAAATTAACTGAAAAGTGTATAATTAGTGGAGACATATAATGCAATATGTTTAATACTACTTGTCATAAATGAAGAAAAAATTAGAAGATGTAAAATGGGAAGTGAAAACAACAAAGAAGGAAATAAAAACCTGGGGAGATTGCATGTGTGAGGTTGCCACCTCCAGAATTTGTAACTCAAATCTTTTCTCCCAAACTTCTCACAAGCCAACTGGTCAGACATGAACTTGCAATCTTCTTCTTTGTAAAGAGGGTATGACTCATTATCAAATACCCATTTCCCTTCAAACAAATTACACTCCCTCCCACTATCTCCCCCACGGTCCGAAACACCGTGGCTTTGAGTGTACTCCGTTGGCACACGGCCGTGTCGGGACAAAAACATGGCGGTGAATATTACTCCGGCCACAAGTACGGCGGCGATAGTGTGAAAGCTAGCCCTAATTCCCAGCATCAACAGTTGTCGCTTTGCCATTAGTTATGTGTTTGTTATTGTTGTTGTTGTTGTTGTGATGTTTTGTTTTGAGTTATATTGATGTGTCTTTCTCTGACTTGCCTTTTAACTCCAGCCTTCTTGAAGTTTATTTTCGTCTAGTTTGGTGGCCAATCAAATTTCAGTAGCTGTCTATGAATAATGTATGCCTTTATATACATCTGAACCATTTTCTTGATATAATACTTAATTTTCTGTTGATAGTTTGCCAAGCAATGCCCACTTGCAGAAAATAATAATAATCTTTTCAATTTGATTAGAGAGGAAAGCAAACTTTTTCAAGACAAAAATATTGAAGGCTTGATTTGGAGAGGTGGAAATGAGCTCATGACTTGAAGTTAGAGTCGGGAAAGGACTCTAAGAAATAGAGTTAAGCAAGTCTCTATGAGATAAAATTGGAAGCTGACTTTCGAAGAAGGAAGCCATGACCGTAATCTCCCCTGTTACATTATAGGGTATATGTATATCCTAAGTCTTAACATATATTGGAATTTTAGATTGTGTGTTTATATGTTTCTAGATAGGACCTAGCTCCAAAGAGAACTCTTGTATTGTAGCCGTGTGTAATGCATGTCTCGACTCAAGTGCTCTGTTGGCTCCTAAGTTCGACCAGCGTTGTGTGACTTGTGCACCCTAATGCCATATATCATATATGTATGATGTATCGTCAACGAACTTCATAGATAGTTTTGGATAAAACTTTTGATCGAACAGAAGTAGTGGCCTACTAGTGGGTAAGACAAAACTACTAAGACTGTACTTTCTTTGGTGTGGTGGTTTCGCATCTCCCTTGGTTTGCAAGCGAAGGCGACTATCAAATTAAATTGGGTTTTACCGAAAATACCCCCTGGCGTTCTTCATAAATCATCTGAGAAGTGAGAAAGGGTGTGGCCAAAGGGGTGTTTTCGTACAACAGTTTTAGAGTGCTTGCTAGCTTTTGTTCTCATAATACAAACAATACGGTTAGAGAGATGGTCAAATAATATAATATGTAAAACGTAAGGTTAAGTTGTTGACGTTTCCACATTTATACTATTCGTTGTCTTCAAGTTACCTCATAATTTCATTTGCGTTGCTTCCTTCCCCCCAAATAAATTAAAATTAAATATTATATAACTGACCATTACTTTAGACTCTTTAGTACCTTGCCAAAAAAGATTAAAGGTATTTACGAATCAAAAAAATCGTCCGAACGTTATATTAGTGTGTGGCGTAAAAGAAAAAAGGAGAAACGCGTCGTGCGTGTAATAGCGATCATATTAAACGACCGGATCCAATTGGGCATAGAGACGAATGCTATAAGCCCATTATCGATGGTTCGATTATTCTAAACGTAAATTTACAATGTATTGACTCAAAACATTACAAAAAGGACTTACAGTATTATCTTTTACGTATATATACTGTATATATAAAACATATTATTGCATGCTTTCGAATATATTGAAAGAAAAAAATTCTCAGAAATTACTACTTGGAAAGATGCTAAAACAATTCTTCAATACTTGTGTTGGTCTTGAACCTTCTAGATGATGTATATACAACGGAAAAGAAAAAGATTGATCAATTCTTTTTTTTTTGATCAAAACGGCACTTCGTTACTTTCATTAAACAAAGGGAAGTACAGAGTTCTTTAATACAAGGTTTGCTAAAGCATCGGCTTCAACATTTTGTTTTCGAGAGATAAACGTAAAACAGATTTCTTGAAAATTAGAGGATAAAACCAGGATTCTTCAATACTTGTGTTGATCAATTAAGTACCAATGATAAGTTACCTTAACCCGACCCAAAATAGAAGTTAAGGCCGTACGCTGGCTATTATATAGGTGGGTTCGGTCATAAACATTACATGATGAACCCTTTCTTCATATAATAAAGTACTAATTACTACTAATCTGTTGCAACTTAATTGTGCTTTATTTATATGCGAAATTTTTTTTGTTTGTTTATTTCTTAGTATTTGCCTTCTCGCTAACGAGCGGGGAACTTGGGCAGAGGTCCAATCAAATTAGAATGAAAGAGTAGCGTGATGGATCTCAAAAGCACATATAACACATTATTTTTAGGAAGAAAATAAAAAAGAAAACTCAATTTGCAAATCACACAAATTAATAAGTTGATGCCCAACTTGCAAAAACATTGCAGCTAACCCCACTCCCCCCACTTGCACCGCCAACTTCTTTCCCATTCCTCTTTTTTATTTTTATTTTTACACCTTTCGTGGCCACATTTAAGTATATATATCTTATGATTTGTAACCTTTGCTATATTTGTCAATATTTTACGTCCACACAAATAAAAAAAATATTTTTAGTAGATGAAAGTATGAAACCATATTCATATAACTATGGTGGAAACTTCGATTATGGTATTGCAAACGTAAAAGTTGAACACATCATAAGTTTTTAAATCAAAGAACAAAAAAATCTTTCATTTCTTACGATTCTTGTTTTGTCGATTAATCTTTTTTTTTTCTTTTTTTTTTGTGGATAGAAATATAGAAACCTCTCGAATATAGAGAATTTTTTTCTTCTCACAATTACAAACAAATGTGTATTATTTCTAAGAAATCACTTGGAAACGAAAACGTATCGTGACTCTCGTGATGTAAAAAGGACATGCAACTTGCTCTTCTCTCTATTCTATATATTTGTTTTTATTATTATATAAGAATTTTTAAATATTATTATCTTTTCTTTGTTTTGTTTTTGGATTGAGGAAGAAAGAAGCATATAAATAAAGAAAAAGAAGAAGAGGTAAAGAGGATATAAACAATTTGCAAGTTGCAACTTCTTTAAAAGAAGAACAGCTTGGCTTTGTTGTGTTATCATTCAAAGCATCGTCCACTTGCTATTTCTTTATTTTCCATCAACATGTTCGTTTTTTTATTTATTTTTTGACGGCCATGTTCATATTTTTTTTGTATTCATCTATGTTTTGTCCATTTTACGCATGACCTTTTCTTATAAGCCTAAAATATTTCCAACTACTCTTTGAATTTATTTTTCTACCAAATATTTTGACAAATAAAAAAACTCCCTAATCTTGATTTCTCTATCAGTTGTTTCACTTAAATAAATAAATCTTAAATCTGTTTTTCTTTCATAGAAGTTGGTTATTTTGAATCATTATGAAACAATAAGAAAGTAAATAATTTAGAGGAAACTATTTAAATCTTAGAAGAAAGGAGGACATTATATTATGCCAAATCCAATTAAAGCTGCTTTTAAGAAAATTCATCGAATTTACTCAAAAGCTGTTTATATGTGTAATTCATTTACGCACGTAAGATTTTGCTAGTGTCGAAATGAAAGATGGCCAACAACTCAATACTACGAAGTTATGCACCTCTGAGTCGAGCATTACGCATTGTTGTAATCTTTATAAGACCGATAACTTCATTTACGCATTTTATGATGATAACTATATACTCATGGAAACAAGATTTCAATCAATATCTCCTAATTGAATATTATTATGTTTTAAGTGGTGAAAGCCAGAATAGGGCTATCCGAATCAGTTCTTTACGGAAATATAGAAATACAAAAATGAAAAGAAGTAAATAATAATGATAGAAGATAATCATATGCATGAGAGATTTAATTCACTAATTTAACCTTTTTTTCTTTTTCTTTGCACACACAAGCCGGAAAAACATAGATCACACGACGGCTTTTAAAATCTAGAAAAACGACGTCGGATCTAACGAAACTACTTGACGACGACGACGACAAAGACTCATCACAGAGACATCTTCTTCTTGCTCTCCGCCGCTGAACTCTCAGCTATTTTCGCAAGAGATTGGAGATTGCATCGTACGATAACGTCGACGAAGTCACAAGTCTCTTCCTTTGTGTTCCCTGGAGGAACATCAACCACGTAAGACTCCACAACGACGGTCCCGGAGATCGGAGAAGGGTGAAGGGTCGTGACGGATCGGTAGTTAGATAGCCGGTGGTCACCACCAACAACGCTGAAGCTGATGACGTGGCGTTCGTCGTCGAGGATATCGAGTCTCTCGGTGGAGCTCGCGGCGGGGAGGCCAGAGACTACGTGGACTTGACGGAGGCTACCAACGTTTCCGCCGTCTCCGCCTATGACGCTACAGCTTTTGAGAAAGTGTTTGTAAGCTTGTGGGTTATCGAAGCGGCGTACGACGGACCATACGGTGGATATTGGAGCGGAGATCTCTTGTACCACGGCGGAGCAACACTGGTTTGGACCAACCTCGTGCGTGTGAAAACGAGCGGCCGTGGAGTCACGTGAGAGAGAAGGAAAACGTTTTTGAAACGACGCGATCATCATCGGAATCTGAACGGAGTCTCCGTCGGGTACGGCGGAGGAAGGACGGTGAACGGCTAGCATGTTGATCTGAGTAATGGTGTCTTCTTGATCACAAATCTTGATTCTTGATTTCTTGATCGCTCTTCTTTGAGAAAGTTTTAGGGTTTAGAATAAAGAGCTGAGGGATTGGTGTATGGAGGAGAAGTATGCGTATATAAAAAGAAGCAAATCAAACTTTACAGCGACTTGCGAAAAGTTGGGCTGTGCCTTTCGATTTGAGAGAGATGGAGAGAGGAGAGATAGAGTTTTTAATGCAGAGTTCATGTGAGTGGTGATAACGAAAAAACCGAGCAACTTGCTTCTCCTTAAATTACGTTTTTGGCCCCTAGCTCTATAGTTGTTTGACTTGACTGTTCTATACGATATTTTAATCTGGCAAGTGACCAATATATAATTCTCGTATATCAAACACTAGTTCTTTTTTATAAAGAATGAACTATGATTAGTTTATTCTCATACATACAAATACAATGGTTTAGACTTTTAGTTGCTTGACTATAAATATTTCTCTTCTTCTTGGGATGACCAAGATAATCTAGGACGATATTTGATTTATTAGGCTTTGAACGTTTGAACATTTCGAATGGTTGGATTCTAGATTATCAAATTCGTCGATAAAAGCAATACAACAATGTTAATTCTTTTAACTTCGAAGTTCTTCTATTGTTGTTTGTTTCAATATACAAGGTTTTAGGAGTTCATGAAATAAGATAATTGCATCCGATGCAAGTCTAGATATTTGAAGTATTCAAGTACAATCAGAGCTAAATACCTCAAAACTCAAAGTAACACGACCTTCCTACATTTAATGATCACTTGAAAGATCTGATTGAAACGTATCGTGTTGCTTTTTTGCTTTGATATGATAAGATCTTCATATATAAAAGCCAAAGATGGATCCAATTTAGTATTTTCATCACGAGTATGATATGCATTTTTACATGATCATGTGGTACACAAAAACATGGAGAAGAGTTTAAATTTGCTAATTGAGGATGATTGAGATGTGCCTAGAGCAACTTTTTTCTTAAGTAATCCTCATGTTTCATGTGGTCTATATACAATACAAGTATACAACCACCACGTATGAGACTTGCATAGCCTAATCAAAAATTTGCTGTAAGGTTCTAAATTCAGAGAAACAATTTAAATCATTTCGGTATACATGACGAATTAAAAAGTTAACATTTATTATCCGTTTTGTAATTTTTCGGATATTAAATTTTGTGAATTATTTTGTTCCGGATAAACGTAAGATGTAATTTTACTTTTACATCGATAATATGTAATTTTTAAAAGGTTAAAAAGTTGATATTAATTATTAAGGATGGCAATCAACAAATCCATAGCATGATGAAGGTGTTTCTTAACTTTGTACGTGAGGGTTGTGTCCAGTTGACCAAAGCGTTTTGACTATTCCTTAGTGTCAAACATTTCAAGAGAACACGGCAAGGTCAGAGTAAAAGTCGTGTCGTTTTGATTACTCAACGACAAACGTCGTGCTGTCTTTGATATTTTTTTCAGTGGTAAACAACACGGTGAGAAATAGAGAAACACAAAAACCATAGACGACGAACGAGTCCTCAGACGCAGAAGTCTTCTCTCTCTATTTCGACGAATTAAGCTTTTACGCACAAGAGGAGAGATATGGATCAGATACTGAACAAAGTTGGCTCTTACTGGTTAGGGCAAAAGGCTAACAAAGAGTTCAATTCCGTCGGTGACGATTTCAATGTATTATTACCACTTTCCTTTCTTTATTTATCTTCAGGGCTTCTCTTTCAGGGTTTTAGTTTCCAGTTTCAGAAGAAAAGCATCAGTCTTTGATTTAGGGTGTTTGATTTTGAAGCTTCTTAATCCTCTTATGCTTGGTTTTGTGAAAAAAACTATGCTTAGGACATGTTCTTTTTTGTTTTTGTTTGGTCCTTGATTTGCATTTAGTTTGATAAGCCTTGTCGTGTTTTACTAGAAATTTCAGAACTTTGTAGCTTAATTGAATTCAGGGACATGTGGTCTTTAATAGATGATTCTTTGAGTTGCTATAGAAAGAAAGATTGGATTCGTATTTGCTATTGGTCTTGTATTCCATTTTTTACTGTTACTACTGCAATTTGTACTTTATAGTTACATATCATGAAAAAGTTTATTGCTTTTGATCTCTTGAGACACAAATTTTTCTGAGTTTCATGATATGATATTTGGGTTCATTCTTGCAGTCATTGTCGACCAGTATTGAAGGAGGTACCAAGTGGTTGGTCAACAAACTCAAAGGTTTTTTTTCTTTTTCACTTTTTCCAGCTCTGGTTTCATTAGATTCTTTATATTTTTGTGGCTTCACATGCCTGAAGATTGCTCTTTATCTTGAGAGACATGGGCAACAACACAATATTCCAGTTCAAAATTGTGTTTAGTCTGATAGTCCTGTTTTGTCTATGTTTATAGTTTATAAATGCGTCATTGAAAATTGTACGCTGCATCATTCTTGTTCTGAATAGGAAAAATGCAGAAGCCATTGCCTGAGTTGCTGAAGGAGTTTGGTCTACCGGTTGGGATCTTTCCACAGGATGCCACAAACTATGAGTTCAATGAAGATACGGGTAAATTGACTGTATTCATCCCTGAGACCTGCGAGGTTGGGTACAGGGATTCATCAGTCCTGCGGTTTTCAACTACGGTAACCGGTTACCTTGAGAAAGGGAAACTAGTTGAAGTGGAAGGTTTGAAAACAAAGGTGATGATCTGGGTGAAAGTGTCTTGTATCTCAGCAGATACATCAAAGGTATATTTCACGGCCGGGATGAAGAAAAGCAGGAGCAGAGATGCTTATGAGGTGATACGGCCTGGTGTTGGTGTTGATAAATTCTAACTTATGGATCAATTTATGCTACAATAAATAAACAACTGCCTACGTAATATTTATGTGTTGAAGAATTTCAAATTCGAAACGCAAGGCCTTTGTTTTGTATCCTAGAAAAACAGGGCTCACAATAATCTGATAGGATCTTTTCTTGTGGTGTAATATCAAAAGATTACTAGTCTGTAAACAAAAGGAACTCTATAAAGACATAAAAGTCTGAAAACGAAGTATAACTCATAAACAAAAAAAAAATGCCAAAAAAACAAAATAGTTTTCTGAAACAGAAGGAGAAAAATACAGTTTAAGCGGCTTGTTGAGCAGAAAGCCTCTTCCTAGCTTCCTCAATGATGGTAAGCTGAATACCTTTTCCCTTTGGAAGTGAAACCCATGGCTTTGTTCCTTTCCCAAGGGTGAACACATTCCCTAACCTCGTAGCAAATTCCATGTCCTATTGAGTCTTGAATGTGGATGGTCTCAAAGCTTCCCTTGTGCTTTTCACGGTTCTTGATCACACCAACACGCCCTCTGTTCCTTCCTCCAGTAACCATCACAACGTTGCCCACATCAAACTTAATGAACTCCACAATCTTGTTCGCCTCAAGGTCGAGCTTGATAGTGTCATTAGGCTTGATAAGCGGGTCATGGTAGCGGATGGTGCGACCATCGTAGGTGTTCAGGTAGTGAATGCTTTTTGATATCTACTGTTTTTATTGGTTTTTAAGCATTGTTTATAAGTTAGTTTCGTGCATTTTTCCATCATTTTAGTGTGTTTAGGATTGCATTTTGCATTAGTTGAGTTTTTGTAGGTACTTGGAAGTTCATTAAGGAGTTTGGAGCTTTTAAGGTAAAAAAGAAGCTTAATTAAAGCATTTATACCAATGATGATGATGTAGGAACCATGGAATGAAGCAAGTGAATCAAAGAAGCAAGAATGGACCAAAGAAAAGGAGAAACAAGGAGGTGAAGTGTCTTCCCCGATCCGGTTGGTGGATCACTTGGTCGTGTCCTTCAAAGATCTACCCGAATGAAGGTCTTCTCTTGGGATTTAGCTTCAGAGAACTTCATCAAAGTTGTAGTAAATTGAATTAGCTTTCGAATGGTGGGGGTTTCAAGTCAATTCAAGCTGTGTTTCAAGAGTTATCACTGTTTTACTAGACGTATATACACCGAGTCCGATCAGACTGGTCGGGCATGAGGTCGGGCCTAAGGAATTCTCAGAACAGACCTGAAACGAAATTGAAGAAACTGGTGCTCGACCAAAGGCCCGATCGGACATGAACAGTGCCGAATTTTGACCTGGTTTAATATGAGTTGACCCGGTTTTCTTGTACTTTTTCTATAAAAACCTTCAAAACTTCATTATTGAGAATCTATGGTATCTTTTGTGTTTGTTTTCAATTTGTTTTCTATCTTTGGAATCTTTGTATGAATCTCAAGTAAATTTATGCAATTTAATCTTGCTCTCTTTAATTTTATCTTCTACTTTTCTCTAATTATTTTTCTTCAAAGATTAGTTTCATTGCTTTGTGGTTACATGATCATGAGTGAGTAGTCTTTTAGAGTTCTTGGGTTTTGGTAGATTAGGATGATTTAGTAGTTGGGTTATGGAGTTTAGGATTAGATTGATTAAGATTCTTGCTTATTGGTTGTTAATAAGGCTAAATCAACTTTGATTATGTTGACTTAGAGCTTAGGAATTTAACGCCCGGAAGGTGTTCAATGAAATTTCGGAACCAAAACTTTTAAGTGTTTTTCATTCCTAGCCTTTGGAAATTGTTGATTAGGGTGATTAGTGGTTAGATAGAATTTTTTATAATGCTTATTGATCATTTGATTGCATTTGAAATAAGTTGATAATTGATTGATTAGTAAAGAGACTAATGTCATGAAAATGTGTTAGTCTTGCTTAGTGTTCTATGGCTTAAGGATCATTCTTTGTTAGAAGTTGTTTGAGCCTCCATAACTCATCTCTTTGTCATTCTAGTAAATTGCCTTAACCCGAGAATTCGTCTTTTAATTATTGCTTAGTAATTGTCTTTTCCCGCTTTTTTTCAATTCGAATCTTGTTAGTCTTTTGATTATTGTTTTCTTTCATCTTGTTTTGCATTGCTTGATTTAAATTGCATTGTTAGTTACATTTAGAAATCAAAACTCATCTCTTATTAAGCTTAGATTAAGTAAATTTGTGTATTCTTGGTGTGTTAATTTGTTGCTCCTTGAGGTTCGATAATTTAATTGATCGGGTAAAATGACTACATCACCATTTTGACCAAACTGGATAGATCTCACTTTGCACAGCTTAAACTGCACCAACAAAAGAATGAAACAAGTGAGAAGAAAATAATAAGCCACAAGTTAAGATAAATATGCTTATTAGTTATTAGAAAACGAGTCTATTAGTATCAAAAGTTAACCATATTTTAGGTAGTTAATTTAAGTTTTTATAAACGGACTCTCTCTACAGAGATTTCTGACAAAAATGGCCAGAGACACCATTTTGTCTGAATTATCTCCTCTACTTCTTCTTCTAATAGTTGTCCTACGTTCCTACGGATGTTGTTGATTAGATAAGCGGTCCAGCTTCCGAGTAAACTATATAGAAGATCTGAAGTACTATTCTCGATAACATCCCTAATTAATACAAAAAATCATATATTTCATCGTTAGCATGGAATGTCATCCTTAGGTAAAAAAATAATTAAAATTAGCAAAACATAAGCAAAACATAAGGAAAATATGAGCAAAAATAAAACAAAAAATAGTATTAGAACCAAATCAGTAAATCTAGAAAAAGCTAATCAGAAAAGTAAAATACTTAACGTGACCTCAATTAGATACACTTCTTTGAAATGTTTTTAGTGTTTTCTATATATGTAAGGGCCATGAAGATAGATTTTGGTTGAAGTTACCATGTTAATCATATCGAAATACAAAGAAAAGAACATCAAAACTTTGATCCAAACCAAACGTGGGATAAAGATAACTGTATGTCTGCCACTAATCTTTCTATTCCAGGCATTTTTTTGCAAATTAAATATCTTGAATTTCCATTTAAGTCATCAATTCCTAATTATATATTTCTTTCTTCATTCATTATATTAAATGACTGAAAAGTACTGAATAATCTAATTATCTAATTCAGATTCAAAAATATCATGAAGCCTATAAATAGTTTGGCGCATTCAATTCTATATATACAAAACCAAATATTCCATTAAAGTATTCCTAACATAGAATGCGTATTCATCATTCAAAGAATGTCCTTCAATATATCTATGTAAATTTCAAATAAAATGAAATCCAAAAAAACAAACAATTTAATGTGTACGTCTTTTAGCATTTAATATTTATTTTAATTCATCTAATTACTTAAGATTTGTCAAAATGACCACCATTATGTCAATATATTCCTATGAATCATATAAATATTCTATGTATAACAAATACGTGTGGTTAGGACTTGGCACCGTTTTATTGATACTGTAACGTCTGTTTTTTTTTTTTTGTAAGAATACCGTAACGTCTGTTTACGGATGTTAAATTGCAAGTTGAATCAACCAACAATTTAAAAAATGAGATATTATTCCAAAAATATTTAAATGAAGTGATTGTATTCTCATAGAAAAATTATAGATATTAAACGTCTAATGAAAATAGATAAGAGTATTTTTTGGATTTTTCTCCCATTGACTCTTTGACTCAAATGATTATTGGAAACTAAAATGTCTTTCTTTTTTCAAGGATTTGATGCCAATGCCTCGTAACTCTAGATTCATATATATTATTCATAAGTGAAATTCTCACCTTTTTTTTTGTCTGGAATTGAAGCTTATATAGTAACTTAGAAGTGCCTACGGCTACAATTGCAAATACAAAACACATATATACATAAATGTGGACGTGTAGAAGCAGGTGGAGGAGAGAAATTAACAAGTGTAAAGAAGAAGAAAAATGAGGAGAGGCGACGAGAAGCTTGTGAAGGATCATAGATTGAAAGCCTCTCTACACGTGGGGGGAATGGCAAAGTTCTTCTTTTTTCAACTTGATATCATCAAAGCTTACTATTTCCTCACCTCATCTACAACTTCTTTTTTTAGCTTATAAAAAACTCATTTAATGAAGTTCATATTGAGATATATGTTGAAGAGTTTGATATCGATGCATGCATGTTACATAATTTAAAGTATCTAAATGGACTATTACGGCCATGAAGACTGATCAAATATATTGGTCTTTTAACGCTATTGAATAATGACTTTTAGTGGAACGCTACGATTTGGTTGAAGTAGAATAATAAAACTGTTTGTTTGAAAGTAAAATCAAACCATAGGACCTTGGACTTGGAGTATGCTGTTTCAAACTTTTTCTAACTATAGTTATATTTTTAGAAGAACGATGTTAAAAAAACGGCTCAACTAACAACGCTATAAATCGCTTCACGGGGTCGGATGTGTATCGCAAACCAAGCCAAGGACCACTTTAACACATAAATTAATTCTTTGATACGAATTTACAAATATATCATTTTGGGGTCGAGAGAGGAGCAATGCCCCGTGATTCTCGTCCAGAAAACAAAAAGAAAGAAAGCGTTGTGTGTGATGTACGTGGTCTACATCAGAGACAGCTGAGCAGTCACACGCCTTGTAATCGTAATTGATTCGTCTATATCTACCACTCTCCACTCTTCAACTTTTTTGCCTTTAGCATTCAAGTTCCATGCAAAAACCCTAAACCTCATCATCTCATCAACCAATTTTACTTTCTACGTACATTCGAAAAAGAGTATGGCAGAAGATTAATTAATTAAGGAAAGATATATAAGTTTTTATAATTAAGAGAGTGTATATTACTGATGATTGTGATTTTTATATGGAGAGTAGTAAACTAGTAACAATAAAACAAGATGAAAATGAAAACTAAGTTAAAAATAAAGTCGAAATCGAAAGGTCTTAATAAAAAAACAAAAGAAGACAATGATCTCGATCATCAATGACCTTGGGACATTAATTGAAAAAGTCTTTATTCAAGTTCTTGAAAGTTCAAATCCTAATTCCGACAAAACTACTCTGAGGTATATTAGTATATTTTTGTGAATTCGATCTAGCTAATATTAAATTATTTTTCCTGGAAACTGTATCACAGTATCAAAATTTTAAATTCTTCCTGTTTTGTTTGTTTCTACACTCAAAATAATTATACTAATGTCTTTTTTATAACAAGGGCCTAATTATATATACTAATATCACTCATAGGCTGTTGCTCTCGATACATGAATTTTACTTTAAAATTGTTACTAAGGAATAGGTTAAAAAGCTTAATATCTATCATACCGATCGTTTAATTTTTAGCCTTGGTGACACAATAATATAATTAAATGTTACTTGTAATTTCTTGATATGTTGTTATAAGCAAAAGTATCAAATTATATCGTTTAGATTAAAGTAATAGTTTTCTCCCTGCATGCATAATACTAATTATATATATGCATACATATATTAAAATATACAACGTCTATTTATATAAATATAGATAGAGCTGTCTATAGAAGAGAAAAGCCAAAGTGAATTAGCTGTGAACAGAAAAGAAACACTTTTTAACATCTGCAACAAGATTTAGGTGAGGGGTTTGTCTACATGCCCCGGGAAGAGAGAGAGAATATAATCTGAAGTGTATCTTGATCTAGGGTTTCTCATCATCAACACAGACCAAACCTCCATGCTTGATTAGAAATAATTAAGTAGAATTCATCTTGTCTTTTATCTCTTTCCATGTCAAACTAAAGGATTGATCTACCCACTTCTTCCAAATCCTGTATCTAGTTAAGCCTAGAACCTTCAAACTATCTCTTTCTTCTGAAATTATAAAGAATGATCTCAACTATGGAGGGAGGTGGGAAGATTGATAGAGAAGAAGAAGAGGAGGAGGACGAAGGAGAAGGCCACGAGAGTAAGGCTTCCAGCAATAGTACAGTGGAAGAGAGTGATAAGAAGACAAAGGTTAGACCTTATGTGAGATCTAAAGTCCCTCGACTCCGGTGGACTCCTGATCTTCATCTTCGTTTTGTCCGTGCGGTTGAGAGGCTTGGAGGTCAAGAAAGTACGTCTATAGCTACTTTCTTTCAACAATTCACTCCACCTATATAAAGCTTAACTAAGCAACTCCTTGGTTTAACTTTTGGTCAAAATTTCATCTTATAGTATCTTTTAGTTTTTGTTTCTTTATGATCATTTTGTGTTTGGCTTTGTATAGGAGCAACACCAAAGTTGGTTCGCCAGATGATGAACATCAAAGGGCTTAGTATCGCTCATGTCAAGAGCCATCTACAGGTACTATATCTATACACACACACACACACACACACTTATATTGTAATTATACTTCAAAGGATCTACTAAATCATTAGACAAAACTTTCTCACTATAATTTTGTATTGTGGAATTTCAGATGTACAGAAGCAAGAAGATAGATGATCACGGTCAAGGTATTAATTTTTTCCATATGTGTTAATTAGTCATCAAGTTTACATATATATGTCAATAAAATCGGGTTTGATTTTTTTTGCAGCCATATCTGATCACAAACATCTATTCGAGACTTCCACAGATCGAAATATCTATAAACTAAGTCAGCTACCAATGTTCCGAGGCTATAATCATAACAATGATTCTCCATTCAGGTATAATATTGTTTTGTAAATTTTATGTGTTGGATCATTCTTTTGATTGATATCTTTACTTTGAAACTAAATAAATTAGTCCTTCGTTTTGTAGATATGGAAGTAAATTTTCGAATGCGTCCTTGTGGAGTTCTAGCTCTCACGAAACAAACCGGAGTTTGATAGACCAAATCAGACCCGGTTTAATCCGCAGCTCATCGGTTAGCAATAATATCCGTGGTAGTGAATATTGGACTAACAACAGGTCTTTCCAAAACATCTACTCTTCTTCGGTCACTAGCCACTCACCGAAACTAAGACACGATCATCAAGAACGGACCAATTCAGCCAGCATTCAAGGACACTCAAGAACGTTTCAGAACGGCGTTGAAGAGAACACTAATATGCATGGTTATTGTAACAAGACAACGGGAAAAAGAAACGCAAGTACGAGCACTGATCTCGATCTCGATCTCTCTCTTAAGCTACGACAACCCGAGAAGACAGTTTCGGAAGAGACAGAATCAGCAGCAACAACAACGGATCAAACGTTGTCCTTGTCGCTATGTTCGGGGTCGTCTGCATTGAAAAAGAGCCGACTGATCAAAACAGACGAAGAGGATCGGACGGTTAAGATTGGTGGTCATCAGGCAAGTACTCTGGATCTGACTCTATGAATTTTATATAGTTAAGAATGAGACAAATTCTAAGTGAGATCTTGAGGTACTTATCCGATATATTTTAATTATTCATCAGTGTCCTTTGTTGTTGTTAATCATTTCTGTTTTTTTAAGTATTATTAGAAAGGAAACAAAACGGTCTTGATTATATTAACCTTACTGAGTTTGTTTGATACCGCCAATTTGTATCATCACCATATATAAACAAATGTTACTAGCTAGACAATGATTCGATTTGTTGTTCGTCTCCTTCTCACGCAATAATTATAATTATACATAAAAGTTATATAAACATTTTAAATTTATGTCTTAGTTGGTGCCTTCTTCACTTGTACATATATGAGACCTAAACAGCTAGTTTCTTGATTATTCAACTAACATATGGACATTTTGTAATCCAAATAGCTTATGGAGTTTGTCATCTTTTAAAAAATCCATCTTCACTCACTTTTTCACCCTTTTTATAAATAGTTTAGTAATTTTTTTAACAAACGAATATGTATATAGCTCAATATATAGCCAAAAATGATACTAGAAGACGAACAAAAGTCATCTAAAGGTATGGTATTTTTGAAATATTACTAGATTCACTTTCCATTGGTTGACCTTATGACAGGGTAACAATTTGCGTTCAATCAAATCGATTCTAAGAACATTGATCTAGTTTAATGACTAACTGATTATCGTAAAAGTTTTATGCATGGTGCATGGCACTTATTTCCATATGAACTTGACGACGTCGGTTGTAGAGCATTGATACTGTTTCTAATTGAATCTAATATGATTACTTCGACGTGCCAAATACAACGTTCGACACAGTATCAAGTTTGATTTTTTCAACAAACGAATGAATCTTCGAATGTTTGATTAGAGAGAGTGTCAATATTCAAACGAAAGAAAGAATCTTTGCTTCTTAAACATTGGATGTATGTGTATCACCCGGGTCAACTTCCTTCAGTAGTAAACATGGCCGCACGATCAATTTGACAAATACAAATTTCCAAAATTTTGGAGGGTATAGTCCTCTACGTCAACTACTACATAGTCGGGCCACTCCATTTTTTGTTTTGGTAGGGAGAATCCACTTCTCCAGACTCCAAGATAAGAGTCTCAGTTAATTTGTCAGTAGCTGAAGTATCCTAGTGGTGAAAGGTGGTACAAAAACATTACGTTTAATGTTACACCCACTTTTGTACCGCGCTATACTCATGTCAATAATTTTTCTAAAATTTTTAAAAGACTAATAAATGCTTTTACAATTTATATTCATGTGATCTTTCTTCAAAACTTGACAATTATAACAGTAATAATGTAATATATACAGTATACTAGTATCACTAATCCATGATGACAATATTAAATCTTCTATAAAACTTTCTATTTTTGTCTCACATATGTAGCATTTAACATCAAATTCAATATTAGAAATTACTAGGTGCTTAGCTTGTGAACTTGTAAAATCCTCAACAAAGGTCATATATAGTCCAGAAATAGCTCATCTTTTTGGCAAACTAGTCCTTGCAATACATGTATGATGTATCAATCTCCTTGTCCCATGCAATTACGACTAGAATATATATATAAAATCTTCCTAGAAATAGTAAGATTTATTATTACTATTATTTTTGGAAACGATAAATGATAGTGAGTTAACTCGTTAAAAAAACTTTAAATTGGCAACGATTTTATAAGATAGAGAAAATATCAAAAGGTTTCGTTAGTATACCAAATTTGTCTTTTATATTGTCTTCTTATACGTTCTGTCTTTATCCTATAGTTATATTTACACAAAAAAAGAAATAAAGAAGCTTCATTGAAATATGAGGACTCCAAATTGAAGAAGAATGAGAAACATAACAATCAACCCTCGGAAGACTTTTCCTCCTATACAAAATGTAGAAACAAAACACCAACTTGTGACTTGTCTATTTTACACACATTATTATTATACTTAAAGCCTTTCACACCTACACGAAAAAAAACTCGTACCATTCATTGACTATAAACATCAAAGATCATCAACTCCGGGAGAGAAAGAGAGAGAGAGAGAGAGGATACAACATGGCCGGAGCTTATGATCCAAACTTACCGGGAGTACCTGAATGGCTGAACACAGGAGACAACGCATGGCAGCTTACAGCAGCGACTCTGGTTGGTCTACAGAGCATGCCAGGTCTTGTTATCCTTTACGCTTCCATCGTCAAGAAGAAATGGGCTGTGAATTCTGCTTTTATGGCTCTTTACGCCTTCGCTGCTGTTCTTCTCTGTTGGGTTATCCTCTGTTACAAAATGGCTTTCGGAGATGAGCTTTTGCCTTTCTGGGGCAAAGGCGGTCCAGCTTTCGACCAAGGATACTTAAAGAGCAGAGCAAAGGTATTGAATTTTGGTTATGCACGTAACGTGTTCGATAAAATGCTTGAACGAGAGTTTTGATTTGATTTTTTTTTTGTTTGGTTTCTTTACAGATCCCAAATAGCAATACGCCGGCGCCGTATTTTCCGATGGCGACGTTGGTGTATTTCCAGTTCACATTCGCGGCGATAACGACGATACTAGTGGCGGGATCGGTGTTGGGGAGGATGAACATCAAAGCTTGGATGGCGTTTGTGCCATTGTGGTTGATTTTTAGCTACACAGTTGGAGCTTATAGTATATGGGGCGGAGGGTTTCTATATCAATGGGGAGTTATTGATTACTCCGGCGGTTATGTTATTCATCTCTCCTCCGGTGTCGCCGGCTTTGTCGCCGCTTACTGGGTACGTACGTTATTAGTATTTGTTTTTCCTACCAAACCAAGTTCAGATTTTTTGAAGTTGTTAGAAAATTTAGATTTGAGGTTAGTTTATTTAGTTAGGGAAGACTAAAGCTGGAATTAAATTCTCAGGCTAATAATTTTATATATTTGGTTATTATTACTAGAAAAATATAAAAAATAAAAATGTTAAAGAATAAGATGATTTCGTTTGTTGAAGATATTGGAATAAAATTAATGTACGGTAGTCGGTATACGACAGAGTCAGAGCATCATCAATGCTAGCATCTTAAGCATATATTAGGTAAATTAGACATTTAAATTAAATCAAAATGTTAATTAAAATATAAGATACCGTATCTTATATAAGATACAGAAGAAGGTTTAAGAGGCTGTGACGTGGCAGTTTCTAAGTGGGTGTTGAAATAAATCACGTTTAAATTAATTGTGTTTTATGTTATTTATGCAATAAATTGTAATTTATATATGTTTATAAATTTTTATTTTGCAATAATTATTAAGTGTTTAATAATTAAAATTGTTAAAAAAATTTTTTAATAAATATTTTTTTTTAAGATACCAAACTTAAGAACCTACCAATAATCCTACCTAAAAACAAAAAACAAAAATACATATCTTAAACTCTACACTTTTAATATTAATTACTAAATTAATCCTAAGATACACTCATTAAATCCTACCATTGAGGAAAAATATATTCAAAGTAATAATATAATTTTGATGTGGAGTGGGTCTTTAATTGCCAAGTTTTGTTTTGCTTTCTCTTTCGGTATGATTGCGTAATTAAGGTCCTTAGTTTTTATATAAGATAAGTTCGATGATTGATCGGTCCACTTACAAAAGTTTCCAAGTCGTAGGTATATTTAAATGAAATCATTGTAGAATTTGACTACACGAGCTTGATGATGTATAATCTATATACATTAGCAACTCAGAATTTTTTTTACTAGTGAAGAGTAATCAATCATCCCATTCAACTGAACATATATATTTTTACCTAATAGTCATTCACATAGTAATTGGCGTTAGTTCCATTCTTGTATGGATTTGCATTTTTGTCGCTGGTAAAAGTCAAAGTCAATTCCACATGACGACGACATAATAATTTCTCACATGATAAAATATAGTTACGCTTATATGCCAAAAAAATAAAATAAAAATAAATCGTTAGTTGAGAAATTTAAAGAGTAGTACAATGTTGATATCGACTTGATTATAGCTTAAACTAAATGCGACTTGTGGACATGATGTTATTGTAGGTAGGACCTAGGCCTAAAGCTGACAGAGAGAGATTCCCACCGAACAATGTTCTATTAATGCTCGCCGGAGCTGGTCTCCTATGGATGGGATGGTCAGGTTTTAACGGTGGTGCTCCTTACGCTGCTAACTTAACCTCCTCGATTGCGGTGCTCAACACCAACCTCTCTGCCGCGACAAGCCTCCTTGTGTGGACCACGCTTGATGTCATCTTCTTTGGCAAACCTTCTGTCATTGGAGCCATCCAAGGCATGGTTACTGGTCTCGCCGGTGTCACTCCTGGAGCAGGTCTCAATCTTATAGTCTCAACATTTTGTTTTTACTCTGGTTTATTAATGCATGATCAAAGTTGATTTATGTGGAAACTAATTAAGATTGCAGTGTTCATTTTGTTATACTGACAAACGAAATATTTTGCAGGTTTGATCCAAACATGGGCAGCTATAATAGTTGGAATAGTCTCAGGAACGGTTCCATGGGCGTCTATGATGATCCTTCACAAGAAATCCACTCTCCTTCAAAAGGTATATTGAAGTTGATTATAGTATGAATTTGAAGTATATTACATAAATCAATGTTGTAATATTTCAATTGTAGAATTAAGGTATTATTAATAACAAAAGAAAGATTTGAAATGTACTAATATTTGGATTGATTTAAATAAACAGGTTGATGATACATTAGCAGTATTTTACACACACGCCGTGGCTGGTTTACTAGGTGGACTAATGACAGGTTTGTTTGCACATCCTGATCTCTGCCTCTTGATACTTCCTGAACCAACCAGAGGAGCTTTCTACGGTGGCAATGGAGGCAAACAGCTTTTGAAACAGTTGGCAGGAGCTGCCTTCATCGCTGTCTGGAACTTGGTGTCGACGACTATCATCCTACTAGCTATCAGGATATTCATACCATTGAGAATGGCTGAGGAAGAGCTTGGGATTGGAGACGACGCTGCTCATGGTGAAGAAGCTTATGCTCTTTGGGGAGATGGAGAGAAGTTTGATGCTACAAGGCATGGGCAACAGTTTGAGAGAGACCAAGAGGCTGCTCATCCTTCTTATGTTCATGGTGCTAGAGGCGTCACCATTGTTCTATGATTTTCTTCTTCTTTTTTTCTGTATTATTTTCCTTATGACAGAGAGTTGTGCATGAGTGATGATGTTTTGTATAGGTGGTGAAATTTCAGTTTTTCATTTTTTTGGGGATGTAT